AAACCGTCGCAGTGAATGATTTTAGATATGTCGACTCCATCTGCGTTGATATTACCTATAGGCTCTATAGATGGATAGAGGAGATTGACGCTCATCAAAGACACTCTCTTTTCCAGCAACATCACCACCTTGATTTCAATTCCCTTCCTTTGCTTCTGCTTCTTCTTTGATGCTCCTTCTGCTGATTCACCCATGTGCCTCTTCAAAAAGCTATGACCTTTCGTTATGCTGTTCCACTTTTTGCAGGTCGATCGTACTTCTCCCAGAGATGTCACCGGAAGCTTCGACAGCACCTCCTCCTCCATCTCCCTCGGAAGATCGGACATCTTCGGACCGGATCTGTAATGGAAAATCAGTTAGGATCAAACCTCCCAATGCTCTGTTTCGTTGTCTCCGATTTATTCCTGTCTCGTATTTCAATCCCATCTCTTCACTTTCCTAATCGTCATTGGTTGATAAGTTGACTTTTTGAAATTGGCCTTAAAGTAATGGCCCAAGTCCTTACTAATAACATTTTATGCCTTACTAATCAGTTCCGCATCATAGTCAAAAAACTCAAAACAGAGGCCTATACCTTACTAATAAGTACTACAATAACATATTACAATCGTTTCAGTAATTACTTTTCGTGCCAAAGACATACTGTATCTACCAACTTTATACAGAGAATATTTTTAGACTTGGACGGCACACAGACCCAAGTCCCTCCAACAACATTTCCTTCAATGTTGGTAATTTTAAGTGCTACGCCCAAAATTAAATGGAAACTAAATTAAAAAAAAGGATACGACGCGTATTTGAGCGTTACAGGCGTCCGCGTTTAAGTGCCACGTGGCAGAAGATGATTGGCTCTTCCTTAATGAGAAGAAACAAAACGCATTTTTTCTGCTTCATTTTTCTCTGTCGGTTCTCTCTCCTCCCTCTCTCTACTCCGTTGATCTTCCATGGCGATCTGGCGATTTGATGTTGATTGTAAGCAATCATCGATTTCTGGTGAGAAATCGGTCCGTTTCTCATGCCTCCGGTCCTCGACTCTTCCTCTCTACATCGATCTCGTTCGCTCGTCCGAATCGTCTCATCTCCATCATCTCATCTCCATCGTTCATCTACTTCGTTCTCAGTCACCATGTACCGTGTCGCTTCTAATCTCGCCTCCAAGGCAAGGTACGAACTCATTTTCTTTGTATTGGTAATTCGGTTTTCTATTAGGTTTACTTAAAAATTGAAGGAAATGGGGAAATCAATTGATATGGGTTTTGGTCTCGTCTCCTTCATTGGCTCTTCAGATCTGCTTCCTTTTATCCCGATTTCTTCGATTGATTTGGTTTCTCGTTTTCTCTCTGTTCTCAGGATTGCTAGCAACACTCGAGAGGTTTCCAGTACAATGAGCTGGAGCAGAAACTATGCAGCGAAAGAGATTAAGTTTGGGGTTGAAGCTGGTGGCTTGATGCTTAGAGGTGTGGAAGTTTGGTAGCGAGATGGGAACTTTTCATTCTGCTAAAGATGCGGTGAAGCTCTTCAACACTGGTTTCTCTGGAGGAGGTTGTGATTGCAATTTGCAGGGAGTGTTGGCGGAGGAGACAAATATCTGTTTCTGGGAAAAAGAGGTGGACAAGTTGAAGGAGAAGGTGCATAATGCTGAGACGGCCAAGATTGAGGCTTTGTTAGAGCTTGAAGAAGCCAAGGAAACAGTTGAACATGAGAATTGGTGACAAAAGTTTAGATTTGAGCAGTAATGTTAGAACTGTGATTTCGGAGCTAGGCCTTGCTAAGGAATTGCTTGAAAGAGTAGCCGAAGAAGAGAGTGAATCGGGAATTTGGCAGAATATGAGAAATGCTGACAAGGGTTTATATTTGAGTAGTAATGAGAGAGTTGTGACTTCTGAGCTAGGCGTTGCTAAGGAATCGCTTCACAGAGTAGCTGAAGACTGAAGAGGAGACTGAATTGTGTGTATTGATGGAGTCTTTTAGGCTCGAGCTTCAAAACGTGAAGAGAGAGCATTCACGGCTTAAAGAGAATGAGCAGAGACAGAGGGATCAAAGCCGTTGAGGAGCTGAACAAGGAAACCGATAATGCAAAGAAGGAGCTCTTACCGCTCGAAGACTTGGGCTTGAGGCCCATAAAGAAACAGTCGATATAAATCCACCTGACTTAAGGCCCAATACTTCTTGGTTTACCTTTTCTTCTTTTTTTTTCTTTTTCATTTTTTTTAAAATCCCTTATTGGTTTATCAGTAACAGAAGTTGTTACAGTCTGCAACTTGCAGAGAATCACAACACCGCGCGCGAGAGAGAAAAGCTTGAAGAGGGATAAAGAGACGAACACAGTGAAGCTGAGAGGGAGAGAGATCAAAATCCATCATCGAGAGATTGAGAAGTTGAAATGCCTCCTCCTGCTGCGAATTGCTTGTGATCCTCTTCATTTTCCTCATTGTTCTTCGCGAAACCTGCAACAACAATCGTAACTCGTAAGCGTGATTGAGAACTTGAAGTCTTTGCAGAGAATCACAATCTGAGAGGGAGAGAGATCAAATGCGTCCTCCTGCTGCGAATTTCTTGTGATCATCTTCTTCGCGAAACCTGCAACAACAATCGTAACTCGTAAGCGTGATCGAGAACTTGAAGTCTTCGTAAGCGTCTTCTTCCTCATAATTTCTTGTGATCTCTTTATTTGCTCATCATCCTTGTTCTTCCGGAATCCACGAATTTTGAGATTCGAATCATATCTGATCGCTAAGGTCTTGGTGCTGATTTTATTTTCTAGGTCTTTGTGCCATGGCGGTCAACTTGCAGCACCAGGATTACACAGGTACGGAAGATTTTTCTCCGTCTTCGATTTGTATTATTTAGGAATTGAAACCGCCTCCATTAGAAAGATAACTATAGTTTTTTTCTTTCTTTAGATGAAAATCTAGCAAACATCATAGAGAGCTCTTGGAATGAATGGTTTTCTTACGACGATGTCAAGACCCTATTTGAATCTGGTGATCAACTCCAAATTTCAACTGAACCGATCAAGACATCTCCAGAAGGATTGTACCTCTATGGAAGTGATGGCAATATAGATGAATTAGAATGGGATGAAGAAGATGCCGTTGTTGCTTGGGAGGACAACGAAGTGGTCAGAGAAGTAGTCATCTTGTGCAGAGCTTCGTACAATGTCTTTGAAACTCTTCCAGTGAAGAGGACTCTTGAAAGAAGGAGGTATGCGTCGGCAAACTTTCAGAATCACTGCCTAGTTCACTATCGGGTAATACACGAGGAAGTCAATGCTCAAGATGTTGAAGAAGAAGTTGAAGACCCTGATGAAGACGACGATGATTACTATGACGGAGAGGACGATGATGATGACGGGAGTGGTGGAGACGACGATGATGGAGACGGGGGTAGTGGAGACGAATTTGAAGAAGCTGCCGAAGATGGTGATGACTATCCTCCTGATATTGCTGCTCCTGTCGCTGCAGCTGCTTGGGCCATGGATCTTGCAGTTGACCACCCTGCTACCGATATTGCTCCTGCGGCTGCCGCTTCTCTAAGTAGTTTACATTCTGATCTACGTGATGATGCCTTGGAAAAAGTATGTGGCGGTCTTGACATTCTCCAAGAGGTAATGGGATTCTAGTGTGATCTCTCTGAGTCAGCGAGTATCAAAGTTTTCTTATGTCTTCTACTGTTTAATGGTCATAGGCTGAAGATGAAGTGAAAACACTGAATCCGAATCCCCTGAAGTCCAGCGAAATGAAGTCCAGCGAAGGATGTGGCGGTCTTGACATTCTCCAAGAGGTAATGGGATTCTATTGTGATCTCTCTGAGTCAGCGAGTATCAAAGTTTTCTTATGTCTTCTACTGTTTAATGGTCATAGGCTGAAGTTGAAGTGAAGACATTGAATCCCCTGAAGTCCAGCGAAGGATGTGACGGTCTTGACATTCTCCAAGAGGTAATGAGATTCTAGTGTAATCTCTCTGAGTCAGCGAGTATCAAAGTATTCTTATGTCTTCTACTGTATAATGGTCATAGGCTGAAGTTGAAGTGAAGACACTGAATCCCCTGAAGTCCAGCGAAATGAAGAAACGGAAACGGGTGTTTAAGAAGAACGAAGAAAGAAGGATTGATGACTGTGAAAAGGTGACTACACTTTCTGCTTTAAGATCATAGAAACTATTAGAGAGTATCTGAATTTATATGTTTCCTACAGTTGTTTGTATGACGGAAAATCGTTTTCTTTTTTTTTGTGTTTTGCTCGCTTAACAGGAGGGAAATCGTTTCAGTGCTGTTAGAGGAGCGCACAAAAAAATAAAACGCGCAGAGAAAGCTGAGAGCAAAATTCCTGGTGAGTTTTTATAGTTTTACACATGCTTTGGAATAGTTTTCAGTAATCTACTTTTCTCCAAGATTCTTACTTTAGCATGCCTAGTTTTTAGAAGTTTGCCCCAATGTGCTTTTCCTGGTTTAGCTCCAATTAACATTCATTTTGAGAAGCCATCATTCATCTGGTGTTTAGTGACAAATTTTCCTTTTGCAGGTGATATTGCTCAGTCTGATATTCTTGCTAGCAGAGATGGTGAAGTCGACAAGGCTAAAGAGGAAGGTTTAAGCGGGCAGGATATTCTGGACAAAACTGATTGATGGTATGACCACCAAAGTGAAGGCCTTGGAAAAAGATAAGCGTAGTTACCTTCTTACCTGACAAGGTAATTGATCTCTCTATACACTTATGCAATTTTCTTTCAAAGATTGATTCAGCTTATGTGATTTATCCCTTTCTGATCCAGCTACCCATTGTTACAAACACTTGAAGAAAGCATGGATTCCGAGTATGTGTATCAGAACAAAAACACAGATTGTAGTCAATTGTTTTGTTTTTGAACATGTTAACACAGATATGTAGTCAATTGTTTAGTTTTTGAACATGTTGTGAGATGAGACTTGTGAATGTGTCTTTCTTTTTAGTTCCTTTGCTTATGACGTTTACATACTTTAGCAAATAGGAATGAATTTGTGAATATGTCTTTCTTTTTAGTTCCTTTGCTTATGACAGTTTACATACTTTAGTAAATAGGAATGAATATATTTCTATCACTAGCAAGTTATTGATCTCTAACCAAAGTTTACACGAGGTTAAGTGATGGTTAAACATTTCTCACCTCCTCAAACTCTGTAATTACAATAGCCACGTTCTCAATCTTCCGCACGACCAATAAAGCAATGAGTCATAACAACACTAATACCAAGTATGTGCAAACGGATTCATGACTCAATGCCTCTTCCTCGCTAATTATAGCTTTTGAGATCCTTTTTGTTATCAACGCAAATCTCAGTTACCACCACCACAAAGGAGAAGTAAGAATTTAATGGAGGAAAACTGACAACGACAGCATGCTTGTTGTCAAGCCAGTCGCATTTTCCACTACTGATGAAGAGGTGCAATGCAAAGAGACTCAAAAGACTCAAAACAGAAGGCACCGAACAGCTCACTGCTTGCATTGTATACATTTTGTTTACAGTTTGTCTCAATTCACAGGTGGAGGCCCATTACAATGAAACTGAAATTACCAGAAAAGACAAAAACGACACTAATCTACATATTATCCTCTAATCAAATTATTGAAAACAGCATCACTAATCACGTAGGAAGGATGTTCCACTTCCACTTCTACATAAATATGAAAAGCAAATGTTCTTACTCAATGCATAAATAGCTCTAATGTTGTTTCAAATTTTGGTGGTTATTACTTATTAGCATGGTCTGCCACAACCATCTGATCATAACCAACCTGTTTTCCAAGGGAACCAACTAAAGGCCAGAATGAGTACACTGGTTCATTAGCTTCAAACTTTAGCTTAAACAATCGTTTCAGTAATTACCAAAGACATATCTAACAACTTTATACAGAGAATACTTGGAGTGGAGAAATACAGTAGGAGTCCTTTGGAGTTCCTGCATTCTGCCACTACAGCAAAGCAACAACAGATTTGGACGGCACACAGACCCAAGTCCCTCCAACAACATCTCCTTCAATGATGAGAATTTTAAGTCCCTAAGAAGAACAAAATCGAGTTCTTGGCACAACCACCAAACCAACAGATTTAAAACAGAACAAAAATGTACAGGACAAGTCAGGTGGCTAAAAAAGAGTTAAGAAGGGCAGCAACACTCTTTTCTTCTCAGCTAATTAAAAAAGCTTTCAAGGGAAAAGCTTGTACAGTATTTTGAATGGACATAACAAAATAAAAAGAAGAACGCAGAGGCTATGTTGAGTTGAGGAACCAACAGTTGTAAATCAGTTATATAAGCACTAGAGTACAAATTCTTAGATTAAGGTGTGTTCTTCTGGCTGCCCAGTATTGCAGGTTGCTCGATTTGCACTGAGCTAGGAACATAAGAGCTCACAAGGGGAAAACAACAATACTGTTTAGATTCGCCAAGATCAACTTGTTTGAAGTAGCCATTATCTCCAACGATGCAAGCCGTGTTGCGAGTTGTTGGGCCAGGACTACCTCTGTCTTTATGAAGAACCACCGCGAGCTTCTCCTCCTCGTCAACAAAGAAACTCGCAGCGTAATTGTTAAACCGAACACCAATGAGTGGTCTCATATCAACAGCTAAGAACAAGCTGCTCCACGACACTGCATTCGGCTCAATCTTACTACTAATCCATATCTCGACCGTGTATACAGGGCGCCGTTTCTGAAACAGCACCGCGAGCTGCTCTTCTCTAACACTTGAAAGAGTCACCGTGTCTCCAACGAGACCGTGGAAAGGCAGAGGCAGGCGCGGTCCAAACCTCTCCGTTTCGAAATCAAAACAGATTAGGAAATCAGCGACATCTATCCTACTTGATGCCAACTTGTCACGAGCATACCAGTAAGTGTTGCCCTTTAGAGACAAGCCACGGAGATAAACGAAGTGGTCCAGTCGTGGTCGGGACCGACATCAACAAGCTTCCATGAGTTAGAGTCTAAACTGTAGATTTCAAACTCGCAAACTCGGTGCTTGACTCTCGGGTCGTAATCATTCACAAATCTCAAGACTTTGTGCTTCTTCTTATTATCGTATCCGAGAGCGTAACTGTCGAATCTGTGGTAAGAAGTTCTGGGTTCGATCCACCTTGTTTGTCCCAGATAAGGGTTCAACACAACAACCCTAGAGGAGCTTTCCTCTTCAGTGATGCATAAGAACAAACCGTCGCAGTGAATGATTTTAGATATGTCGACTCCATCTGCGTTGATATTACCTATAGGCTCTATAGATGGATAGAGGAGATTGACGCTCATCAAAGACACTCTCTTTTCCAGCAACATCACCACCTTGATTTCAATTCCCTTCCTTTGCTTCTGCTTCTTCTTTGATGCTCCTTCTGCTGATTCACCCATGTGCCTCTTCAAAAAGCTATGACCTTTCGTTATGCTGTTCCACTTTTTGCAGGTCGATCGTACTTCTCCCAGAGATGTCACCGGAAGCTTCGACAGCACCTCCTCCTCCATCTCCCTCGGAAGATCGGACATCTTCGGACCGGATCTGTAATGGAAAATCAGTTAGGATCAAACCTCCCAATGCTCTGTTTCGTTGTCTCCGATTTATTCCTGTCTCGTATTTCAATCCCATCTCTTCACTTTCCTAATCGTCATTGGTTGATAAGTTGACTTTTTGAAATTGGGCTTTAAAGTAATGGCCCAAGGCCTATTAAGGTCTCGCTACGATTGTTAGTCCTCGTCAATAGTCAACTTTTTGATGTTGATTGAGACTTGAGAGTAGAGTGTAGATGAACACATTTTCATTTATTTCATGCAACTTTGTACACATTACTATTTTATATTATGTTGTCAAAGTTGTATACATCCAATTAAACTAATGGTTATCCAAACAGCTGATATTCACTACGTGGACTTCTCCGTGGATGCGAGACTTGTCCACGTCAGCATAATAGAGATGCAACGTGGTGCATCATTCAAAGAAGCTCACAGTTTGTACGGCTTCTTTCGCTTATTAATTTGTTTCTCTCGATGACTGCCGATTTTATCAGTCACCAAAAAAAACAAAAACACTTTTCAGTGTGAAAAGAAAGAAAAACGCAAAAATGGCAAGCGGGTTTCCACCGCAGAAGCAAGAGACACAACCAGGGATTCAACATGTCATGGATCCAAATCCTCAATTTTCTAGCCCTAACTATAAACCCTCCAACAAACTCCATGTAGGCGTTCAATTGTTTGTTCTCTTCATTTCCCATTTGTTTGGATCTCTTTTTATAAACGAAGTCAAATATCAGAAAAAACTATATCCAAATACAAACTGATAATACTTTTTTAAGATTAAAACCGAAATAGTTGTCTTACGTACATACATTTACATTACTTGTATAACAAGGTATCAATTTATGAAACTATCGGCAGGGAAAAGTGACGCTGGTGACAGGAGGAGACTCGGGGATAGGTCGAGCTGTGTGTTACTGCTACGCTCTCGAAGGAGCTAGCGTGGCTTTCACTTACCTTAAAGGTCGAGAGGACAAAGACGCAGACGAAACGCTGCGTTTGCTGCACGAGGTCAAGACAAGGGAAGCTAAAGAGCCGATCATGATCGCTACTGATTTAGGGTTCGAAGAGAACTGCAAAAGGGTCGTCGAGGAAGTTGTCAACGCCTTTGGACGCGTCGACGTGCTTGTCAATTGTGCAGCTGAGCAGCATGAGGTTTCCATCGAAGAGATCGATGAGGCCAGGCTTGAGCGAGTGTTTCGTACCAACATCTTCTCCCAGTTTTTCTTAGCCAAGTGAGTAAATCAACTCCGGTTCTAGCTCGGTTTAGTTCGGTTTGGAGAATAACTTGTGAATGTTCTTCACATTTGCACCCAAAAAAAAAAAAAAAACTTGTGAATGTTGTTGAATGTATAGGTACGCGTTGAAGCACATGAAGGAAGGAAGCAGTATCATCAACACGACGTCTGTTGTAGCATACACAGGTCACTCAAGTTTACTAGAATACGCCTCTACGAAAGGAGCCATCGTCGCGTTCACACGTGGCTTAGCTCTTCAGCTTGCACCAAAGGGCATACGTGTCAACGGAGTAGCTCCAGGTCCGGTCTGGACTCCACTGATAACCGCTTCGTTCTCCGAGGAAGCGATAAAGCAGTTTGGGTCAGAGACGCCGATGAAAAGAGCGGCTCAGCCTGTGGAAGTGGCTCCTTCTTACGTCTTCTTGGCTTGTAACGATTGCTCTTCTTACTACACCGGCCAAATCCTCCATCCTAACGGTACGGTGTCTAACATGAGGTGTTTACTGGTTTGGTTTCTCCTCTGATTTTTCGGTTTACGAGATATAAGAAAACCAAATACTGTTTGGTATGGCTTTAGTCTCGGTTTCGATTAGGTTCCTTTCAAAACATATCTACAAGGATTTAAAACAAGATCTTGGTTTTTGATCAGTTTGTTTCTATGTGTCGGTTTGGTTGGACTGGATTGGGCTATTGTAACGCAAACGCGTTTTTGTGCAGGTGGTACTATCGTGAACGCTTGAGCTTTGCCTAAGGTGTTATCAGTGTATGTGCCTTGCTTAGGAAGTTGGTACAAAGAAAGAATACAGTTCGTGTGAAGTAATACGGTGAAATGTTGTATGATAAATAATGTAAAATATCTGAATAAATGGAATTAGTTGGTTATGTGTTTTGGTCTTGTGAAGGAAAAGTTCTTAACCTCCTTACAAGTAAAGCAGATCGAAAGAGACATATCATTACACATATTGCTCATGAAAACGGTACAAATCACAAGAAGCTATGTGTTTGTTTTGTATAGTACAAATGAAGAGTGTTTTGTCTCAGTCCGAGTCTTCGTCGAAAATGAACAAATAAGGAGTTGCTCTGTTTCTTCTGTTCTCCGCTTCTTCTTCCTCTCTTGCTTCATTACCTGCACCGATCACTTTTGGGTTATTCAACCTTAACCGCTGCTTGTAGACAGCGTCATAAGCCTCCATGTTCAGTCCCGATGCTAGGAAGAGCTCTAACTCATCCACAAACCGGTCTGTTCTCGCCATTACAAACGGTCGAGCTGCCTCTGAGACCACCGATTTGAATTGTTCTTGAATTGTCTCTGCGCTGATTGCTTCTTGTTTGTGTCTCTGCTCGATTCTGAAGTGATAGGAAGTAAGTCTTTTGCATTTCATAACATTTGAAGCAGAGACAAACAGAGTTGTTTAAAAGACATCAATCTTCTAGAATCAATTAAGTCTTGAGAGCTTTTACCTTTTGCAGAAGGAGTCCGTTACGCCGACCAAATGATGTAGCACAATATCAACATTTTCGTCCTATAAGAAAAGGAAAAAGAAATGTATTAAAGCACAAGTAAATGATCTGTTTAAATGACTTAGCAAGAAGATAACAGCAGTACAGCAAAAATACAGAACATGAAAGGGATTGCAATCGTACTTGCATAAGAGCTTGAAGCTCCCTTCTCAACCAGGCTTCCAGACTCCGGTTTGGCTGGAGAAATCTTTTCAATTTCCAAAACCGGGGAACATCAAATACATCAGCCAAGAAACCTGTTTAAGACCATAGAAGATAAAGAAAACATCTTTTAACTCTAACCACCCTTCTACATTGATAAAACACATTTGACTCTACTGATAAGGAGTCCAAAATAAACAAAGCTCGTTTTTGATCTTCAAAAAATGCAGAGAAGAGCAAAACCTGGCTCGGTGTAGTAGCATTGCAACCTATATCTCTGTTCTTTTGTTAGGACAAAGCTGCACAAAGGAAGACGAAACTCTTTCAAAATCTTCTCCGGAAAAGAGATATTTTTTTACTCAAGCCAAACACAATGTTAACCCTACCCATCTGTAATATTTCGGCTGATGTAATGCCGATCAAAAGAGTGTCCATCGTAGTTGTGGATGATTGACAAGTTCTCTGTCTGCACATTTTTATGGTCATTCCTAAGTGATTGAAATTTTTTTTGTGCTGAAAAGAGAATTTTTAGGAAGCAGACCTTACAGAGAGGACATTTGACAGAAGATAGTTGCTTAGAGACCTTGCTGGAAACAACTTTGATCCATTGTTTGATGCATTTGAAACAAAACTTGTCTGCAAAACCAAGAGCAAAAGACACAATTAACATTACATTATAAAATCGTTATGTGGTCAAATTTGCAAGAAGCTATCATATATTGCCTAAACCATAAACCTATGGCTTCTCCTAAGATACACTAAGAGCTAATCAATCAAATCCTTTATCAAAATCTATACTTGGGAATTAACTAATGAAGACATCAAAAAACGTTAAATCCTTGATGAGATTGAGGAATCATTCGAATTTAACAGAAAATTGAGAGAAGGAGAGAAGCGTACGGAAACAGGTATCAAGATAGGATTCTTCGAGTATGGTTCCAAGGCAAATTGGACATGGATCCCGATCGGAACCTTCGTCAATAGAATTGCTCCCGTCGACGATCTCCTTCGCCGCCATAACTCTCGTCGCTCCGTTCTCTCTGCTTATTCACTATAACGACGTCGTGTAACCGAACACCTTTTATATCTTATATGAAAATTGCAATTTCAATCCTTCAACTCTTTTAAAATAAAAATTAAACCCGTAAGTATTCAAACTTCACACATTTAAACTAACTATTTAAACTTTGCAGAATAAAGAGTGACATTGCCTTCAAATTTTCTTGGTTAGCAATATGAGACAAGGCAGATGAAGAAGCACTTCAAACCAATTCTCTCTCAATTGGAGAAATGCAGATCCATGGTGGAACTGAATCAACTCCACTGCTTGATGATCAAATCATCAGTCATCAGAAACGTGATTCCTCTAAGTCGACTCATAGATTTCTGCACTAGTTGTCCCGAGACTATGAATCTGAGCTACGCGAGATCAGTATTCGAGAGTATCGATTGTCCAAGCGTGTATATATGGAACTCTATGATCAGAGGCTACTCAAACAGTCCAAAACCAGATAAAGCATTGATCTTTTACCAAGAGATGCTTCGAAAAGGGTACTCTCCTGACTATTTCACTTTCCCTTTTGTGCTTAAAGCTTGCTCTGGGTTAAGAGATGTTAGATTCGGGAGACGTGTTCATGGATTTGTGGTGAAAACAGGGTTTGAAGTGAACATGTATGTTTCCACTTGCTTGCTTCATATGTACATGTGTTGCGGAGAAGTGAATTGCGGCTTGAGCGTTTTTGAGGGTATTCCAAAGTGGAACATTGTTGCTTGGGGAAGTTTGATTTCTGGGTTTGTGAGTAACAATCGGTTTGGTAACGCGATTGAAGCGTTTAGGGAGATGCAGAGTAATGGTTTGAAGCCGAATGAGACGATAATGGTGGATCTTCTGGTTGCTTGTGGTAGATGTAAAGACATGGAGAGTGGGAAATGGTTTCATGGGCTACTTCAAGAACTTGGCTTTGATCCGTTTTCACAGTCAAAATTTGATTTTAATGTGATCTTGGCTACGAGTTTGATTGATATGTATGGGAAATGCGGAGATCTGAGAACCGCGAGGAAACTGTTCGACGAAATGCCTGAGAGAAGCTTGGTTTCTTGGAACTCAATCATCACAGGGTTTAGTCAGAACGGTGATGCAGAGGAAGCAATGCATATGTTTTTAAAGATGCTTGCTTTGGGTATCTCTCCTGATAAAGTAACGTTTTTGAGTATCATCAGAGCTTCTATGGTTGGAGGATGCTCACAGTTGGGGCAAATGAGTCACGCTTTTGTGACGAAAACCGGGTTTGTGAATGATGCAGCTGTAGTTTGTGCGCTTGTGAATATGTATGCTAAAACTGGTGATGCAGAGAGAGGGAAGAAAGTGTTTGAAGATTTGGAGAAGAAAGATACAATAGCTTGGACGGTTGTGATCATCGGGTTAGCAAGTCACGGGCATGGGAACGAAGCATTGAGTTTGTTCAAGAGAATGAAAGAGGAAGGTAATGCTAGACCTGATGGAATCACATTTCTTGGGGTGTTGTATGCGTGTAGCCACGTGGGTTTGGTGGAGGAAGGACGGAGATACTTTGAGGAAATGAGAGATGTTTACGGCATAGAACCAACAGTTGAACACTATGGGTGTATGGTTGATATATTGAGCCGTGCTGGTTGTTTTGATGAAGCAGAGAGGTTGGTGAAGACGATGCCTGTACAGCCCAATGCTAATGTGTGGGGTGCAATGTTGAATGGCTGTGAGATTCATGAGAATTCCGATTTGGCTGATCGGATAAGATCTGCGGTGAGTGAATCGGAAGAACTCGGTAGCGGGATCTACGTTCTTCTGTCTAATATTTATGCTAAAGCTGGGCGGTGGAGTGATGTGAAGATGGTTAGAGAGTCCATGAACAGCAAAAGGATAGCTAAAGTTTTAGGTCACAGTTCTGTAGGAACAACGACGTTCTAAACTTAAAAATTTTCTATGTAAGAGATCGATAGTAGTTTTAAATTGGTTTTCTGGTTTATAGAAATGAAGAAAGACTGAATCTTTTCCATGAAAACGAAATTCAAAAACGATGTTTTGATGTTTCTTTCTTCAAGCTTCATCATCTGTATGCGTCTGGTAAACTGTAACCAGACGTGACTATCTTGTCAGCGAACATCTTGCCGGTCTTAGGCATGACATGCCAGTGTAATGTCAAGTTGAATTCTTTTCCGCGAAGATTTTGTCCCTGAAAAGATACCAAATGATGATCAGTTTCTGTTTCCTGAAGAAGTAGAAAGAACGCAAAAGACTTTGGTGGGTTTTGTTTATACTGTACCTGATCGATGAAACGGTACTTGTTTGAGACTTGAATCCGGAATTTGGCATGTTCCTTGGCAGGGATTATAGCATCCCATAGAGAAACCTGCAAAAAGAATGTCAGTATCCATTCGTTTTATCATTGCAAGAACAAGTTCCTAGACTTTGATGAAATGGAAAAATTCCAGAGCCTGGCATTGGAAACGAAGTGGATTACAATACCTGATTCAGGGAATTCTTTGGGGTTTCATACTCTGCTGCAACGAAAACGAAAACCTGCAAGCATTTTTGGCTTCTGTTAATGAAAAAAGTCCCAGCTAGGAGCAGTCTACTTTGCAATGGCTTCAAGTGATAAGAGCAAAACACAAAGGACTATCTCAGATGTTAAAACCTGTTTGGTGTTCCAAGTAAATAGTGACTGCAAGTCTGCATTTATGTCCAATGTCAAGCTGACCTGCATGGCGTGTCATATATGTATAAGCTGAAGGATATTCAGAACTAAAACAATCTGAGAATTTTACTCTTATGAACTACTATCATGTATCATCTGTAAGTTATGTTAACTCAAATCCTAAAGCTTTGAGATATATTGATTACTACACTCGGGGAAGAAAGCAAGCAACTTGAGAAATTCATTAAAAAAAATGTATGATGAAGAAAAAGCATGAAAATTTACCTCATCGTTTCCATGAGATTGCTTCTTAAACCGATTGATGTTAAGTATCTGCAACCACAGCACAACCAATATCCATGATTTCAAAATCCATAGAAACAATTTCTGACATTATCACTAAATTCCCCGAATCAAAACACACGAAGATCAATTATCCAGTCACAATTCCAGAATCAACCAAAAAAATAAGGGGTTTAAACAACTTAATCGGTCACAAATCAAGGCGTTAGTACGCAGATCCATCGCATATGCAAACCATACGCGGACGTATCCGTTACCTGGATCTCAACAGAAGGATTTTGATTGCTGAATTTGTCAGAGAAAGACGAGATTGCGCAAACGAAAGCAAGCGCAGTGACGGCGAATGTGAGCAGAGCATTTGCTCTGTAACCAAATGAATGCATCTTCAAGCTCCTTTCCCTTTACGATTACTCCTCAGGGCTTTTCGATCAGCGGAATCTTTTCCCGATCCCGTCTTTGTAGCAAAAATCTGTCTGAGAGGAAGGAGGAGGAGGAAGTTGTAGAAGAAGAAGACGACGAGCGTTTTATTGTATTTTTGTAAGTAGCAATTAGTCTTCGGTTTTACTGATCGTCGCTGTAATGTGATTGGCCAAGACACGTATGATATTCGCTACTATGTCAACCGGATTGAATTTCGGTTTAAGAATACATCGTTTTCGTTTCAGAAACAGCATGCATAATTAGACTTTAACCGATTTGCGGTACAAAATTTGACACAACCTTGAGAAGTTTCCGTATGTGATGAAGTTACTATGGTTGACTCTGTTGACTAATTAAACCGGAATTAGCTTGGTTCCATGCCACTCTTTAGGCCCAATGGGTGAACTAAGCATCGATTGTTGCTTCAAAAGCCCATTTTTGTGAGAAGTTCGCAAAGTTTTGTTTAGACCATTGGAGTGATTTCTCTCATTTCTCCAATCATACGCTAATTTGACCTTTGAAAACGATTAGATACTGTATATTACATCATCACAATAACTAATTCTTAAAGATTGTATCCACACGTTTTTCAACACGTCATCATCAACTCATAAATCTCACGGATTTGGTACTTTACGGGTCAAATTTGATATGGTGTGTTCACAATATTAGTGGCACACACTATACAGGCTGATTACCATAAATGATAATGCTATTATACTATCACCTACTATAGAGGCGGCGACAAAATCATTTTCACACAAAGAAAAACAATGCTAAAATATCTTCCTTTGTAACCATCCTTTTTCCGAAATCGAGATATTATAAACATCATTCCACTAACAAAATTAAAGCACATTTTGTTTCCAATACTCGGCAGATGAAATATAAAAAGACAGCCCAAAAAAAAAACATAAGACTAAGACAAACATGCATGTCCGTTTTCTAACTAACATTACAGAGATCACATAACACTACAACCACCTGGATTCTCATCGCTGAACATATTAGTGTAAGAATCCGAGTGTGGGGGTGGCATAGGCGGCGGATGAGCATAATTCACAGCCGGATGAGGCCGAGCATACATCATCGGATGGTACATGTCACCACCCTGACCACCACCATAGCCTCCTCCATAAGCTGCAGCTTGTTGTGCAGCTGCTTGTTGTTGTTGTTGCTGCTGTTGGTTCATCATCATCATTTGCATATACTGCTGCTGGCTCATTTGATGATTCGCCTGAGGTGGTGGCGGATAGTATCCTCCTCCGCTCATTGGCAAGCCTTGAACCGCCGGGTAGGAGCCGCCTTGCTGTCCCATGGGACCCATTGGACCGCCTTGACCCATCATACCCATAGGAGGACCACCTTGACCCATCATACCACCCATGGGACCTCCTTGACCCATTGGGCCACCCATTCCCTTGGCGCTATGATTACCCTTGTTCCCTCCTCCTCCTCCTCCTTTGCTGTGTTTCATAAGCTCTTCCATATCATGGGCCCCGAAGGCTCCTCCTTTGGACCCACCACCACCCTTTTTAGGCCCATTATCATAATGATGTACTCCTCCACCACCACCGGAGGATTTTACCTTATCACCCCCACCGCCTTCTTTCTTACCAGCTCCCTTCTTCTCATCTCCTTTTCCACTTTTGCCCTTTTTGAAAAACCCTAGAAGGCCACCACCACTTTTGCCATCTGATTTTCCGGTTTTGCCCCCACCTCCTTTATTCTCTTTCCCTTCCTTCTTACCCTTCTCTCCTTTACCTCCTTTCTTCCCCTCTTTTCCCATTTTACCCTCACCCATCCCCTTCATTTGCACCGGAATCTCAAACCCACCACCACCTCCGCCGCCGCCTTTCTTCCCTCCACCTCCTCCTCCGCCGCCGCCACCACCGCCATTTTTCAACCCATTCATCATCATCATGATCTCATTAGGTCCCTTAGGTCCACCACCACCACCATGATGACCCATTTGAGGCATTTTGTTAGGCCTCATCATCTTATTAGGAGGCATGTGATTCCCTCCTCCTCCTCCATGACCATGACCATGTCCTCCTCCCATATCACCATCTTCATCCTCATCATCATCGAACTCATCATCATCATAATCATCCTCACTGAAATCCTCATCATCATAATCATCGTCACTGAACTCATCATCCTCCTCTTCCGCAAACTTGACCGACTTCTTCTGCTCCTTAGATGCCATAGGCGGCATCATCTTCATATCCTTCCCACCACCACCATGAGCAGCTGCAGCTGCAGCTTTCATCATCATCATCTGTTGAATCTGCTGAGGAGTCAACTGCATTGGTTGACCTTGTCCATGACTCTGACCACCACCACCACCACCTCCTTTACCCTTCACCGGGTGGCTCTCTTTTCCACCTTTAGGCTTCCCATTTCCGCTCATGTTGAGATTACCGAATTGCCCATTCAGACTAGGAAACCCCTTTCCTCCTCCTCCGCCGCTGCCACCTCCTCCACCGCCCAAGATCTCGGCGTGTTTACCAGATTTGCTAAGTTTCTTAACGAGAATCGCAGGGTCAACGTTCCCTGTGACAGTGACTCTCCCCTGTTCTACATCTGCTTTTACAGAGTACACGCCTGAAATCCCGCAAAATCAAACCCATGTCAGATCCTCACATAAGAGAGACAAACCCATATGTTAAATCTCAAAACTTTGGACTCCATGGCTAAAATAAGCGACTTTTGTGTCAGAACATTCCAAACAGTTTTATAAAAAATTGATGTAATTTAGGTAAGAACACCAGAATGTAAGTTTCAAAACTTTGGACTTTGTGTTTTGGAAAATTGATAACTGTTTTGATGTGAGAGATGAGAGTATCACACAACAGATGGAATAAAAAAGAGTTTCATAGATTTTAGAACTAATTAATTTTTGAAGAAATTCAATTATTCATAGATGTATGACATATGTGTTTAATTAACACTAGCTTCACCAAATTAACAATTTAACTGAGAATACAAATCCAGAGAAAAAAAAAAAGGATATGTTTGAAGAGAGAGCAAGAACACACCTTCGATTTTCTGTAACTGTTTCTTCACTTTATGCTTACATCCTTCACAGTGTACGTTTACTTTCAGAATACAAGTCTGCAAAAACCAAATCCCAGTAAACAATTAGCTCAATAATATATAACAAGCTTGAAGATTGGGAGAGGGAGAGAGAGAGAGAGAGAGAGAGACAGGAAGCAGAGAAGGAGACGTATACCTGAAGCTTCATAACATCTTGTTTATTCATAATTTCTCTTAGATTTGTGGGTTTTCACAGACAAAACTCTGGTATAAGAGAGAGAGAGATTCTTTCTCCTTTCTGAAGAGGAGAGAAGAGGATAGAAGAAATTGAAGAGGGGTTTTGTGTAATAAAGGCGGTTGTTATTGTTTTTAGGACAGAGAGAGAGAGACACACTAAAAGAACAGTCAAAACTTGTGTTTTGTTTTATCTCTCTGTTTCAGGGTTTCTTATTTCTCTGTCTGTAAAACCTAAGAGAGAGAGAGAGAGAGAGAGAGAGGGCGGTGGCACAAGAAGCAAGGAAATCTTCCATTTTGATTTGCAAATATCTTTTAAAAATCGACATTTTAATATTCATTTCCATATTAATACGGTTTTAAAATTTAAATTTTTAAAGTTTCGTACTTTCTTTTGTTTAATTTCTTTTTTGTACAGACTAGAGAGTTGAGAGAAAGAAGAAGCTTTAAGGCAGCTTCATTCACTTTGGCAGAAACAACAAGTACAGCCTCGCTTCGTCTTTGTACTTACTTAGCTGTATTCATCTTATGGAATACGATTGATTAACCGCCCAATTCGAATATTTAAGGTTCCTTAGTTTAATTACGATAATTAGCTGTATTCAATATTTTCCTAGTTTAAATTTGGTTTTATTCGGAATTTCGTTTATCTAATTATGTGGTTTTAGATGTAAACCAACTCTCATAGGCTCAATAATTTAGGTCTGTCATGTTGTTATCATGTAGTGGTTTTATCTACTGTTCTAAAAATTAGACTATTAATTGCTCGCTGTTCACATTTTGTCAATATGTCTCAATATTCGATTAACGCTAGCAAGTTTAGCCCTTGCAATTTATGGTATTTGTCATAGCATATATTACAGCTACTATTAGACTCCATTATTATGTATGACACTGAAATTAACATGAAAATTTCAAGATCTTAATAATGATTTGAGATCAATGATTTTAATGATCGTTGACGAGGGGGTGTTTAGGATCCAATCGCAAGCAAGAAGTGTCTTTGTCACAAAAATTGACTTGTTAAAAAACAACATCACTTACGCAAACCAATACAAGTGTTGAATATAATTATTAAATAAACGACTCCTATAATGGTAAATTATGCGATCTAGATCTTACGTATATACTACTATACCTCACTCTAAAATGTTTCACATAAACTGATAGGTTTAGTCAACATAACTTGGTTAGCTCAATTAGCTAAAATACTATAATCCGATTCCGTTTACCAGTAGTATCAAACCAAAATCTTTTGTAAAACCCGTTTAAAACTGAACAAAACAGTGGTACACTTGTTTCTATTTTGAATTCTTTTTACAGTTTAAATTTATTTTACTTCATATACATTTATATGTTTCAGTTCACAGTTGGAAAGATGCCTTTGACAGTTTTAGTAATCGTGGATGCATTTAGCAGAAATAACAAAATATACATTTACTTAAATTGTTATCGACATGTATTAAAGAAGAAAAGAGGCAATAATGTTGATGAGTTTTAATGGGTCTTACTCATAAGACAGGTAGGTCGCTTCCACTCTTTGCTGAGGATAGAGTTCGCTTGGGCCAGCTTCCAACCACCTATTAGTCCACACACAAAAAAAAAACAATTATTAATGAAATATTTAATCATCTACTTGAAATATTCTGAGGTTGTAAGTAAGAAATAATATCGACTTAATTGCTAATGCATGTGACGCATGTGAACCACTTCAGTGAGATAGTAATGTTCAAACAAATCCATACTACTTGTGTATATGTACAAGTACAACATGCACAAAAACCTACGATAATGCGTTTGTTATTCTAAATTCCCATCGTGCATCTTTAAATTTCACAATAACTTTGACTGTGTTTAGTTAATAAAATTAAAATAATCCACACACTAAGTGTAGATGGGATACACGTGTAGGTTCGTGCCTTCGTGGTAAGATAATACTAAAAGGGGAAATTCTAGAAAAGAACTAAAGCAACCAATTTAAAGTATATAAGAAAAATTGATTGTCGTGGTTCGAACTTCCAAGTAACTAATGTTTAGATGAAATGGAATTATATATTGTACGGACACAGAATTGCAAACTATAGTTGCACATATAAGTTACAACAGACTCGTATGTCACAGAACCAGGTCGTCGGTCCATGCAATGCAACCTCGGAAGTCAATGTTTTTTCTCCGACCTAATAAGAAGTCAAATTAAAACACAAAAAGCTATAAGAAAAAGAAAATAAAAAATTGAGGTAAAAATATAATTGCCCGATTAAAAACTAAAAAGAGATGTTGAGCAATTATTTTCGGAGGTATTTTAGACCCTTCTTTTTGTAGATAGAATTATTAACTTTCTCTGTTATTTTTCGTCTTATTCATAGTAAGAACATCAACCTCGTGACGAACATTGTTGTCAGTTAAATTTTTCTTGTCAGTTTGGTCATTTTTCCAATTATTTTACATGCTTTCCAATATATATACCATCGGTTTTAATCTGATTGTTTGAATTCAATACTCTTTTTTTTGTTCAAAGAATTCAATACTCTAAAACGAGAAATTTATAATTCGTTAAGCACGATTGTAATGTGGCTAACACCAAAACCAAATTTTAACTTGAGGTTGTTTTTTGCATGTAAGACTCCGTTTAAACAGCGATAATAAAAGTCCCGCTTGCAGTATTTATATTAAAAAATAATATTAAAAATGAAGACAAAAAGATGACACAGATTAGTCCCATAGTTATGTTTATAAAAAGATATGATCAAACTGAAAGTATCATAGCTCTGTCTCTGCAGTTACTGTTTTATACTAGGCTTTGCTTTCCCTTTATCTTTTCCGTAAAAATACCATAAAATTATATTTTTATTTGCTTTTAGTACCACTATATAGTATATACACATTTGACTAATGAATAAAATCGTAGAATTTTTGGACCCATTATAAGATGTGGGGTATTTTTGAAGCACATGCCAATGAGTATCCAAATCAAACTGTTGTTTCATAAACTTTTTTGGCTTTTTGGACGCTGTACCTAGCCTAAGTCCTCATCTACTTACTCAATTCAAAATCCAGTGTAGTAAACCCTACATTTTGAAAGTAATAAATCTACTATTCAGTCTTCATGGTATGTACCACATTCGTAGCCTCTTAGGTTTAGCTTTTATTCTAACAAAGTGTAATCTTGTTGTTATATTTTGTGTTATTTATTTATGATTTGATATTTCTTGTTTATAGTACAAGTAGTCCATTAACAGATTTACTGTGACTGAAATCATAGTTTCGGGGATTTTCATGGCTCAAAACTCATATAAATCGCCTCAAAATAACTCTTTACAAAGATTAAGTTATTCAGAATAGCACAACACCATAATATATCTTAAGTTTATCGCAGACCAATGCTTAGATCTACTCAAACTTGTGGAACAATATGTGAACAGTATCATAGTTACGTTACTGCTAAAACACGAATCCTAGATAGGAAAAAACCTTAAATATAGCAACACACCTCTTTGACAACAAATAAAAATAAAAATCGACATAATTTGATCGAACTACCACTTTTACATAAAAGTAACTTAAAAAAAGAGACCAAATAAAAAAATCTTGCATACTCGAAAATAAATTTAGCAATATATCTTTATTGCTAACAAAAAGCCTCCATACATCAACGAGTCATATTCGTTTATATAGTTGAAAAGAACGTTAAACAGTGTTCTACAAACATGTCACGTTACGAGACAACCCCAATAGAAGAATGCATGTATTAAAGTATGATTTAACATAGTGGTCTAGATTAACCGACGCTAACCAGATACATATTCCTTCTCATAAAAATGGATATTTGCATAACATGATAATATTCTCATGAAAAATAGGGATTTGTAATTTCGTATACTGAGCAGCAAAAACGAACAAACACAAGAGCTAAATGTATCATCACATGTTATTGTTAGGTTTGATTTTTGAAGGCCAAATGACGTATGGGAAGTTACGTGTCAGAATGTGGACGAAGTTTGTTAGTAGTCGAAATCTCAAAACAAAGATATACAAACCAAATTTGTCAACACGTTTGACTTGTTTTACAAGAATTTCGCTCAGAAGTAACAAGTTTCGCAAATGAATCAATTTCCTGACGTGAAACACATGTGTTGAACATTTTCGTCTCGCGTTTATAGATTTTTGTTTCTCTTCCAATGAAAATAGAATCATAAAAATCTTATTGAATTGGTAACAGTTTTTGTTTATAATGCCCTTTTCCATAAATAATATAGAGATCGACATCACATACGAACTACCGATCACTTGTATTGACAAAGACTAAAGATATTTTGATTTTGATGAACCTGAATTTATAATAAATCACGAAAGTGAGAAATTCAACAATCAAAAGTTTTGAAAACCTTTAGTTAAAAAAAAAACAAATCACTAAAAAGCAAGCAAAGCTTTGATTCATACCATGGGTGCTTTATGTCGAAGGTGATGTAAGTCCACACGTTTCTTACACATACATAAACCTGAATGAATTTCATTAGCTTTTGGATTCTATATCGTTATTCCCTTTGGAAGTAACATAACATATGTGTTAAAATTACAAATAAAGTTTTCCACAGATAATACGAAATTTAGCTACTAATACATTTTAAAACGATAAGCTAAAACTAGGGAGATTCAATAAAAGAAGAGGCATTGTAAGGATGTCCACAGCTGGAGTCTTTGGACTTGATATCCAAAATTGGGTCACAAACTTATAAGTACATGAATTATGACATCTCTATGGTATCCATCAATGTGTCTATATATATATATACTATTATTAAAGATAGCTTTGTATTGTTTGGGTTAGGTACAAATGCAATCAACTTTTGAATTTATATGGATGTACATATATGTGCAATAGACTTATATACCCTCACTTGCAAGGACACCTACCCTTGCATACACATAAATGACACACCACACTAAAATATCTATATTTCGAATGACCCTTTCTTGTTGATGATAAGATGGTGATTTTAGTGGTTCTTGTTGTTTTATGTCTTTTCGTTTTTTGATTTTCAACTTTCATAATTTATATTTTATTGAGAAATTTGACGAAAACTTAACCACTTTATGTAGATGATTCATAAACAATATTAAGCGACAAAAATATCGTGCAATGTGTGTATTATATATTATCAACCTAAAAGAGTTAAAGCCATAAAATTGGTTGGCAACGAGCAATAGTATGAAAGTTAGGTGAACACGAAAATATATGTATGGACGTTGAAAGAAACCGTGTTTAAGACACAAAATGCGATTCGCTTCGCTTTTGTGTACGCTTTTAGAACAATGGGGGTTCGAAATTTTTTAACAGGGTGAAATGTATGAGAAAACAAGAGTATAGGAGCAAAATCGAAAATAATGTAAAGAGAGCAAATCCCAAGGATCAAGAAAAGAAAAAGAGAAGTAAGAGGAAGATGCTTTATTGGGTTTGCTAAGAAGACATTGAAGCAGATTGAAACATTTGCTTTCGTCCGAAAAAGAGGGAAGTCAGATTCTAAAAACTGCACATACATTGTTTACATACACACATATTCATGTATATGTACTTCTGTTTACATATTATAATACTTTTTTTAATTTACTACTGATCTCTCTTTTTCCTCCATCATAGACTTTCACTTTTGTTCCCTTCATGTTCCAACATCTTCAGTAACTTGATTTACTTTCATTACAAATATCTTATATATATACTTATATATATATGCACATTCACGTTAAGGTGTTTGTTACCAGCTGATTTGAAAACTTTTTTGTTTTCTTTTCAAACATTGTAGAATTTTAATCTTATCCGATATTGGCATTACCGAACCGATTGGACCGGCAATCTTTTTGGCAGATCAGAACATTTGTTTTACTAATGAGTCCTTTAAATTTTTTAAAAATCAACTTTTTCTTTTTTTTCAGGGTTATTTATTTACCTGTTTACCCAATGTCTCTCATGACCGGTTAACTTACACTTCAAATATTCTCTGCACTTTTCTTTTATCAGTCTTTTGCAACTTTACTTTTTTTGTCGACTGGAATTAAAAACCATTTACACCGAAAGTTTGTTTCAATGTCTAAAAAGAAAAGAGAATAAATGGATAATAATTAGAAGAGTGGTGCACAAAGTTCAAGTGTTTGTGTCTGTGTTCGACAAGACATTAACTAAAGGCATTTCAAACATGTCAACAAAACCACACAATTCTAAAACATCAAATTGCAAAAAGCTGCTGAAACGGTCGAATTGCATTAAACACGCACTCTGTAGCAAACCAAACTAAACTAAACTAAAGAAGCCGAATTCTTGTTTACAAACTGACAAACCAAAACCAAACTAATAAATGTGTATTCTTCGACTACCGTCATGAACAAGCGTCTTAATTCATGAGTACTACTTCCACATCGAAAATGTTAATGATGATCATAAAAGTTCGTAATCAGATCAGACCGGTTTTTAGGCCATCGTACTACTAACCAGTAACCATATCGAACTTCTGACTAGTTCCAAACCATTTTCTTCTTTGTAAAACTATTTAATACAGAGAAGAAATGTTAAACCAAGAAAAGCTGAAAAATATTAGTAACAACAGTTTGAAACTAAATACAGGGCTTCAGTAACTAACACGATCTAAGCTAGAAATAACAACAATAAATCAACAATTACACCCAAAAGAACAAATAAAAATAATTAACCTTATGTTACAATTTTAGGAACATGGTCACAGTTACAGTGGCCAATCATACACAATGAGCAAAACTGTGTTAGTCTTGGTGGGTTTCAGCATCTGACTCTGTTGTTGTTGTTGTATCTTTCTCCTTTTTCTTGCTGAGTTTATCCGAGTATCGAGCAAAAACAGCCGAGAGCGCAGTCTTAACCGTTTTCTCGGGCTCTGTCTTCTTGCGTTTCCTCGAGTCTTCCACAAAATCCCCGTCTTCTGCAACAGGTTCCTCTGAGTTCACATCCTTTTCAATCTCAGTTTCCGGGATCGTTGGCTCTATAACTGACGGGTAGCTTGAAGCTGCACGCTTGAAAGGTTCGTGGAATGTATCGTACAACCGCTTCACCTGAGGTTTTACATTGATACTCAGATCAAAATCCGCTCTTACATCACATGAACTATGGAGCTTTTAGATTATAGACGAAGAAAAGTGTACCTTCCGTTCTCCAATCCCTGGACAACGAGCTAAATCTTCCATGGATGCATCAATTATATGAGCAAGAGACTGCATCAAACATGTTTTGAGTTTTAGTTGAATCATAGAAAACATAAGATACACAATAACGGAAGAAGAAAACAGAAGGTTTATAGCTCAACCCCAAATGTAGAACCAAGTGTGACTACATCGCTCTTGTTCACATGCCGAATGCTTGTAAGAGAATGATTTAGCTGCAAAACAACAATAACACCGTGAAAATCAACAAAAATGACAAAAAAAGGATTATTGATCAAAAGAGTTTCACATACTCGAGAGAGATAATCTGTATCCATTTGGCCTTGGATGAGATCCGCCGGTTTGTTTTCGTATACCTTTATCGTTTCCAAATAACGTGCACATTCCGTCATGCTGCAAGACGGAAACTTTGCATCAACGAGAAGCAGAGTAATTGAAATGTGTATTCACATGAGCTGCAAATGTAGATACCTCCAGGCACACAATAAGGTGCAATCATGGAGAAGAGCTGTTTTCGTAACTTCAAGCAACGGCTTCACCGAATCTTCCTGTGCATAAATCATTAGACATTAAAGAAAAACACCAGACGAAACATGTAAGAATAGCATTTGAGATTTCACTCACAACGTCGACATGGCAAAGAACAACACGGAGCTTGAAATTCTTCTGTAGTTCCCTAATGCGGAAGTAGAGATAATCCGGATGTAGCAGATGATAACGCAGGCTGGAGTAAACCATCATGGCTTAGAATGAGATTAACATTTCTTTGTGAAGTTTTTACACATCATTGGAAAACAAAAGTTGAGAACTTTTTAAACCTTAAATACAAAGCGCAAGTGCTTTGGCCAAGCAAGTAGTCCGGAATGATATCTGAGAAAACCCATTTCACATTCCTTATATGTTTTAAAAGCGGGTTTCCTTTCTGCACCAAAATGTTATTCAGATGAGTTCCAAAGAAAATGGAAACTGAATCATGGAGGTTTAATGAAGCATCCTCACCTGTCTATTGCTAACGAGAATCGCGTTACGAGTTTGAGTTGTGTTTGATGATAAAGAGCCAGTCGCTGCTGCAGGAGTAGAAGAAGAAGATGATGCCACATCGGTTTGAAACGTTTGGCTACGACAAAAACAAAGCAACATACACCAAAAACTCATGAAAATTTGAAGTTTGCAAGAAACAATGCATTGCAATCATCAAAATAAGCAATGAAACATTAAAGTTTCGACATTTCAACCGCAGTCTCAAGCTACAGAGACTACAAGTCTACTCTTCGTTCTTTCTTCAGGAAATATAAACAATCTATTACTCTTTGAATCAATTCAAATTTTATCTTCGTACAGAAGAATGATAAATTCCGCACAAATTTTCGAACTTTTGACACTAATTTAATCAAATTGATCTAAATTTTGGAAAACCAAGAGAATTATGTGTTTAATTCGAAGCGTATAACACCTTGTACTGGGCACCTGAGAAGCGCCCGGCGGATGCAGCGAGGAGGCGGAGGATGGAGGAGGAGGAGGAGAGTAGACGTCGGAAGATTTGACGAAAGCGAAAGCCTGAGAGAAACTCTGGGAAGGCTTGAAGAGAGAGGGAGGCGTAGACTTTGCCTGTGAGCTTTCGAAGACTTCCTGGTACGATGGCACACCAATTACTATCGGGGTTTTGGGTTTGTTAGCAATCTGCGGGTGGAGCCGTCGGGAATTCTCTCCGTCGTCGTCTTCGTTCGCCATGATGATCGGGAATCTCCGGAGGTTTTTTTTGTTTCTCGCTTTCAACTTCCGATGAAGAACATAGGTTTTTGGGCTTCATTGTACAAAGCCCAAACCCATTATTGAAGCGCACGTGGAAGATAATTTGTTTTGGGAATTTCTCAAAACTACCACAAAAATGATTTTATTTTTTCCAACAATACCATAAAAGTAAATCTTCTAAACATACCACAAATATGAGTTTGTGTTCCAAAATTACCACAAGTATTAAAGTACTTTGAATTTCAAATCAGAAATTGTTATACTGAAAACAACCGCACATATAGTTTGAAATTTAAAGTTGAACTTGCGCAAGTAGTGGATTTTAGTCAATGACTCAACGTTTACTATTGAAGTCGTGTTAATATAGTCGCAATTTCAATATCTACTTATCAGCCAAAAAACATGATAGTGATCTATAATAGTACAATAGAACTTCCTAGATTCTGCTTGGTCACTGGCACACAAGTACACAACTATTTGCGTGTTAGAATATTAGCCAATAAGTCGATTATGATTAGATGTGCGTTAATTTGAGCAAAAATATTTATGGTTAGATAAGTCCATTGTATTGTTCTGACTCGATGTTTTTCGTGCACTCGCTGCAACTTATATTGATTGATGACCAAAACAAACATGGAAATAAAGTGTTAAGTCTCCTTGGCATTCAACATAAAACCAATTGACAATAGGTGGAGTGGCCTCAGTTCCTTATATAGTGTTTAAGGTCCTTTCCCACTTCAGATGTGGGACTTTATTTGCACACTCTCTAGAGATTAAGGCCTTTCTGGCCCATTAACATCTACAATATCCCAATACCCTCCCTCGAGATAATGGCTATTCTAGCCATTAATCTCGCAGACCATCAGTTGGCGGGTCGGGCCCTTTCTGGGCCGGGTCATGAGAGTGTGCGGATCTTAGCTCTGATACCATGTTAAGTTTCCTTGGCATCCAACCTAAAACCAATTGGCAATAGGTGGAGTGGCCTCAGTCTCTTATATATTGTTCTAGGTCCCTCCCATTTTTCAATGTGGGACTTTATCTTGCACACTCTCTAGAGATTAAGGCCTCATGGCCCATTAACCTCTATAATATCCCAATACCCTCCCTCGAGATAATGGCCCTTCTAGCCATTAATCTCGCAGACCATCAATCCTAGAGTCGGGAGGTCGGGCCCTTTCTGGACCGAGTCGTGAGAGTGTGCGGATCAAAGCTCTGATACCAAATAAAGTTGTTTAAGACTAAACAAATAACTCTTTAAAGAAGAACTCAAATAATAACTCTTTTTATTATGCTTAGAAAATAGCTCAAAACTAAACACTTTTCTTCTTAATGATTATCACATCTTGATAATCATTTATATAAGCAAGTACAACTTTGCTTTGCCTTTTACATAATGGAAAACTACTCTTTTCCTATTATGACACTAATGTATAATTTCTTTTTAGCCTATCATAACCACAACCGACTTGTTGATGGTGTCTTGGACTTTAATCTCTTGAAGCTTATCCAACATACAGTAACAAAGCAATACAAAAACATCTAGTCCGTCTTGGCGTCGTGGTATCAATTTTTAGTTCAAGAGCATAAATTTAATATATAAGTCTTGTTTGATTTCAATCATATCATTGTGTTCTCACATGTATTTGTTCCTCGTGAAGCGTTTGTATGACCTTAACAACCACAGAACCACTAAAGTTTACATGAACTTTAGTGAGAGAAAGCAAAACGTTTTAGAAAGAGAAACCGAGAGATGGTGGATGAACTTACTTGGTTTGGAACCTTAATTTAACTCTCTTTAACAAATTCGGTCGTGATGTGAGTGCAAACATTATTTCTGTTTGTCGTAAATTAGATAGTTAGTAGATAGACATAATTTGGGTTCTAATGTACGAACATTTTGCGCATAGATTACATACATGTGATGCATAGATTACATGCATGTGAAACATGGCATTATACATTAACTAATGATGTCCTTCTGGATGAATATTGACTAATGATTATTCATTCATAGGCGATGTGATCCGTGATCAGAAGACCTAGTGGCGGTCAATAATGATCTCCTATAACAAGAAATTATATATGATATACTGTATGATTTCTTCTGGAATGAACAATAATTACAAATCGTACTAACATAAATATTTAGCTACCAACGTTTACGGTGATTCTCGCTAGTTCAAAGCAGTAGTCGGTGTTCTGATGCACATGTATAGTATTGTACTCTCGTTGTATAAATCTATGAAAGACACTCTGGTTTAAACAAAGCAAATCGTGATTATCTGTAAATAAAGAACTTGGTCCGTATGTACTTCAGTATTATTATATTTTATGTACAAGAAAACCAGAGGAGAGCTATATTCTACTCAAAGCAACATTAAAAGAAAACCTATAATCTATTCGCATATATTCGTTGTCGACGAATAAACAACCTTTCTATATTTGAAGAACCCAGGAACCAACATGCACCACACCGCATCTCAAAACTGTGAGTTGTTTATTGTTTTCTTCTTCTCTTTTAGACTTTTAATACATTATTTTCCGAAAAAGTAAATTCTTTTCCGGATTTGACTTTGATTTATATGTACGTTACGATACAAAAATAAATTATTGCGTGTTCATGAACAATCCCAAACAAAACAAAAATGGAAAATATGTGAAAAGAAAAAAGTATTTACGGCTGAAAAACAAGAGTCAACTAAACTGGTAATCTCACCGAACCACTAGTTGAGCCACCTGTACCGGTCGATTTAACCGAAGTTCCTTCGCCGTCTTTATTGACTCCTCCTCTTGCCACATGCACCGAAGAGCTCCTCCACAAAAACGACGCGTTTCTTAGGAAAGCCCAACGGTCTACACGTACCGAATCACCGGTTGAACTCGGTACAGTACTGGCTCGAACGCTACCGGTAGCACCTAGCCTAATCGAACCATCATCTCGACTCCTCCACAGAAACGACGGCGTCTTACGGAACAACCACCGATCAGACCGAGCTCTTGACCGATCAATCGACTTACCTCTCCTTGAACTCCCTCCTCTAGGAAGAACCAGAAGACTATTCGACCGGTTTAGTTTCCAATTCGCCATTATCCTCTTCCTCACATCTTCCGGTAACCGGAGAGTAAACCGCTCGGTACATTCCCCCGGTTGAACCACAGAATGTCCCGTCGTATGCGATCTCGAGAATTTGACTCGTTTAAGATCCACCGGTACTCCAGGTAATCTCCTCGAATCGATCTCCGTCGTACTCAATAGCTCCGGTACCGGAGCAGCAACCACCGGTTCGGGATTCACAACCACCTGCTGCAACTCAAGATCTGGTTCGGTACCTCTCGGTTCGATCGACTCTCCTTCCGCAACCTGCTCGGCGAGATTCGCTCTGCAAACGGGGCAAGTCACGTGAGCCTCGAGCCATGCGCCGATGCAGTGAGGATGAAACACGTGATCGCATTTGGGCAGCAAACGCAGCGTTTCGTCATCTTCGAACTCGTTCAGGCAAATCGCGCACTCCAATTCCCCTTTCCCGAGCTTCTGCGTCTTCACCTCCGAGTACACGAACGTCGGGAAAGTCTCAACGACCGATGCGTCGAGACCACGCGCCGCGGCGTTGACGGTTCCTCTTGATCTAGCTCCGCCAGCTGGCGAAACGCCGGGGTCGGGTACGCCGGAGCAGTGGCGGAAGTAGATGGAGAAGAAGCCCATGAAGAGGAGAGCAGCGATTAGGATCACAACGATCACCGCCATGGCCGGGCTTAATTTTCCGTAGTTGTATACGTTAGTTCTCGGATCGGGCTGTGCTTGACCCGCCGCTAGCTCCGCCGCGGATAGGATAAGCAAGAAAACTATCGGCAAAACGCCGGGAAGAGCCGTATGCGGCCTTGCATGATTGGATCTTCTCATGATTCTTCAAAACCCCTGCCAAGTTTTTTTTTTGGGTTGGTTTGTGATTGTGTGTGTGTTTTTTGTTTCTCTTTAGAGAAAGAAGAAAGTGAGTTTATAGCGTAAAAAATGAGATTTGAAGGACCGAAGAAGGGATGGTTTGCAGTGACGTCAGCAATTGGGTCAGTCCTCAGTTCCACGTGGCAAGAGGAAGACTTCCTCTGATCAACGAACATGATTTTTCCTTTTTAGTTTTAGTTTTGGTTAAGCTATGACAAATATTTGAAAATAATTAGGAATACAAAAATATCATTAGCATTTCGGACAGCTTTTGTATTCGTGTTTTCTTTCTGCATCGTTTTCAGTTTTTTTTGGTTGGATCTCACTGAGTCACCGGAAAGACTTTTAGTTTGGGGCCAAAGTTCAGAACTATATTATCCACAATAAACAACGAACATACATAAATTGATGGCAACAAATAAAATCAAATAAAGTAGTGAATGTTTTTATAAATAATATTCGGTTCCCATTAAACAAACAAACGTTGGACTTGGACCCCCTCTGAGTTGTCTGTTAAACGAAGATAACTGCCGGCGGCGGCGGCAAAACGCAGTCAAACTTCTATCGCATACATTACCTATACACAAAAACAATACAAGTAATCTTTTGTAAGTGTCCATAGGTTCATAAATTCGTATGAAATAGTTTTACAGGAAAATGGTGTTTACTAAATTTCGCCTTTCAGGCATTTTCCGACCATGATTATTCTATTTTTTAACCAGAAAGGATAAAATAAGTTGATATACACCATCTTTTTCACCATTATATATGTCGCAGTAGACCCTCTATGAAAACTTTGATGATTTTACTTTGATCAAAACTTTTCAAATATCATTTAACTGAAACGTTTGAAATAAGAAAAATGTAGTTTTCACTTTTCACGAGAATGATGAACTTCTAAAAGTTCAAAAAATAAAATGGCAAAGATCTAATCGTCTCCATTGGTCTCTTGTTCGCTTTCCTCGCGCGACCCCTACTTTTTCTTTTTCGTCTTTTTAATACTTTAGATTGTGATTGCAAATTGCAATTAAACAATTGCTCTCCTTTTCTTTTCAGTAATAAAAATTTTGATTTTCCACCAAATAAAGATATGAAACGATACTTTTTTTTTTTGGTAAGTATAAAACGATACTTCTGACGTTGGGTCAACCAAGAAATGCTGACTTTGATTTAAAATAAAATTATATCTGATTGTGTCTCCGACAGTGACTTTCAAGAAGTAAAAACAGCACACGTTTCTTACCACACCACTCGAGAAGCTTTACTTCCCACTGTTTTCCATCGCAGCGCATAAACTATTTGCCGTTTTATCGTACCATGACGAAAAACAGGATGATATTACTGCAGGAAGACTACATACGATCTTGATATCCCCTGAAAAGAAAGAGAGAAAGCTTTTTTCCCTTAAAATCAGTTGAATAATGTGAAAGTTGAATGCTTTCTTTTCTTGGTTTGAATAAGTTAGCCTTCCCTCGTTTTTAAAACTCCTAAAGAAACGGTATAAAGCCCAACTGAATTCATGTGAAAGTTTTCAATGCTTTTTTCCTTTTTAATCTACTATTGCATTTCATAAGCCATTAGCAAATCATAGCCAAAAATAAAAGTTCCACGTACTAGCTAGTAGCTACTCTCATAAAAATGAATATCTCAGCACTTAATTTGGTTACCTCTTGTTTTGTATTTTCAGGGTTCTTGGTATGTAGGTATTGGCACACCTGAATCCTCCGTGAGTTTCTTGTAAGCATTTTGTAGCGTTCTTGTTATCGGTCCAACTTTTCCGTCACCAATCACACGCCCATCGATTTTCACTACCTGTGTAGAAAAAGAAGAAGAGATTGTTCATAAATATTATTATTTTTTTAATCAAGAACTACTAAGTTTGTATGGCAAGTTACTGTTTTCAGTTAGTGAATGCCATAGAACGATTGAGAATGTTTTATCCGTAAAAATACTAGAAACTGTACATACCGGGCTTAGTTCTCCCATAGTTCCTGTTGTCCATACCTGAATTGAAAGAACAAAAAAAACATTTGCTAAAGAAAGAGAGGCAAATATAACTCGATTTAACGATATATAAACAGATTTAACTGAAAAACCTCATCAGCTGTATGGAATTCAGAGAGACTAATTCTTCGTTCTTCTAAGATGAAGTTCTCTTTCACCACAAGTTCCATGACCTTGAAAGAGAAATGAAACGGTTTATATCAATTACTTAAATGTTTTGTTTTTCAGCAAAAGAATTTGAGTTTCTCATTCTTACAGAAGCTCTGGTTATGCCAGGGAGACAGTAGTCTGCATGAGGAGTAAGAACACGGCCTCTCTTCACCATGAACTGTAACATATCTTAACAGCATGAGCTCATCTACTCTCTTAAAAATCTATACAAAAAGAAAGGCTTACGTACAATGTTGGTTGCATTGGTTTCAGAAACATAACCGTCCTTGTCAAGCATAATGGCGTCCGCGGCATTTCCATTGTTACTTTCAATCTGGTTTCTCCATTACAAAGATAATCAATCTCACAGCAAAAAAAAGTTGCCAGTTCTTGAAATTTTCTTGTTTTGGAAGACGGTACCTTTGCTAGTATGTTATTGAGAAGGTTGTTGTGATGAATCTTGGAATCCAAATTCTGACAAATCAAAAGGATATATTTTTTTTCAGAAATGACTTTTTAAAGTACTAGGATGAATTGAAAATGTGGAGCCAAGTTCATACATTAGGCGAATTGCGGCGTGTGGTTGCAGTCACCAGCACAATGCCACCATCATTGTCATAAACCGGAGGTTTCCATTCGGCAAGCACTGCATCATTTAAAGAAAGAACATAAAACTTTCATGTAAATTAGACTCAAAAGTGATTGTTAGGGATAAAGCTGAAAAGGTTACCAATAAGAGTACATCCATATCGATTAAACGCAGGGCTCATTCCTGAAGTTACCTTTACAAGTTGCATAGTTTCTTTAGACTTAAATAACCGAAATGATAACAGAAGTTGGAAGAAACTTGTAAGAGAATGTAATACCTTTTTGCCTCGAGTTAGAGACAACCTGATATGTGTATTGTCAAACATACCATTTGTTATGAGAGTTCTGAATATTGCTTCTTTTATCTGCATGTTTTTTTTTACCACAAATATAAAACTCTCGTGGTAACTTCGTTTTCACGGAACAAAATTTGGAACAACGATCATCAGATCAGATGCATGCTTACCTCTTCACGTGGTGGAACATTTTCAAAAGCCAGAGCCTTTGCTGAATCAAACATCCTAATCCATCATTTTAAAACAAGATTTCTTTAGAAAACTCTGTTTCTTGCTTCTTAGCTTAGGGATTTGACTGTTCTTACCGATCAAGATGTTCTTCAAGCTTGAATACCTTCCCCTTGTAAATCCGAAGCCCTTCCCATACCGAGTCACCGCCTTGTACAACCGAGTCAAATACAGAAACCTTAACAAGAAGAATAAGAGGAAGAAACAGAATCAGTGCTCTTAATGCAAATCACAAACACTTATTTGTTCCACATTTTTCACGCACCTTTGCCATCTCACGAGGCAAGATCTCATCACCGACCCACGCAAGAAGCTTAGCGTTTTCAGGAACCGGTAGGCTCGGAGGAGGTAAAGGACTGCTCAAGAGTGAGGACTTGTGCTTCACATGGCTCCTAAGAATGTTGTAAAGCGGTAGACTTTGCTCCAGCAACTCGTAATGCGACATAGGAAACGTCTGAAAAGAAACACATCTTAGATTGAATCAAGAATCATTCACCTCAAAAAGAGAGAAAAAGTTCCTTACCTTAGGATATTTCTTTGGAGAAGAGAAACCAGTAGATTCATGCACACTCTTGTACCACCATGGAGCCCAAACTCCATCTTCTGGTATAGGACCAGCTTCCCATCTTCAAGAAAACATAACAAACTATGAATGTTTTGATATCTATCAAATTTTTTAGAGAATGATAGGAGAGGAGAGAGAGAGCCTTACTTAAGCATAGAGGCTTGAAAAGGAATCTCCAAATCATCACAAAGACCTCGTAGTGTAGTCTGTGAAATTATATGAATGACACATAAATTGTAAGTACATATGGCATCTTTGTGACATTTTGTTCAACATATTACAGAAACAGAACCTCAGGATCTCGCTGAAGCTCATCTGCATCAATGACTGCTGGTTGTATTCCCATCTGACAGAGATCACTGTATATCGACACTAATTCCCCCAAGCCTAGTTCGAGAAACGATGGAGGGTGTACCTTCTCAAACGAAGGCTGCAAGAAAAAAAAAGGATCAACTTTAGATGAAAACATTGGCTAAAGCTTATAAGAAACAGAGTTTTTGTGAGTCAGCTTCATTTACCAGTATGTTAAGAGGATTGCGTATCAATATGAAATGCTTTCCCTTACTCATAAGTTCACTTGGCAAACCAAATAGCCGTTCTTTCGAGATATGCTGTTTACAGAAGAGAGAAAAAACAGAACAACATTAGAGAAAGAGACAAGAAATTAATAAAGTCTGATTGCATGATTCTTGAAGAATCAGATTCTCACCTTACAGTATCGGTACTTCTTGGATCCTGATCCATATATGATATCTTTCACAACCTTATCTCCATTGCACTCCTATTATATAAGAAAAAACAAAGGAGACTTACTAAGTTTGTTTCCTCATAACCAATATAGCTCAAATCCTAATCGGTTACTGTATTGACTATATATATAGACAAGGTACCATCTTGGTGAGGACATGGTCTCTGTATGGCCGATCAACACCAGTAGCTTTTAGAAACGTAGCATACAACGGTTCATCAACAACTTGAGTGTCGTCTCTCTGAAAAACATGGACACAAACATCAGTTACAAAAGACCACAGGTTTTTATAGGGGTCTCAAGTTTTCAAAACTTTCAGAATTATACATAGCAAACGTTGTTATGGATTCAAGAATCAACCAAGAAATAATTATTCCTTTCTACAATTTAACAGAGATTTGTTTCTTCCACCACAAAAGAGAAGTTGAAAACAAAAATTTGAGCTTTCAATAATCAGAAGAAAAAAAAAGCCAAACTTTTTCTACAAAACTCCATCCACAAGATCCAAATCGAGCAATACTTTTTTATGGATGCAAAAAATTTCATAGTCTTTAGAGCTAACATTCGTACGAAATTTTATCTTGCATCATATTACTGGAAAATTTCACAAAGAATACAGAACACAAGTTTGGTAGTTTACCTGGGAAAAGGAATACATAAGGCTGGTGCTGAGAGATCTTGGGGCAGACCATGAGTGAATCACCTTAGGTTTTGCCATTGATTGACGACCGTGATCAAACTCAACTCTGGTCTCTGTGATCACTTTTGTTCTCACCTCTTAGTAAAAGTGTGCTGAGTGTTGTGGAATCTTTTTCATTTTTTTAGTATAAAAGTGTTGTGGAATTTGTAAAGTGTTAAGTGTGACGATATCATGAGACCACACCCCCCAAAAAGATAATAAAGGACAAGAATTTGGACAGCAAAGTTGCACGGATATCAATTCTTTGTTTGTTCGGAAGTTAGTAAAAGATTCCACTTTGTGTTGCCAATATTTTATTCCTGAAAATTCAATGTAACAAAAATATAAGAGATTGCCTGAGTGTGTATGTGTTTTTGAAGGGTTAGAACTTATAAGCGATGAACAATCCGTATGAAGGAGGAACGAAAGAGAGCGTGATGATCCTGCTTGACCCATTAAAAAAGTTCTCCGATCGCTCGAGCGTGATCTTCACACTCTCTTAAGAAGTGATAGTATTTTAATTTTTAAAGTATTTTTGTAAACTTAGGTATTATCTACAATAAAAAGGTCTAGTTCATGAGGTTATAAAACTTTAGTCTTTCACGTTACTCTTGCGTGATGGTAATAAATGAAATAGTTTCGATGATGAAAAAAAAAACAAATGAAATAGTTCTTCTGTAAAATCCAGTGCAATCATAAAGCTTTAGATCCAAGCCATAGTGTTGCAGACTCATATTTTGCATCATGAACTTTATCATCAGAGAATAAAAAATCATTAAAAGTAGAAAAAGTATGGACCACATTTTCTAATTATATTGTTAGTCCATCACTATCAAAATAATGACGTTAATCAGAGCAGTACTCAACAAATTCAGTGAGTTATATCAACTAACAATTAACATTCCCATGTACCATATTCAACGAACTGGAGTTGTATTGACATTGGATTATATACTGAAGTATAGGGAAATTACCAGACCAACTCATCAACAGTTCTAGGACCATTATTAGTTCCAAAATATTGAGTTTTATCTTGAGATATCATGAAACCGATAACAAAGTCGTCTCCAAGTCTAAACCACACATAGTGAGATTGATGTGAATTCCATAAAACAACAAAAAAGAGTGTCACGAGAGGATAACAATTATTTTGTTTCTTTCCGTATTTCCAAGCAAACTCCATTCTACTTTCGTGTATACTGATCAGTACACAACCACGTGTAAATATATATACATATTTATATATGCATGCGTACTGATATAAGTATATGTTAATATGTGTGTGTATTTTATGAATGAAAGCCAAATAGTAATACACTAATACATTAAGCTATGGAAAAACTTTTTCACACTCTTCTCACATTGTTACTATTCGCAATTCATACTCTGCCGCCTCTCGCCGGTTCTTTTCCGATTTCTCCAAATTTTCCGGCAGTTTTCAACTTCGGAGACTCTAACTCCGACACCGGAGAACTCACCTCCGGTCTTGGATTCCGCCTCCGACCTCCAAATGGACAAACCTACGTCTTCAAACCTCCATCTTCCGGAAGATTCTGTAATGGACGTCTCATCGTCGATTTCCTAAGTAATTCTTCTTTTCCTTGTCATTTTTTCATGATTTTTTTGTTTGTACTAACAGTTTTACTGAAAATGTGATGATCACGCACACGATTGTATATAATTCTACAGATTTTACTACGGAAGAATTGTCATGGTAAAATTTTACTTTTTTACTGAAAGCGTTGCATGCACCGATGCACGCCACGACAACATTTTACTGAAAGCGTTTCTCCAACGTTCTAAACGTTGGAGGTTTTTTTATTTGTGTGGTAGATTAAACCTAAGATGATTTGATTGATTTTAAATTAATTATGATGTTCCTTGTCCAATGCAAAGTCTATTTTGTTGCAAACGTAATTAATAGGGAAGTGATAAGTTTCTAAAATTGGTTGTTTTTTCGGGTAGTGGAAGCAATTGGTCGGCCCTATTTGAGGCCTTATTTGGATTCGATAAGCCCACAAAGTTACCGGAGAGGCTGCAATTTTGCGGCGGCAGGGTCAACGATTCAGAAGGCAAATGCTGCATCCATTAGCCCCTTTGGTTTTGGTGTTCAAGTCTCTCAATTCATCACTTTTAAATACAAAGTCCTTCAACTGATACAACAAGGTAATTCAATAATCATATTCATCAAACATTGTAGACTTATCTGAATCATTTAGTAAATGAACCAATCCATTTGTTGTCCGGATTTGTTTTGCTTTTCAGATGAAGAGTTCGAAAGATACTTACCGTCCGAATACTATTTCAAAAATGGACTGTACATGTTTGATATCGGACAAAATGATCTTGCCGGAGCATTTTACAACAAGAACTTAGATCAAGTTCTTGCTCTGATTCCTACAATCTTAGATATATTTCAAGATGGAATAAAGGTCAGTAGTCACATGAGTCATAAAATATAATTATAAGTTAACAATCTAAGGTGGTTAGTTATGAAATGTTCTTTTTTTTTCTAGAGATTATATGCAGAAGGGGCAAGAAACTTTTGGATACACAACACAGGACCACTTGGGTGTTTAGCTCAGGTTGTGTCATTATTTGGGAGAGACAAATCAAAACTCGATGAGTTTGGTTGTGTCAGTGACCATAACCAAGCTGCTAAGCTCTTCAATTTTCAGCTTCGTGATCTTTTCAGAAAACTCCCTGAACAATATCCTGATTCCCGTCTCACATACGTTGATATCTTCTCCATCAAATCAGACCTCATCATTAATCATTCCAGTTACGGTACGCATTTAACTAAAAGTCCACTCTTCTGATTAGAAAATATCTATTTATAAACTTTATTTTTGTTGGTATGATATCACAGGTTTTGATCATTCGATAATGGTATGTTGTGGAACCGGAGGACCGCCATTGAACTATAACAATCAGGTTAGTTGCGGTTCGACAGGGAAAGCAAATGGTACGACAATAATAGCCAAAGCTTGTAGTGATAGTTCCAAATATGTTAGCTGGGATGGAATTCATTACACAGAAGCTGCAAATTGGTTTGTTGCACGACACATTCTCACCGGCAAATATTCTGAGACGGCATCGTTTTGGAATCCTTAGAAATGCCTCCAAAAACAGTGTTTATGGAGAGAACTAAATGAATCACAAGTTAATTTTTTAAACTAGTTATCTAAACATATTGTTGGATGTTAACTAATATTTAGGAGTACTTGGGATTGTTTCCATGAATTCAACGTTTAATTATGTCTCTCTTGCTCTCATTTTCCTATTAATCCAACTTTTTTACCTTTCTTGCTGTTTTTCACCTTTTGCTCATGATCAAGTATAAGTGTGAAACAGAGAATTCTGTAACTTTCCTTCACAAAGATAAATGCTTTGACTCAAAAAGGTTTCCGTGTAATGTTTCTGTGTTATAAGCATGATGTGTATCTATAGACCACACACAGGTTTGTACAACACTTTTTCCACAAACCAAAAGCTACAAAAACTAACAACACCAGAAAGCTTTCATCAGTAAATGGTAAAATTTTCAAAAAAAAAAAAATCAAACTTTCTGAATCCTCTAGTTAAATGTTTCTTCTTTCACATGTAAAATCAGCTGTTTCCATTGCACAACTCTTCCTCATTGTTATCTTCTGTATTCGTTAGCAGATTTACTTCTTTATCCTCTTCATCATCTTCTTCTTCTTCTTCTTGAATGGCCTCAGTCTCGCATTCTTTATCCGAATCAGCCATATGATCAAAGAAATCACCAAAGTACCACTTACAATCGTCTTTCCACTCGCCTTTATGCGAGTTAACACGCCATTTCTGATCTGCAATCATCTCCGGTGACAATCCCCAGCTCTCCAACTCTTCGTCTGTGTGATGAACCGCCAAGCTGTAATCACCGCCTTGCCCTAACTCCATAACTCTGATCTCGCTGTTCCCTGGATTGTTTAGTGCCTCAAACTGTTCCACAGTCCACTTGAACCATTTCATCAGAAACACACGCGATGTTAAGCCGTGTGAGACTATCACAAAGTTTAGCTCATGAGACGGGTTTATGTGCAGTCTGTTCATGTCTATGTCTCTCCACAGAGACTCGAGAAAACCTGTAAAGCACCACACAGAAGACCAAATCATGAGAAGAACACAAATAAAAGAGGAGACAAAACGACAACAATGTTAACAGTCACATGCCAGGGGCAAGCTAGATTCTTGCTTCCATTTTCGTCAAACTTTCAAAAGAGATTTGATGAAAACGAAATCTAATGCTGACTTTGGTGTATACAAATCTCTCTTTTTTCTTTCTCAAGACCACAACTTGTCAAACGCAAAACGAATTTCAGACCCCATTTCAATGATAAGAGACTTCATCACAGTAAAGTATCAAAGTCAAAACTGTGATGAGAACCTGAAATCAAGCATTACTAGCAACAAACTCACTCTTCTTAAGATCAGAAATCAATCTCATCCTCCAAACAGATTGATTTAGTTACTCACGATTCTGCCATTTTCATAGGCCATGATCAGATTAATCCTCTCAGATCAGTCATCATGAGAATTTCTTGTAACACTAGCATGATCACATCAATTCAATTATACATAGAAATGGTAAAAGGAGAAGAATTTCGATAAATCAGGGAAGCGAAACATACTGGAGACGCGATCGAAGACGTCGGCGGCGGATTCTCCCTCCGGGAAGCGGTAGAAAAAACGGCCAAATCGCTCTCTGACCTTTTTCGTCGCTCTCATTCGCTCTTTAACCTGGAAATTCCCAAAATCCTGTTCCCTAATTCGACATTCCTCGCGAACGCCAATCACGCGGCGACGCGAGAAGGACCGTCCGATCTCCCGGAGCGTAGATCGCGTCCGATCGTACGGGGAAACGTAGAAGTAGACGCGCCACTCTGGCGAAGACGAATTGGAAGAGATCAACGCGTGGAGACGAGCTCCGGCTTCCTGCGCCTGAAGCAAACCGGATTCGGTTAACTGGATCTTGTGATCCGGCGTCGTTGTGTACGCCGCCGTGTCGAGATTCCCTTCCGATTCTCCGTGCCGTACAAGGATGATCCGCTTCGGAAGCAGTTTGTTCTCCGGACTCATGGATATGACGAAACGGAGAAACTTTTCTAGGGATTTTTTTCTTTCCCGGAATCTGAGAAATGCGAAATTGGTGTTGAAATTCGGATCAAATAGCAATGTGAGTATCCGATTTCACGTTGATCCGTTCTTCTTCCAAATTCTGCAGTCGTTCTATGAATCTACCAAAATTTTGTTTCTTCGAAGACTTGGTTTGCATTACCTTCTTGCTCAAGCTTAGCACAAACGAAGTTTCGATTTCTTAACGTAAATTAATCAAAATTATTAACAACTAATATTGTTAATTAAGTAAAATTGTACGTATTAACAACTAATAATTTTTTTTGTCACGATTAATAAAGTTTAACAACTAACATGACGGATGTCAAAAAAAAAAAACAACTAACATGACGAATTCAATATAAAAAAGTGAAAAACATATGATAATGTTTAAATAATACTAAAATAGTATCCACTGATCTTGTCCATTCCACGAGAGAACTATATTCATATATTTCTCAACTTATCTAAATAAGGGATTAAAGTTCAATCTGGAAAGTTTCAACGTGGCTTACCACTATCTGATTAAAGTAACTGATAATTTTATTATTTGCAGCACAATATGTAGGTACATTAACATATAATATGATATAAAGTATGGGTCATCTTTCAAAATAGACCAAGAGGAATTCAGTATTCTTTCAAAAGTGAAAAAGAAAACAAAAAAATCATGCTATTTTAATAAAGAAAAGTAGTATGCTAGCTATCGGCTTTAGAATGGTAGTATTTCATCAACAAAAATCCATAACAGAACAAACTTAGAAAATAATGATTTCCTAATTAGCTAATCCCAAATTCTTTTATAAAATGTAAGGTAAGTAATAGTTTAGGAAAACCCGCTGGGCTTTATCTAATATTAAAGCCCATTTAAATGCAACCTCAATTGATTGCACGCTCGTCAGCTAAGATGCTTTCTAGCTAGAAGGTCACAATATTCCAAGCATATATTTGGAGAAATGTTATATACAGAAAATATGCTAAAATTGTTTATATAAAAAATATGCTAAAAATGTTCAGGCATACATGAAAAAGACAGTAGGCCAAATGAAAATGACTCTCTCGATAGAATTTTATCCGGTATTCTAAGGAATCAACGGATCTCTAGTTCTATCCCTAGAAGCTTCCGCTACGTCAGAAAAAGATCCGATACATTGATTGACAATATGATCGACAGTATGATCATACTTAAAAGTTGTAAAATATAGAAAATAATCGCTTTATATTTGAGATCATCAACTAAAAGTGTTATCACGTGGAAGTTGAATTTCTTCTAAAGTCCTCGAGTCTCCGGCACCAAACACCATGCGAATACAATTGCTATTCCACTTATCACAGCGAATATACTAAAAGTCCCTGCAATTAAAATATACATTAATTTTCATATATTATATCAGTATTAAGACCCAAAAACATTTCTAATTAAGGAACTAGAGAGTCAAATAGATGAGTCCCCATCACATCTCATCTCCGAGGCCAAGAATGGCCAAGATTGAAGATGTTTTCCTCTAAGATTAGGAGTATAGTAGTATCAACGTACCGGTCTGGCTCCAAATAAGCATAAAATTGAAACAGTAGCTGACGATCCAACCAGTAAACCAATTCGTTATGGTTACTAAACTCCCAGCTACTACTTTCATGTCCATCGGAAATATCTACAAAAGAAAAAACAGTTAACATCAGTTACATTTGATATGATAATAATATGCACTAAAAAGTTTGATTAAGCACGTAGCAATAAATATACATATACCTCAGACATTATAATCCATGGTAATGCTCCTAGTCCAGCTGCGAACATCATAGTGTACGTCTGTTTGCATCAAAAACTTATTACATTATTGTGACTACGTTTTGAGATTTAAATATGTCGGCAGATTTACATAGAATCTATAAACTGAAAAAATAATACTAAAAAAAAAAGGTTAGCTACGTATTAAAACAAAATTGTTTCTGGCGAATCTCATTAATTAACATATATAAACGAATTAAGTTCAATAATTTGGTTATATGTAATTATAAATTCAAATACTTCAGTTGTTTTATTGTGACTTGTGAGTGAAAGTAAAGTAAATGAAGAAGAAGAATAACAGAAGGTTTTGCTGAATATCACATACCAGTACTCCTATAAATGCCATGATGGGTGTGAAATTTACAATTCCAGGGACACCTTTTAAGGCAAACGATAATGCAAGAGAGATACAACTTAAACATAACCCAAATGCCGATGCCTGCAAATTGTTCACTATTATATTTTTTTTCATAAAACTAAATAATGTTCTAATGTAAAGTAGTGTACAGAAGTATTAAATAAAAAACACTCTTACCATAATAAGCGGTCGTCTTCCCCATCGATCCACAAGTAGAAGACCCACTATAGCTTTTGGTACCTATCATATAAGTGGTTGAGAGGAGGGGCAATTAATGGGGTTGGTCTAAATTTCACATCAACTATTGATGCAATCTTTTACCAAAAAAAAACTATTGATGTAATGTCGCAATGAGTTCAAAGAAACTCAGCAAAATGTTAATAAATAGACGTATACGTACCACGACCATAGACAACACCGTCATCCCAATCCGAGAAGGGAATCCTTTAGAGTTAAAATTGTTAATTTATTATTATAGACAAGTATATAACTTAAAAAAAAAAAATAATAATAATAATAAAAATATTTACCGGCGAGCTCAAATATGTTGCCTGCGTAGTAACCTATTCCTGCACTTCCACATAACTGTTGGAGAAGCATCAAACCTATGCCGATCTAAATATTACCAACCAAAAAACAAAAATAAAAGTTCGTTAATTATATATAGTTTAATTAAATGAAATTACTCTAATAGTTTTAACATGAATAAAACACCCCCTTTTAATTTCTTACTGTAAGTTGACGTGTATATTTCTTTTTGAAAAGACTTCGCATGCTGGTGTTCACGGTAGCATCAACAGAAATCTGCAAAATTAGTATAGCTATGAGTAAGATTATTCACGAAGATAAATATAAAATAATCGGCAACTTTCTACAGTGAAATCCTTTTCCCAAATAATTATACAGAATTACATGCATGTATAAGATACTGAACGTAATAGTACATATGTCAAAATGGATAATCCGACCCGACCCGACCCGACCCTTACCCATATGGGTTTGAAGGTTATAGGGTCGGGTTATGACCCGACCCATTTATTTTATATGTTGTAAATTAGAACCCAAACCCAATTATGTCAATACCCATGGGTTAAATGGGTTTTATGGATACCCATATATATAAAAAAATGAGTAATATATCTATATTTTTTATAATAAATGAGTAATGAAAATTTTAAAACATATTATACATTATTAAAAATTCAACTAAAACTTCCAAATAACAATTCATAATAATCTTTGTGTAGTAAAACAAAATCTCATAAATAAAATATCAAATAAAACCATAGAATAAAATCTTATAGTTTATGAATATTTATAGTTTTTACTTTTTTTATTTATAAATTTTACATATTTATAGTTTTTCCTTTTTTTGTGATAAACCCATGGGTAACCCATAATCTTAATGGACAAACCCGTTAGACCCATAGACCATTAGGGTCGACCCACTATGACCCATTTATTTATTTGGGTAGAAAAGTTCAACCCAAACCCATTTAAAATATTGACCAATAGGGTCAACCCGTGGGTAATGACCCATTTTGACACCCCTACGTAATAGTAATAAAATTTAATAATGATTTTTAGTTCTTTACGTGTGTGTACCATGATTTGACGAGTTTCCGTCATAACGTCACCTTCTTTTCCTCTTAATTTCTGAAGAACAACTTCACATTCTTCGTCCTGGCCATCTTTTGCCTAGAATTATCACAATAATTTAGTTGCTACTTTTATAGGTAGTTTTACTTTTACATAAACTAATTAGAGAAATGTACAACATGATTCATAGGACTCACCAGCCATCTTGGAGATTCGGGGACGAGAAACAACCCAAAGAACTGTATCAAGCATGGAATAATGCCTGATCAAGATGTGGAGGTCTGATTAATTAAATAGTTCTATACAAGAAAATAAACTTAATGATCAATAATTATTAATATGGAAAAAAATGAAATTCTGAGACAGAAAACAAACTAGTGGGAAAGAATCACCGATTAGGGCTATCGTTCTCCATGACATGAAATTTCCAAGGTAATATGCGGTTGCGATCCCACAATTTTGCAACAGCTGTAAATATCAATGTAAAGACTATTAGTTAAATGCATATCAATGTAAACATGTTACCTAAGTTTGACTATAGAGTATAGACTAGTTAATTAAGTATATACATTACCTGGTTGCTAAATGTAAAAGTACCTCGCACATGTTTGGGTGCTATTTATGCGATATATACAGGAATCTACCCAATAAAAAAAAACTAGAATTATAATTACATGTTTAGAGTGGTAATTATTCTTTTCAAATTATAAAAATAACAAGAAAATTATGTACCACGTAGCTAAGTAGTCCAACACCAATTCCCACAAAGAATCGTCCAAAGTCCAGCCAAATAATATCCTATGGAGTAATGGATACATAAATCAATCAAGACAATTAAGAGAGAAAGCTTAAAAAAGTTTCCCAACCGGGCTAATCCATGATTAGATTTTGGGTTGAGGCTACAAATATATTGAATGAGCCATTTCGCTTCTTTTTGTTCGAAAAGAAAAAGTCATAATTTAAAGGATCACAAAGTTATACCGACCGAGACGTACTGCACTAAAAGAAAGAGGGTTTGTGAAGAAACCTTGGCTACTGCAATTGCAAGCCATCCACTTATGCAGAATGCCTCGGCTAGCCACAAAGTCTAAGAAATAATTTTGAATAAAGAAAACTAAATGGTTTACCATTTACTTCAACAGAAATGTTAAGAATATGAAATGGATTTATAATAAATGAATATCTAACCATTTTACGACCAAATAAATCTGCACTTTTGGCGCTAAAAATGGCACCGATCATTCCTCCAAACGTTAACAGCGAGCCAAATAACGAAAACTGTGAAACATATATATTGTAAGAACTTCATTAGATTTCAGTGGAGCTGATTTTTTTATTTATTAAAAGTATCTGTTGTGTATATACAGAGACTTACTTGTGCGATAGAGAGATCAAGATCTTCCATAATAGAAGACATTGTACCGGCAGTATAACCTAACTGGATCCATATACATAATTAAATATCATGGATTTCCTATCTAAGAGAGAGAGAGATGTAGGAACATACTGCAATGCCAAAGCTGAAGGAGGCAGAGACAATGATAAAAGTGGTGAAGACAAGAAGTGGAGTTGTATTTGCAGATGTTTCTTCTCTATTTACCAATAATAATCCTTTCTCGATACCAATATTGTCTCCCTCCATTTTCATAGTTCAAATGAAGACTCAAATACTAGATTTAAACAGAGCGATCGGAATAGGAAGAAGAGAGATGGAGATACTCTGAGAACTATGCTTTCTCTTTTTATAGATTTATTTAGATGCTTTGACCTTTTTCTTTGCTGTACAGACGAGAATGGTTGCACAGACCTTTAACCCAAAAAAAGAGAGATAATGGTTACACAAAAAAGCTACTCCCACTGTCCACATGTTTGAAGTTTTTCACACAAATTAAAAAACATTTAATGTGTAAACTTTTTTTCAAACCATCCACTTTCTAATAACTCTTAACCAATCTAATTCAACTATTTAAATAATTTTAATTAATATGCCTTGAAATTTGCAATTTGATAGTATCAATAAATGGAATATACTTTAAAAATTCTAAAACATCTAATATTGTAAAACAAGAAAAAATTGTAGAACATCTATATTCCGGAACGGAGGGAATAGATGCTTTGACATCTTTCTTTACTGTACACACGTTATATATTAATATATTACAAGAAATATAGTTAATGTAATTATTATGGAATTTTTTCTAAATCTACTAATATATTAAAACTTAAACACGATCGAGAATGGTAACACAAACCTTTAACCAGAAAAAAAGGAGACGTTACACAGAAACGTTAGCTGCTTTGACCTCACTCACACCACATAGAAGATAAGTGTGTTCCACATCAAATCCCCAACTCATTAAATTATCACGTGTGGGGTTACAATTTAGAACAAACAACCACGTCGCGAATGCATGCATAGGAATCCTTGCTTTGTGCCAGACAAGAGAAGCCCAAGTGACATATTGTTCCAAACCTTGCGAGAAGAAAAACATTTCTGGATTACCTCATCGATAACCCAAACCGCACGGTCACTAGCTAAAGTTTAATCGATAATAGGCCGCATTTCCGTTTAGCACGTATAACGCTGTCACAATTTATACATATGTACACTATATATTTATATTTCGTGAGAACAACGAGTTCTTTGAATAAACTTAGAAGACTAAACAAAGTTATCAAGAATAAGAAAATTCGCGGTTTCGCGTATGAATAGCCGATATATAGGAATAAAATACACTAACCGCGGTTTGATCATGTAATTGTTAACGCTCTAATAATTCTTTAACTGGATATTGTTCATACAAACACAAGTTCCCCGAGTCTTCTTCACCCAAATTGCTAATCAAAATACTTAAAATCCAGAACAATCGAAACAAAGCTAGCTATAGGCTCATATTTCATATTAAATTCATTACTCGATTTGAGATATTTAATAATTTTCTCGAAAAAATAGCATGTTTATCATCACATCATCATTGCTTGAATCTCTTCCAAGGTTCTGCCTTTGGTTTCAGGAACAAGTTTTGCTATGAAGATAATAGCCAATACACACACCCCACCGTAAACATAAAATGCACCTGAAAAAGAAAATGGTCAGGACTATTCGTTTGATAACATGGTCAATACTATTTCTTGGCCATATTATAACAAAGAAAAGGAATGGAACAATCTTGTGGAAACAAATAACATAATATATTACCATGAGGGCTCCAAATCATGAGAAAGTTGAAAGTGAAGGAGACAAGCCATGAGCTTAGCCAGTTTACTACAGTGACAAGTCCTCCAGCAGTTCCTTTTAAATTTATTGGAAATATCTGGAGAAAAGCAAGTAAATTAAATTATTTTGACCTTCACGTATTATTTCGGAATCAACAAAAGAAGCATTTTATATTGTGTTGAAATTACCTCAGACATTATAACCCATGGAATTGCACCCATTCCAATAGAAAATGAACCGATGTAGACCTGGATATTGGATTTATTGGTTAACCAATGAAAAAACCAAAGTAAACCAAAGCTTAAAGCCAAAATTTGGGTTCATAGATGCTATACCAAGACACCGCTAACTGCAAGGGCCGGAATGATATCAAGTGCTAAACCATGAGCCTGGTTAATTAACATCAAAACCAAAATCAAAACTTGGTAAACCTAAAGGTTCTAAATTTCAAACAAGCTTTTATTTTGTTGGTTTTAAAATGAAAGAGACCTTCAATAGAAATGAAGTGCCAATAAGCAAACATCCAATAAGCATCCCAACAGCTGAAGCCTGCATTGTACCAATATGGTTAGACCAAATCATTTAAACCGATATACACTTCTAGTTATTTGAAAACTGTGCAAGAACCAGACCAAAAGAAGTGGTCTTCTTCCAAGCCGGTCAATTAGCAATGTTGCACCGAGTGCTGTAAGAACAACTTGTTCGATCGAGTACAGAACGCTTCCAAGAGTTGGGGATGCTCCTGGTACACCAAAACCGGAACATATACGTATCAATTGCTTTCCAAATTGAACCGGTTGGAACTTAAAATGAGCTAGACCAAGTTCGAATTATAACCTGCTGATACGAAAATTTGTTGTGCGTAGAAGATAACCCCATTTATTCCAACGAATTGCTGGAAAATCATCAAACCAACTCCGACCTGGTACAATACAGTAATAAGATTAAACCAAAACGAACCGGAAAAACATAACTAGCACCGGTTATTGTAACTAGAGATAGATCCTTACAATCACGAATCGAATATTCTTTTTGTCAATAAGGTCTAGTAATGTGGTTTTCGGTAGGTGAGCAATTGTCGCCAAGTATTCCTGTAAACCGGAATCCAGTCACAAGATTTAACCAAAGTTAAAAAACGTTGACCTAAACAAACAAACAAAAATCCAAAGTTTTGTTTAATATACTACGTACTTTGATTTCATCGGCTTCTCTTGCGATATTGGCGTCAGGACCCCTCAGTTTCTGCAACGCAATTTCGAAATCGCGGTGGCGGCCAACCATTTCCTAAACGCAATTTGTAATGCATTGGTTAGTTTCAACTTTTCAACCAAATATTCTAAACCGAAACCAAACCGAAAGTGATATTCATTCTTTGATCTTACCAGCCATCTGGGTGATTCTGGGATTAACCAAGTCCCAAAGAATAGAACCACGCACGGTGCAACTCCTGAAATCACCGAATTAAGCTTCTTTGGTACAGTTACTAAACCAGTACCAAATGTTTCAGATTTAGCTACTTCTCAAATCAAAATTTACCGGTTAGTGCAAGAGTTCTCCAGCTCACTACGGCGCCTATGAGGAACATTGAAGCAATGCCGATAACAATGAAGAGCTGCAGAAATTAACAATAACATCAAATTACCATTTCACTAAACATTTCTACGTACTTAATACTATTTTAACGAAAAAATAAACCTATTGTTATACAAGCTAGAGTAACTCGAATACACTGTCACATTTGCAAGTTCTTACTCTACTGTACGTAATTAATCACATAGACACATATATTTATTATTCGAAATTAAATAAAATGCATCACCTGGTTAAGCGTCGCTAATGCTCCTCGTAGTTTCTTTGGACTAATTTCGGCGATGAAAACCGGAACCTACACAAAAAAATCCAAATCATGTGAATTCCTCATATTTTCGTTATCAAGTATCAACAATGTGAACATGTCATAGTCATACCACAAACGAGAGGGTACCGCAACCATAACCGGTGAGAAATCTTCCAAAATCCAAAGGTACGTCAACCTAATTATTAAAAAAAAAAATCAATTTCGAAACGTTAAAAGATTTAATAATATAAAAATGTTAGAAAATAATGAAGAAATTCAGCACGTGGAAAAACCTTGGCGAAGTATATAATCAGCCAGCCAATGGCAGAGATCACTGAAGCCAACCTCATGGCCTGTCTCAACAACCATGTGACTATTATTATGTGAGCAAAAAAGTACATTATTTTTTGTACTTCAAAATACATTAAAACGTATAAGAAATTTGATTCTTGTGTGCATATATTGAGATGATGAATAAAAATAAATTTGATTATTGTTTAGCCATGTTTTTACCCCTTTCCGACCGATGAAATCGGCTATCTTTCCCGATGTAATGGCGCCGAGCACTGCTCCCACATTCAATATGGATCCGAAAACTGAAAACTGATTTCCAAAACAAACAAAAAAATTGAGAAAATTATATCGTAAAACATCTCTAAACGTAGAATTGTGAAGTACTTTAATTTTGAACCTGGGAATATGATAAGCTAAGCTCTTCCATCATCCCAAACTGTGTCGGAGCCGAATACCCCACCTAATAAAAAAGAAACAATGATTCATTATTTTACTTTTTTGCTAAGAAATAAAAAAAAAATGATTTGATTGCAGGATGAGCAAAATGATCTTCTTACGCAGGATCCAAATTCGTAGGAACCACAAACGGCAATGAATGTGCTAAGAAAAACCATCCACGACGCTTCTTCTGAGACGTCAGATTCGTTTGCCGGTAGCAACAACGGCTCAGATTTGCCGTTCTTTTTCTCCATATCATCTTTTCTTGTCGTCATTTTCAATTTCCCTATAACAATCACCCTTTTAGTTCACGAATCAATGAATATTTCTGTGTTTATGGTGAAGAAGAAATGAAGATTTTCGGAGATAACTCACCGGAAGATAGGATGAGAAGGCACACCGTACGTCTCTTAGAATTGTATCAGATTTATTCTGAATTTATGAAAAAAAATGTCTATATAAATCAGTGTATATATTGTGGACACATGAACAGGAGCTGGCATGCTTAGCTAAAACACAAAACATGATTCATGATTTTGGACTAATTAGACAATTTGAATTAGTTTATTGTATATACAATATACTACCATAAGGGTTCTCAACAGTTTTAATTAATGTTTGATATATTGACTAAATTTGAAAGTACTCACAAAAGATAATTCCAAATTTAAGAAGCAGGATATAAAAGATTCAGTATTTCAAATAATAGTAATCACTATTTTACTATTGATATTCGGTAACATATTTCTCAGAATATTCACTATGTGCATGCATAGTACTGGATTGGTAGTATCTATATGTGTGCATGCATTTGTACTGGATTGGTAATATATATGCATGGTTTGTTTGTTTTGGTAAAGGTTTAATTTACAACATGCATAGTGACGTGTAACTGAGTCAAAGATACGATCCAGTACGACACTTGTTTCCGCAGATCTAATGGTCTTGTTTTCTTCCCCTACCGCAAGATCTAAACTCTGATGGGTAATTAAATAATTATAAGTTGCCATATAAAAAGAACCGTAGAAAGCTCCAGAAACTATGTTTAAATGTATGTTTTATATCAATCACATTGGTTTTAGTACCCCAGAATTTTAGTACCTAAAATCATGTCTTACGATTTAATTGAACCACTTAGAAACATTCTTTTTAAAAATCCATTTTGAGAGGTATTAAAATTTCAAGTCATTGTTAGTTTGTTAGATCAATCTTAGGTATGTAATCAAACCATCATCATACAACTGATCAAGTTACTCTCAAGTTTTTCGATTCTCTTTTATAGCCCAAAGTACAAATACATTAAAATGTGTTATCTAAGAATCATGGATATGATTCGATGGCATAGAGTGCATTTTAAGGTCCATATAAAAACTAGAATGGTTTTAAATGACAATATTGGATTTGCACTTGGCCACAAGATATAACAGAACAGTACCTAACAACAATCTCATAAATGATCGATGTCCCCTCTCTTACACAACATTGAAGACTTGAAGTATTGAACAATCACTTCCAACATGATTGTAGTGACTCCTTCAACCATTCAACACTTATAGGTTAACAAAAAAAGCGACAAATGTAATGCAGGTTTTGATGCAAGTGTTACAAGAATGTTAAGATAGATACTTAGATAGATTTACTCAAATGTTTTATCCTGAAAAGACTAAATTAGGATATGACTTTTGGATAAAGAGACGACAAAAGAGGCGACTTCTACGGATTCTTACGGAGAAGTGTCCATTCAATTTCAATCCAAAGAGAGAAAATCAAAAGCGTTGCCAAATATAGGATTTAGTCAGATTAGGGTCTAACTAATAGATGTATCATTGGTCAACGAAAAACAATTAAATTAGTAATCAAATTATAAACACAAAGACAAAACCTTTTCTTTCGGGTGCCTCGAGACGAACACCAAAGTTCAAAACTTCCTTCTATTTCTTCTCTATGCTCCTTTGTCTTTGGTTTTTTAGGTTTATGAGAAAACCTTTAAAAGTTTCCTACAAAATAAAACTCTTTCATGGCGGTACACAAAACCCACGAAGCTTCTCCCTTGTCTAGTGCTTTTCCAATGTAATTATCTCATCAAAATCACTAATTTTTCTCTGTTTTTTGTTCTCATACTTGATTTGGAATTTCTATCTTCTCTTTTGCTACTCTTTTATTGTTTGTATGTTCTTTTATTCTCAATCTGCCGAGGCAGGTACAGCTCTAAATATTCGAGTCATGTCACTGAAGAAGATTCAGACGACATAAACCATACAACAAAACACAAAAGAACCAACGCTTTGCTCACTAATTCTGCTTCAGCTCACGGTAACACCTAGCTCCTCTTTTAACCCTAATCCTCTGTTTTCTTCAACATTTCTTGTGCCACAAGAAACCCTGTTTCTTCGTTTTCATGATTGTCTTGTGTCTCTCCTGCCTCCTCTCAGATTTGAGATGTCTACAGATGGAGAAAGAGAAGCAAGATCCTAGATCACCGAGAGGAGCCCTCGAAGCCTGCTTAAACCGATGCTCAATCTCATCCACTTCGTCTTCCACAGACGATCCTCCTCCAAATAGAGAAGCTACCGAAAACGCAGACGTAGAGCCACGTTGCAAGAATCACAGAGCACATTCGAACTGGGGAAAATTCTTCAAGCTATGGAAACGCAGATCCATGAAACGCCTCTCTTCATTCCCTCCATTAGGCGGCGGCGTTCCAGCGATCTCCAAACGCAACAAAAACGCAGATCCACACATTGGTGGTATGAACCTTCACGACATCTACGATTTCCAATCATCTCTCCACAGCTTCTCTATCTCCGACCTCGAAATAGCAACTGACTATTTCAACCCTGGTACGTAACGTTTTACTAATCACCTGACTGTTTGTTTGGTTGCTGCGATTAAAAGGAAAACGTTTTACAGAAAACATAATCGGAAGAGGCGGTTTCGCGGAGGTCTACCAAGGAATCTTACCGGAAGGGAAACTAATCGCTGTGAAACGTCTCAACAAAGGCACACCGGAGGAGCAAACATCAGAGTTCTTGTCGGAGATTGGGATTATTGCTCATATTGATCATCCAAACACCGCTAAATTCATCGGTTGTTGCATCGACGGTGGAATGCATCTCGTTTTCCGGCTATCTCCTCTTGGAAGCCTAGGCTCTCTCCTCCATGGTTTAACATCTCCAACCTTAAACTTAAACCGGATAAATTCTCCGATAACCGTAACGGTTTCTAAATTTTCTCTGTTTTAATTTTTTTTTTTTTGAAGGACCGTCAAAATATAAGCTGAGTTGGAGCAAACGTTACAAGGTGGCGTTAGGAACAGCAGAGGGTTTAGTGTATCTTCATGAGGGTTGTCAAAGACGAATCATTCATCGAGACATCAAAGCCGATAACATTCTACTAACCGAGGATTTTCAACCGCAGATTTGCGATTTCGGTTTAGCCAAATGGCTTCCCAAGCAATTGACTCACCATAATGTATCCAAGTTCGAGGGAACATTCGGGTAACGATTTGTGTAGATCAATGTTTTGAAGGATTTAGTTTACTGTATACGATTTAATGGAATACTACGTACGTTTTTGATCAGGTACTTTGCGCCGGAATATTTCATGCACGGAATTGTAGATGAGAAGACGGATGTTTTCGCCTTTGGAGTTCTTCTCTTGGAGCTCATAACCGGCCATCCTGCTCTTGACGAGTCTCAGCAGAGCCTTGTCATGTGGGTGAGTATTATTTGTTAGGCTTAACCGAACTGGTTCGTAATCAATTGGTACAAGTAATGTATCCTTTGATCTTTATGGCCACAGGCCAAGCCGTTGCTAGTGAAGAAAGATATAGAGCAATTAGTGGATCCGTCTCTTGGAGTTGTATACAACCGGGAAGAGCTTATCCGGTTAACTTCGACGGCTTCTTTATGCATCGAGCAGTCTTCTCTTCTAAGACCTCGGATGAGCCAGGTACGATATAAATCGACCCGGTTTAGGTTTTAAAGTGGTAACGAACCGAATGTCAAATTCTTGTACACCAAGTATGCTATTTACTAGCCATAAGTCTATTTTCTGGTTTTGGTCGTTATGAAATAGGATTTGACCGGGTTATTTATGATCTTTGAATGTGTTCAGGTTGTGGAATTATTACAAGGTCAAGAAGGTGTCGTTATGACTCCAAGAGAAGCCAAGAGAACGATGATGCAACGAACGTACTCTGAAGAATTATTCGATACTGTAGAGTATAACTCCACTAAGCATTTGAGAGATCTTGATCGCATCCGAGAGGTTGCTCTAGCTTCTTGAAACTGAAGAAAACTATTTTTGGTTTCCTTCATTGTAAAATGTAAATTATGAAATTCAAGTCTTAATCTTCGACGCAGACATGAGTTAGACAGACGGTCGGATATAAGTGTCCTTAAACTTCTAAAGTTATGTACATGTGGAACGTAGTTTTCGAGAATTCTCTTTTAGTTTATGCTTTGAAACATGAAATTCTAACTAGTCATATACATACAAATGACTGATAAGATTACTGGTACACTAAGCTTAAAATCACCTCAAGCAAAAGCAACACCACCTGATCAAACGCTACTCTTATTAACCGACGGAGGCCAAGATAGTCTCCGGTCAACTTCACCATTCTCATTGCTATTACCATCTTCTTCTTCTTCTGCATCATTATGATCATGTTTTTGTCTCCTTGTGTTCTGAACAACTAAGTCATCGCAGCTTGAATCTATTCTCCCTTGAGGTGGAATCACACAACCTGAGTCATTTCGTTCCCTCCTGGTGAAGAAGATGAAGATGCTGAGTTACCAACTCGAAGGTCTCGAAGAGTTGCGAATGATTCTCTCATCGCAGACATTGCCTCAAAGAATCTCGTGCATGATGCTAGTGCCACGGGTATTGGACGCAGCATTTCCTATAATTTCCAAGAAAATGGTAAGGAGGAGATTTGAGATCATAGCATCTAAAACCGAAATCAACTGTTATACAACACGTTCCATAATAGCATGACATGGTGTAAATCCAGAACAAAACTTTTCCTTTTACACACTTATGTACAATATGATTCCAACAGAGACAAGTAAAACAATATAGGCACTAAACATGTGGAGTTCTGTCTGAAAGATGTAAATGGAATAAACCAAAATTCATGTTAAGAGAGAGTGTAAAATTATACCCCCCAGACTGAAGGAGGTTCTTTAAAGTTTTGGCTCCACTGAAAATCAGATACTGATGCTGTTAAGGCGCCATAATCACTGGCTGCTTTCATTAGCAACTCAGAGAATTGTTTCTGAAAAACAAGGCAGAACACATCAGGGAAAGGGAAAGAACTTTCTTTTTCCAGTTGAGCAACTTCAGATGCAAATCAAGATCAGGATACATCAAAAATACTATCAAATGACATGACTGACCTGATATTCCGCTTCAACTGGAATGCAATCAAGTGAATATGGTTGTTGGAGACGAGCAATGACGCGGTCCTGTTACATAAACAGAAAAGTAATGTAAAGAGACTTCAACTAGAGGTATAAGACTACCTCAGAAGCTAATGTTTTCCAAATATCTTTAAGCAACAACTCCAGTTTCTAAGTTTAGAGGCAAGTAAGAATAAACTGACGGCTTTGTGCAGATACGTAAACTTTTTCTCAGAAGAAGAGAAGATTTTTAGAGGCAAGCACAAATAAACCTTTTTTTACCTTGTTTTGTATAACATTATTCAATATTTGAGTCATCCTTGACAGAGTCTCGATCATCTTTTGCATTTCACTCGCATGAGTCAAATGCGCCACATTTTTCTCATCCTGAAATTTGCAGACAAACAAGTTAAGTTATATAACCTGATACATATATAATGAAGCTTTCTTGCAACGCAGATACTTTGATCCATTCCACTTTAAAAAAATTTACATTCCTCCAAATCTGCAATTTTCCTTTGGACAGCAGATAACTCTCCCAAGACCCTTATTGAATCGCCATTTGAAGATGCCAAGTTTTGTAATTCTTCCTACATTGGAAAATGATTGAGCTCATAAGCTCAATTCAGTGTGCGTTTATCACAAACCACATTGTTAATTGAAGCAGCTGAGCCATATATGAATACAAATCCTTACAAAATGTACATATATTTACCATTAATCTTCTCAATTTCAGGACGATTTCAGTAAGAAAAGCGACTGGTGAGTTACCTGCGATGGAGGAGGAGCGACGGCGTAACCGAGATCGGAGGCGATGGAGAGAGAATCAGACAATCCGCCAATGCGCCTGATCGGTTTCGTCCCCACCCACGTCGAGTCGCTTCCCATCGACATTCTCTCCACAAGCTTTCCGATGAAGAAAACTTTGACGGTGGCGGATCCCAAATGGTTGTGACTGAACCGAAGAAACACATAACAATGGAGGATCAATCATCAATCTCACGTGACTCTCGAGAATAAAAGAAGCATAACGGAGACGATGTAGAAACACGATTCTCTTACCACAGAGATGACCCACACGAGTGATGGCGACCTCTCGGAGTAGCCGATCAATGACGACGGCGAGTCGTGTCGCCGGAATTAGATGAAAATTTGAAATCACGTATCAGTCACGTGCAATATTTTTAGATTTACAAAAATATCCTCGAAACCGGAGAAAGACCAATAAGACAATTTAAAATAAATTATGGGCCCCGATACTTTGAATTTGCAAATTTACCCCCAAAATAGATTCGTCTATTTATCTCCCCCTCATCTCTCTCTCTCTCTATGACTCTATCTCTGTAACGTTGCAAAAAACCCTGACCATCGAACTCCTCAACACTAAAACCCTAATTTTCCGCCTCCACTTTTTTGCACCTACGAGAATCCCAAAAACAATGGCCAAGAAAAAAGCGTCGCGTAAGAGTGAAGACACCGGCAATGATAACCGACAAACTCATAACCAGGAGAAGGCCCCCGAGACTGATAAGAAAGCTACGGCACTCAGCCGGCAATCTTCCATGGACGACCACGATTCGTCGGAGGAGAAACTCCAGAACTTGAAGTCACTCAACGCGATTCTTCTCAAACAGACTATGGAGAAGAGACACCAGATCGAGTCGCTCGTCCAGGCCAAGGACGAAATGGAGACCGAGTTGGCTCGCTACGGCTCGGAGAAAACCGGGATGCGCGACGAGTTAGATCAGGTTAGTGACGAGAATTTCGGATTGAAGATGGAATTGGCTCTTGTGATGGATTATGTTGAGAACCGGTTTAGAGAGATGGGTGTTGGTGTAGAAAGGTTGATGAGGGAGAGAGATGATAGAGAGAGCGAGATTAGGGTTTTGAAAGGGGAAACGAATGAGCTTATGGGTAAGGTGGAGATTGAGAAGGAACAGTTGAAGAAGGTGTGTGATGAGAGGGACTCGATCAAAAATGGGTTAGAATTGCAGCGTGAGAAGGCGAATCGATTGAAGGAGAGTGTGATTCGGTTGGAGGAGAAAGAATCCAGTTTGGAGATAGTGATTGGGAAACTGAGATCTGAAAACGATAGATTGGTGACGGAGAGGAGAGTGAAAGAAGAGATTATTGAAAAGGTAAACGAGGAGAAGATTGATCTGGAGAAGACAATTGAGGAGAAGAAGAAGGAGATAGATGAGTTTAAGAGAGAAATCAAAGTTCTTTTGGGTGTTAAGAATGAGATGGAGAGTGTGAAGATTGATCAAATGAAGGAAATCGAGGAGCTGGAGGAGAAGTTAGAGAAGATGAATGAGACTGTGCAGAGTTTGACAAAGGAAGAGAGGGTTTTGAGGGATCTGGTAATCAGGCTGGAGAAGAATCTTGATGAGTCTATGGAGAAGGAGAGAGCAATGATGGTGCAAATTGATGCGTTAGGGAAAGAGAAGGCAATCAAGGAATCTGAGCTTGAGAGGGTAATTGAGGAGAAGATTTCAGTTGAGAAACAGATGGAGATGGTCAATTTCGAGAAGGAGAAGTTGATTGATGAGTTGTCTCGGGAGAAGAGTGAGCTTGAAGGATGTATATCTACTCGGGAGGCAAAGCTTGTTGAATTGAATAAAAACGTTGATGAGCTAACGCAAGCTGTTGCTGTGTTACAAAAGGCTTGTAATGATCAAACCATGACTAATGCGACGCTTAGCTGCAAAGTTGGAGAGCTAAGCAATGCTCTTGCGCAAGTTGAGCTCAAGAGAGAGGAAGCTGATAAGGCACTTGATGAGGAGAAGAGACGTGGAGAGGTTCTTAAGGCAGAGGTTATGAAATCAGAGACGATGATTCAAACAACTCTAGAAGAGCTTGAGAAAACTAAGATTGCGCGCGAGAGTTTCTTTACAGCGAAATGTGGTTTGGAGAGTGAGTCTGAATCATTGAAACAAGAAAAGGCTATCCTCGAAAAGGAGCTCGCAGAGCTCAAAAAAGCCGTGGATGCTCTGAGAAGAGAACTAGAATCCGCTGGGATGGATGCAAAACGCAGCTTGGTGATGCTGAAGAGAGCAGCCTCCAAGGTGGTGGCACAATCAGAGAGCAAAGAAGATAAGCAAGAGAATGGAACCGAATCCTACGCGGTGGAGCTATGCTCGATAGAGAAAGCCTTCAGAAACAAAGAGGAGATGATTGAGGAAATGAAGAAAGAAGCTGAGACAATGAAGCAATCAACGGAAGAGGCACACAAGAAGAAGAGCTTCTGGACTCTTGTGTCGTCTGTAACAACCATTTTCGCTGCTGCATCCATTGCATATGCCGCTCGTATTCGTTGAATGCCTCAAGAGATATGGTTTTGCCTCTCCTATGAGTCTATGACGACAGTATCTTCTCATTCAAGCTTTATCAGTAGCATCAGCTCATTCGAGCTTTTTTACTCGTACCTTGCAAATAATGTTGTTGAGCTCTCAGCAAACTATAATATGAAATATGTCATCTTTGTCTTGAGCCATCTGTTGATTTCCTTAGTTTTAATCATTTGTGGACTTCTGAGTTGGCATGTGACTGAAACCAAGCAAGGATTGAGACTTTAGGGTTCTTATGAAAGTTTAGAATTCCATGAAAATTTGTAAAGTGCAATTAAGTTCTATAACTATTCATTCATTCATATACAATTTCAAGAGTTTGAATTGCGTACGCTCCTGGTCAATTCCACATATGGTCTTAATTAAGGTGGACTCCACTTCTTCTGTACGTTTTATTTATTTTGTCTTTTTGGAAAAACTAATTTTCTTTCGATTTTATCGTTCCAACAAGCATTTGCTCTTTCTCATCATTGTACCAAGATTCCTCACATGTCGAAACAAAAACCCTTTTATGCCTTTTTGGCTTTTGGGAACACAGAATGTTAAATATTTATTCTTTCTTTTTCCTTGTTAAAATGTTGAATGAAAAAAGAAATGACTGATGTTCAATTTTTTTTACCCAAAATTGTCAAAGTCAAACGTTTCTTGTGGTAACACTTATTTCGGTAAAATCCGTAAGAGTACAAGAGGAACATACAATACAAGTACAAGTACAAGAAAACACTCGACTAAGCAAATACAAAGCCTACATTTATCAAAATCACTACAACACGTATTAACATACATTCTTCAAGTATATATTTATATTTATAAAATCTATTACTATAGTTAAGTAAAGGCTAAAAGCTACAAGCCAAACATTACAAAGTAGTACAAAAACACACACTACTACTACTGCTTTGTTTCTTCCCAAAGTCTCTGAACGCGCTTCGCTGTCCTTCCACTGGTTTTTAGCCTTAAGGGAATCCAGCGTTTTAAAACGCAGCCGCAAAACGCCACAGACTCTAGAAACTAAACGCCAAAAAACAAAAACTAAACCGAGAGAATAATCCACAGGCAATACATTCACCTGTTTGTTAGTTGAAACATTCCTTGGCTCTGTTTAAAAAAACAACCTCCTTTTCCTGACTATCCAACCGCTTCATTCCGCGTTCACAAACGCAGAAATCTCATCCATAACATTATGGAAATGATTGTTATTAGGCAAGAGGTAAAACCCAACAGTAGCTTTCTCCAAATGCATAAGCTTAACCTCTTGACCTGCTCTCTTAAGCCCTTCAGCGTAAGCCAATTGCCAATCTTGAATCAAATCCAAACCAGCCACAACCACAAGACTCTTGGGAAAACTCAACCCTTCCAAGCTCCTCGCTCTCGAGCTAAACGGATTACACGCAGGATGCTCTCTATCTTCTCCCTCAGGCAAAAACGCTTTCCAATACCAATCTCTGTCTCTAACCGTCACAAAGTACTTCCCATCCAAACGTTTCTCAGACTCAGTCCTCTCGCTCCCACCAAACATAGGATTCAGCAGAATGTTCCCCAAAACATAGATACCAGACTCTCCCGCCTTTAAAGCCACGTTGTGAGCTATATTCCCTCCCGAGCTATCACCGGCCAAGAAAATATGAACCTTTGAGTCTTTCTTGGATTTAAGCCAAGATCTCGAGTTAACCCAATTGAGAGCTATCCAACCATCATCATAAGCACAAGGGTATGGATTCTCCGGCGCACGGCGATAGTTCACAGAGACGACGACGCATTTGCACACACCAACAAGCCTGCGACAGAGAGTGTCGTAAATGGCGCTGTTTGCAGAGGAGTGAGCAAAGCTGCCTCCATGGAAGAAGAGTATCACAGGGACGATCTCTTCTCCGTCAAGAGGCTTCTCGAGATCAAGAACACTAGGAGGCTGTTCTTGATCTGGAGAAGCTGGTCTATAGACTCTGCTTAAGAGATTGATCCTCCGATCGATGATGACGTCGAATGAGAAGACACCGTCGACGGGATTGGCATTTGCGGTGACTTTCCGGTCTAGAAACTCGGCTAAGTGTCGGTTAAAGGTTCCATCTGGTCGACGGAGGAGGTTGTAGGCTAATTTGAAGTTGGAGATTAGTACCCATGTATTGAGAGGTACCACTGTCTGCATCAAACCACACACAATCAGATTTCAAATCAGAATACACCAAATCGAAGATCATATAACAACACATAACAGGAGAAATCAATGAAAGGTGAAAAATTGAAACTTTCGATTGAGAATCAAAGCCGAAGAAGACAGAAAGGCCAAAAGAAGCACAGAGAGACCCATCAAAACAAACGACACGTTTCATCACCTGAAACGATTTGAAGACTTAAAGCTCTCAAATTTATTATGAAAAAAACAAATTGATGTATTGTAACCCAATCAAACACCATAGAACAATTCTACATAAGAAGCTCAAACAGAAAAAGCAAAGACGTCAGAACATGAAGAAGCTAACTAAACCGGAAATCGAAAGAGACCCTTTTTCAAAATCCACGGATTGTGTTTTCACCCAAAATCGCAAACATCAGTAAACTGACCCTGCTATCGATAAGATTAACTTCATCACTCGCAGCCATTGAAGGAAAAATCCCCTTTTTTGTTAATAACTTGACAGAGACACGAAAATCCAGATCGAATAAGGACGAGAATTTTCAGTGGGGGGAGTGAAAACTCGTGGATTGATTTCTGAAAATTTGTTTCTGGAAATGGGAATATCTCTGCTTTTAAAACTCAAGATCAAATGGGTTTAGTAAATTAGTAGCTTAGAAACTGGCATAAACAAAGGGCTTAAAGGAAATGAGAAAAGAGATATATTCCGCCAAGAGGTGGAGGATAAGAAATATCTGCGTAGTTTAGCATGGATACGACTATGGGTGCTTTAACGTGCGCGCTTAGCTTGGACGCGTCGATGGTAGAGTAGGGAGAGTGTGATGACTGTTGGGTGGGCTCAAAAGAAATAAACAAAAAGTTTGTAACTTTATTTCTTTTGATTTTTCCCCTAAAATGATATTTCTTTCAAGTGTCACCAACACGAAAAGAGAGAATATTTCTAGAAAAATCTGAGAAATTGAATAAAAAGTAAATAATTCTCAAATATGTCGCATATTCTTTGTATCATCAGTATTATGCTTCATGTTTATATTCGTTTAGAAAATAGTTGTATTACAAATCTTTCAGAATTTTGGTTTCATGATGTTCTTGAATGTTTAGTTAACTGAGAGTCTGAGACAGTTGAGTTATGCAGGCTAATTTTCTTAATGTATAAACTGATTCACGGAATAACTTTTTGGAGGCCGAGAAAGGCATTCAAAGTTCTTTAGCATTTTTATTATGTCATTGTTGATAACTTTTATCAAATAACGACAAAAAATTAGCTAAATAATTCTGCCGACTAAATCAGCCTAATAAAAAGGTACGTCTAGCAACTGCCGAAAACCATGCGACTCCTTTTACTAGTTATACCAATAAACATAAAAATGGTCCTTATCGACTTAGTGACTTACAATGCATAATTAGGAGTTATGTCAACTTTTCTGTTAACTAAAGCCGCTGAAAGATAATCAGCAGTCTAAATGTCTATGCGTAACTAATCCTCTCCTTAATAAGCATCAAGCATGCTAGATAATTTTACCAAGCGTATGGATATATCATATATATGTCTAAAAACATGCATGCTTGCAAATAACAACAATACGATGAATTGATGAATGATTCGGTGCAAATTGCTCTTTGAGTGGTGATTGGTGAAGTTACTTTTTTCTCTTGGGACTCTTTAGTGTATAAGCTCCAAATTAGATATAGGTAACAGAGGACAAGAAGAGGCGTGAGTCTTGTAAATTACTAAAGGTTTATAGCAAGAATATGAATGAGTTTTTGGAAGCATTAGAGTTTGGCGGTCAAGATCGATGGAGAACAGCTTGTTTCTCTACTTTTCAATATTTTCTACATCAATTTTATATAAATTGTCTGTTTGTCCTATTATTAGGGTTTCAATTTCATCACCTCACTTGTCCCTTTCTTCTTTATTATTCTTTGTCACTTCCTCTAACCTTTTATCTCTTTCCCATCCCTCTTCCCCCCTCAATTTGTTTTATTCATTTATCACTACTAGGCCTGGGCAAATTATCCGTTATATTTGCTTCGATCCGTTATCCGTTCCGATTCGATCCGAAAAATCCGGATAACCGTAATTTTACAAAGCAAAGCAAATACTAAAAATTAATATCCGTTAAAACCGGAGCAAATCACAAATACTGAAATTTTAAAAGCCGGATATCCGATCCGCTCCGTTATACATATAGATATATCTATATATATAAAATTACATATATAAATTGGATGATTGTTATGTTTATATCTAAATTTTATAAATCTATATTCATTAAATTGATTATTTAAACACTAAAAAAAATTAAAACAAAATAACTACTAATAGTTTTTTAATTAAAATTATATTTTTGTGTTAAAAATTGATTTTTCTGAAATTTTTTAAATACAAATATTTTTTAAAATATTTACGGAGTGGATAATTCACGGATATTAAACAGAGTTACGGATATCCGGATCAAACGGATCGGAGCGGATAATCCGCGGATATTAAACAAAGTTACGAATATCCGGATTTTCGGATATCCGAAAATTTTCGGATCGGATCGGATCAGAAAATCAAATATCCGGACGGATCGGATCGGATCACGGATACCTGTTTTTTGCCTAGTATTTGCTCCGTGCCCAGGGCTAATCACTACAGCTTTACTTGATTATTCACTTTTGTTTTTATAGACCAAGTACATAACAAGTAGATGGTTCATGGATGTTACACTTATTAATTGCTACGACTTTCTTCGGATTCATGATCATATGGGTGTCTATTATTCTCTCGGGTCGAATGTCTACATTGAGATGTTTATGCGGTTCTCATTATCACGTTTTTATTTTGTTTCTGATGTGTAACCAACCCACATGATCAAACAGAGAGAATTGATCCACATAAATATTTTTCCTTAAATCAAAACTATATAAATAGTTAAATACTACTAAAATCAAAACTAATATTCTAATATAACTTTCACTTATCCTAGTACCATCATAACTATTATTATTTACTTTTGGAATTGTTAACAATGGATTTATATATTTTTGTTGACAGAGAGAGTGTTTCCAAGTTCCAACCAAACTTGGTTTTCCAATTTAATATATAGTGGACCTATAGTTGTTTCAGTAAGAGCTAGTGACTCAATGGGCTTATTTGTATCTAATGAAGCCCTTTAAGTAGCCATTTAACGTGATTCCATAACCAAAGATTTGGATTGAGAACATTATTCTTTACCATAAGTTAAAGAAGACACCGACAAGAGAGATGAAAAAGAACAATCCCAATAAGACTACTAAGCCAATTAACAAAGAGACTTGTATTACCGAACGTAACTTAAAGATTTGTTTTTTTCATCACACATGAGGTGACTGAAGGTAAAAAAGTTGAAATAAAACAGAAAATAACATACGACTGTTCACATGCATGTTAATGTTTTTTGTGTTGTGATTATGAAATAAAACTTTCTGTCACGGACAGTTTCTCTCCAGCTAGGAATCACAAAGCATTATTCGCGCCACAATCGTGCAATCAACAATTTAGGAATAAAAAGTTCAATTTTAAAAATTTGAGAAATTATATGTGTGTTTTCTTGTGTTTGATCAGGGAATATTCCAAAAATAGTAGTTATGACTTATGATGATGGTTTGGATCATACTGATTATTATCATCATGATTTTCACCAAGCAAAGACAATTTTGGAGGAGTTTATGATGAGAGATCTTGGTTTATAAGATGATACGCATGATCATGGTTCATAATCTTTGTCATCTTGATAAAATATGAGAACTGCAAGAGACAAGTTTTTCATAAGAGCAAGAGATTAAGTTAAAACCAGAGTTTGTCTGACATGGAAGACTACTTCTGTTAGTCCATTCCTTCTCTCCCTCTCTAGAGGTCAAAAACTCTCTGCCCTTTCAGACCAACCATATTCTGTTTTCCAAAGTCATGCAAAACTATCAAATCTACTTTGTTGCACAGTTTCTTGTACGAAAACCTACTTTGTTTGCACAGTTTCTTATACGGTTTTATATATAGTTTATGAGCTTGTGTTGATATTTTTGAGTTTGTCTGATTACATATTATGTGATATTGCTGGACGACTATGACCGATTAGGATGTAAGAAGTAAAACGAATTCTCAAAATGTCCATCAAGAGGAAATTGAAATCCAACAATCGTTACAAGAAATTAAATAATTCAGACCCCAAAAGTTAATTAATTCTGCTTCATTAAAAGGCTCAACGACATGAGAAACATTAGACCCTCATAGATAACTACTAAAACCATGGTTAAAAAAAGGCCAATTGATTTTCTTTTATTGTACCATCATCTAATGGATAGGACTGTGACGTAATCTAACGGCTACAAATGCACCAGTCAATCACAAAATCTGACGTAAGCTAATCCAACGGCTAAAGCTAATTTAATCTAACGGTCGTAATTCAATGATTCCCGAAATACAATGCACAGCTTTTCTGTTCCTCCCTCCATTTTTAGTAAAACTCTCTCTTCAATAGAACTTGTCATTTCTTGCTTTTTCTTCAAATTTTCTCAGTCTAACGGTCAAAAAAAGAAGCGAAAAAAATCTCAATCTTCGAATTTCTCTTAAAGAACTTTAAGCTCAAAACTTCCCATCTTACAGCATTCAAAGGAGTTAGAAACCGTAATGGAACCGGATTGTTCACTACCTTCTCGTGTAGACTCGCCGGAGCTGGAACCGGCGCCGGCGGAAACTGAACACCATTGTCAAGACAGGTTTTTTTCTCTCTCTCTTTTGTCTCTTTTTACTGGAAGCTTTCGTTTACTTGTTGTGGGTTTATTCAGAACATGAATCTCTTTAGTTGTTGTTTTTGATTAGTTCGTTTCCTTTGAATTTTTTTGGACTATACTTAGGGTTTCAGCGACTGATGAGATAGTAATTGAGGATGATTTAGTGGGATCAGGTCAAATTAAGCTGGGGATAACTGAAATCTTAGCTCAGATTCACAAGAAAGCTTCATCAGTTCTCAAGTCGTCGCTTCAGTGTGAAGAAATCGGTTTAGAAAAACGCAAGAGAAACGGTTCAGCTTCTCCACCTACTTCTGAGCATAGAGATGAAGGAGAGACTGATGAAGATGTCTCGGAGGTTCCTGAGGAAATAGTCTGTGTTGATTCAGAGTTCAATGAATTCAAAAACACGATGAGCTCTTTCAAGGTGAATAAAGTCTGGGCGCTTTATGATCCTCTTGACGGCATGCCTCGTCTCTATTGCAAGATCAAGAAAATTGCCAAGTCTGGATCGAGTTTTCAAGTGACGTGTCTTGATTCTAAAGACGAAGAGTCGGTTCCTGTATCCTGCGGGAGGTTCGAGTACGGGATTACAGAAACCATCAGAAGCCAGTTGGTGTTTTCTCACGAGATGAAACCGAACATCTACGGCAGGAACATCAGTGTGATCCCAAGGAAAGGCGAGACATGGGCTCTGTTTAGAGACTGGAAGAGAAGCCAGCTGTACAAACACAAGCCTCCTTATAGATATGACTTTGTGGAGATCTTGTTTTCCGACAAGGAACAAGGCGTCGGAGTTAAGTTTCTTGGGAAAGTTAGAGGATTCACTTCGGTTTTCAACTACGCTGAGCAACATGTCATTGCGGAGATGATTGGAACAGAGGAGATGGGAAGATTCTCTCATAGAGTCCCGTCGTTTAGATTGACCGGAGATGAGAAGAATGGAGTTCCGGCTAATTCTTTCGAGCTAGACCCTGCTGCTGTCCCGAGCTGTATGCTCGGTGAGGAAGCGGTGGAAACAGAAACGCAAAGTGTTGAAGTTGGGTCTAGAAAAGATGTCCCTGTTGTCATCTTAGATTAAGGTTTGGTCTTTATTTGTGAATCTCATCTTCTTTAGTTCTTGTAAGGGAATGTGTAGAAGCTGTTTGATTCTCACAAGGATCACAGTTTTTTGTTGCTGGAAATGGATCTGTATATGATCCTTTTTGCACTTGTCTCTGTTTCTAGTATTTCGATTTTACAGTAATGAATGAATCTAACGAAATCTAATGAAACTATTGTATGATTTAGTAGTAACATCTTTGATTAGCAATAAATGAATGTAAACGAAATCTAACGGCTACAGATTACAGAGCAAGCTGGATTCGGTCAAATACATTTTAATCTAACGGTTGTAAAACAAATGACGTAGTATGATTCCGAAAATGTGTATGCATCACTTTTTGAGTGACTCACTGACTCCCTCCATTTTGAGTAAATTTATATCTTTCTTTTCGAAATTTGTATACAAAGCTCTCAACTTTTAACGGAAAGAAAAGAGCTAAATCTATCAGCTTTTTGTTTTTTTTTTGTTTTCCTCCAAGCTCTCTAAAGCTCAGATCTTTACAGCAGTAGAAGGAGGTAAACTCGTAATGGAATCGGATTCGTCAGTGCTTTCCGGAGGTGACACGACGGGGATTTCTCCTCCGGCACCGGCGTCGGCGCCAAATGAAGCTCAGTGTCGAGAAAGGTCTGTTTTTTTTCCGTTTCTCTAGATGCTCTTGTTCACGCTCTGCTTTGCGCTAGCTCCACATGAATCTCTCTGGGTGTTGTTTAGTTTTATTTTCCATGACCGATTGTTTTCTGATTTTTTGATTGACTATACTTAGGGTTACGGTATCTGATTCGGTGGTAAAGGAGGGTGATTTTGTGGGGATAGATCAAGATAAAAACCTGGAAATGAGTAAGCTTTTAGAGCACATTCACGAGACGTCTTCATCAGTTTTTAAGTTTTCGATTGAGTGGGAAGAAATCGAGAAACGGTATAATGCCAAGGATAATTTGCTAAAGGAACGAACCATTGAAATAGAGCTGAAGGAGAAGGAGGTTGAAGAAAGGGAGAGGAAGCTTGATTTGCTTGAAAAGTCCATGACTTTGAGGTTAGAGGAGAAAGAAAAGGGAAATGATTTGAAACTGTATGTGGCATCATCTCTCATGAGATTAGTTCTTGAGACGGTGAGTGAAGAAGTGACGAATGAGCTTGAAGAGAAGGGAAAAGAGGTTGAGAGGCTTTCTAAGGTGAACGATGAGAAGTCATGTGAGATAGAGAGGGCAATGAGAGAGTTTGATTTGAAGCAAAAGGTAGCGACTGAGAGAAGGAGCAAAGAAGCTGAGCAGGTGAAAGAATGCTTTAAGCAGCTTGAAGCAAAGGAGATGGAGATTAGCTTACTTGAGGAAGTCATCAGAGAGCTGGTTGAAGCGGAGAAGATAGAGGAGATCTTTGAAGCGGAGCAGAAAGCAAAAGCTGAGGAGTTGGAATTGAAGAGAAAGTCTCTAGAGGAAAAGGAAAAGAAAGTTGGAGAAAGGGAGAAAGAGCTTGACTTGAAGCAGATGGAGTTAGCAGAACAATTGATAGAAGCTGATACTTGTAAAGAGGAGATGGAATTGAAGAGAAAGTCTCTCGAGGAAAAGGAAAAGAAACTTGAAGAAAGGGAGAAAGAGCTTGACTTGAAGCTGAGGGAGTTAGAAGAACGATTGATACAAGCTGATACCTGTAAAGAGGAGATCTTTAAAGCGGAGCAGAAAGCAAAAGCGGAGCAGAAAGCAAAAGCTGAGGAGTTGGAATTGAAGAGAAAGTCTCTGGAGGAGAAGGAAAAGAATCTTGAAGAAAGGGAGAAAGAGCTTGGCTTGAAGCAGAGGGAGTTTGAAGAACGATTGATACAAGCTGATACTCGTAAGAGATCAAGGGTGAATTTGTTAGAGAAAGAGAAGAGTGATGCGGAGTCTCTTGCCCGTCCTGCAAAAAAGCAGAAATCACATAGCCATGATGACGCAAACAAGGAAAGAGCTTTGGTTTGTGTAGTTTCAGATTGTTCATCTTCTTTTGATCAAACAGACGAAGCGACTGAAGAAGAGACTGATGAAGAACCTGAACAGTTAAACTGTGTTGATTCAGAGTTTCATGACTTCGAAGTGACAATGAGCTCTTTCGCTGTTGGTGCAGTTTGGGCTCTCTACGATCCTATAGATGACATGCCTCGGTTGTATGCTAAGATCAAGAGTATTCAGAAGTCTCCGGCGAGTGTTGAAGTGACATGGCTTGAACCTAGAGATGAAAGATCAGTTTACGTTGCTTGCGGGAGGTTCAAATACGGGAAAACACAAACCATGCAAGGCCACTTGGCGTTTTCTCATGAGATGCAGCCTATCATACATGGCAACAACTTCATCACTGTGAATCCAATCAAGGGTGAAACGTGGGCTCTATTCAGAGACTGGAGCAAGAAACCGGAACAGCACAAGCCTCCGTACAAGTACGACTTTGTGGAAGTGGTGTTTAGCTTTAACGACAGTGTAGGTGTTGGAGTGAACTATTTAGGGAAGGTTGATGGATTTGTCTCGCTCTTTGAATACGCCCTTCAGCATGATACTTACGCACTCGTGATCCCACCGGAGGAGATGCATAGATTCTCTCACAGAGTGCCCTCGGTTAAAATGACTGGAGAGGAAAAAGAAGGAGTTCCAGCTGGTTCTTTCGAGCTAGACACTGCTGCTATTCCGGTTTCTGTGCTCAAGCCTGATCACTCTGTCCGTGAGGAAGAAGTAAATTCGGAAAGACAAAGCGAGGATTGTGGTACGGCTGGTGAGGTTGAAGATCAAGATAAGTCTACAAAAGCTATCCCTGTGGTTCTCTTAGATTAAGGGTTGGCCTTTATATATGTTCTTAGTCTGCTTGTAATATCTAGTAGTTTATTTTCTGTAATGATGGCTTCTCGGTGCACAAATTGGAACTGTGATCTTTTGGACCTGTCCTGTGTTTGTCTTTTGAATGTTGGTTTTCTTATCAGGTGAAATTTCTTTCTTTTTCTTGCAGTACTAAATTGATGTCAAACAAAGAAAGTGGTAACAAATATTAGAATGTGAAAAAGAATTTGTCTTTGGTTACAGACAAATGGGATCAAACCTCATCTCTTATATCATTTGGCTATTATATAGACAATACCATAATACACAACAATTTAGAGAAGTGATTATCTGATACAGAACTATCTTCGTACAACTTTTGTAGAGATTCTCTCGTTTTGTTCACAAAAACCTCCTCGAAGTCCTGATCCAATCCTCAGACCATGGAGAGCAAATGGCGTGTCAAGAAAACCAAAATAAACTCGGAAAAGCACTTGGGCAAGCTTCTATGTTTTGATCCGTCTAAACCCGAACCAGATCTCGTAGTGGTTAAACAGCAAGCTATCGTGAGTCTGTTTTCCAAGATACTCAAGTCCTAAACTTGCTAGCTTCTTTGTACACTCATCTCCTCCTAACCTTGAACAAAACTTCACATTATGCGACACGAAGATTCTCCCATCGAAAGGCTTTAACTTTTCCACTAGCCTCTCGAGTCCAGTCCACACGAGTTTATCAGGCATGTGGAGAAAGACCGCACTTGCGTAGATCAGATCATAGGTTATCTCTGAGCCAAACTTGCTGAACTCCATATCTTCCCCTCTGACTATAAGTGGCCGTTTATGCAAAAGACCTTGAGATGGAAGCTCGTACCTCAACGCAGCCATCAGAGAAAGCTCGTCCTTTTCAAGGCAGTGGAAATGTGTAGGGTTGAGATAGCGGATGAAATGCAAACCCACACGCAGCGTGCCACATCCGATTTCCAGGACGCGAGAGTTCGGTTTAAGATTGGCTGATTCAGCCAAGAACTCGTATACATCGCGCCCACCTGCCCAAGGCTCACCGTAGTTGCTGTGATGCTGCTCAACTAGTAACTCTCCAGGGCATGGAAGAGCTGTGTGGTTGTTTGCTTCATCTCCTTCGTAATGTGATATACCCTTGTACCTGACATTTTCAACAGAGTGGGAATCAGAAAAAGTAATGACCAAAACAGAGAAAAGCAAGAGCCTTTAAGATTCTAAAAGCCTACACTTTGGTGAAACCAATCTAGAAAAATCAATCCTTTTGCTGTCATTAGATATTCATAGAGATTTTGAGGCTATGGAGCCATAAAGCTAGTAAATTTACATACAAATATCTTCGATTTCTATCTTCGTATGGACCTTTTAGCAATAACCTACTCACTAAGCGAAACATCAAATGGAATCTCAAACAAATTACTAGCCACACTCAAGTTTCAAACAGTAAAGCAGCTTGAATCTGTAGCGCTTGTAGCTCAAAGAAGAGAATCAGAGAGAGTAAAAGAGAGTGGGAGAGGAAGCTTACTGTTGCAGATCTAAGAGTTGTTGATCCCTGGTGCGAGGATTGATGCCTTTACGGAGCTCATTCTTCTGCATATGCAAACCGTTGGATCTAATCAGATCTCTGACCCACTCGATATCTTCTCGCGTCGGAGATATCCTCTCTTCCAGCCTCACATCAGCGACGCTTCCTCCGACGGAAGCTACATCGGCGTAGGTGGGGGAAGATGTGGATGGAGGGCATGAGCAGGACGAGAGAGAAGAAGAGAGGAGGAAGAAGACACCAGCTGCGAACGAGACGGAGAGTACAAGTACCGGCACGCTCACGAAGATTCCTTTCTGCATCGCCGGCGACGATGAAGCGGAGGAGGAGGAGAGAAACGCCATTGCTGCCTGAAGAGAGAGATCTCTCTGGTTTAGGAAACTAGTGGAGAAAGTGGAGAAACGAGCCAGTGTGATTAGGATTCATACCAAAAATAGTAATGTCGATTTATGTTTTGATTTTGGTCGTAATTAGTGAACTTAGCTGTAAAATTAACGAAATCACGACAATTAACGGTAAAACTGCTAAAGTTTCCTTTCTTTAGGATAATCATAAAAATTATTTATTACATACAATATTCTTTTTTTTTTTACAATTACACAAGATATTAATTTCAAAAGATTTTACATACTTTTTGTACGTAATTAGATAATTACCAGTCTCTTTTTAATAGTCTTGTGATTAACAGTCTATAGAGTGATCCTCCTAAGAATTGTGCTTTTATTTTTTGCTAAGCAGAATTGTGCTTTTATGTGAGACAATGATTTCTCAGGATAAGTTAGAGTCAGTTTTTAAAATGTAGGTTTGATGGATTTATCTAGAAACTGTAGTCGAGTTTATGAAATTTAATGAGGTTATTCTAAGTACATAAATAAAAAAGGATTTTACACTTATTAAATCTCAATAACTTTAAACCATTAGTAAATATGAAGTCACTTAACCAATAAGAAAATAACACTTTGTTTTTAAAAGGATTTTTATTTATTTGTAATCTTATCCTTCCCAAATTAATATTTGGATTCTATGGGCTGATTTTACCAAGTCGAGTCTTCAGAGAGTTTGTGCTCCTAATTTACTACATTTTGTTTTTCGTTCTTAAAAAAAAAAAAACTTATTTTTTTCTTTCTTCTTCCACCAATTCTCCAAACGCCATCACGCTTTGGAAAAGGCTGCTCTTGTTTTTCCTTCTTGACTCCTAAATTTTTTTCTTTCCTCATATATCTAAATTTGTGCAAAATTTCGAGTTTCTAGATCAATCCGGTTCCCAAATCTCGATTCTTTCCCGCGCGAGAGATCGATTCTAGGGTTTTTGTGTGTGTGTTTGTCTTCGTTTGATAAGTGTGTCGAGTTTGCTGAATCTCGTTGTTATCATCATCGATTACATCGGAAGTTCAGATAAAGGTATGTTGATTGTTTCGTTTACGACTTTATCCTTCTCATCTCCAGATATTTTTCACTCGTCTCTTGTTCAATTTTTTGGGTAGCTCTCGTTAGAAATTTAGCAAGTAGTTGGATTTAATCAATCGCAAATGTTCACTAGGATTGTGAAATTGATGAGTTTTTTCCCGTACTGTGTATGGATCAAAAGTAGAGAGTCGTAAAGTTGAGTTGCGATGATTTTGTAATCTGTCTCTTGTATAGCCAAAAATTGGGTTTGGCTCTGTTTGATGTTGATCTTCTTCTTCGGAAAAAGGTTTCATAAGGTTTAGCTGTTCTGTAGCCGACTATCATTTGGGGATTTGGGAGCTTATGAGCTGTTGTTTTCCGGAATATCTATCACTCTACTAGCTTTGTCTTAGCAATATTCGTGCTCGTTTTGTTTCGTTTTGGATATTGGAATAGAGCTGATGATAGCTACTCTAGTCTCTGCTTGAAAAGGAGGTTGCTTTGGTTCCTCACTTGTAATTTTCTGGTTCTCGTTTCAGGGTAATTTGAAATGCACCGGGTTGGAAGCGCCGGGAGTAATGGCGGCTCTGTCCGCACTCGCAAAGAGAAGAAGCTTACATATGTGTTAAATGATGCCAACGACACAAAGGTCAGATTGTTTTACACCAATATGATTTGCTGCCATTCGTGGTTGTGTTACCATTTCTTTGATTTCTCTTTTTCTTTTTCATCTCCTTCCTCAACTCCATCCTGATGATGTTCTTTTTTATTTAATGTCCTCGCTGCAGCATTGTGCTGGCATAAATTGCTTGGATGTGTTGAAGTCTAGTGATCAAAGTTACCTCTTCACTGGAAGTCGTGATGGTACACTCAAGAGATGGGCATTTGAAGAAGATGCGGCCTTCTGCTCAGCTACGTTTGAGTCTCATGTTGATTGGGTATAGAGTTTTAATTTAACTATATAGGAATGATTAGTAATTAGGATTCTCAGGTGAATCTTCTGCTGTTGTACACGTGATAATTTCAAACCCCCCATTGCTGATTGGTCAGGTGAATGACGCTGCTCTGGCTGGGGAAAGCACTCTTGTTTCTTGTTCTTCAGACACTACAGTCAAGGTTTGCAACTTTTTTTCACAGTTGCTAGCAGTATATAGCCAACATTGGTTTCTAAATGCGGCTCAATTTTCGTGTAACTTTCTAGACATGGGACGGCTTATCAGATGGAGTCTGTACAAGGACTCTCCGTCAGCACTCTGACTATGTTACTTGTTTGGCAGTTGCGGGAAAAAATGTAATATTTCATTCTTCCATGCTTTTTTTTTATCGTTTCACCTGAAAAAAATTCGCTTGGTGTAGTGGTGCAAGTTTTGTTGGTTAAATGATCTTTGCATTGTCACATTCTGATCATATCTTGATGTCATAACTTTTAGAGCAATGTTGTTGCATCTGGTGGCCTTGGCGGGGAGGTTTTTATATGGGATATCGAAGCTGCTTTGTCACCAGTTACTAAACCAAATGATACAGCGGAAGATAGTCCTTCGAATGGTGCAAATGGTCCAGGGAATTCTCTACCAATTACAAGTTTAAGAACTGTTGGTTCGAGCAACAATATCTCTGTGCAGTCATCTCCATCCCATGGGTACACACCAACAGTTGCCAAAGGCCATAAGGAGTCTGTCTATGCTTTGGCGATGAATGATACCGGCACGATGCTTGTCTCTGGTGGAACAGAAAAGGTATTTGTGCAATCTAGGTTACTGAGAATACATCGCAGAACAAGAACACAGACAATGTGTGGGTTTATGCTTTTTGAATACTACTCAGTTCTTTTTGTTTATTGCAGGTTTTACGTGTCTGGGACCCTAGAACTGGTTCAAAAAGTATGAAGCTGAGGGGGCATACAGATAATGTCAGAGTGCTGCTTCTGGACTCAACTGGCAGGCATGTTTTGTTTTTTCCATCAATGGTTTATTTTGGTCCCTTTTGGTGTCTATTTGCTTTTCTGACTGATAGATTTTCGTGTTTCTCACTTTGAGACTGCAGGTTTTGCTTGTCTGGGTCCTCTGATTCTATGATAAGGTCTGTATCTTTTCTTAATTAGTTCATAACCATGAACCCAGTGGCTGCGATGACAATCATCATTTTAGTTCTTCTAACTGGTTCTAAATTTATTTCTAGACTATGGGATCTAGGTCAGCAGCGATGCCTTCATACCTATGCGGTTCATACAGATTCTGTTTGGGCACTTGCATGCACTCCATCATTTAGTCATGTTTATAGTGGTGGTAGAGACCAATGTGTGAGTAGACTGCAAACTTGCTTCTTTCTCTTGTTCCCTCTAGCGCCTAACTCTCTTTTTAATTCTATTTATATGTTATGTCTCCATCAGTTATACTTGACAGACTTGGCAACAAGAGAGAGCGTTTTGCTGTGCACTAAGGAACATCCGATTCAGCAATTAGCGTTGCAAGATGATAATATATGGGTTGCAACAACAGACTCCTCTGTAGAGAGATGGCCTGCCGAAGTACAGAGTCCTCAAAAAGTCTTTCAACGAGGTGGCTCTTTTTTGGCTGGGAATCTGTCTTTTAATAGGGCAAGGGTGTCCTTGGAAGGACTAAATCCAGTAAGAAAAATATTTCTTCCTGTAAATAATTCTGTTTAACCTTTTTTGAATTAGTGAGGCTAACTTTTGGCTTGTCTGCAGCCCCCTGCTTACAAGGAGCCGTCAATAATTGTTCCAGGAAGTCACCCGATTGTGCAACATGAGATTTTGAATAATAAAAGGCAAATTTTAACCAAGGTGAAACAGACTTCTCCGAATACTATAGTAAGACCACCACTGATAGACTATAGCGGGTCAATGATTTCTGTTTGGTTCTTCTCTTGCAGGACGCAGCTGGCTCCGTGAAACTATGGGATATAACTAAGGGTGTTGTGGTAGAGGACTATGGGAAGGTCTCTACGGAACTTAGACTTTGTTTTTGAGTTTCTGATATTGTTATATGTATCTGATGCTGTAATTCTGAAATATCATTATCATCCATCTCCAATATGCACCTGGAGAGGTACCAAGTATAAATGTATCTGTTTCCATGTTTGCAGATTTCATTTGATGAAAAGAAAGAAGAACTGTTTGAGATGGTAAGTCTCTTGGCTTAGTTTCAAAGGTTATGATTCCTTTTCCATAGCTAGACTAGCAGATTTGCTGATATATTGTTCATTTCTGCGTTTTCAGGTAAGCATTCCATCATGGTTTACGGTGGACACTCGACTTGGATGCTTATCCTTACATTTGGAGACTCCACAATGCTTTTCTGCGGAGATGTATTCAGCAGACCTTAAAGTTTCGGGGCGACCTGAAGATGATAAGGTAGATTAAATGCCTGCATCTTGAGTTTTGTTGAAGCTAATGACTTATTATCAGACTGTTGCATATCATAACTAGACCTTTGCATGCAAGTTCTATTTGAATCCGTTTATCATATTTGAATATCTTAAGACTTATATTTCCTATGTCCTAGTCAAACTAAGCCCAACTTTTGTCATTGAAATATGTGATTTGTAGATTAATTTAGCTCGAGAAACACTGAAAGGTCTACTGGGTCATTGGCTGGCAAAGAAGAAGCACAAACCAAAACCCCAAGTTCCTGCCCCTGGAGATATTCCATCCGTAAAAGATACTAAAAAGAACCTTATTGCATCCAAAAGTGAAGACACCAGTGCTGCAAATGATCCGGTGTATCCTCCATTTGAGTTTCCTTCTGTCTCCCCTCCTTCTATCATTACCGAGGGTTCTCAAGGAGGCCCATGGAGGAAGAAGATAACCGAGTTTACCGGAGCTGAAGATGAAAAGGACTTCCCGATGTGGTCCCTGGACGCCGTCTTGAACAATCGCCTTCCGCCTAGAGAAAATACAAAGTATATGACACCACCCTGTTCTCTAATGAAAAAAATAAGTAGACATTTAGCATTTTTCTCACGAGTGTTTATACATTTTTTGATAAATTGATAAATCATACCGGCTTTGCTTAAATATCTTACTTTGAAAGGTCTCTAAATTTCCAGATTAAGCTTCTTCCTGCATCCATGTGAAGGATCAAATGTGCAGGTGGTCACACTAGGGAAACTTAGTGCACCCCGGATCTTAAGAGTTCACAAGGTGCACTTATTCGTAAACTAAACCTATTGTTTTGCTTGCACTTTCTGTTATTCAATGGCTTCTTGTTTTCCACATGTCTGTGTAGGTTACCAATTACGTTGTGGAAAAGATGGTCCTTGACAATTCCTTGGATAGTCTAGCTATTGATGGAGCAGGTGTTTCAGGAGGACCACAACAACTGTTTTCAGGAAATGGATTGCTACAGTCTGGATCAAAGCCTTGGCAGAAACTCAGACCTTCCATTGAGATCTTATGCAATAACCAGGCAAGCCAGCTTCATGGAACCCATCAATGTTTTAACTTCTGATTGCTGAGAGCTGTATATGCTAACACATTACACGAAGAAATTGGTTCACTGGTCTCATCTATTATTTCCGGTATGAAGCTGAACGAGCTTTGTTTTCTGTGATTATATCAGGTCTTATCTCCAGAGATGAGTTTGGCAACTGTACGGGCATACATCTGGAAGAAACCTGAGGATCTAATCCTCAACTACAGGGTGGCTATAGCTAGATAACTTTTGAGGTAAATGATTTGGAAAGAAAAAAAAGGGTGAAAACTCATGAGAATGCATTATGTCGGTGTGTTTGTCAAGATGAAATATGTGGAGCACCACTCTCTTTTACTTGGGAAGGTGATCTCATTTTAGGTAGCCTTTGGTAGATTTTTCAAGTGAGCTTTTCACAACTCATGATACCAAAGCCTTTGTAGATTGCTCTCTTTTTTTTTTACATTTGAAACAATGATAGGGACATATACTTTATGTTGAAAATGAATATCACCATATCCTTTATTCCCCTACAGATTGCCACTGAAAGAGTTTCGAGTCCCCAAATTGGAATCTGCTGGTGCATTTAATCACATGGAAGTCTATAGCTGTTCATTGCTTGTTCATTCCGTAAGCGTAAATCTTGGTTTAGTTTACTCAGTCAGCTTCATGCTGGAGAATAATTATGTTTTGTTGGAGCTCGGATTCATGAGAAGCGGGCATGAATACAGAGCAGTCGATAAAGGTTCAAGATTTTTAGATGAGATGGTGTCGAAAACTTTACTGAGTTTGTACATTAGGTTTGAGCTTTCAAAAAAAATAGAAAAACTTGATATCTCTGTTTATGAAATAATGAATAACGAACCAGTGTTGTAGCTGAAATTCAACATCCATTGTGAAAGCAACTTGCCTGAGTAACGGTCTCTTGTTTTCTAAGATAGGTTTCGAATTTATTTGAAAAAGTTTTCATAAGCTTCAGGCCAATTACTAAATCGCGCTATAGAATTGAAACAAAACTGAGTCCTACTCAGAAATACGTCATCACTATCCAAAGTACCAAGCAAACAAACAAATTGTTCCCACATTTTTCATTCACATAAGAACAAAACCCCACTTTGTCTACGCCAAAGGCAGTAGGATTCATAATTGTCTGGTCTCTTTGAATACAAAATAGAGCAGAATTATATTGTTCTTTGATGTCATCAGGTTTTTAACTTTCCATGGCGTTTCCATCAGCTTCGGCCATCTCACGTTCTTTCTCTTGCTCCTCTGCAATGAGACAAAGAAAATGCAATTGTTACTTCCATAATAACAGTTCTTTGAATTCTATTGACCAACACAAATACATCCTAACACTAACATGTCACAAAACCAAGGGATCAAGTGGATAAAGTAGTCACTTACGCATGAGTTTAGACATTGCCTTCTGAGTCCGCTTCTCGAGTTTATCAAGCTTCTTCTGGACATCTCTTCGGAGGTCCCAGTTTGGCTTCTTTGGAGCAATGTTAACGAAGGGGTCCTATAATGATAAACTGCTGTGTGAGCTAAGAGGCAGAGTAAAAGAAAACAGCAGCTCCATAACAAATGATTCATTTACAGAAAAAAAAGAAGAGCAGGTCAGTCAGTAGTCACACACCTCTTTCTTCTCGACTGCAGGTACAAGTGCGGCAATTGGATCTTCAAATTTGGGTAGCTCTGGTGGTGCAACTTTACCATCCTGAAGCTCCTTATCTTGGGGAACATAATTCCTAAACTTCATCGCTGGAGCTCTGTCAAATTGAAGAGAGCACATAAGCAGCAAGCACATGACAAAGTACAAACCTTTATTCTAAATAAAGACTGCGTAAATAGAACTCTAGATTGAAACAAAAAATAAGCAAAGAGCAAAGCATACTCACTCTTCCTCGACTGCATCATCTTGTTCGTCTTCCTTGCTCTCGGAAAGTTCCTGAGCTGCCCTTAGAGCTCTAAGCGCCTCTTTTCGAGCAGCCGATTTTTGTTCTATCGACTCATCTTCAGTACCCATATCTTCCTGCAAAATTAGGTTACTTATCGGCTTAATCATTGAATACAAAATCAATCAAGCAGTATTTCTAAACTAGCTCAGCTTCCTCAAACACTAATCACAAAAATCATAAAGATTAAACCCTAAATGAAACGATAAGGATTCAGCTAAAATCCGCGAATCGTAACATACAAAAGGAGTCAGCTAAAATTTTAGTAAGATCAGAGGTAAGCAATGGGAATCCAATTGAATTGAAGTATCGAATAGCTATCTACCGAGAATAATCAACGAGAGAAGTTGAAACCATACCTGGAAGCTTCGAGCTCTATTTCTCAATTACACAGAGAAACAAATTTGCAGAAAGGAATTTTCAAAACTAAAAGAGAAAACGAAGACCGAAAACGCTGCCGTTTGAGATATAATCAATGGGCCAACTTTGGGCCCGTTAGACTGAAAACTGAAACCCGCGTTTTGGTCCAAACACTAAACCCTAAGTTTAAAATTACAGAAATACCCCTTTACAGACGCCGCGTTTTGAGTGATGTCCGAGTACTATAATACGCTCTTAAACCCTAACAAATTGTATGTCTCCGTCGACTTCGTCTTCTCCCTCCCTCTAACGAAAGCAGCTTCGATTATCTCAGGTACTGGATCTCTCTCCTCTAGGGTAATACTCTTTCGTGCTTCTCGCTGGAGATTGTAGAGTTTTTAATACTTCTACAGAGTTTTATGGCTTATTGTAGTTGCTCTTATTTTCCTCTGCAATGTCTTATGAAAACTATGATATGTGAACCAAAAGCTCAAAAGGGTTTATAGGGAATGGTGTTTATTGCTAGATTCTGGTTTCAAAACGTTAGCTTTTGATTTAATTAGTGATAATTATTAGTTTGCTCAGCTCATTAGTCTGGTTCTGGATATCAGCTTTTTTTCTCAGTAGCTCTCAATTGATTAAAGGGTTCTGTTAATATTTCTTTACAGGTATTGACTTGAGAGTTTTGTGAAGATGCTTCTACTATTCGAGACACCTGGAGGTTTTGCCCTCTTTAAAGTTAAAAATGAATCGAAGTTGGCTAACGTTGAGGTGAATTATAATTACTCTTTTATGGTTTCTTTACTCAAACCTTATGAAATATTGTCTTTCGTTTGTTATTCTTAATGTCGTAAATTGAATGTTTTTGTAGGATCTGGGTAAAGAGTTCGAAACTCCAGACTCAGCACGAAAGGTGATGTTTTCTTCTGTTTCTCTGTGCTATATAATCAATGTCTATTGTTATTATTTTATTTTGCTTCTAGTGTATGGTTTCTGACATCTTTTTTGTTGGTGTAACAGATGGTTAAGCTAAAAGCTTTTGACAAGTTTGACAACACATCTGAAGCACTCGAAGCAGTGGCTAAGTTGCTTGAGGGAACTCCAAGCAAAGGTCTCCGCAAGTTTTTGAAAGCCAACTGTGAAGGTGAAACCTTGGCGGTTGCTGATTCAAAGCTTGGAAATGTCATCAAGGAGAAGCTGGTTTGTATTTTAGTTTGCATAAATATGTCTTGTAGTTCTGTGGTTGTTTTTGTTCTAATGAAGTTTTAACAATACAGAAAATTGATTGTGTTCACAACAATGGTGTGATGGAGCTACTACGTGGTGTTAGAAGCCAGTTCACAGAGCTCATATCTGGTTTGGGTGATCAAGACTTGGCTCCAATGAGTTTGGGTTTGTCTCACAGTCTAGCTAGATACAAGCTCAAGTTCAGCTCTGACAAGGTATGGCTTTGTCTCTGTTAGAACAAGTAATAGTTTGCTTTTCTTATGTTTCATGTGAGGTATATGATTTAAGCTATGCTGTTGTTATTTATTAATCTTTTTCACACCTTATGATTAAATTTTTGGAATTTGGTTAGGTGGATACGATGATTATCCAAGCTATTGGTCTGCTCGATGATCTTGACAAAGAACTGAACACATATGCGATGAGAGTTAGAGAATGGTACGGCTGGCATTTTCCCGAGCTTGCTAAGATCATATCAGACAACATCCTCTACGCTAAATCTGTAAAGTTGATGGGGAACAGGATTAATGCTGCCAAGTTGGACTTCTCTGAGGTATTTTTCATACTGTGAACTTTATACAGATAACTCTTTTAACAAGACGTCCTGTATAATGATCCTCTCTACTTCTGTCTCTTGTTGGGTTTCAGATCTTAGATGACGACGTTGAGGCAAATTTGAAGGAAAATTCTGTGATATCTATGGGAACAGAAGTCAGTGACCTTGACTTACTGCACATCCGTGAACTCTGTGACCAGGTTCTTTCTCTTGCTGAGTACAGAGCCCAGCTCTACGATTACCTGAAGAGCAGAATGAACACTGTTGCTCCTAATCTGACTGCCTTGGTTGGGGAGCTTGTTGGTGCTCGTCTTATTTCCCATGGAGGTAGTTTGTTGAACCTTTCCAAGCAACCTGGAAGCACCATTCAGATTCTCGGTGCAGAGAAAGCTCTCTTTAGAGCACTCAAGACAAAGCATGCCACACCCAAGTACGGATTGATTTACCACGCATCTGTGGTTGGTCAGGCAGCACCAAAACACAAGGGAAAGATCTCGCGTTCATTGGCTGCTAAAGCTGCTCTTTCTATTAGGTGTGATGCTCTTGGCGATGGTCAAGATAATGCTTATGGACTTGAAAACCGTACCAAGGTAACAAAACACTCTTCAATTCTCTTCGTCTTCTGAACAGTCTCTTGTTATGTTTTTCCCTGTTTACCTGATGATGTTTCTGGTACCTTTTGATTTAACAGCTTGAGGTAAGGTTGAGATCTCTTGAAGGAAAAGATTCAAGCCGTCTGTCTGGTTCAGCTAAAGGCAAACCTAAGATTGAAGTCTATGACAAGGACAAGAAGATGGGGTCTGGCGGTCTTATCACTCCTGCTAAGGTAAAGATTAGTCTCTCTTTGTTTGGGCTTGAGAAACTTGTTGCAATTGAGTCTTATCTTTGCTTGTTCTTGGGTTTTCTGATGTAAATCTTGGTTGTTTGTTATGTGCAGACTTACAACACTGCTGCGGATTCTCTTATTGGGAAAACACCAACTAAGTCTGAGGCCGAGGATGGTGAGAAGTCATCAAAGAAGAAAGATAAGAAGAAGAAGAAGGTGGAAGAAGAGGAACCCGAGAAAGAGGAATCATCAAAGAAGAAGAAGAAGAAGAAAGCTGAAGCAGAAACTGAAGTCGTAGAGGTTGCCAAGAAGAACAAGAAAAAGAGAAAGCATGAGGAAGAAGAAACAACAGAGACTGAAACACCAGCCAAGAAGAAAGATAAGAAGGAGAAGAAGAAGAAAACCAAGGCCTGAGTAAGAAAAGATTTTGATAAATTTCTCGGAATGTATGATTTGGTAGTGTTTTTGATGAATTGCATTTTATCTAGAAGAAATGTTGTTAAACTGGTTACTAGATTACGCTGGAACTTTAATATTTTGACTTTTGAGATGTTTAATTTTGGAACCCTTTTTCATTTTGTTTGTTTGTATACATTTCGACTTCCAACAAACCAAAAAGAAGCTCTCCTCCCGTCTTAGAAACTCCTTAAATTCCTAGCATGCTTGGGACTGCTCTTGAGAATCTGGGGACGTCCTCCGTAGCACAATAGGTCTTCCTATTAAACACACACTCATATGGCCATGCAATCCAAATAGATCCAGCATTTGAGAAGAAGTTCCAGATATGATTCAACCTTAATACCATTTCAAAATCCGCAAGCACCTTCTTCTTTTGGCTTGCATACCAAGAGCCGATCCTGTTCTGTTCCTTGTTTGGTTTACGATTGAGTGTTGATCAAGTAATCACTATTTCTGAAGATGTACCTACTATACGAGGCACGATCAGGTTATGCCCTCTTTGATGTACAAGTAAGGATGAGAGTTATCTTCGTTATGTTCTAGCTTCTTTGCTTAAACCTTGGGAGTTGGGATCACTCTCGATTTTTGTTGTCGTAAAACTCATCGATTGGTTTAATATATTTTTCTGGATATGTTGGATAAAGAGTTGTCATCACTAGACTCATTACCCAAAACGAAGAAGAGGATGGACGAGGATGAACCCGAAAAAGAAACAACGATAACTGAAAAACAAACCAGCCAAGAAGAAAGATGAGAAGAAGAAGAAGAAGAAGAAGAAGAAAACCAAGGCCTGAGGAATAGAAAAAATCTCTTTGGAGTGTAAAGACGAATGATGGAAATAAAAAGTTCCTCTTGATTCCCTAAAAGTTACACCATTTACAAATTACAAGCAATGTTTTTGTGCATTATGATAACACACCTTACATGTTTTTTGTAACATGCTAGCCAAATTATGAATTGTGTCACTAACATTTTGTTTGACGCGCTAATGTACTTATTATCGGTTAAACAATCTTACATGTAAATCTAACATTTTGTTAAACGCTCTAACGTAATTAATTATTGTCTGTTTATCTTATACACTATAGTAACAAGTTGCATACTTTTGTTTGATTGTTATCCGTTAAATTTACATGTTATTCATAGTAAGAACATAGAATGAGATTTAAACCTATCTCTCTGAGTTAACTCATGGAGGTTGGTTTACAACTGAGTGCTGATAAAGTAATCACTAGTTCCTTTGTTGGAGCTCTATTTCTCAACAACACACACAAAACAATTTGCATCAAGTTATTTTCAAAGCTAAAAGAGAAATGGAAGACCGAAAACGCCGCCGTTTAAGATATGATATCTGGGCCTCTTATTGAGCCCATTCGTCTAATAACTTAAACCGCCGTTTGGTCCAAACTCTTAACCCTAAGTTTTAAAGTTACAGAAAGAGCCCCTTTTTAAACGCAGCGTTCTGAGTGATGTCCGATTGAATAACACCCTCTTAAAACCCTAACTGATTGTCTGACTGTCTCCGGCTTCTTCCTCCCTCTCAAGCAGCAGCTTTGATCAACTTAGGTACTGAATCTCTCTCCTTCTCACTTTTCACGGTGAATGCTCTTTCATTGTTTCATCTTTCTCTCTGGAGTTTCTCGTGTTTTGAATTCTTCGACATAGTTGTGTAGCTTATTGTAGTTTATCTCTTCTTTTTTCTTTCCTGCATTTTATTATGGAATTTGTGATATGTGAAACAAAAGTAGGGAAAGGGTTTCTCGGTTTTCTGATATCAAGACATCAATTTCCTATTTTTAGTCTTTAATAGCGCAGTTATGGTAGCTGAGAGTATGACTCTGATACTCAGCTTTTTCTCTGTAGCTCTCAATTGATTAAAGGGTTCTCTTAATTTGTTTTATTCAGGTATTAACTTGAGAGCTTTGTGAAGATGCTCTTACTATTCGAGACGCCTGGAGGTTTTGCCCTCTTTAAAGTTAAAAATGAAGGAAAGCTTGCTAACGTTGAGGTGAATTCTCTATATTCTTTTATGGTTCCTTTACTCGAACGTTTTGAAATATTGTCTTTTGTTGTTGTTCTTAATGGCATTGATTTAATATTTTCGTAGGATCTGGGTAAAGAGTTCGCATCTCCAGACTCAGCACGAAAGGTGATGTTTTCTTCTGTTTCTCTGTGTTTTTTATTTAATTTTGCTTCTAGTGTTTGGTTTCTGATACCTTTTTTTGTTGGTGTAAACAGATGGTTAAGCTAAAAGCTTTTGATAAGTTTGACAACACATCTGAAGCTCTCGAAGCAGTGGCTAAGTTGCTTGAGGGAACTCCAAGCAAAGGTCTCCGCAAGTTTTTGAAAGCTAACTGCGAAGGTGAAACCTTGGCTGTGGCTGATTCAAAGCTTGGAAACGTCATCAAGGAGAAGCTGGTTTGTGTTTTTTTCTTTTTTGAGTTTCCATTAATATGTCTACTGTTGTGTGGTTTTTGTTTCTAACGAGAGTTTCATCTTTCAACTAATACAGAAAATCGATTGTGTTCACAACAATGGTGTGATGGAGCTACTTCGTGGTGTTAGAAGTCAGTTCACAGAGCTCATATCTGGTTTGGGTGATCAAGACTTGGCTCCTATGAGTTTGGGTTTGTCTCACAGTCTCGCTAGATACAAGCTCAAGTTCAGCTCTGACAAGGTATGGCTTTGTCTCTGTTAGAACAAGTTTTTTATTTTGTTTGTGTATTGATTTAAGCTATGCTGTGGTAACCATCATATGTCCTTCTGACTTCTTGTGTGTGTTTTTTGTGTTGTCTTTATTTTTGATTTTGTTTAGGTGGACACGATGATAATCCAAGCTATTGGTCTGCTCGATGATCTTGACAAAGAGCTGAACACATATGCGATGAGAGTTAGAGAGTGGTACGGATGGCATTTTCCCGAGCTTGCTAAGATCATTTCGGACAATATCCTATACGCCAAATCTGTGAAGTTGATGGGAAACCGGATTAATGCTGCCAAGTTGGACTTCTCTGAGGTAATATTCGTACTTTGAAATTTGTAAAGATGACTCTGGTACCAAGACGTCCTGTATAATGATCGTTAATATATCTGCTCCCGGATGTGTTGCAGATTTTAGATGACGACGTTGAGGAAAAAATGAAGGAAGATTCTGTGATATCTATGGGAACAGAAGTCAGTGACCTCGATTTACTGCACATCCGTGAGCTCTGTGACCAGGTCCTCTCTCTTGCTGAGTACAGAGCCCAGCTCTACGATTACCTGAAGAGCAGAATGAACACTGTTGCACCAAATCTGACTGCCTTGGTTGGGGAGCTTGTTGGTGCTCGTCTTATTTCCCATGGAGGTAGTTTGTTGAACCTTTCCAAGCAACCTGGAAGCACCATTCAGATTCTCGGTGCAGAGAAAGCTCTCTTCAGAGCACTCAAGACGAAGCATGCCACACCCAAGTATGGATTGATTTACCACGCGTCTGTGGTTGGTCAAGCAGTACCAAAGCATAAGGGAAAGATCTCCCGGTCATTGGCTGCTAAAGCTGCTCTCTCTATTAGGTGTGATGCTCTCGGTGATGGTCAAGATAACGCTTATGGACTTGAAAACCGTACCAAGGTAACAAAACACTCTTCAATTCTTCTTCCTGGTCCTACTAGCTGGATAGTCTTTGGTCATGTTTTTCATGTTTTTCCCTTGTTACCTGTTGATCTATAACAGCTTGAAGTAAGGTTGAGATCTCTTGAAGGAAAAGACTCAAGTCGTCTTTCTGGTTCAGCTAAAGGCAAACCTAAGATTGAAGTCTATGACAAGGACAAGAAGATGGGGTCTGGTGGTCTTATCACTCCTGCTAAGGTAAATATGAGTCTCTCTCTTTGTTTGTGTTTGAGTCTTATCTTTTGTTTGTTCTTGGGGTTTATGATGTAAATCTTTGGTGTTTATTATGTGCAGACTTACAACACTGCTGCAGATTCTCTTATTGGGAAAACACCAACTAAGTCTGTGACCGAGGACGGTGAGAAGTCATCAAAGAAGAAGGATAAGAAGAAGAAGAAGGTGGAAGAAGAGGAACCCGAGAAAGAGGAATCGTCAAAGAAGAAGAAGAAGAAGAAAGCTGAAGCAGAAACTGAAGTCGTAGAGGTTGCAAAAGAGGAGAAGAAGAATAAAAAGAAGAGAAAGCATGAGGAAGAAGAAGCAACAGAGACCGAAACACCAGCCAAGAAGAAAGATAAGAAGGACAAGAAAAAAAGTAAGAACTGAGGAGTAGAAGAAATCTCCTTAGTGTAAGATTTAGTGTTTTTGTCGTGAGTTTTATTTTATCTAATTATCTGAAATCATAAATCCTTTCCGCTGAGACTTAACATTTTGTTCTAGAATCTTTAGATTGTTTTTTGGGACCACTCTTTTATTTAGCTAGTACATTTTTCTCTGGCATGTTTATTTCGAAAATGATATGTTCTGAAGAAAACGAATCACATAAAATCAAATGCTTGCTACAAAACGTGTCTGTAGATCCACCTAATAAATTCTGTTAAAATATTAAGGATTTGAAGGCGGCTAATCTTTTATGATCTTGTATACGGCTAATCTTTTTATGATCTTGTATATGTTTATTTATTAACTTGGCATGATTTATGTTCGTTATTTTCTGGCATGATTCTGATATAAACTTTAATAAATTAACACGATTTGTTGCATAAGTCATTAAATTTAGTATGTTGTCTATAAAGAGTACATAAACAATTGTAATACAGCTTTATTTATTAAAACGAAATAGAGAAATGGTTTCGTCTAAAAGACAGAAGTAATCACTAGTTCCTTAAGCATTTGTTCCTTGTTTGGTTTACAAATGAGTCTTGATAAAGGGGCTTCTTTGATTGGAGAGATGAAGGAAACTCTCATTATATACCATAATTGTTTTTCCAACTCCTTGTTTAACATTGAAAAAAAGTCATACTAATAATTTAACGATACATTCCGAAATTAGGTGGATGTACAACACATATTATTTTCTTGTGTTAAGTAATACCGTTTGACCAAAATTATGTTATAGATCAAACTATTTTTCTATATTTGATCATTGTCATTGAAAAACCCACTTCTTTTGCACCATTGGATTTGGACCTCACGCTAAAAAAAAGACGGCAATGTTCTCTTAAAAAATGTGTGTATTTAAAAAGAAAATAAAATTTCAGGATTCAGAAAAGAAAACAACAATAATTCAACCGAAACTTTAAACTTTATATATGCAAAGAGAGAGAAAACTAAGTAAAAAAATCATATATCAAATGCTCTGAGGTTTTTGGTTGGTAAGAGTAGTAAATTTGAGCCTTTTGACCTGTTGCGTCCAAACACAATTACACATAATAGAAACAGCCAACAGATCTTCGTCTGTTTCTATTTATTCCTTTTTCTTGTCTGATTCTAAGCTAAGAAGAAGGCAAAAAAAAAAAGAGTTATTGAAGTAAAGAAAAAGCCTAATTGGAAGCAGTTCAACCAATCCTTCTCCTTGAGACTTTTACCGAAGTTGGTCTCTCTTCTTTCTTAATTAATGGAGGTAAGTATATTTTGGTCTACGACTCCTATAGGCTATAGCTTATATCATATTTGTGTAATTGTGTATGTATCACCTTGGCTTTTTCTAAAGCCCGAATTGATTTTTGCTTTAAAGGTTTCATTTTAAAAACTTCTGGTTTTTCCTTTTTCTTTTTTGGCTCTCTTTTGTGAAGATTTTGAAATCCCTCATTAAATCCATCCATTCGACCATTCCTATTTCTATTGTTGAATTTTGTTTTCTCTTTGAGTTTGAGTCAGCTTTGTATCTAAACAAGTTTCAGATCTTTGACTTCTCTCACATCAGCCTGACATCTCCTGTCTTAACACTTAGGGTTTTAATTCTTCCTTTTTGGGTTTTTCTGCAGCTGCTTTTGTCTGGTCAAGTTTCAGATTTGACCATCTGTGTCGCCAATTTCGCCTCTCGATCATAAAGTAAGTAGATTTCTCCGACCCTTTTCCAAATTTTACTTAGTCAAATCTGATCTCCGAGCTGGAATCAAACTAATTCTGATCGAATTTCCCAATTCTGTGTGTTAGCTGCAGTTGAAGTTGAATCAGAACGATTTGATTGCGTCAAAGAGATCTCTTTTAGAAACATGATGAGCAAATGAAGGTTAGTTTGATGAGATGGGTTGTGTATTGGGTCGACCCGGATCACCAGGATCAGTTTCTGGGTCTAGACAAGAATTTAGCTCAAGGATCGAGTCTAATCGCAAAGAAGCAAACAGTGTTTCCGTGACTAAAACCGAAACCACCGAGATCGCCGCCGCTAGTGTTCGGGTGGCTGCTGCTTCTGCTTCTAATGGCGAAGAGATTAGGAAAGATGAAGAAGCTATTGTGAATCAGAAGGAACCAAATGGCGTTGCTGTGACGGAGAGGAAACCCAAAGGCGAAAGAAAAAGGTCAAAGCCTGACCCGAGACGGAGCAATCCGCCGAAGAATTTGCCCGGTGAGCAAGTTGTCGCCGGATGGCCACCGTGGCTGTCTGAAGTCTGCGGAGAAGCTCTAAGTGGCTGGCTTCCACGGAAAGCTGATTCCTTTGAGAAGATTGAGAAGGTCAGAGAAGAAAAAAATCTCTTTTTTTATTTGCTCTCTTTGTAAAGATCTGATTTTTTTGTTCTTTGTAATGATTTTGGATTAATGAAAGTTTCTTGCTTTTGTTATGTGTGTGTGTAGATTGGATCAGGAACATACAGTAATGTGTACAAAGCGAAAGATTCTTTAACAGGAAACATCGTGGCGTTGAAGAAAGTGAGGCCAGATGTAATGGATCGAGAGAGTATGAGATTCATGGCTAGAGAGATTCTGATTTTAAGGAGATTGGATCATCCAAACGTCATCAAACTCGAAGGTTTGGTCACGTCGAGGATGTCGAATAGTCTCTACTTGGTTTTCCGTTACATGCATCACGACTTAGCCGGTCTCGCCGCGAGCCCTGTCATAACATTCACCGAGCAGCAGGTGAAATGCTACATGAAGCAGCTCCTCTCGGGGCTCGAGCATTGTCACAGCAGAGGCGTGCTTCACCGTGATATCAAAGGATCGAACCTTCTTATAGACGACGGAGGAGTGCTTAGGATAGGCGATTTCGGGCTGGCGACGTTTTACGATGCGAGTAAGAGGCAGCAGATGACGAACCGAGTTGTTACTTTGTGGTACAGAGCGCCTGAGCTTCTTCATGGTGTTGTTGAGTATGGTGTTGGTGTTGATTTGTGGAGCGCTGGTTGCATTTTGGCTGAGTTGTTAGCTGGTAGACCGATTCTACCAGGTCGTAGCGAGGTTGGTCCAAAGAAAGATTTGATTTTTTTTTGTTTCACATATTTGAGAAATGTTTTGATTAGAATGTGACTTCTATGGTGTTGTAGGTGGAGCAATTACATAGGATAAATAAGTTGTGTGGATCGTATTCAGAAGAGTGTTGGAGAAAGATTAAGCTTCCTTCTACGCATAAGCAGGCTTATGCAAAGATACCACAGTATAAGAGAAGAGTGAGAGAGGTTTACAAAGATTTCTCTCCAGAGGCACTTTCTCTACTCGATACGCTTCTTGCGCTCGATCCTGCTGAGCGCAAGACTGCCACCGATGCGCTGAGGAGTGATGTAAGTCTTACGCAATGGAAAGTTTGGTCCTTAACATCTGCAGCTTGTTAAGCTTTTTATGTTTGAGTCTGAGTTTGAGTCTTTTGATATTTTATATAACTTCAATGGCTCTGGTTTTTGGTTTTGATTTGCAGTTCTTCACGACGGAACCACTTCCATGTGAACCTTCTGATCTCCCGAAATATCCTCCGACGAAAGAGATTGATGCCAAGAGACGAGACGAAGAGTATCGGAGGTATACATTTTCTGTTTTCGGTTTAATCGAATTTTTCTGTTTTGGTGCGGTATCAGTTTCCGGTTCGGTTTGATTTGGTTTGGAATTGATTATTGGTTATTGATTTGCGCAGACAAAGAGAAGCCCGTAAGGCCCAAGGAGAGAGCGGAAGAAGAATGAGACCACGAGAGCGAGGCCCAAGAGCAATGCCGGCTCCTGAAGCTAACGCCGAGATTCAATCTAACATTGACGTAAGAGTTGGACACATTCTTGGTTTAGTTCTCACTTCTTAGTTCATGTCTGAATGAATAATTTTGAAATTTTTGTCTTTTTTAAAAAAAAACAGAGGATGCGTTTGATCACGCATGCGAATGCGAAGAGCAAGAGCGAGAAGTTTCCTCCACCGCATCAAGACGGATCGCTTGGTTTTCCGGTGGGATCTTCACGGCGGTTTGATCCAGCAGAGATACCGTTTAGCTCAAACTCGTTCACTTCGTCTTACTCGAAAGAGCCATTTCAGACTTGGTCAGGCCCTTTGGCTCCCACTGGAGCGTCTGACTCAACAGCTCGGAGGAGGAACGATATTAACAAGGAGAGAAGAATTGCTGCTAAGGTTAAAGGGAAAAGAATCGTTGTTTGAGTCATGTTATATTATTATTATTCATCTGCAAGTTTCTAAAGGTTTCTTTTTGATAGATACTTTGAGAGACAGAGAGAGAACAAAAAATCTGAATTTTTTTTGGTGGGGTTATATGTTTGGTTTGTGTATTGTTCAAGAGAATTGACAAAACACTGAATGAGGAAAATTACAGTCAATGAAACTGTTTCATTGTCAAGAGAAATGAAAATGTAAATTTTGAAGAAGCTGTGTCGAAAACTCCTCGTGTAGTACTTTTGTCGGCATATACTACATTCATTTAGATCACATTGATTTTATTTAAGTAGACAGTGAAACCGCTAAGTACAGACCCATGAGATCTCTGTTGAAAGTTGAAACAGACCCATGAACTTTGTCACATAATCAGAAATCAATTATTAAATGATTACTAGTAGGATTTAAGCACATTGCAAATGTTTTATAAAAGTTTGTAAATGCAGAATTTAGATTTTAACAATTTTAGTATAATAATGAGATAATCGACACACAGAAGATAGTAAGATTTAAGATATTATACATATGGAAGATTGATGAATACATGATACTAGGGCTGCTTGATTAAGCAAGAATGCAAGATTAATGAATACACTTATGTTCTTGATCTGTAATTCTAGTTGTGATACCAAATATAAACATTATGTAAATGTTTCCCCCGTCTACTTACATGTGATCTAATCACTTTGTTGTATAAGTATTTTCAAAACATTTATATGTTTTTCAATGAAGTGTTTTTGATTAGATAAACCCATAAAAGATGTCATTTTATAGAAACCAGTAAAATGTTTAGGGTTAGTAACTTTTAATTGGTAACAATTTATAGATATTTTTAGAACTGTTAGTATTATTGTTTGGTAGTCAAAATAAAGAAATTGATTAGCATTTAAATCATGTGGGGTCATGTATTTATAACGTTCCTTACGAGAGAAGAAAAACGAGAAAAATGTCTTCGGGGTCCACGTATGTAAGTAATTATTTTGATAAACACATACTGTACATAAAATATAGGTGTATCTATTAAATATAGGTCTAGGTGTATCTATTAAATAGACGAGAGAACAAAAACGAGAAAAATGTTTTCGGTGTCCACGTATGTAAGTAATTATTTTGATAAACACATACTGTACAAAAATCAGCATCTAGATACAACAAAAAGGAAGAGAACAAAAATTGTGAAACCGCTGAATACAACGTAAGATTTTTGAAAGATAATTAAAATCGCAATAAAACAAAAAACAGATAATCGTTTACACTTATCAACTTGTCTGACTAATAAAATAAATAGTCAAATTTGTACAAAAAAAGGAAAATACCAAGATTTTTCATGAGTTTGATTGTCTACGACGCGGTCCACAGCAACTCAAAAACTCAACTAAACAACGGCTATAAAGCCGCCAAATCGATTTACCTTCTTCCCATTAAACAAACATTAATTTACGAATCCTCTTTGCCTCTCTAAGCAAACGACTCTCTCTTTTTCCTGAAAATTCGATTTCCAGTTAATTTCTCAGTCACCGTGAAATTTGTCCGGGAGAATCGAATCCTTAGCTTTCTCTTCGGGTGATAGAATCCCTCTCGTTTCCGGTGTTTTCAGTCGCGTCTCCGTTGATAGCTCCTTACGCGAACCTTCACTGGAATAGCTTCGAGGCCTCGAAATTTCTGAATTTTGATCTTCCTTCTTCTGTGTGATCGGATCGTTGTCTCGGCTTTCGTTTGTAGCTCTAAAGTGATAAGATCGCTCGGGGCGCTTCAGGTTAAGCCATTCGGTTCTACTCTTAGTGTAAATTTTTTTGTTTGTTAAGGTCGTCGTGGCTGATAGCTAGGAAGCGGGACGAAAAAACAATTGTGGTGCTTAAGTTCGACCTAATTTGATTTAACATACAAAGTCGGGAAGTTGAGAAAATTGGTGTATCATGTTTATCAATCAATCAAAATTTTGCCTCTTAGTGTCACTCCTTTCGTGTACTTGTTCATAAAATCTTAGTCCGATGCCATTTTTATGTTTACTTGTGTTTGTGATCCTGAGATTTTGTTTGGTGTTATACAGGAATTGTTGGAATGGAGGGTCCACGGAAAAAGATGAGAGATATTTGACTCGCAGATTTTAATATTTGACGTCTTAAAAGAAAATAATCGAAAAAGGGAAAAAAAGAAAGTGGTTGAAGAAGATGATAACGCTGGCTTCTCATTTCAGCTCTTTAACGTCTGAGTCCTCGTCTCAGTTCGCCTCTGTGATTTCAATTAATATCATTGTTACCCTTCTCTGCCTTTGTATTGTGATTGGCCATCTTTTGGAGGAGAATCGATGGCTGAACGATTCAATCATAGCTTTATGGATTGTAAGTTCACTTCCTTCAACTGTCCATTATTTGTGTTAGACTGGTATCTGAAGATGCTAATGCAGGAGGAGGACTCACGGATTAGCTTTTAACATGTTGGATTTAATCATATCCTCCAATGTTTCATCTTTATTGACTTTCTTAGCAATTTTGGTTGCAGGGGTTTGGCACTGGTGTCGTCATTTTGTTCCTTACCCGAGGGACAAACTCACATCTGCTCGTCTTCAAAGAAGATCTTTTCTTTATATATCTTTTGCCACCCATAATTTTCAATGCAGGGTAAGTTTCCACATACAGTATCAAAGGAAATGCAGTAAAAAATTATCCGGTGTTTATCAAAGATCTTACTGAAGGACGTTATACAAATTACTTAAAATTATGCATTATTGCTGATTCCCTGAATATGCTTTCATATAGTAGCTTTGGGAAAGTATTTGTGATTGTGACTGCAGAATAGGACCAGGGTTTAATGTTTGTGGGTCAATATTAATTTCATTTATCTACCTGTAAATTTAGGTGGTCCTGCTATGTCTTTGCCGTAAATGCACAAAGGTCCAGTTTTTTTTTGTTGATACTGTTTTCACAGTTTTACTGTCGTTGCCTGTAGGTTTCAAGTTAAAAAGAAGCAATTTTTCCGCAATTTTGTGACTATTATGATTTTTGGCGCCATTGGGACTGTGATTTCTTCCTCTATAATATCACTAGGTATCTTACTTCTCACTCCTTTGGATTGAATCTGTTGAAGGCTTATATTAGATTTATAATATTTGTGTGATGTTTGAAACAGGTGCAATTCACTTCTTTAAGAAATTAGACATTGGGACCTTTGACTTGGGCGATTATCTTGGTAATGCATCAACTAGTTTTCCTCTTGTTCCTTTTGCTATGCTTTCTCGGTTTTGCTCTTGAAGACTTGATTTGTTTTGTGTTTATTTCTCAGCAATCGGCGTCATATTTGCTGCAACAGACTCTGTATGCACACTGCAGGTAATGTGTTTCTCTAAGAGTCTAAGTATCAGAAGTAGTCACAGGTCTAAAACTGAACTGAACATGAGAAACACGAAACAGGTTCTCAATCAAGATGAGACACCTTTTCTTTACAGTCTCGTATTTGGAGAGGGCATTGTAAACGATGCGACATCAGTTGTGCTCTTCAATGCAATTCAGAAGTTGGACCTCACCCACCTTAACCCTGAAGCAGCTTTTAATTTACTTGGAAGCTTCTTGTATCTGTTTATCTTGAGCACCTTGCTTGGTGCAGTAGTAAGTCCAATTTATTTTTGCTATCACTCTCTCTTCTGGCTACTTACACTCTCTTCTATTACCATCCGCAAATACAATATTGTTTTGTTTTGTTTATTCATCTTGCAGACTGGTCTCGTTAGTGCTTATTATATCAAGAAGTTTTATTTTGGAAGGTACGTAACTGACTTTGGAATGCATATGTGACTTTCTATAAGCCTGTCTGTGATGCGATCTAAAATGTGGCTCAGGCACTCGACTGATCGAGAGGTTGCCCTCATGATGCTTATGGCATATCAATCATACATGTTTGCTGAGGTTAGATTCTGTGAAAACTTGCTATTTAAGCATGGAAACATTCAGTTTATTGATGTTATTTTGTTTGGGTTGTAGCTATTCGCCTTGAGTGGTATTCTCACAGTATTTTTCTGCGGGATTGTGATGTCCCATTACACTTGGCACAACGTAACCGAGAGCTCAAGAACAACTACAAGGTAATACAATCTCCAGTTTCTCCATCATTTACTTGACCAACAAACTTTTACATCCTCAATACTTACTCTCTATGAATTTACGATGATACAGGCATTCCTTTGCTACTCTGTCGTTTCTTGCTGAGATTTTTATCTTCCTTTACGTGGGAATGGATGCATTGGACATCGAGAAGTGGAGATTCGTGAGTGACAGGTACGGTTACTCAGTAGAACAGAGAAACAATAAACTCTCTTCTCTTCTCTTTTCATGAGTGGCTTTATAATTCGTTCTCAGAATGTTTCTATTGTTTGGATTTTGAACAGCCCGGGGACATCGGTTGCAGTGAGCTCAATTCTGATGGGTCTAGTCATGTTTGGAAGAGCAGCTTTTGTGTTTCCTCTCTCCTTCTTGTCAAACTTATCCAAGAGAGCCGATAGCGAGAAAATCGATATCAAGCAGCAAGTACGTACAATCCACTCTTATCTATATCAGAATTTTTCTGTGGAATTGTTGAATGCCTGTTTTTCTTATATTCTGTGCCTTCGTCTACACAGGTTGTGATTTGGTGGGCTGGTATGATAAGAGGTGCTGTATCTATGGCTCTTGCCTACCACAAGGTAAAGTTGATAGCTTAATGAAGAATTGTAAATAGCTTCATGATGATTGGTGAGTAGCTAACAGATGTCTTAATTTCTGTAACGCAGTTTACAAACGCAGGGCACACTGGATTGCGCGGGAATGCAATCATGATTACCAGTACTATAACCGTTTGTCTTTTTAGCACCGTGGTAAGACATTTTTTCCTCCAAACGAAACAAATCAGAGCTTAAAGTTCTTTGAGAATTGAATTATTTTTGTTTCCGGGGTTTTCAGGTGTTCGGTTTGCTGACCAAACCGCTGATTAGATACCTAGCGCCACGTCAAAAAGCGACCACGAGCATGTTATCCGACGATATCACTCCCAAATCAGTTCACATTCCGCTCCTAGATGGCGAACAGCAAGATTCAATCGTCGAGCTCTCTGAGAACCAGCAGGACGTGCCACGGGCAGACAGCTTTCGTGGTTTCCTCATGCGTCCCACACGCACTGTACACCATTACTGGAGACAGTTCGATGATGCCTACATGCGTCCTGTCTTTGGTGGTCGAGGTTTCGTTCCCTTTGTCCCTGCTTCTCAGACAGAGAGCAGCTCCCAAGATCTTAGTAAACCTTGAGAAAGATTATAGTGCCTTTTTTTTGTTTTTCCAGATCTTTATTTTTGTGTAGTTTTATAAATCTGTATTAGTGCTGCTGTATTGTACTGTTTCATTTTGAGGAACTTGTGTGTGTGGGGTTTCTGTATACTATTAATTAGTCTTTGTTTGTTTGATTTGTAACGAAACTAAAACTACTACACGTTTCGTGTATGCTTTCTTTCTTTGGATCATGGGAACTTGACTTGTGTGGTACTGTCTTTTTGGTTCAATCCTGGCCAACCAAATAGAGACCGTTCTAATAAATTTGAGATGGGGTAGTTGTGAGTCTTGTGGCCAAACTATACGTATTTGTGTATGCTTTCACTACCGAGTCACTTTGTCCCACGGGTTCAAAATCGCCCGGTATGTTTGGTCAGGACCGGTCTTCGAAGTTCGAATCACTCTCACTCATTTTGTTGAGAGATGTTATCGATTTGCGCAGACAAAGAGAAGCCTGTAAGGCCCAACAAGGAGAGAGCGGAAGAAGAATGAGACCACGAGAGCGAGGCCCGAGAGCAATGCCGGCTCCTGAAGCTAACGCCGAGATTCAATCTAACATTGACGTAAGAGTTGGACACATTCTTGGTTTAGTTCTCACTTCTTACTTGATGTCTGAATAATTTTGAATTTTTGTGTTTTGTTCAAAAGAATTGACAAAACACTGAAATGAGGAAAATTACATTTAATGATTTTCTATGTAAATTTGTTATTTTTGCTATTCCCATGTGAAGAAAACTTATAGTCTCAAAGAATGGAAGCAGCCTCTGTTATCTCTGTACAAATACAATGCTTATGGGTATTAGGAGTACTTTTGTCAGTTTTCTACATTTATTTCTTTAAACCGGAGATCATTTAGATCTTATTGAATGCTGATTGGACAATGAAACCGCTAATTACAAAGCAAAAAGGAACAAAAATGAAAAAGGGTACAACAAGGCACAGGCATTAAAGTAAAGTTGTAAGTTCATGAGATCTCTGTTGAAACAGACCCATGAACTTTGTCACCTTCTATAGGTGCAGGCCCCCCATCTCAAATCAATTATTGTAACTATTTTTTTTGTTCCTTCTTATTAAATTATTATGATTGTTTCCAAATCATATAGGTGTATGATATGATATCTATTAAATATTATGTAAACAGATGAGAGAACAAAAACGAGAAATGTTTCCGGTGTCCACGTAAGTAACTAATGTAAGTAATTCTTATGATAAACACAAACTGTACATAACATAATTGTTCTAAAAAACATCAGCGTCTAGAGAACAAAAACAGTGAAACCGCTAAATACAACTTTAGATTTTTGAACGATAACCGCAATAAAACAAAAAACAGATAATCGTTTTCACTTATCAACATGTCTGCCAAGTGCTGAATCTGGAGCCTAATAAAATAAATAATCAAGTTTGTACAAAACAAGAAAATACCAAGATTTTTCTGTCATTTTTATCAGGAGATTACTTGTCTACGACGAGGTCCACAGTAACTCAAAAACGTCTAGAGTGATCTATTAGCCACCTAAATAACGGATATAAAGCCGCCAAATCGATTTACCTTCTTCCCTTAAACAAAACATTAATTTAAGAATCCTCTTTGCCTCTCCAAGCAAACGACCGTACACGTGTCTCTCTCTATCTCTTTTTCCCTGAAAATTCGATTTCCGTTTAATTTCTCAGTCGCCGTGAAATTTGTCCGGGAGAATCGAATCCTTAGCTTTCTCTTCGGGTGATAGAATCCCTCTCTTTTCCGGTGTTTTCAATCGCGTTTCCGGTGGTAGCTTCTTACGCGAACCTTCAGTGGAGCAGCTCCGGGGCCTCGAATTTCTGAATTTCGATCTTCCTTCTTCCGTGTGATCGTTGTCTCGGATTTTGTTTGTAGCTGTTGCAAAGATACAAAGTGATAAGATCGCTCGGAAGCGCTTCAGGGTAAGCGATTCGGATCCACTCATAAGTGTAAAATTTTGTTAAGGTTTTGGCTGATTGCTGGGAATGGGACGCAAAACAATAGTTGTGATTTAGTTCGACCTAATTTGATTAGCATACTCGTATAGGTCTTACGAAAAGGGGAAGATAAGAAAATTGGGTGTGTCATGTTTATCAATCATTCAAAATTTTGCCTCCTAGTGTCGCTCCTTTCATGTGCTTATTTTCAGATTTGGTTTCACTTCTAGATCTTTTATCTTTATGCGGTTTTTATGATGCCGTTTTAGGAAGTTTTATTTAATGCTGTTTATGATTCTGAGATTTTGTTTGGTGTGATACAGGAATTGTTGGTATGGAGGGTCCGGAAAGATGAGAGATATTTGATTCGCAGATATTAATCTTTGAGGTCTTAAATAGTTTGTTGTCTTGAGAATTTAGCCGAAAAAGGGAAAAAGAAAGTGGTTGAAGAAGATGACAATGCTGGCTTCTCATTTCAGCTCTTTAACGTCTAAAATGTATTCAGTGTCCACGTCTGATCACGCCTCTGTGGTTTCACTGAATCTCTTTGTTGCCCTTCTCTGTGCTTGTATTGTGATTGGTCATCTTTTGGAGGAGAATCGATGGATGAACGAATCCATCACAGCTTTATTGATTGTAAGTTCACTTGAACTGTTTACTGTCCATTGTTTGGGTTAAAATGTAGCTAAAGATGTTACTACAGGAGGACTCACGGATAAGCTTTTACATGTTGGATTTAATCATATCAGTGTTTCATCTTTAATGACTTGTTAGCAATTTGGTTGCAGGGGCTTGGCACTGGTGTCGTCATTTTGTTGCTTAGTAGAGGCAAAAACTCACATCTGTTGGTCTTCAGTGAAGATCTTTTCTTTATATATCTTTTGCCACCCATAATATTCAATGCAGGGTAAGTTTCTACATACAGTCTGATCATTTGCTTCTTGTTTTTGATGATACATGCATACTTCTGTTTTAGTTCTCCATTCGATAGACCTTTTGTTGTAGTAGTGGCATGTAAAGTGAAAATGCATAAAAAAAATCAGAGATCTTACTGAAGGACGTTATATAAATTACTTTAAAATTATGCATTATTGCTGATTCCCTGAATATGCTTTCATATATCAGCTTTGGAAGTATACTTGTGATTGTGACTGCAGAATAGGACCAGGGTATAACGTCTCTGGGTCAATATTAGTTTCATTTTTTTTGGGTGCAAAATATTAGTTTCATTTATCTACCTGTAATTTTAAGTGGTCCTGCTATGTCTTTGTCGTAGATGCAGATAACGTTCAGCTTCTTTTTTGTTGATACTGTTTTATAGATCTTTCTCTGACCCATAATTTTACTTTCGTTGTCTTTAGGTTTCAAGTTAAAAAGAAGCAATTTTTCCGCAATTTTGTGACTATTATGATTTTTGGCGCCATTGGGACTGTAATTTCTTGCACTATAATATCTCTAGGTACCGTACTTCTCCCTCCTTTGGATTGAATCTGTTGAAAGCTTATATCAGATATATAGATGTGGATCACTAATATTTTGTTGATGTTTGAAACAGGTGTTATTCAGTTCTTTAAGAAATTAGACATTGGGACCTTTGATTTGGGCGATTATCTTGGTAATGCATCAACTATTATTCCTTTTGCTCCTATTGCTTTGCCTTCTCGGTTTTGCTCTTGAAGACTTGAATTGTTTTGTGTTTATTTCTCAGCAATCGGCGCCATATTTGCTGCAACGGACTCTGTATGCACACTGCAGGTAATGTGTTTCTCTAAGTAGCAGAAGTACTTACAGGCCCAGAATTGAACTGTTCATAGCAAACACTCTTGTTCCTTTGGTGAAACAGGTTCTCAATCAAGATGAGACACCTTTGCTTTACAGTCTCGTATTTGGAGAGGGCGTTGTAAATGATGCCACATCAGTTGTGCTCTTCAATGCAATTCAGAGCTTTGACCTCACCCACCTTAACCATGAAGCGGGTTTTCTTTTTCTTGGAAGCTTCTTGTATCTGTTTATCTTGAGCACCTTGCTTGGTGTAGCAGTAAGTCCAATTTATTTTCTCTATCACTCTCTCTTCTGGCTACTGCTTACACTCTCTTCTGCTAATACAATTTTATTGTTTTGTTGATTCATCTTGCAGACTGGTCTGATTAGTGCTTATGTCATCAAGAAGCTTTATTTTGGAAGGTACGTAATTGACTTTTGAATTCATATGTGGCTTTCTATTTTCCTCTCTGTGATGCGATCTAAACTGGCTCAGGCACTCGACTGATCGAGAGGTTGCCCTCATGATGCTTATGGCATATCTTTCATACATGCTTGCTGAGGTTAGATTCTTTGAAAACTTTCTCTTAAGTATTTACTATTTAAGCATGGAAACATTCAGTTTCTTCTGAAGAATCCGTTTATTGATGTTATTTTGTTTGGGTTGTAGCTATTCGCCTTGAGTGGTATTCTCACAGTATTTTTCTGCGGGATTGTGATGTCCCATTACACCTGGCACAACGTAACGGAGAGCTCAAGGATAACTACAAAGTAATACAATCTCCAGTGTCTCCATCATTTGCTTGACAACAAACGTTTTCATCCTCAATGCTTACTCTCTATGAATTTACGATGATACAGGCATACCTTTGCTACTTTGTCGTTTCTAGCCGAGACTTTTATTTTCCTTTACGTGGGAATGGATGCATTGGACATCGAGAAGTGGAGATTCGTGAGTGACAGGTACGATTACTCAGTAGAACAGAGAACAATAAACTCTCTTCTTTTCTCTTTTCATGTTTCTTTGTTCGTTGGCTGTATACTTGTTATCTGAATGTTTGGGTAATGAACAGCCCGGGGACATCGGTTGCAGTGAGCTCAATTCTGATGGGTCTAGTCATGGTTGGAAGAGCAGCTTTTGTGTTTCCTCTTTCCTTCTTATCAAATTTATCCAAGAAAACCCAGAGCGAGAAAATCGATATCAAGCAGCAAGTACGTACAATCCACTCTTGTCTATATCATATTCAATTTTTCTGTGGAATTGTTGAATGCTTGTTTATCATAACATATACTCTTTGGCTTCGTCTACAGTTTGTGATTTGGTGGGCTGGAATGATGAGAGGTGCTGTATCTATGGCTCTTGCCTACAACAAGGTAATGGAGAATTGTAAACAGCTTCATGATGATTGGTGAATATCTAACAGATCTCTTAACTTGTTAATTTCGGTAACGCAGTTTACAAGATCAGGGCACACTGAATTGCGCGGGAATGCAATCATGATTACCAGTACTATAACCGTTTGTCTTTTTAGCACCGTCGTAAGACATTTTTCCTTCTCAGCATTTCATCCAGATAAACCGAATATGCTTAAACGTATTTGCATTTTCCATTTCCGAAAAAACCTAAACCAACTCAAAACCAGAGCTTAAAGCTCTTTGAGAATTGAATTATTTTTGTTTCGGGGGTTTTCAGGTGTTCGGTATGCTGACGAAACCGCTGATAAGACACCTAATGCCACATCAAAAAGCGACCACGAGCATGTTATCCGACGATAACACTCCGAAATCAATCCACATTCCGCTCCTAGATGGCGAACAGCAAGATTCATTCGTCGAGCTCTCTGGTAACCACCACGACGTGCCACGGCCAGACAGCATTCGTGGTTTCCTCATGCGTCCCACGCGCACCGTACACCATTACTGGAGACAGTTCGATGATGCCTTCATGCGTCCTGTCTTTGGTGGTCGAGGTTTCGTTCCCTTTGTCCCTGGTTCTCCGACAGAGAGAAGCTCCCACGATCTTAGTAAACCTTGAGAAAGATTGTAGAAACTTATCAGAAAACAAAATATCACTTCTTCTTCTTTCTCTCCGGTGATGTAAAGGCTTTTTTTTGTTGTTCTTTCAAATCTTTATTTTGTGTAGTTTTATAAATCTCTATTAGTACTGTTTTATTATTCGGTGGATGTCTTTCATTTTGAGGACGTGTCACGTGTGTGTGGGTTTTTGTATAGTAATGAGTCTTTGTTTGTTTGGTTGTAACGAAACTACTACACGTTTTGTGTATGCTTTCTAACTTTGAGTCATGGGTTTGTTGATGTTGGTTAGTATTACGAACTTGTCTCTTTCTACTAAGATGTGATTTGTTAGGTGTGGTACTGTCTGTTTGGTTCAATCTTGGCCAACCAAATAGAGACCGGTCTAATAAATTTGAGATGGGGTAGTTGCGACAAAACTATACGTATTTATGTGTGCTTTCACTACTGAGTCACTCTGGCCCACGGGTTTAAAATCGCCTATGTTTGGCTAGGACTAGGACCGGTCTTCGATTAATGACTGGTATTAAAATGCGCAATCAGTCTTAAGTCATTTTGTGTTTGATAAATTAATCGAACAGAGTTGGATTAGATAACCGATTAGTGACTGGTATTAAAATGTGTAATCAGTCTTAACTCAAAAGGAATCATGTAATTCATTGGTGTATTTAATCCGATTAATTTGGCGCGTGATAATATAATAGAGTCGCACGTGCAGGAATGCCGATGGGCTGAATATTTGAATAGTAGGGGAAGAGGCCCATGTTGTGAGAGTGACGACGTCGTTCGGAGTGTACGAAGCTTATAAATGGAAAGAGCTACCTTAGGACATCACGCTCTTTGTACACTCCGCCATCTCTCCATCTCTCTCGAGCAGATCTCTCGTGAATAGCGACAATGGCGACCACTTTCAGCGCGTTGGTCTCCATGCAAGCTACTTCTCTGGTAAATCTTTCAACAATTGGAACTTTTGTTTCCGAGATCGCTTTGATCCCTAAGATTTTAGATCATTTGCCTCCGATTCTGATTTTTTGCTGTTTGTTACCGCGTAAAACTTCTTAACGCATGTTAATTACGTGAAATTAGAAGAATGAATCGATGGTTTTACATTTTCTCCTGAGTTCGTGAGAATAGAAGAATGAAGAATGAATTCATTTCAAACTTCCTTCTTTTTCGTTTGTGATCAGTACAATTGAATTTATATTTACAGAAACAAATTTGTGTCATTTAAGGCTGTGATTATTATACGGTTAAAAAGCTATGAAACGTTACAGAACCAAAGTCATGAGTAATGATTTGAATGAAAATGTTTGTTATTGGTGAACAACAGGCAACAACAAGGATCAGTTTCCAAAAGCCGGTTTTGGTTCCCAGCCATGGAAAGACTAATCTCTCTTTTAGCCTAGGCCGTTCAATCCCCACTCGCCTCTCAGTTTCTTGCGCGGTAATTAATGTTTCTTGTTGATCACGTTTATTAATTAATATTATAATGTTTGCCTTCTAAATGACAAGACTTGTTTATTAATTTGGGTGTATAGGCCAAACCAGAGACAGTACAGAAAGTGTCAATGATAGTGAAGAAGCAACTATCACTTAAAGATGATCAAAAAGTCGTTGCGGAAACCAAGTTTACCGATCTTGGAGCAGATTCTCTTGACACGGTACTCATTTAATCCTTATTTCTCTTATTATGTAATTTGGAACTAAAAAGTAGTAATTAACAGGAGTTGTATGTTTTGTGCAGGTTGAGATAGTGATGGGTCTAGAGGAAGAGTTCGGTATCCAAATGGCGGAAGAGAGAGCACAGAAGATCGCAACGGTGGAGCAAGCTGCTGAGCTCATTGAAGAGCTCATGAAAGAGACCAAGTGATTTAGTATCTTTTTATAATTTACTCAGGAAGAACAAAAAAACAGCAGAGCTATGAGTTTGTTTTAGTAATTAAGTTTCACATTTCTGTCCTTTTCTTTAATGTGTCGAGTCTGTCTTTGTCTTACCTGAATCCACGAACTTCTGTTTTGGTCCCGAAATTTTAAAATAATAAATACCATTCACAAGAGATGCCTATTTTTTTCTTGTTAAGATCGAAATTCCAAAATGCGAATTTGGCAAATGCATACAAGAGTTTTGTAGTCTCCATAGTCGTTGGTATTAAGTATTAACACATAGTGTCAAGAGTAGGCCTAAAAGAAGTTACAATAGCTTGATTCTTGGTGAATGTGAACTTTAACCCACAACATATGCTATTCTTTTTCAACCAAGTTTCTTTGTTAATAATCTTCAAACAAAATTGTATAGTGTCATAAATAATTCTTCTAGAAAAATTGAGTTAGACTTTCGGTTTAGATAAACACAAAAATAAATATAGAATCAATCCATATCTCTTTCGGTATCAATTAAGAAGAATATCTAGTGGGTATCTCTTCCTTGCGCATCAATCTTTATCATTTGGCGAGCAAATCTCCATGGCCTCTTTCATTATTCATTCATTCATATTATCTCCATAAATTCTGTTATTTTTCTCACTTATTCTCTAAACATAAGTGTAAGTAAAACACACCACTTGTGGTCAGTCACACTCACTATCGGTGATGTAAAGGCATTCTCTGGTTCTTTTTTTGATAGTTTTATAAATATCTATTATTATGAGTATTGTTTATTATTCAGTGGATGAAGAGGCTTCTTTCATTTTGAGGAACGTGTGTGTGGGGTTTATGTATACTAATTAGTCTTTGTTTGTTTGGTTGTATTGAAACTACACGTTTTGTGTATGCTTTCTTACTTTTGAGTCATGGGTTTGTTGTTGTCGGTTAGGATTTACGAATTTGACTTTGTCTTTTTCTACTAAAAGATCTGATTTTTTAGGTGTGGTACTGTTTGGTTCAATCTTGGCCAACCGAAAAGAGACCTTTCTAATAAATTTGAGATGGGTAGTTGTGACAAAACCACGGGTTTGAAATCGTCCGGTATGTTTTTCTCGTTAGGACCGGTCTTCGATTAAAATGATTGGCAATGAAATTTAAGATGCGTTATGTGTAATCAGTTAATCACTCTCACTCATTTTGTGTTTGATAATTTAATCGAACTGAGTTGGATTACCGCAAAAGTAATCACGTAAACGTAATTCATTCATTAGTGTGTGTATATAATCCGATCAATTTGGCACGTGATAATAATAGAGTCGCACGTGCAGGAATGCGGATGGGCTGAAAATCTGAATAATTGCATAGTATTGGAAAAGGCCCAACGAGGCCCATATCGTGAGAGTGACGACGTCGTTTGGACTGTAGTAAGCTTATTAATGCAAAGATCTACCTTAGGTCATCACGCTCTTTGTACACTCCGCCATTTCTCCTTCTCTCTCGAGCAGATCTCTTGTGAATACCGACAATGGCGACCACTTTCAGGGCGTTGGTCTCCATGCAAGCTACTTCTCTGGTAAATCTTTCAACAACTGGAACTTTTTCTTTCCAGATCGCTTTGATCCCTACGGTTTTAGATCATTTGCCTCCGATTTTAGATCATCTGCTGTTTGTTAAACTTTTGACGCATGTGGAAAAATAGAAGAACGAATCGATAGTTTTATTTATTGTCTCTAATCGATAGAATGAATCGATAGTTTGAAATTTCCTTCTTTTTCGTTTGTGATCAGTACAATTGGATTTATATGTACAGAAACAAACTTGTGTCATTTAAGTCTATGATTATTATAAGCTTAAAAAGCTATGAAAACTTTGCAGAACCAAAGTCATGAGTAGTGATTTGAATGAAAATGTTTGTTATTGATGAACAACAGGCAACAACAAAGATCAGTTTCCAAAAGCCGGCTTTGGTTTCCAGCCATGGAAAGACCAATCTCTCCTTCAGCCTAGGCCGTTCAATCCCCACTCGCCTCTCAGTTTCTTGCGCGGTAATGTTTCTTGTTGATCGCAGCGCATTTGTTCGGTGTTTATTAATATGAAACTATGCGTTCTAAATGACAAGACTTGTTTGTTGATTTGGGTATATAGGCCAAACCAGCGACAGTAGAGAAAGTGTCAGTGATAGTGAAGAAGCAACTATCACTTACTGACGATAAAAAAGTCGTTGCAGAAACCAAATTTTCCGATCTTGGAGCAGATTCTCTTGACACAGTACTCCTTAATCCTTATTTATCTTCTGTAATTAACACAACTTGAAGTGTTTTAATACTGAATACCCTTGTGTGTTTGTGCAGGTTGAGATAGTGATGGCTCTAGAGGAAGCGTTCGATATCACAATGGCGGAAGAGAAAGCACAGAAGATCTCAACGGTGGAGGAAGCTGCCGAACTCATTGAAGAGCTCATGGAAGAGAAGAAGTGATTTAGTATCTCTTTTATAATTTACTCAGCATGAAAAAAAAAAAAACAGCAACGCTTTGTGTTTGTGTTCTCAATTATGTTTCACATTTCTGTCCTTTTCTTTAATGTGTCAAGCGAGTATGTCTTTGTCCCAATGGTGTAGTATCTGAATTCATGACTTCTGTTTGGCTCCAGAAATTTTAAAATACATATCATTCACAAGAAGTGTTTCTTTTTTCATTTTTTAAGATCCAAATGCCAAAATGCGAATCAGGCAAATGCATACAAGACGCAAAAGTATGTACATGGAGTCTCCATAGTCTTTGGTGTAAGTATTAGTACATAGTGTCAAGAGTAGACCTAAAAAGAAGTTACAATAGCTTGATAATCCTATTCACCTTTGTATCTACAGACAGAGAAAGACCTTCATTATTCCCAATCGGCGTCGAAGAATCCAGCATCTTTCATCTCGGAATAGTACACATTCTCCAAGTTCAGATCTTCCTCCTGCACCAAACCCAAGTGAATTTCAGCACTAAACCATAAGATAATCATCTAACTAATCAAACGCTTAGGTGAGGGATTTACCTGGAAAAAGTCAGCAAGAAAAGTAACATACAGAAGAGGAAGATAGAAGGCGTGGTAACAAACACTCGTGATTCCATACAACCTGCGGTAAATTTTACAACTTGCATCAAGAAACAAGCGAAATCTGGCCAAAACAGAGTCACTCTTAGGCTTTTAAGATAAGGGTTTACCATAATCCAAAATGAGCACCGTTTGCTGCAAGAGCACATGCGAATAAGGAGAGTCCGTTTAAGGCGAGCATGACGGTTATGTACTTGTAGAAAGCAGGTCTTGCTGTTAAAACGAAAACGAAAAAATGGGATGACTAACAGAAGCCAGTGAAGAAATCATAAGGAGGACGAGAGTGGTCTGTCTGTCGTTTTTACCTGGTAATCTTTCTCTCCACTTAGAGTTATACATGAAGAATATCATCCCATAAATGCCAGCGAGCAACACCTTGTGGATGACCCATAAGCCCCATTTGAACTTTTGTATATGTTCATTGTTGTCGATAAACAACTGTACCCCAAATCCAAAGAGATAAACTGCCTGAAACGAGAATAAGGATTAAAGTGAAAGGCAAAAAGAGTCTCCAGACAGTTCATGATTGCTTATATCTACTCTAGTAGAGACATGATCTGAAAGTTTTGCAGAACTAAGATCAGGCATACATATACCTCAATGAAGTCTATCTATTCATCTTTCAGAAATTATATGAGTGGATATGTAACAGTTATGAACACGATGATACCTTGAGAAGCAAATCAAGACCTATAACAAGCCCTGAGATGAGGAATGTCCGTGTTAATGCTTCAGCGCCACTTGCATAGTTTCCTTGGAAAAGAAAAGCTACCAAGCTAACTTCCAGAAACAACATTCCAGATGTTGTGAACAAAGTCAACAAATTCCAAATCACTTCTTTCCCAGGAGTGCATTCCCATGCCTAAACACAAGCAAAGTAATTTAGGATCCTCATTGAACAAAGCCTAAATTTTGAATAAGTAAAGAACACGACTGAGCCAGATAAAACATTTGATCCTCTATGCAGAACCAATATATATCAACAATCATAGCTTACAACAAAATTCGGAAGCTTTATTTCTAGTCAACAGTGTAGAAGAACAACCACGTTAAAGGATTAAAATGCCCCTAAGAAGCTTGTTTCTTCAATGAAAGTTGTGATATTTTCTTAGCAGGGAACATAACTCTAGAGCATAGTATGATATAAACTTGGGGAAATGAATCGGAGAAGATAACAAACCTGAAGGCAACACCAAGCAAGATTGAGCAAGCTAACAAGCCAAAGACAACCGTAATAAGCGATCATTATGTAAGATCTCCGATTCGACAGCTTCGACAAGCTCTTCTTCGCCTCATACGCTAAGTAAGCGACGAATAGAATTGCGGCTACAACCAGCACCGTGTTGTGCNTTCCTTTACGTGGGAATGGATGCATTGGACATCGAGAAGTGGAGATTCGTGAGTGACAGGTACGATTACTCAGTAGAACAGAGAACAATAAACTCTCTTCTTTTCTCTTTTCATGTTTCTTTGTTCGTTGGCTGTATACTTGTTATCTGAATGTTTGGGTAATGAACAGCCCGGGGACATCGGTTGCAGTGAGCTCAATTCTGATGGGTCTAGTCATGGTTGGAAGAGCAGCTTTTGTGTTTCCTCTTTCCTTCTTATCAAATTTATCCAAGAAAACCCAGAGCGAGAAAATCGATATCAAGCAGCAAGTACGTACAATCCACTCTTGTCTATATCATATTCAATTTTTCTGTGGAATTGTTGAATGCTTGTTTATCATAACATATACTCTTTGGCTTCGTCTACAGTTTGTGATTTGGTGGGCTGGAATGATGAGAGGTGCTGTATCTATGGCTCTTGCCTACAACAAGGTAATGGAGAATTGTAAACAGCTTCATGATGATTGGTGAATATCTAACAGATCTCTTAACTTGTTAATTTCGGTAACGCAGTTTACAAGATCAGGGCACACTGAATTGCGCGGGAATGCAATCATGATTACCAGTACTATAACCGTTTGTCTTTTTAGCACCGTCGTAAGACATTTTTCCTTCTCAGCATTTCATCCAGATAAACCGAATATGCTTAAACGTATTTGCATTTTCCATTTCCGAAAAAACCTAAACCAACTCAAAACCAGAGCTTAAAGCTCTTTGAGAATTGAATTATTTTTGTTTCGGGGGTTTTCAGGTGTTCGGTATGCTGACGAAACCGCTGATAAGACACCTAATGCCACATCAAAAAGCGACCACGAGCATGTTATCCGACGATAACACTCCGAAATCAATCCACATTCCGCTCCTAGATGGCGAACAGCAAGATTCATTCGTCGAGCTCTCTGGTAACCACCACGACGTGCCACGGCCAGACAGCATTCGTGGTTTCCTCATGCGTCCCACGCGCACCGTACACCATTACTGGAGACAGTTCGATGATGCCTTCATGCGTCCTGTCTTTGGTGGTCGAGGTTTCGTTCCCTTTGTCCCTGGTTCTCCGACAGAGAGAAGCTCCCACGATCTTAGTAAACCTTGAGAAAGATTGTAGAAACTTATCAGAAAACAAAATATCACTTCTTCTTCTTTCTCTCCGGTGATGTAAAGGCTTTTTTTTGTTGTTCTTTCAAATCTTTATTTTGTGTAGTTTTATAAATCTCTATTAGTACTGTTTTATTATTCGGTGGATGTCTTTCATTTTGAGGACGTGTCACGTGTGTGTGGGTTTTTGTATAGTAATGAGTCTTTGTTTGTTTGGTTGTAACGAAACTACTACACGTTTTGTGTATGCTTTCTAACTTTGAGTCATGGGTTTGTTGATGTTGGTTAGTATTACGAACTTGTCTCTTTCTACTAAGATGTGATTTGTTAGGTGTGGTACTGTCTGTTTGGTTCAATCTTGGCCAACCAAATAGAGACCGGTCTAATAAATTTGAGATGGGGTAGTTGCGACAAAACTATACGTATTTATGTGTGCTTTCACTACTGAGTCACTCTGGCCCACGGGTTTAAAATCGCCTATGTTTGGCTAGGACTAGGACCGGTCTTCGATTAATGACTGGTATTAAAATGCGCAATCAGTCTTAAGTCATTTTGTGTTTGATAAATTAATCGAACAGAGTTGGATTAGATAACCGATTAGTGACTGGTATTAAAATGTGTAATCAGTCTTAACTCAAAAGGAATCATGTAATTCATTGGTGTATTTAATCCGATTAATTTGGCGCGTGATAATATAATAGAGTCGCACGTGCAGGAATGCCGATGGGCTGAATATTTGAATAGTAGGGGAAGAGGCCCATGTTGTGAGAGTGACGACGTCGTTCGGAGTGTACGAAGCTTATAAATGGAAAGAGCTACCTTAGGACATCACGCTCTTTGTACACTCCGCCATCTCTCCATCTCTCTCGAGCAGATCTCTCGTGAATAGCGACAATGGCGACCACTTTCAGCGCGTTGGTCTCCATGCAAGCTACTTCTCTGGTAAATCTTTCAACAATTGGAACTTTTGTTTCCGAGATCGCTTTGATCCCTAAGATTTTAGATCATTTGCCTCCGATTCTGATTTTTTGCTGTTTGTTACCGCGTAAAACTTCTTAACGCATGTTAATTACGTGAAATTAGAAGAATGAATCGATGGTTTTACATTTTCTCCTGAGTTCGTGAGAATAGAAGAATGAAGAATGAATTCATTTCAAACTTCCTTCTTTTTCGTTTGTGATCAGTACAATTGAATTTATATTTACAGAAACAAATTTGTGTCATTTAAGGCTGTGATTATTATACGGTTAAAAAGCTATGAAACGTTACAGAACCAAAGTCATGAGTAATGATTTGAATGAAAATGTTTGTTATTGGTGAACAACAGGCAACAACAAGGATCAGTTTCCAAAAGCCGGTTTTGGTTCCCAGCCATGGAAAGACTAATCTCTCTTTTAGCCTAGGCCGTTCAATCCCCACTCGCCTCTCAGTTTCTTGCGCGGTAATTAATGTTTCTTGTTGATCACGTTTATTAATTAATATTATAATGTTTGCCTTCTAAATGACAAGACTTGTTTATTAATTTGGGTGTATAGGCCAAACCAGAGACAGTACAGAAAGTGTCAATGATAGTGAAGAAGCAACTATCACTTAAAGATGATCAAAAAGTCGTTGCGGAAACCAAGTTTACCGATCTTGGAGCAGATTCTCTTGACACGGTACTCATTTAATCCTTATTTCTCTTATTATGTAATTTGGAACTAAAAAGTAGTAATTAACAGGAGTTGTATGTTTTGTGCAGGTTGAGATAGTGATGGGTCTAGAGGAAGAGTTCGGTATCCAAATGGCGGAAGAGAGAGCACAGAAGATCGCAACGGTGGAGCAAGCTGCTGAGCTCATTGAAGAGCTCATGAAAGAGACCAAGTGATTTAGTATCTTTTTATAATTTACTCAGGAAGAACAAAAAAACAGCAGAGCTATGAGTTTGTTTTAGTAATTAAGTTTCACATTTCTGTCCTTTTCTTTAATGTGTCGAGTCTGTCTTTGTCTTACCTGAATCCACGAACTTCTGTTTTGGTCCCGAAATTTTAAAATAATAAATACCATTCACAAGAGATGCCTATTTTTTTCTTGTTAAGATCGAAATTCCAAAATGCGAATTTGGCAAATGCATACAAGAGTTTTGTAGTCTCCATAGTCGTTGGTATTAAGTATTAACACATAGTGTCAAGAGTAGGCCTAAAAGAAGTTACAATAGCTTGATTCTTGGTGAATGTGAACTTTAACCCACAACATATGCTATTCTTTTTCAACCAAGTTTCTTTGTTAATAATCTTCAAACAAAATTGTATAGTGTCATAAATAATTCTTCTAGAAAAATTGAGTTAGACTTTCGGTTTAGATAAACACAAAAATAAATATAGAATCAATCCATATCTCTTTCGGTATCAATTAAGAAGAATATCTAGTGGGTATCTCTTCCTTGCGCATCAATCTTTATCATTTGGCGAGCAAATCTCCATGGCCTCTTTCATTATTCATTCATTCATATTATCTCCATAAATTCTGTTATTTTTCTCACTTATTCTCTAAACATAAGTGTAAGTAAAACACACCACTTGTGGTCAGTCACACTCACTATCGGTGATGTAAAGGCATTCTCTGGTTCTTTTTTTGATAGTTTTATAAATATCTATTATTATGAGTATTGTTTATTATTCAGTGGATGAAGAGGCTTCTTTCATTTTGAGGAACGTGTGTGTGGGGTTTATGTATACTAATTAGTCTTTGTTTGTTTGGTTGTATTGAAACTACACGTTTTGTGTATGCTTTCTTACTTTTGAGTCATGGGTTTGTTGTTGTCGGTTAGGATTTACGAATTTGACTTTGTCTTTTTCTACTAAAAGATCTGATTTTTTAGGTGTGGTACTGTTTGGTTCAATCTTGGCCAACCGAAAAGAGACCTTTCTAATAAATTTGAGATGGGTAGTTGTGACAAAACCACGGGTTTGAAATCGTCCGGTATGTTTTTCTCGTTAGGACCGGTCTTCGATTAAAATGATTGGCAATGAAATTTAAGATGCGTTATGTGTAATCAGTTAATCACTCTCACTCATTTTGTGTTTGATAATTTAATCGAACTGAGTTGGATTACCGCAAAAGTAATCACGTAAACGTAATTCATTCATTAGTGTGTGTATATAATCCGATCAATTTGGCACGTGATAATAATAGAGTCGCACGTGCAGGAATGCGGATGGGCTGAAAATCTGAATAATTGCATAGTATTGGAAAAGGCCCAACGAGGCCCATATCGTGAGAGTGACGACGTCGTTTGGACTGTAGTAAGCTTATTAATGCAAAGATCTACCTTAGGTCATCACGCTCTTTGTACACTCCGCCATTTCTCCTTCTCTCTCGAGCAGATCTCTTGTGAATACCGACAATGGCGACCACTTTCAGGGCGTTGGTCTCCATGCAAGCTACTTCTCTGGTAAATCTTTCAACAACTGGAACTTTTTCTTTCCAGATCGCTTTGATCCCTACGGTTTTAGATCATTTGCCTCCGATTTTAGATCATCTGCTGTTTGTTAAACTTTTGACGCATGTGGAAAAATAGAAGAACGAATCGATAGTTTTATTTATTGTCTCTAATCGATAGAATGAATCGATAGTTTGAAATTTCCTTCTTTTTCGTTTGTGATCAGTACAATTGGATTTATATGTACAGAAACAAACTTGTGTCATTTAAGTCTATGATTATTATAAGCTTAAAAAGCTATGAAAACTTTGCAGAACCAAAGTCATGAGTAGTGATTTGAATGAAAATGTTTGTTATTGATGAACAACAGGCAACAACAAAGATCAGTTTCCAAAAGCCGGCTTTGGTTTCCAGCCATGGAAAGACCAATCTCTCCTTCAGCCTAGGCCGTTCAATCCCCACTCGCCTCTCAGTTTCTTGCGCGGTAATGTTTCTTGTTGATCGCAGCGCATTTGTTCGGTGTTTATTAATATGAAACTATGCGTTCTAAATGACAAGACTTGTTTGTTGATTTGGGTATATAGGCCAAACCAGCGACAGTAGAGAAAGTGTCAGTGATAGTGAAGAAGCAACTATCACTTACTGACGATAAAAAAGTCGTTGCAGAAACCAAATTTTCCGATCTTGGAGCAGATTCTCTTGACACAGTACTCCTTAATCCTTATTTATCTTCTGTAATTAACACAACTTGAAGTGTTTTAATACTGAATACCCTTGTGTGTTTGTGCAGGTTGAGATAGTGATGGCTCTAGAGGAAGCGTTCGATATCACAATGGCGGAAGAGAAAGCACAGAAGATCTCAACGGTGGAGGAAGCTGCCGAACTCATTGAAGAGCTCATGGAAGAGAAGAAGTGATTTAGTATCTCTTTTATAATTTACTCAGCATGAAAAAAAAAAAAACAGCAACGCTTTGTGTTTGTGTTCTCAATTATGTTTCACATTTCTGTCCTTTTCTTTAATGTGTCAAGCGAGTATGTCTTTGTCCCAATGGTGTAGTATCTGAATTCATGACTTCTGTTTGGCTCCAGAAATTTTAAAATACATATCATTCACAAGAAGTGTTTCTTTTTTCATTTTTTAAGATCCAAATGCCAAAATGCGAATCAGGCAAATGCATACAAGACGCAAAAGTATGTACATGGAGTCTCCATAGTCTTTGGTGTAAGTATTAGTACATAGTGTCAAGAGTAGACCTAAAAAGAAGTTACAATAGCTTGATAATCCTATTCACCTTTGTATCTACAGACAGAGAAAGACCTTCATTATTCCCAATCGGCGTCGAAGAATCCAGCATCTTTCATCTCGGAATAGTACACATTCTCCAAGTTCAGATCTTCCTCCTGCACCAAACCCAAGTGAATTTCAGCACTAAACCATAAGATAATCATCTAACTAATCAAACGCTTAGGTGAGGGATTTACCTGGAAAAAGTCAGCAAGAAAAGTAACATACAGAAGAGGAAGATAGAAGGCGTGGTAACAAACACTCGTGATTCCATACAACCTGCGGTAAATTTTACAACTTGCATCAAGAAACAAGCGAAATCTGGCCAAAACAGAGTCACTCTTAGGCTTTTAAGATAAGGGTTTACCATAATCCAAAATGAGCACCGTTTGCTGCAAGAGCACATGCGAATAAGGAGAGTCCGTTTAAGGCGAGCATGACGGTTATGTACTTGTAGAAAGCAGGTCTTGCTGTTAAAACGAAAACGAAAAAATGGGATGACTAACAGAAGCCAGTGAAGAAATCATAAGGAGGACGAGAGTGGTCTGTCTGTCGTTTTTACCTGGTAATCTTTCTCTCCACTTAGAGTTATACATGAAGAATATCATCCCATAAATGCCAGCGAGCAACACCTTGTGGATGACCCATAAGCCCCATTTGAACTTTTGTATATGTTCATTGTTGTCGATAAACAACTGTACCCCAAATCCAAAGAGATAAACTGCCTGAAACGAGAATAAGGATTAAAGTGAAAGGCAAAAAGAGTCTCCAGACAGTTCATGATTGCTTATATCTACTCTAGTAGAGACATGATCTGAAAGTTTTGCAGAACTAAGATCAGGCATACATATACCTCAATGAAGTCTATCTATTCATCTTTCAGAAATTATATGAGTGGATATGTAACAGTTATGAACACGATGATACCTTGAGAAGCAAATCAAGACCTATAACAAGCCCTGAGATGAGGAATGTCCGTGTTAATGCTTCAGCGCCACTTGCATAGTTTCCTTGGAAAAGAAAAGCTACCAAGCTAACTTCCAGAAACAACATTCCAGATGTTGTGAACAAAGTCAACAAATTCCAAATCACTTCTTTCCCAGGAGTGCATTCCCATGCCTAAACACAAGCAAAGTAATTTAGGATCCTCATTGAACAAAGCCTAAATTTTGAATAAGTAAAGAACACGACTGAGCCAGATAAAACATTTGATCCTCTATGCAGAACCAATATATATCAACAATCATAGCTTACAACAAAATTCGGAAGCTTTATTTCTAGTCAACAGTGTAGAAGAACAACCACGTTAAAGGATTAAAATGCCCCTAAGAAGCTTGTTTCTTCAATGAAAGTTGTGATATTTTCTTAGCAGGGAACATAACTCTAGAGCATAGTATGATATAAACTTGGGGAAATGAATCGGAGAAGATAACAAACCTGAAGGCAACACCAAGCAAGATTGAGCAAGCTAACAAGCCAAAGACAACCGTAATAAGCGATCATTATGTAAGATCTCCGATTCGACAGCTTCGACAAGCTCTTCTTCGCCTCATACGCTAAGTAAGCGACGAATAGAATTGCGGCTACAACCAGCACCGTGTTGTGCAGAAACCCATGGCACTTCCCGACCCATCCGCCGATAAACCCCCCGGTGGCCGTCGAATTAGGGCTTAGCCGTGAAATTATGAAAGGCGACTCCGCAATCTCGCCGAGAACTCGCATTTCCCTCGAATTGAAACGAATCAGAAACCAGGTAGAGCTATCGCAAAGAGTAGAAATCAATTCCTAATCCCAGAAAAAGGACCTCAATTCCAGATTTTTGATGATTGTTGTGATATTTAGAATGCGTATGATGATGATTGATGATCGTATATCTCGCTCTCTAACGACCAAATCCATACATTAGTAATTACACAAAAGTTAAAGGGTACTATCGCTAATATAATACAATACTGGGAGGGAAAGTATAAATTAACAAATAAAAGTACTTAATCGATAAATACAGTAAACTACTGGGGGTGAAAGTATAAATAAGTAAAAATGAAGAAACCTCTCTCAATCCGACCGTTAAAATCCCTCTCGCCATTTCTGGCTAAACGACCGGATCGTTTTGAGCGAAATATTCGCGCCCATAATTGACGATTTTTTTTTTCTCTTCGATTTCTCGATCGATTTTTTCCTGGAGATTTCCTCTGGATCTAATTTCTAAGAATCAATCCTGCCCAGATTTTGATTTTCGAATTCTCTGGATTTCACTCGCTGTGATTTCCAAAAATTAATTTCGAGATGGGTTTTTAAGGAACAGAGATCTCTGCTATAATTGGTAAGTTTTTCGATCACGCGCCGTTGATGTGATTGTAGTTATAATCAAATCCTCGTGTTTTTTTTTTTTTTTTTTTGGCAGTTGAAGGAAATGAGAAACACGAGGCCTGTTCATGTGAGGAATACAAGTTCGGATCCATCATCGCCGATGATGACGTCTCCACTGATGAATCGGCATGTACGGTCAGGATCGAATTCTGGGGCATCTTCGAATGCCAAGAAGGCTCAGACGAAAGCAGCCGCTCAGAGACTCGCGGCTGTCATGTCAAACCAAACAGGAGACGAGGAAGACAGTGATGAAGACCTTTCCATTGACTACAGCGCTCCACGAACAGGGAGCATTGGTCTCGCTGCCGGAAGATCTCATCCTTCTCGCTCTCCACTGGTAATACAAACTAACAAAAACACTCTATTTTTTTTCCACTGAAACTCAAAGGTTGATATTGAGATTTCTTGAATATGACAGATTAAGAACCCTATTGCAAGGCGTCCACATATGGCAACTCCATCGTTAGCTGATGAGGACAATGAAGATGATGACTTTTCAGTGGATATATCGAGTAGCAGCAGACCAAGTATTGGACTTGCTGGTGGAAGAGCAATAAGACCTCAGTCTCCTGTGATGGTGAGCTTTCTTTCATTTAGCTTGGTGAGCTTCAACGTAACTCTCATATACTAAATTTCCTTTTTGGTGCGTGCAGACTAAAATTGCACCTCCGAGACGTACACAACCAGCAGCCAGTGAAGAAAGTAAGAATGAAGACGACGACGATGTTGTTTCGGTAGATTATACAATTGGCAGACCAAGTATTGGTCTTGGAAGTAGTAGAGCAATGCGGCCACAGTCTTCTATGGTATATTTGGAACTTGTTATTTTCATGTCTTGGTCTTGTATTTAAACGTTTAGATAAACATGTTTAAATTTGGAAAGCGCAGAACAAAACACAGCCACAAGTGCGTCCGGTGATGGCAGTTAACATTGCAGCTGATGAGGAAAACGAAGATGATGAAAGTACAAATGCTTATACAAGCGGTATTCCAAGTGTTGGACTTGCTGGTGGAAGATCAACACGTTCACGCTCTCCTCTGGTAAACTTAACCTTGTTTGTTCTTTCTAGGTTTTTGCTTCCTTAAGCTTAACCTTTCATTTTGTGTGCTAAGCTACAAACCAAAACCCCTCCATTGAGACATCCACAAGCAATATCTCAGCCACCAGACAATGATGGTGATAATGATGAGCCGTATACTAGTGTCATGCCCAGCATTGGACTTGCTGGTGGACGCTCAATGAGACCTCGCACTCCTTTGGTAACTATATCTACTCTGCTTTTCCTTTGTTCTCACAATGGAACTTGTTTTGTTGCTGACATTTGGTTTGGATTTTGTCCATTAGTCAATTCGTACAAGGGAACAAGCTACTCCACAGACAGGACTTCCGACTTCAGGAAGCCGATCCTCATTAGGTGAGGATTCTTCAGAACCGAGTGGTCATCAATCTCAGACTCAGACAAGCAGCAACCAAGTGGAGCAATCTCCATCTTCTCGTTCTAACAAATCATCTCAGTCTCTCAGTGCTATGGATCAGTCGTTTCGTTCATCTTTCAGCGGTCGTCCAATAAGGACAGTGCCTTTGATGCCATCTTCAGTGCCTATCTCACTCAAACCAGTCACTCCTGCTTTTCAAAACGACACGCCAACCAAGCTCCGGAAAGACAAAAGGTAACTAAATGATATCTCGCTGAGCCATTATTCTTCACATTCGTTGTTATATCCAAGTGTGGTCTTATAGTTGAGTGATTTCTGTATAGTAGCAGGTTTTCCATGGATCTGGGAAGCTCAGGGAACTTAAGAGAGTTAGGCAGTCAACGTTCTACTTCAGCTTTGCAAGATGAGTTTGATATGCTTCAAGAAGAAAATGAAAGTTTGTTGGAAAAGGTGATGCTTGTAAATTTTCACAGTTGGTGTGTCACTAGGCATTAGTTATTGCATGGTTTGGTTCCCATTCAAATATATTATGGTTTTACATCCGATCCTAATTTGTGCATCCCCAGCTTCGACTTGCAGAAGATAAGTGTGAAGAAGCAGATGCAAGAGCTAAGCAACTTGAGAAACAAGTAAGCATACAAGTCCTTTCTTACGTACTGTTTATAATATTGTTTCATTGCTCTGTCTTTGATATTCATGAACGGTTTCGTTGCTTTTTTTATTAGGTTGAAATCCTTGGAGAAGGTGTTACTATGGACGCACGTCTTTTAAGCAGGCAAGCTTCAGTTTCTATACAACGTTTGTATTACATCTGACATATTTCTAACTCTGTGAATGTATGTTCTTGCTACAGAAAAGAGGCAGCTCTGCAACAAAGAGAGGTCAGAGCTATTCTTGTACTATGTGAATACTTTTAGATCTTGACATATGAAATTAAACCCAATTTTTATTCAGGCTGCTTTGAGAGTCGCATCACAAACTCATGGAGGAAGAAGGGAAGATGTTTCAGCTCTTCACACAGAAGCTGAGGTATACTTCAAGACTCGTTCATTCTGGTGTGATCTGAAGTGACACTAACGTTTTGAGATATTGGACTTGGGTTTAGATTGCTAGGGAAGAGGCAGCATCTTCATTGGAGCAGCTCCATGAAGTTGAAAAAGAGCTTAACTCTCTTAAGACCATGACCAAGAGATTAATACTGACTCAGGAGGAGATGGTATGCTATATTTATACTTTACATTTCCATGTATATAGCTTCTCTCATGTATAGCTCTTTTATCTTAGGAAGAGGTCGTTCTAAAGAGGTGCTGGCTTTCACGTTATTGGGGCTTATGCGTTATACATGGTAGTCCCTTGCTCTTACACCTATATATCTTCACATTGTCCATAATGGTTTAAAGTTGTGTGGAATTTTTGTTATGTCAGGTATTCAAGGGGATATTGCAGGAGCAAAGCATGAATACTGGTCATCATTTGCACCACTTCCTCTAGAGATTGTTCTGTCTGCAGGACAAAGAGCTAGGGACGAGGCTTCACAATGTAAATTTTTCATCCTGCTGTATGTTACAATGTAACCGGAAATGTTTTGGAAATTATTCTGATCTTAGCCTCTGGTCACTGCACCAAGCAGCTAACAACAGTTATGGAGAAAGAAAAAAATCATTGCAAAATCTGCAAGAAATATCTGGAGAAGGAAATGTGGAAAGCATGGTATGGGTGGAGAAAGGTCTGCGAGAACTAGCTTCACTCAAGGTGAAAAATAACTTAAATGGATGATTATTCAAAACTCAAGCGACAGAATTAAATGTTTCTCTTATCGAATTTTTGCTCTGTCTAAAGGTTCAGGAGGCAATTGCATATGTCATGGCTAAAGATAGACGGTCCAAGTTTTTTGTTTCAGGTGATAAACCAAAGATTTAATAAGGCTTGATCTGAATATTGCTTCTGCTTGATGTTGCCTTGAACAAAAACTACTAATCTTTTCCTAATACATGTTTTCTTTTTCCAAATAATTCATAGATGAAGTGAAAATGCCAATGGATGGACAATTTGAAGCCTTTGGTAAGTCAAAAGGAAAATCACTTTCACGCTAAGAACATTGATGTGATCAGACACTAATCAAGATCACTAATAACTAATCAAGATCATACATAAGCTGAGTAAAATTATGTTTACCTTTGGCAGAGTTAAGCGACGAGGAACTTGAAGATGTGAGTTTCAAACAGGTAAAGAAAAGAAACACATTAATTCTCTGTCTCTGTGTGTCTATGTTTTATGTAGAGTTGGCATGTGACCATTTCATTGTGACTTTGACCACACACACACACACTCACGACACAGGCATGGCTTGCATATTTTTGGAGAAGAGCTAAGAACCATGAGATTGAAACTGATCTTGCCGATGAGCGTCTCCAGTATTGGATAAACCAAGGGACTCGATCTGCCACGTCACAAGATGCAGTTGATGGTACACTACTCTTACTCACTCTCACTTTCAATGAGATCTATGCAAGAACAATCTCTTCATTCTTGTGTTACGGGTGTGAAATGCAGTTGAAAGAGGACTAATGGAGCTGAGGAAGCTCAACATAGAGTCACAGCTTTGGCAAAAATCAAGAAAAGGGCTTGACCATGAATCCAACCCTTCTCATCTTGAACTAAATTTCTGATCTTCTCCTAACTCTTTCTTCTTCTCGCTTCCACTCTTTACACTTTACACACAAGGCACATCACAACTACAAAATATCAGTTTTTTTCTCATTTTTTGTTTGTTTTTAACTTCTCATTTGATTTTAGGAGAGTATTACTGCTGGAATTTGTGTATTCTTTTTTTTCACCAAAGAAATGATTAGCACGGAAATAATTTTTAATTTTATACTTGCCGACTCAAAACCGTACATAAACGAACCAGTTTATACCGATTTTAAAATTAAAAAAAAACGAACCAAGGTCCGGTTAATATCGAGCCAGATTGATCAAGGTCACGTTTGACTCTCTCAAAAGCTAAGTGACAGATCTGAAATAATAGAAACTATTGAGGGTGTAAATGTGATTTACTGACAAGTCAATAGATCGGAGCTGCGTGTGCGTGAGGCCAACGATCGTGTGTGTCGAGAGAGACGAAAGAGAGACAGAGAGAGAGAGAGAATGGTGAGAGAAGTGGCGGAGAGCTGTGTAGACACTATGTTGATGGAAATGGTGGCCATGTATAGCGGCCGATTCTACGCTAACAAGCCGGAACTCGCCGCTCGTAGGATCGAGGCCATTGGTTATCAGGTCGGCCACCAGCTCTCCGAGAGGTTTGTCCTTCTTTACTTGATCATCGTCTCTCTGTTGATATGATTCCTACTTGCTGAGATTCTTACGCCGATTCTCTCGGTAGACATTTTCGGATGTTAGTTGTAGATCTGAGGGTCATAGCGACTTTATGATTCTCTGATATTGGATTCATCGTTTCTCGTGTGTAATTGGTCGAGAATGTGTGAGAAAGTGATAGATAGGAAGATAAATCACGCTGATTTGAGTTTTTTCATCTCATCGGAGGTCGAGCAACTGTGAAAATTTTGGGAATTTTGAGATCAGTTATAAATTAAGAAGTTTTATGTTTATCAGTGACAGATACTGAAATCTGAGAATTGCCATTACTCTAGAACTTGAATCCGAGATGAAGACTGAGTTCAGGTTTTAACTAAAGTCTCAGAAGATTGCTTTTAGTCAGTGGAAGCAGCTTTTGTTGCTTTTGAATGCGTTTGCTTATGATGGCAGATATTGCATCTCTCAATTGATTGTGCGTAACTCCAGCATTTTTAATGTTATTAGGTACACTATGGAAAGACCAAGGTTCAGTGACCATCTAGAGGCGATCAAGTTTATCTGCAAAGACTTTTGGTCTGAGGTCTTCAAGAAGCAGATAGATAATCTAAAGACAAACCACCGGGTAAGAATATTCTCTCGAAAATCTTGGAAAAGCTCTTCTTCTTCTGTGTGTGTTTTTCTCACAATTTGTTTTTATTCAGGGTACTTTTGTATTGCAAGACAACAAGTTCCGATGGCTATCACGCGTCTCAGTTGAGCCATCACCTGAGAAAGAAACGGAAGATCCGTCAACTCCAGGGGAAAGCAAAGCAGCACAAGCGGTGAGCATGTACCTTTATTTCCCATGTGGGATCATAAGAGGTGTTCTCTCCAACTTGGGGATACCTTGTGCTGTCTCTGCAGACATTTCAAGCCTTCCCACTTGTGAGTTCACAGCTTCCTCTTCTTCTTTGATTTTCTTCTACAGTCTTAGAATCACACATTGGAGAGAAGAAAGTTGATAAAAATCTTGGCTAGCAAACTCGTTCTTGGTTTAGTACAAAAACTTCTTAATTTTGGCATTTGTTGTATGACTTGAGTTTGTTCAAAAACCTGTGTTACCTATGTTATAAGTTGCTGTGGTTTGGTGACCATCTTTCTCTTTGTGCGCTCACAGGCTCTTTCGTAATTCGGGTCAAGGCTTGATTCTGCGTTAGCTCGAGTCCTCGACTTCAGATTCCAGCTCGGCTTTTATGGTTTCAAGGATGATAGATTCTTCGGGTCTTAGAGATGTGTAACTAAAAGCCCTTTGCAGATTTCTCTGTTTGAGAAGTTAACAAGAAAACTTTTTTGTGAACAAAAGGAATAGTTTATTGTGCACAGTTTTTAATGGTTTGGTTCAATTTTGATATTCATGTTCAGTAATCAGTATTCAGTACACACAAAACCAATCTCTTTTGAAGTTTCAAACAAAAGTGTTGGACAAACGCCCAGTGGGCTTTTATCGCGTCCGAATAAGCCCATCTACCAAATCTTATCGCTATAGCAACGGCTACAAGATGTCACATCAACTGGCAGAGTTGACACTTGACAGGGAAGCCAACGTCAGCTACATCCAACGGTTGTTGTTGTTTCATTCGATCCGACGGTCATTAGCGCGATACTCCTCTTTTAGGACAATCTCCCTCCAAGGAATCTTGGTCTGTCTTCTTCCTCCTCCCACCTGAAGAAGAAACTCAGACTCTGTTAGCTCAATAGAGATCAGACTCAGGTGAGAGATCTTTCTTTCTCACTGCCACCTGCATTTTCTCTCTTCAATCTCTCCTTTTCTCGCCATTTCCCTCTCCTTTTTTCCCCATTTTGATTCAAATTTAGGGTTTTTTTTTTAAATTGTTCTTTTAATTCAAAGCTTTCTCATTTCGTTTTTCTTATCCCCCTTTTGAATCAGGTTTGCAGATTTTTTACTTCGAATTTTGCTTCGAGGTGTGTGTGGGTTTGTTCACTGTTAGTTGGTGTCTGCAATGGAGAAACATAGTCATGAAGTGCTCACTGTATTGGAGAGAGAGAAGCTCCTCAAATCCGGTGCTTCTGATATATTGTTCTGCGTCAGTCAATTGAAGGTGGTTGAAGCTTATAATGAGAAGAGGTCTCAAGAGCTAGAGTTAAAGGAGAAGGAGCTGCAGAATCTGAGCTCAGACATTGATAAAAAGGTTAAGGATTTCGAAAAGGACAAGTCTGAAGCTGGTAACTTGAAGAAACTTGTGGAAGAATGTACACAAGAACTTAGGTCAAAGAAAACTGAGCTAACGGCGAAGCTGGACTATTCGATCAAGATTCAGAGAGATATCGACTTTAAGAAAAAACAGCTGGGAAGCTTTACGGCTGAGGCTGGTAAGGTTCAAGATCAGAAGAAAGTAATGGAAGAGGAGACTGATAGGAAGAAGAAGGACTTGTCCCTGATTCTTGACCAAACCAAAGAATCTAGCAAGCAGCTTGCGGCTTTGGATGAACAAGTGGAGTCTCAGCGTAGACTACTTGAGAAACTGTCACTGGAGCTGGAATGTGTTGGAGAATCAAGCAAGGGCTTCAGATTCGACCTCGAGGTGAAAGAAAAGAGGTTCCAAGCATTAAACAATCTGATAGCGATCTCTGATGAACAGCTTGGATTGAAATCCAAAGAACTGGTGGAAATCCAAAGAGAAGTTGAGTTACATAAACAGCTGAAGAGAAACATGATGAATATGCTTGTTAAGCGTGGGAAGCAGCCACCGATCGATGATGACACCAGCCAACAAGATCATGGAATCTCAGCTTCTCTTACGCACCATGAAGTCTGCAGTTTTCTGAGAGCTTTCCCTAATCCAGCAGAGTATGTTCTGGAACTAGTACAGGAAGATATCAGTGAAGGATCAGGTTTATTGCATGGCTCGTTCGCGGAGATTTTGGTTCTGCTTTTTGAGGAGCTCGCCAAAATTCAACGACTGGAGTCACTGGACACGTCTCAACTGCAGCTCAAGGCCGAGAAAGTGGCAACTCTGTGGAAAGGGAAGATAACTATTGAAGCTCCCACATCATCTCTGGAGGCCTTGGCCTTTCTTCTGTTCATTGTGGCATATAGTATACAGAAAGTGATCATCACTAAAGAAGAAACTGCTCTACTTGCTTCGTCTATTGCCCAATACGAACAGGCTCCAACACTCTTTAGCTCTCTTGGTCTCAAGCTTGAGATCATCTCAGGTTAGTTTTTCAAAAAAAAATCGTTTATGTTATGATGATACAAATACAAAAGACTTAAGAAGTATCTTATCTTTTGCAGAGATTGTTTTAGGTCTTGTTAAGAAACAGCAATACATTTCCGCAGTCTGGTTGATATGTGTATTTAAGCTTAATAAAGACTTTCCAGTCTCACTTCTCTTAAAGAAAGAGATCAAGAATTTAAGACGGTCTGCGCTGGGAATGAGACCAACTGAATCCTCCCAGCCACAGGTTTGGCACTCGCATGATCTTGATCTTGCAAATTTACTGATTAAAAGAAAGATGATCAGTTTTATGTTTTGTTCTTCTTCCTTTTTAGGCTAAGGAAGAAGATGGTAGAAGACTGAGAGCTATACTTGAGCTTGTGGCTGATTACAAGCTCAAAATCAAGCTCCCAGGGGACCTCATCGCTAAGCTAATGGTTCAAAGAGAAAAAAACTCAATCCCTCTAGTTCGTTGCTCTGTGGAGCATGGCACTACTTCCTCATCAAATCCCCTAGCTGATTCTCCTAATCCAGCAACTCAGCTTTCAAGAAATGGTTATTATTAGAGTTTGGTTCTTCGTTTTGATTGATTAGTAACAAATAGTCAGGTTCTTATACTCATAGCTATATAATGCTTTTTCAGGTTCGACTTTGCCAGTTATGTCATCTGATGTTGATTCCATCAAGGAACGTCCTCCGATCATCTTCACATATCAGAGGAGAGGGAAGTGAAGAATCCGCTTACAGTCAAAGCAGTGGATTACTACTAATTAAGTGTTACTATCTATCTAAGTGTTGAAATAACCTATCCAAATTTTATTTGCATCTATGTGGTATTTAAGGCTAAATCTTGCTTTAGGCTCTTGTTAGATTGGTGTCTCGTGGCAAGTCAAATCCAAAGAATTGGTGGATTTTTTAAATTAGTGAACGTTAACAAAGCACAAATTATATGTGTCAAAGATACTAACAATTAGACATTAAGTATTTTCTAAATTTATGTGAAAAAACTCAAAACATCATTCTTTGAGGAACATAGAGATAGGCATAAATACTAATGATCATAATTTGACACAATCAAGTAAGCAAATATAATCATTAACCCGTTGTCAGTAACTTGATATGCACACCACCTTACCCTCAAAGAGAATCAGAGAAGTCTTGAATTTGAACACGTTGAGAGACAGAGAACACAAAGGACGAGTCTGTTATGACTAGGATCCAGGGGCCACCACTTTGGTCTTGAAGAAGCTTCATTCTTGATCATTTCTGGTTCATAGCCGCCTATGCAAGATTGGAAACATATGAGTTCTTGAGAAAAAAAATCAAAGCTTCAACGTATCAACAAGAATCTGGAGAGAAAAGAAAATACCTTTCGCAGTTTTTGCATGACCGCGTCTTCAAGATCATCATAAGCAGCACCAACTATGTCGCTTCGCAGTTGTGCTTCAGCTGTCAGAAAATCAGTTTGGTCTGCTCTCAGAACAGGTACAACTAGCAACGGATTAGAGAGATGGCCACACAATGTTCTCGTCGCTGCAACCTATAAGAAAAAGAAAAAAAAGAGGAAACTGAAATAATCCATGATCAGATTCCTTCATACACATATACCCAAAAAGAGAGGAACAAAGTTGATAATAATACTCACAGCTTCATCCTTTGTAGCCATAACAACAAGAGCAGAGCGTTTCGTCTTGGTAATCTTAGTCACAACATCTTTAACCTCACCAAACTCTGAAAACACTTGTTTGAGCCTTGTTGCTGTATACCCTTCACCATGTTTCTCCCAAGAAACCTTTAACATTCTCTCTTTATCGAGCTCACTACTAGCTCCAGCTCCACTTCTATCTTGTTTCCTCTTCTTAGCGTGTCTTGCACGGATCATATCCACCTCCTCCTTAAGCCTCCTCGAGATTCTCTCCTCTTCATCGCAAGGTGTAGTAGCAGAATGATTAGGAGCAGAAGCAGAACGCTCTCTTTCATCCAGATCTGACATCATCTTACGCCTCTTGGAATCTCCTTGCGATTTCTTGCGTTGTTTTTCGATCTGGACTCGAAGAAGATGATCAAACAGCTTTCGCTCTGTTTCGTCTTTGAGAACCTCGTAAGATGTCTTGATCCTCTGAAAATCATCATGAGCGTTGGGATCATCTGGGCGTTTATCCGGATGCGAGACCAAAGCTTTCAACTTGAATGCTCTCGTAATCTCCTTCTCGCTAAGCTTAAGAGCTTCTTCTCCAGAGGGTAACCCTAGAACTAGATAATGATCCACAAAACCCTCCATTATGTCGAAACGTACCTTTACGATTACTACTAAACCGTAGACTAGCCTCAGATTCTACCGGATTTCCCACGGAGACACCGGAAACACACAAATCCGATCAAAGCGGGAACGAACCCTCGAAGAACGAACAATCGGAAGAGAGCTTGAGAAATCGATTTAAAGAAGGGAATCAATTCAAAAAGTGTTGGATGAAAGCCCATTGGGCCTTTTTAATCGTCCGAATAAGCCCATTGACCTAATCTTTTTCGGTACAAGATATGTCATCAACTGCAGAGTTGACAGGGAAGCTAACGTCAGCTAAATCCAACGATTGTTGTTTAATTCAATCCGACGGTCATTAGCGAAACTCCTTTTTTTTTCCTCTTTTAGGACAATCTCCCTCCATTTACTCTTCTTCCTTTCTAGTTTCTTCTTCCTCCTCCTTCCTGAAAGGAGAAACTTTAGACTCTGTTTAGCTCAAAAGAGATCAGACTCAGGTGAGAGTTTTCTTTATCATTGCCAACTGCATTTTCTCTATTCAACCTCCTCTTTTCTCGCCATTTTCCCTCTCCTTTCTTTCCCCATTTTGATTCAAATTTAGGGTTTTTAAAAAGACTGTTCTTTTGATTGAAAGCTTTCTCATTTCGTTTTTGTTTTCCCCCTTTCGTATCAGGTTTGCAGATTTTTAAACTTTCTTATTCGAGGTGTGGGTGGGTTTGTTCACTGTTAGTTGGTGTCTGAAATGGAGAAAAATAGTCATCAAGAGCTCACTGTGTTGGAGAGACAGAAGCTCCGCAAATCAATGGGGGATCTAAAAGCCGGTGCTTCTGATATACTGTTCTGCGTCAGTCAATTGAAGATAGTTGAAGCTTATAACGAGAAGAGGTCTCAAGAGCTAGAGTTTAAGGAGAAGGAGCTGCAGAATCTGAGCTCAGACATTGATAAAAAGGTTAAGGATTTCGAAAAGGAAAAGTCTGAAGCTGGTGACTTGAAGAAACTGGTCGAAGAATGTACTCAAGAACTCAGGTCGAAGAAAAACGAGCTGACGACAAAACTGGACTATTCGACCAAGATTCAGAGAGAGATCGAGTTAAAGAAGAAACAGCTGGGAAGCTTTACGGCTCAGCTTCAGAAGCTTTACAGTGAGGCTGGTAAGGTTCAAGATGAGACTGATAGAAAGAAGAAGGAGTTGTCGCTGATTCTTGACCAAATTCAAGAATCGAAGAACCAGTTTGTTACGGTCGATGAGGAACTAAATTCTGCAAGGAGGCAGCTTGAGGTTCGGTCATCGGAGCTACAGTCGCTTAACAATCAGGTAACGGATTGTGGTGAAGAGATTGACTCGAAATCCAAACATTTGGGGAAAATCCAAAAGCTGATTGAGCAACAAACCAGTGAGCTTGGTTCCATGCAAAATCAGTGTGATTCTGTGAAACTGTTGATTCAGGAACGATCTGAAGAGCTTGTTGCAAAAGAGAGGAGGCTCAAGGAGTTTTTTGAGGCTATTAGCAGAAGCTCCTTTGAGATGGCTAAAGAGATTACAGCAGCGGAGACTCAAGTGAGTGATTTGAATGTAAAATCTGAAATGCTAAGGCAGGAGGTTGAAGGCAAAGAAAAGGAACTACATCTGCTTAGGAATGAGATAGAGTCGGAGGTAGAGAATTCCATTCAGGTTAGGAGAGAAATGGAAGAGGATACAAATAGAAAGAAGAAAGATTTGGTGCTGATTCTTTCCAAGATTGAAGAATCCGGCAAGAAGCTTGCGGCTTTGGATGAGCAAGTGGAATCTCAACAGACACTCCTTGAGGAGACTGATAGAAAGAAGAAAGTAATGGAAGAGGAGACTGATAGGAAGAAGAAGGACTTGTCCCTGATTCTTGACCAAATTAAAGAATCGAAGAACCAGATAACAGTTTGTGGTCAAGAGATTGAGTCGAAATCCAAAGAATCAGGGGAATTCCAGAAGCTGATTGAGCAACAAACCATTGAGCTTGGTGCCACGCAAAATCAGTGTGATTCTGTGAAACTGTTAATCCAGCAACGATCTGAAGAGCTTGTTGCTAAAGAGAAGAGGCACAATGAGATTTTGGAGGCTGTTTGCAGAAGCTCCTCTGAAATGGAAGAAAGGGCTCAAGAGGTTAAAGCGGCAGAGACTAAAGCGAGTGATCTGAATGTAAAATCTGAAATGTTTAGGCAGGAGGTTGAAGGTAAAGAAAAGGAACTGATGCAGCTTAAGAGAGAAATGGAAGAGATAACAGATATAAAGAAGGACTTGTCACTGATTCTTGACCAAACCAAAGAATCTAGCAAGCAGCTTGCGGCTTTGGATGAACAAGTGGAGTCTCAGCGTAGACTACTTGAGAAATGTGTTGTAGAATCAAGAAAGGGCTTCAGATTCGACCTCGAGGTTAAAGAAAAGAGGCTCCAAGCATTAAACAAACTGATAACGATCTCTGATGAACGTCTTGGCTTGAAATCCAAAGAACTGGTGGAAATTCAAAGACAAGTTGAGTTACATAAACGGCTGAAGAGAAACATGATCAATGCGCTTGTTAAGCGTGGGAAACAGCCACCTATCGATGATGACACCAGCCAACAAGACCATGGAATCTCAGCTTCTCTTACGCACCATGAAGTCTACAGTGTTCTCAGAGTCTTGCCTAATCCAGCAGAGTATGTTCTGGAACTTGTACAGGATGATATCAGTGAAGGATCAGGTTCATTACATGACTCGTTCGCGGAAATCTTGGTTCTTCTTTTTGAGGAGCTCGCCAAAATTCAACGACCGGACAAGTCTCAACTGCAGCTCAAGGCCGAGAAAGTGGCAGCTCTGTGGAAAGGGAAGATAACTATTGAAGCTCCCACATCATCTCTGGAGGCCTTGGCCTTTCTTCTGTTCATTGTGGCATATAACTTACAGAAAGTGCTCATCACTGAAGGAGAAACTGCTCTACTTGCTTCGTCTATTGCTCAATACGAACAGGCTCCAACTCTCTTTAGCGCTCTTGGTCTCAAGCTTGAGATCATCTCAGGTTAGTTCTTTAAATCGCTTATGGTATGATACAATATACAAGACTTAGGAAGTAACGTTTAGTTCATTATCTTTTGCAGAGATTGTTTTAGGTCTTATCAAACAACAACAATACATTTCCGCAGTCAGGCTAATATGTGTATTTGAGCTTAATAAAGACTTTCAAGCCTCACTTCTCTTAAGGGAAGAGATCAAGAATTTAAGACGGTCTGCGCTGGGAATGAGACCAACTGAATCCTCCCAGCCACAGGTTTAACACTCGCCTGATCTTGATCTTGCAAATTACTGACTGAAAGAAAGATGATCAGATTTATGTTTTGTTCTTCTTCCTTTTTAGGCTAAAGACGAAGATGGTAGAAGACTGAGAGCTATACTAGAGCTTGTGGCTGATTATAAGCTCAAAATCAAGCTCCCAGGGGACCTCATCGCTAAGCTCATGGTTCAAAGAGAAAACTCAACCCCTCTAGTTCGTTGCACTACTTCCTCAGCAAATCCACAAGCTGATTCTCCTAATCCAGCAGCTCAACTTTCAAGTAATGGTTATTATTAGAGTTTGGTTCTTCGTTTTGATTGATAACAAATGGTCAGGTTCTAATACTTATAGTTGTGTAATGCTTTTCAGGTTTGACTTTGCCAGTTATGTCATCTGATGTTGATTCCAAAAATGAACGTCCTTCACTCATCTTCACATATCAGAGGAGATGCAACTGAAGGAACCGCTTACAGTCAAAGCAGTGGATTACTACTAATTAAGTGTTAGTGTGTTACTATCTAAGTGTTAAAATAACCTATGCAAATCTTATTTGCATCTATGTGGTATTTAAGGCTAAACCTTGCTTAGGCTCTTGTTAGATTGGTGTCTCGTGGCAAGTCAAATCCAAAGAATTGGTGGAATCTCAGCTTCTTTTTCTGAAAGCCTTGATGTTTTTGAATTTTAAGAAGTACTTTTCAATGATGAATTTAGGGCTGCTATTTCCTTGCCCATCTTCAATCAGAATCCAGTGCTACCTCAATAAATTAGCAAATAGCTGAGAGAAGAATAGAGTAGGCGGTTGAGATAGCTAAATAAAAAGGTCTTCTGCTTCCCCTGATGACTGTGAACTATCTTTGATGGATTATTCTTAGGGTATGAGCTTGAAATCTGGTGCATTAATATGTTGTATAACATGGTTATGTCGATCTTATTCTGCATCTCACAAGTGCATAGCAATTTTCCTTATTCATTAGTTTAATCATCACAACGATTAGCTTAGATTATAATTTGCTTTAAATTTGTTTCTCAGCAGGTTTTATGGTGTCACTTCTCTTTGCTACCTGAAGTTTTTGATTGTCTGAAATTATGTTTATAAAAAAAAAAATAGATACGCTTGTGATTGCATTGGTTATTTGAATACAACTGTGTCATAGGGGTTTCTTAGGTTGTTACTACCAAATAGTACATTACATAGGATTCTCGATATATCTCTATAGATACTTACAATTTAGAAAAGTTAAAGATGGCATCACTACTTACATTGGACACTAAATGATTCATTTTGGAGAATAGGAATTGTCGAGTTGAGATTTCCAAAGTTATATAGATACATTGCACATGCTCTATAGTCTATACCATTGGTTCTTTCCGGTGAATCATGTAGTTTGCGTATCACATTTTGTTTTTGTTTGCAAGTTTGCAACTTGTCTGGTAGAGTTTTGAATAACGATGTTGAAGGAACTAATCTGTACAGGATAGAAGCAAGAAGTCACCAATGGAGCTGATCAATGAGGTTCCTCCTGTCAAAGTTGATGGAAGGATTTCTGCTTGTGAAGGAGGTTTGTCTCCTCGTCACATCAGTTTATTAATTACTTTAGTGATTATATCTGCAAACAAGAAAACTCGATTCTTCGCTTTAATTTGCAGACACCAATCCGGCCCTGGGTCATCCAATCGAGTTCATATGCCTTGACCTAGATGAGCCAGCGAAAGTACTGTGGCCTTCTTACGTACAAGATCATCATCACTAAACTGAAATCTCAGGTCTCAGGTTTCTCTCATAGTCCAAAAGTAGGGTACAGTTAGAAAAATACAGGTACGCGTCGACGCCACGGAGCCAAAACGGTTATCTCGTCATTTTTGACAGAAAAAAAAATGGAGCATATTGGGCCTGAAGGTTTGTAGTACGCCCGTTTTGAGCCCCTGTCAGGCCCATTTTGTACCCGTTATAAAGCCCATCTGACAGAAAATATCCCGATATCAAAACATTCCGACAGAAAATATCCGGACATACATGAAATATTCCGACATCAAGCGATCCGACCGAAAATATCCCGACATCAAATATTCCGACATCAATCGTTCGGACAAATAATATTCCGACATCGATCGTTCGGACAAAAAAATATCCCTACATCAATTGTTCGGACAGAAATTGTTCCGACATGAACTGGTCCGACAGAAAATATTCCGACATCAAATGTTCGGACATAATTTTTTCCGACAGAAATTAGTCCGACATCAAACCTTCTGACATTAAACGTTCAGACATTAATTAGGCTTTTAAGCAGCCCGTTCGGACATAAACTGTTCAGTTAAACTTTTGATACGGAACCCAATTGTGTCTCGAAATAAAGCCCATTTCGGCCCGTGAAAGGCCCATTTGACTCGTAACCAAGCCCATTCAGCCCGTTCCGACATCCACCTTTCCGACAGAATATATTCGACATCAAACGTTCCAACAGAAGTTATTCCGACATTAAATGGTCTGACAGAAAATATTCCGACATCAAACAATCCGACATTTAATCCCCTTGCGATTTCTTGCGTTGTTTATCAAGCCGGATTCGAAGAAGATGATCAAACAGCTTTCGCTCGTTCTCGTCTTTGAGAACCTCGTAAGATTTGTTGATCCTATGAAAATTTTCATGAGCATTGGGATCATCTGGGCGTTTATCCGGATGCGAGACCAAAGCTTTCAACTTGAATGCTTTCGTAATCTCCTTCTCGCAAGCTTAAGAGCTTCTTCTCCAGAGGGTAACCCTAGAACTAGATAATGATCCACAAAATCCTCCATTATAGCCTCAGATTCAATCGGATTTCCCACCGGAAACACACAAATCCGATCAAAGCGGGAACCCTCGAAGAACGAACAATCGGAGGAGAGAGAGCTTGAGAAATCGATTTAAAGAAGAGAACTAATTTGAAAAAGTGTTGGATGAAAGCCCAGTGGGCCTTTTCTGTCGCGTCCGAGTAAGCCCATTTACCAAATCTTTTCAGTGGAGCAACGGCTACAAGATGTCATCAACTGCAGAGTTAACAGGGAAGCTAACGTCAGCTACATCCAACGGTTGTTGTTGTTTCATTCAATCCGACGGTCATTAGCGAAACTCCTTTTTTTTCTTCTTTTAGGACAATCTCCCTCCATTTAATCTTGGTCTGTCTTCTTCTTCCTCCTTCCTGAAAGGAGAAACTTAGACTCTGTTAGCTCGAAAGAGATCAGACTCAGGTGAGAGCTTTCTTTCTCACTGCCACCTGCATTTTCTCTCTTCAACCTCCTCTTTTCTCGCCATTTTCCCCCTCCTTTTTTCCCCATTTTGATTCAAATTTAGGGTTTTTAAAAAAACTGTTCTTTTGATTCAAAGCTTTCTCATTTCGTTTTTGTTTTTCTCCCTTTCGTATCAGGTTTGCAGATTTTTAAACTTTGAACTTTCAGAGTCTTCTTATTCGAGGTGTGGGTGGGTTTGTTCACTGTTAGTTGGTGTCTGCAATGGAGAAAAATAGTCATCAAGAGCTCACTGTATTGGAGAGAGAGAAGCTCCTCAAATCCGGTGCTTCTGATATACTGTTCTGCGTCAGTCAATTGAAGCTGGTTGAAGCTCATAATGAGAATAGGTCTCGAGAGCTAGAGCTTAAGGCGAAGGAGCTGCAGAGTTTGAGCTCAGATATTGATAAAAAGGTGAAAGATTTCGAAAAGGAAAAGTCTGAAGCTGGTAACTTGAAGAAAATGGTCGAAGAATGTACACAAGAACTCAGGTCGAAGCAAAATGAGCTGGGACACTTTACGGCTCAGCTTCAGAAGCTTTGCAGTGAGGCTGGTAAGGTTCAAGATGAGACTGATAAGAAGAAGAAGGAGTTGTCGCTGATTCTTGACAAAATTAAAGAATCTGAGAACAACTTTATGACGGTCGATGAGCAACTAAAGTCTGCACGGAGGCTGTTTGAGGTTCGGTCAGTGGAGCTACAGTCGCTTAACAATCAGGTAACAGTTTGTGGTGAAGAGATTGACTCGAAATCCAAACATTTGGGGAAAATCCAAAAGCTGATTGAGCAACAAACCATTGAGCTTGGTGCCATGCAAAATCAGTGTGATTCTTTGAAACTGTTTATCCAGGAAGAGCTTGTTGCAAAAGAGAAGATACAGAAGGAGATTTTGGAGGCTATTAGCAGAAGCTTTGAGATGGCTAAAGAGATTAAAGCTGCGGAGACTGAAGTGAGTGATTTGAATGTAAAGTTTGAAAGGTTTAGGCACGAGGTTGAAGGCAAAGAAAAGGAACTACATCTGCTTAGGAATGAGATAGAGTCGGAGGTAATGAAATTCATTCAGGTTAAGAGAGAAAGGGAAGAGGAGACTGATAGAAAGAAGAAAGATTTGGTGCTGATTCTTTCCAAGATTGAAGAATCCGGCAAAAAGCTTGCGGCTTTAGATGAGCAAGTGGAATGTGCTGGAGAATCAAGCAAGCGTTTTGAAAATGACATTGCGCTGAAAGAAAAGAAGCTACAATCACTAACCAATCTGATAACAGTTTGTGGTAAAGAGATTGACTCGAAGTCCAAAGAATCGGGGGAAATCCAAAAGCTGATTGAGCAAAAACTCACTGAGCTTAATGACATGAAAATTAAATGTGATTTTATCGAGCTTTCAATCCAGGAACGATCTCAAGACCTTGTTACTACAGAGATGAGACACAAAGAGGTTTTGGAAGAGAGGGCTAAAGAGGTTGAAGCAGCGGCGACTGAAGCAAGAGACTTGAATGTAAAGTCTAAAAGGATTAGGCAGGAGGTTAAAGGTAAAGAAAAGGAACTAACTCTGCTTACGAAACAGATTGACTCAGAGGAACAGAAACGCATTCAGAGTAAGAGAGAAATGGAGGAGATGACAGATAGAAAGAAGAAGGAGCTGTCACTGATTCTTGACCAAACCAAAGAATCTAGCCAGAAGCTTGCGGCTCTTGATGAACAAGTGGACTCTCTACGGAGACTAGTTGAGAGACTGTCAGTGGAGCTGGAGTGTGTTGTAGAATCAAGCAAGCGCTTCCTGTTCGACCTTGAGGTTAAAGAAAAGAGGTACCAAGCGTTGAACAGTCTGATAACGATCTCTAGTGAACAGCTTGACTTGAAATCCAAAGAACTGGTGGCAATGGAAAGAGATGTTGAGTTGCAGAAACAGCTGAGAGAAATGATCGCTGCGCTTGTCAATCGTGAGAAGCAACCAGCTGCAGAAGCAGCACCTACCGCAGAAACTGAAGAAGCTCTCATGCATTGTGGAATCGCAGCTCTTACGCGCCATGAAGTCTCCAGCATTCTCAGAGCCATGACTAATCCAGCAGATTATGTTCTGGAACTAGTACATGACGACATTTGTGAAAGAAGAGGTTTACATGACTCGTTCCTGGAGGTTTTGGTTCTTCTTTTCGAGGAGCTCGCCAAAATCCAACGACCGGACGAGTCTCAACTGCAGCTAAAGGCCGAGGAAGTTGCATCTCTATGGAAAGAGAAGATAACTATTGAAGCTCCAAAGTCATCTCTGGAGGCCTTGGCCTTTCTTCTGTTCATTGTGGCGTATAAATTACAGAAAGTGATCACTAAAGAAGAAACTGCTCTACTTGCTTCGTTCATTGCTCAATACGAACAGGCTCCAACGATCTTGAACTCCCTTGGCCTCAAGCTTGAGATGATCCCAGGTTAGTGTTTTTTAAAGATTCGTTTATGTTATGAATTATGGATACATAAGTAAAGACTTTAAGAAGTAACGTTGAGTTCATTATCTTTTGCAGAGATTGTTTTAGGTCTCATTGATAAACACCAATACATTTCCGCAGTCAGGCTAATATGTGTGTTTAAGCTTAAGAATGACTTCTCACCCTCGCTTCTCTTAAAGGAAGAGATCAAGAATTTAAAACGGTCTGCACTGGAAATGAGATCCTCCCAGGTTTAACACTTGTGCTCACTCGCCTGATCTTGATCTTGTGAAATTATTGATTTAAAGAAAGATAATGAGTTTGTGTTTTGTTTCTTCTTCCTTATTTTAGGCTGAAGACGAAGATGCTAGAAGACTGAGAGCTATACTTGAGCTTGTGGCAAATTATAACCTCCAAATCAAGCCCCCAAGGGACATCATCCGGCTCTTCGCTAAGCTCATGGTTCAAAGAGAAAACTCAACCACTTGCTCATCAAATCCACAAGCTGCTGATTCTCAACTTTCAAGTAATGCTTATTATTAGAGTTTGGTTCTTTTATTTTGATTGATAGAATAAATGGTTAGCTTCTAATTATAGTTACGTAATGCTATAATTTTCAGGTTTAACTTTGCCAGTTATATCATCTGATATCTTATTCCATCAATGAAACATCTAAGCCCGAGCATCCATGAGACCATGATCAATCCACCAGTCAGAGGAGATTACTAATTAGGTGTTACTGTCTTAAGTGTTAAAATAGCCGTAGTTATGTATATGAGACTTGAGTGTGTGAGACTTGAGCAAATCTTATGGTAAGACTTATTTGTTGTACCTATGTTATTTAAGCCTAGCTAAGCTCTGGTTAGATTAGTGCTCGAACCTTTGATTCATCAAAGCAAACTGCAAAAATTCTCACATTATCGAAGTGTATGAAACTATGAATCTGAGTAAACTGGAAACTTTGGCGTAACGGATTTAACAAAATGTATGAATATGACTAAATGAGTAAACGAAAAATCTGAAATCTGAATAGTTTCCATCATGACAGTCAAGCACGGAAAATCTGATATCTGAATATTTTTGCTGTCATACTCTAAGTGTCATTCATTGGTAAAGCACTTCAGTTTTCAAGGTCTAGGCTCTATTGGAAAATTTTAGAAGAAAAAATAAAATAATTTTTCCCTCCCTTTAATATTTCACTTCCCTCTCTGTTCATCACTTTTGCCCTCACTCCATTTCAAATTTAGGGTTCTGCAATTTTTTCTTATCGATCCTTCAACTAGATTTCGCCTTATCTTCGTCTCGCTGTGCACTTCGACGGTTCGACCTTTCTGGGTATGTTGATGGATTCTGGGATTTATTTTCTCCTTCTTCGCATGGGTTTTATCTTTCCGCCGTAGCTTGCCTCGTTTTGATCGGAGCTTGCGCATGCATTCCAATTTAATCGATGCTGTCGATTTGCTAAAAACGTATCTATTATCGTCTGTGGAGAGAGTTTGATTTCCTGTGTTTTCGACTTTGATTTTGGGTTTCCGATTTCGTTTCTCTTAGTATTGAGTTATAATCTCTTCTATTAATTGCATTTCCATCTAAAGATGTCAGTATTAGGTTAGATTTCGATTATAGCCTTCTTCACTTGGACTTTAGTTTACGAATCTCATCCAATTTTCCTTGTTTCTGGGGTTTGCAGGCTTATATACTCTCTCAGGCCACACTTTCAAGCCTATTGGATTTATTTATGTGATGAAGGATGTCTGCATTGTTCACAGATCTCACAATTCTCGTCTCTGAAATGGTAAGCTCTAAGTAGAGTTTTTGCTTACAGTGAGTTCTAGAGTGATGGATTTGGATTTACGATTAGGAACAGATAAGTTTTTGACAATGTCAGTGCACTGGATTTTGTGTATGCAGGGACTATGATTATTTCGTTTCCCTGACTGTTCTGTGTTTTGGAGACTTAGTTGAGTGAGGAGGTTTGTTGCTACAATGGATTGCAACAAAGAAGAGGCTTCAAGGGCAAAAGAACTAGCCGAGGAAAAGATGATTGCTGGTGATTTTGTTGGAGCGCAAAAGCTTCTTGCAAAGGCTGAAAGACTCTTCCCCAGTCTTGAAAGCTTACCGCAGATGATAGCCACGTGTGATGTGCATTCTTCTGCAGCTGAGAAAATCAAAGGGCTTGACAACTGGTTCGCTATCCTTCAGGTTCAGCCATTTGCTGATGCCGACTCAATCAAGAAGCAATTCAGAAAGCTAGCGCTGCTTCTCCATCCAGATAAGAACCAGTTTGCTGGTGCTGAGGCTGCTTTTAAGTTGGTTGGGGAAGCAAAGAGAATGCTTTCTGATCCGTTTAAACGTGCTCAGTATGATGTCAGGTACAGATCCCACTCAATGGCTGCTAGCAGGCAGTCGAATGCAAATTCTGGTCGCCAAGGTAACAATATTGCAAGTGGATACACTTTTTGGACGTGTTGCAAGCACTGTGGCCACAGGTGTAAATACTTGAGAGAGTTTATGAACACTGCTATGTTCTGTTCCATTTGCCGTAAATCTTACATCGCCTTCAACATCCAACATGATGGGGTGCCGCCTGCAAAACAATTTCAAGATCAAGGGATGTGTAATACATCTCAGCAGACTGCTTCTACAGGATCAGAACCAGAAACTTCAGCAGCTGAGATGGAGAAGAATGGAACAGTCGGAGGGAAACTCAACATGAAGAATCAAGAAAATCGGAAAAGAGGTTCTGGTGACAGGAAACCCAAGAAAGATGAGGTTTGTATCGAGAATGACGCTGAAGAAGGAAAACCACTGAAAGGTGAGACATGTGTGAATAATTCTGCTGAGTTACCTACAGCTGATGTGTTGAAGCCTCAGCCTGAAGTAAAAGAAGCAGAGACTAGTGCAGCAAAGTCAATGCCTGATTTATCAGCTCTAAAGAAGAATCGGGCAGCCAAAAAGAGGAGAAAAACTGTTGAGGAACCATCTAAGATCTTTGAGTTCGATAGCTCTGATGTTGCTGAGGCTAAAACAGATACTAATGAATGTAGTAAGAGGAAGTCGTCGAGGAAAAAGCCTCAGGTTACTAATGCTGTGGGGGGAAGCGATGGTGATTTTGTAAGTCCTCCAACAAAAAAGACAAAATCAGGTTGTGAATCTGAGTCTGATTCTAAGAAGAAGCAAAAGACCGAAGATAATAAGTCGTCTGAGCTTGCTGATTCTGGTGTTTCTCCTGCTTCTTCACTTGCTTATAAAGGAAAAGCCAAGATAAATGGGAATTCCGTAAAGGAAGACACATTGTCAGCCGAAAACAAAGAGAGTGAAGGCTGTGATGGTAATGGAGAAGATGCAACTTTGTCGAACAAGATTGATAACGTTGAAAAGGTAAACGAAGCTAACGAAAATCCCAGTACGCTGGACATACCTGATCCAGAGTTCAATGTGTTTGAAGCTGAACGGAAAACAGAAAAGTTTGCTCTCAATCAAGTGTGGTCTATCTGTGATTCTATAGATGGTATGCCCCGGAAATATGCCCGGGTTAAAAAAGTGCTGAATGCCGAGAAGGTGCGGATTACCTGCCTTGAGCCTGTACGGGGAAAGATTGATGAAAGCATCCCAGTTGGTTGTGGAAAGTTCAAAAATGGGGAAACAAAGGTCGTTGAGGAGCGCTCAATCTTTTCAAGTCAGATGCTTTACTCGTCAGGCAACAGAACTGTTATCATATATCCAAGGAAAGGGGAAATTTGGGCTCTTTTCCGAGATTGGAAAGAGGAATGGAACACTAGTCTTGAAAAGCATCAGTTACCTTATAAGTATGAGTTTGTGGAAGTTGTGAATGATTTTAGTGATGATCTTGGTATTGGAGTGGCCTATCTGGGAAGATGTAAAGGGCATATTTCCCAGTTTCACCGGGAGGCGAAGGATAGAGTTCTTGAGAATCAATTACCTGCGGGAGAGATATTTAGATTTTCTCACAAAATTCCAGCCGTCAAAATGACCGAAGAGGAGAAAGAAGGTGTTACAACTTACTCGTATAAACTGGACACTGCTGCGTTGCCAAAAGATATATGTCAGGTTGATGTGGTTGATACAGAGATGGGTGGTGATGGTCCTTGTCCTGAAGCTCCCGAGGTTGAAGTGAAGGCCAAGCCTGTTTCAGAGACTTCTCTCTCTCCAAGGAAACGTCGGAAATCTGATGTTGATAATGGGGTATGCAGTAATCTTGGGGAAGTCGAAGGTGGAACTAGCAGAAGCCATGATTACACTCCTTCTCAAGTTGATGAAAAGAACACGCTGAGCGAGTCCATAAAGAATGTCTTCAAACTGAGAAAATCTCCTCGTCTTCAAACAATCCCAAGCCAAGAAAGAGATGAGAAGAACAGTGGTAAACAAGGCAAGAAGATGAATACCCCAAAGAAAACTGATAAGGGTCTCGTGACAGATTCTTTAGGGAAAAGAAAATCCCCCAATGGCATACACCAACCAGCAGAGAATCAGGAAGGAGAAAGCTCAAAGAAACAAGGTCGCAATGGTGAATTGACTCCTCTGTCCAAGGAGAATGTTTTGCCAACTAAGTTGGATGGCTCTACTTGTGACTCCCCTGTGATGACTCCAGTGTCAGCGAGTTGCAAAACGCCGCAACAAAAAGCTTATGACTTCGAGAGCCAGAGATCTAAAGACAAAGTCCAAGTGAATCAGACATGGGCTATTTATAGTGAAGACAAGGGAATGCCTACAGAGTATGTGAGGATCAGGACAATCGACACCGAGCCTGAATCCACGTTACGCGTAACGCATATGTATCTTCCGCGATCAAGAAAAACCAGGACCCGCCCTGCAACATGTGGTGATTTCAAATTGAGAAGCGGAAGACCCAAAATCCTTACTGCAGTCAGGCTCTCACATGTGGTCAATGCCGTTGACGCTGAAGATTTCATAGTCAAAATATACCCAAGGAAAGGTGAGGTCTGGGCTCTGTATAAGAAGTGCGACATAACCAAAGACGATTATGACATTGTAGAAGTGGTGGATGGTTACTGTGAAGACAAGGAGATTGCAAAGGCAGTGGCTTTGACTGCTAAGGACTCGGATTTACTACTATACGGGAAACAAGAGTCAAATGCAGGTTTTGTATACATCCCTAAGGCGGAAATGAGTAGATTCTCTCATCAGATTCCGGCTGTCAGACACCAGAAGAGGTCAACAAGGCGTGTTGAAGGAGAAGGATACTGGGAGCTCGACCCACGAGCAATTCCAGGTCGCACCATTCTCTTAGACTGAGCAACACTTTCACTATTTAAGGCTGTTTCTTTGTTCAGAGATTATGTGTAGATATGCGTCTTGTCAAAGTTTACTTTATTATGCTCTTATGCCGCGATGGCTTATGGATCAAGAGAACATTGTTTGCAGAGTCTGCTACTGTTACTGTTATTTTCTTATCTTTTTTCCTCAAATGTTTTACTGAATACCACAATCAGAGTAGAAACTAGAAAGTCTTTTACCATTTTATATCAAATCATGTATATAGTGTAACATGTAAAACTTTAAAAAGCAATAGGGATCAAATAACATAAAACCAGTCACTAAAGCAACCAAAGACATAGAAAGACAAAACTATTCCAACTTGGGTTTCGATTTGGAAGAAGAAGAAGAAGAAGGTCTTGAGGATAAAGGAAAAACAATCTCAGAAACGTTTTGGAAACTTCCTCTATCATACAAGTTCCGTTTGGCAATAGCTTCTTCGGCTTTAACCTCTGTTTCTACATTGGTAGAGGATCTTCCACAAAGCCCGAAGCATTTGCTTTTGGCTAATGGCTTCTTCGGTTCACGTGGCATTCCCGCCTTGATCGCTGCAGCGCTCTTCTTCGCTTCACTGAGATTCTTCCTCAAGCTTATATACTCTCTCCACTTAAACGTTTATCGAACAAACAAAGAAACCCACAAAACTGTTAATTTAACGAGAGAGGAAGAGAGCAGGAGAATATAAATTTAATCCGCAGAGGAGGAAAGAGATAAAGAACCTCATTCGTTGTTGTGTTGGTTAAGCAGAGTTTTAAGTGGTAAGCAAAGAAGCCAGCAAGGAGGAGAGAAACAACGGCGAGAAACACCATTAGAAGTATTTGGGTGTTGTACGTACTAACAAGCCACTGTTTCAAAAGATGTTGAACATTCTGATATAAGATTTTCACAAATGAAGGAGGAGCTACGAGACTGAGAACTGTTAGTTAGTAAGTTTTACTTACTGACCTGTAAAACTCGAGGAGCTAAGCTTCGGAAAGATTTATCTACACCGTAATAGACTGCAATAGGAAGAGAAAGAAGAACCAGCTTAGGAAATAGATAACAACATCGAAACCATAATAAGGAAGATATGATTTTTGCTTGTGGTATGTTTTGATGTGTACCAGTTAAAACATGTACAACACGAACTTCTTTAACTCGCCCGGCGAGAATAAACCCAATGGCTATTGATCCGTACAAGCAAAGAAGAAAATGCCTACAAATTCACTAAAGAACCATTTAACATAAAAACAGAGAAAATATGAGGACACAAAAACACAGCATGAAATCTTCCAAGTAAATACAGAAAACACTTCTTGAGAGTTGAGTTTTAGACTGAAAGCTCACCAAAAGAGGAAAGCCATGAAATATCTGGTATTCCTTTCACCAATACAGTTATTCTGAAACCGGTAGAGAGAAAAGCTCATGTCAAGCAATACGTCGATATGTAAAATGGAGAAGATTAAAGAAGGAACAGAGCTCAGTGTCTAAGAACAAACCATCCACCCGCAATGATGGTCAAACCGAGCAACACAGCGGTTGCAGATGCTGCAATGCTTGGATCTAGCAGGCCTGAATGAGGAAAACAAAAAAGATGTAACACTGTAAAATATAAATCGAATATGTTCTTAAGTTGTTTACCAATGCACTCACTTTGGGATTTTACAAGTAGAACATTGTTTCTCCGAGTAAATGATATCATCACAAGGGTAAGCAGAAATGTACTGTGAAACATTTGAAGCGTTCACGGTACCTGGATCAGATAAGCTTGTTAATAAGAAAAGTACAACACCCATAATAACAGCCACAAAGCTCGTGTACCTACAAAATTTTTAAGAGGAAAAAGTGAATTTTTCATAGGAACATGAAATTTGAAAAAGCAAAAAAAAGCATGCCTTACTTGTGAAGATCGCCAATATAATATCCAGGAATGTAGATGAAAGAAGATTTTGCAGTCAAAAAGTATGTTGTTCCGATAATCGCTATATATAGGATCTACATTACAAAAGTCAATTACTTGTAAAGATTCTAAAGCTACAATTTTCTCTGCTCCTTTAAAGTGGATTAAACAAAAACGAAGAAGAAACTTACTTGCAGAATCGGATTAGGACGCTCGCAACAGAAAGACTCTACCGACAGAATCACCTCCGTACCCTTGGAACCAAACACCATTCCTACAAACCTCCTGCAATAAAAAAAAAAGGAAGCCAACCATAAGCAGAGAGCACGATCAGGGGAATCTCAAATTGAACTAAGATCAAAGGGAGAGTGATGGAAGAGTGATGACGGAGAGAAGTACAGTAAGTAATCGTAGGCGCCGAAAGTGAGAAAGTAGTGAAGCAATTGAAAAGGTGTGCCTTTGAAGATTGGCCATTGACCGCAGAGGAACGAGATCACCACCGTTAATGTCACCATCCCGTGACACACCAGAAGCCACTGTACCGCCATTTGATCGTCTCTCAGAGTGAGAGATCCTCCGATCGTCGTCGAAAGTCGGTTTATTTATGATTAATTGTTCATTCTGCTTCGTCGGAAAATATTGTATACGATTTTAACTTTTTCAGAATATTAGGGGTTAATTTGAAAACTGGAGAAAATAACAGGGTGTTAAAAAAAAGACGAAAATGGAATTGGGAAAAAAAAAAGTAAAATATTGTTTGCAGGAGGGTTTGATGTTGCAAAATGATCATAATGAGATTGTAATGAACTTCATCATGTTACAATTTCAACCAATTTTCTGCTCCCTCTCTTCCAGTTTTCAGTCTCTTCGCTTCATTCTCTCTTGCTTCCGCTTCTACTTTCAGCTGAAAGCTCTCTTCTTTCTTCTTCAGCACGTTCGATTTCTCTTTGATAGTCTCATCAAGCAACCTAAGCTCCTTCTCCCTCGCTTCAAGCCCTCTCATCAGCTCTTTATGTTGAGCAGCTGCCTCTTCATGCTGCATCTTAAGAACCAATCTCATCACTTTTGCTTCCACAGACTGTTTCACATCAAATTCCTTTTCTTTCTCTTGTAATAATTCCTCAAGCAACCTCAGTCTCTCTTCCTTCTTCCCCAGAGCTAACTCGATCGACTTCATTGCATTCTCATATTCGTCCCACTGGCGTGAAAGCTCGAGAACTGATGCAGCATTCTCTCGAACCTTACGCATGAAAAGTTCCATCATCACCATCCTTTTCAATCCTAAATTTAGTTCCATCAGAAAAAAAACGAGCGAAGAAATCAACAATCCGGTTAAGGGAGATCGAAAAACAATGGGGGCAAGTTTCTTATACAAATCAGTAAATCACATAGATAAATCAATGATCATGGTTTCAGAGAGATTAAAAAATTAAAGGAGAAACTGACCAATTTTCAGGATTCTGCTCCGGCGTAGCTAAAACTTGTTCTCTGTTAAACCAACCAACAAAATAAAAAACCAACTTTCTAAAGGGTGTGCAAAAAGGAAGAAAATGAAGAAGCTGAGCATAGATTTCTTTCCTTTTTGATTTTTCTAACCTTTTAATGTTTTTCCATAAAAAGAGAGACACTTGTTGACCAGAAATGGGAGGGAGAAAGAAGACACCATTTTGATTTGTGACCGTTAGATCAGTTGAGAAATATTAGCCGTTGAATCATGTATTTTTTCAACTTTATTCTTTGACTTGTAAAATCACTGGTTAATGGGGTCTTTATGAATTTTACATCTTTAGGTTCTGAACTGTAAAAAAGAACAAAAGAACAAATATTCATTCAGAAAAAAACTGATTATTAAAAGATCTTACAAGGACACTAATTCCACCAATCCTCAACTTTAACATCTAACCCAAAATTCATCTTTTTTTTTCTTTCTCTCTGAATGTATCCAGGATGGTCTAGAACCCAATCCATAAACAGTTGAAGATGTAAGATCATAAAAAAAGCAAATGCAGACAATAAAGCGCCAAAAGAAAGCTCAGTCATTTGTAGCTTAACCAAAACAAAAACTCAAACAATGATCGATCAAACTCGATCTCTTGATGTTTGTTTGCAGTCAATCTCCGATTCTTCAATCCTTTCCGCAACATCTTAGGAAAGAGGAGACAAGTAAATCAACGCAATGATAGAAGGAAAACAAGATGATGGATTACATTTAGGTGTAGATTTTGATCAGCAACTCTTCAAAGTTTTAATACCTTTTATATCTCTTTTTAGAACCACAGGGACAAAGTGCGTTGCGGCTGATCTGCCCACTCTTGGCCAAGTTTGATCTCGCCAGATCCATCGGCGTTGTCCCCATCATTTTTTGCAGCTTCAATACACAAACCACAACAGCTCAGTGTCAGATCAACAGCTCATCAATCATACTCGGATAAATGGATGTGTCCACCACAAAGGAGAGAGTAAACCAACAAAGCGGCGCTTAAATCTTATAAGCTCTAAGCAGCATTGTTGAGATTCTTAAAAGGTGAGAAACAAATACCTCTCCCATGTTCTTTGGTAACGGTTTGCCTCCATCTTTCAACTCCTTCATCTTCTTGTGCGCTTGTCTCGCCCAAGTAAACTTTGCCAGTGTATTCTCCACGTCAGTTATCGTGCATTTACATTGTTTAGCCGCATCTTGCTTATGACTCGCTTGCAGATTCTACACATCAAGAAACCTAGTGCAACAGTCAAGAGACTGACTACCAAACCACATGTTTCTTCTTCTTTCAATCATTTTTTGCAAACTGTTAGCTAGTTAAAGCATATATATGTATGCTAAGAAAGAAACCAACCTCTCCTGTAACATCACGTGCTCCAAGATACCTTAATATGGCTTCTTGTTTCTCGAATGCGTCTGCAAAAGTGGCCTCGCTGCTTCGACCAACGATGTACTGCTTGAATTTCCCTAACCTTTTAGCATTCTTCATTTCATCGGCGAATCCTGAAATCAATTTGCATCCAAAGAGAAACGCTTTGATGAGTAAATCAATCTATCCAGCATTGAATTTCCATTTCCGAGATAACTCGAGCACACACAGATCAATTTTTGTACAAAATGTAAGAACTTACGGAGGAGAGTGAAATCTTCAACGGGTAGATTTGATTCTTCCAAAGGAGTCTCTTTGTTTCCTTTGAAGACACCTTTGATCGTATCCATCCATCCATTAAGCGGCGCCGTAGAGGTAATTGATCGGTGCTGCGACGGAATTAGAGGACCGCCGGTGCAGCGAGAGCCGCCGGAGATGTAGAGCGAATACGCAGAAGACGACGAAGAAGAAATTGGCTCAGGTCTTAGCCTGAAAATGTGCTTCAGAGTTCTCGAAGACCACATTTTTCCCTTAAAATTGTTGTCTTTGATTTGTTAATTTTTGAAGAATTAGGGTTTAAAGTGTTTCTGAGACGAAGAGTTTAGAAACCCGTTTGTTCTTCACCGTATCGGAATCCGAAACCAGTTGTTCTTCACATAGAAAACGCAGCGTTTTGGACATGCAATGTAAGAAAAGCTTTTTTTATTTTTATTTTTATTTTTACAAAATTATCCAATTGATTCAGTTTGGTACTGACTACTGAGCAACAAAAAAATAGTCTGTGTGAACTTTTGCTTTAGCTTTACATTTTTTAATTTACTCTCACAAAACTTTAACTTAAAAATAATGGTTGTGAGTCTTGTGACTTGAAAAAAAATGTAAAATTTAGTGAAACTGTCGAAACTATGGATTACACAAACTTTTTGAAGCAGTTACGATTAATTAAAATACTATAATTTAAAAACTTTTTCACATATTTTAAGGCCAATTTGTCAAGCAACCCCTCAAATAGGTAAATTTAATAAATATGTATATTTTCTTTAGTTGGGATTAAGTTTCTGCCTATAAGTAAAACGGACGGAATTGAGTCATGACCCCAAAATATCAGATTATCAAAGCTTAGTTTCTTCTCTTCCCAAACCCATAACAAAATGAAGATCTCTTTCTCTTCTATTCTCTTGGTACTAATTGTTGTTTTCTTCATTTCTTCTTCAGGTAAATTTATGATAATTTTCTTTGCCAAAACAGGATGACAACTCTTTGCTGTATTCTTGGTTGAAAATCTGAAGTTAAAATATGTAATAATTCCTTTTTTTAGACTTTTTGTGTTTTGATGATAACAGAAAACGAGAAAATGGTAGGAGAAGCGAGAACATGTACTGACGCGTGGAATTGTAATGGAACAGAAGAGCAATGCAAAGAACAGTGCCTCACTGCGCGCAAGGGAAAAGGATTCTGTGATGTGTTTGCTCCTCTTTCTGTTGCATGTTTTTGCCAATATAGTTGCTAAACACTACAAAAATGTATTGATGGAAGACCCTTAATCCGTTAGATCTTATGATTAAAATAATAAACTCAGCTATCTTATTACAGTTTACTAACAATACATTTCATTTTAAGCAATGAAGCACTTATCATCTTTAATAAATAAGTGAGCTCTAAGACTAAAATGTGAAATGTGATAAATAATCATCCTTCTTTAAACTTTCAAAGTCAAACTTCCACCAACCAAAACAACAGCAAAAAAAAACAATGGAGACTGATTTCTCAAGAGTCACTCTCCGGCCGTTCGATCTGATGGACGCTCGCGATTTCTTGAGATGGGCCGGTGATGATCGAGTGACCGGAAATCTCCGTTGGCCGACTTTTACAACGGAAGAGGAAGCTTTGGCCTTCATTCGAGACGCATGTCTGCCTCATCCATGGCGGCGATCCATCTGCATCGATGACCGTTCGACTGGATTCATCTCAATCTTCCCTGAGACCGGCGATGATAGGTACAGTGTTTTCATATGATTTTATGGCATATGTTGGTCTAACTGAATTCAGTTTTGTCATGTTAGTGATGTGTGAATCTTTTAATAGGAAGTTAAATCTCAGATTTTAATAACTTACCACATATATGGTCAAAACATACAATGACCACGTACGGTTGTTATGTGGTATTTTAAAAGAAAAGAAAATGAACATTTTACAGTACTTAGCTAATTTACTTTTATACATTAAAATCAATAACTAGTGTATTTTTGCCGTAGCATGTTAATTTGGAGTAATTTTACATGCTAATTATGATTATAATTTATAAGTAGTCTATAAACTGATATTTTATTTACTTAATCCCATATAGATATATCGATATACAAATGAATTATTATATATTTTGCTGTTTTCATGATTCAAAGCGCATATTGGGTATGGATTATCTCATGAGTACTGGGGAAATGGGATAGCGACGAGGGCAGTGTCAATTGCAGTATCGCAAGTGTTCAATGACTTGCCTCATGTTTTGAGGCTTCAAGCTTTTGTCCAAACACAAAACAAAGCATCCCAAAGGGTTCTCGAGAAGACTTGGTTTCAAAGAGAGGGTTTGCTCAGGAAGTACACTTACCTCAAAGGTGAAGTATATGATGTGTTTGTTTATAGTCTCTTGTCCTATGATCTTCTTCCACAAGCCTCCTCAATCCAAATTGTCTAGTAGTAGATAATAGAACATGGATTGAGACTGAATTGTGAAATTTTGGTATAACAGCAAGAACCGAATCAAACCGAGTCAAGTAGCGTTGAGCGTTCTATGCAATGTGAAGCCTCGTTCAATTGGCAAATGTACAAACCGAATTATTTTCTGAACCAAACAAATTTCTTTTTAAAGTATTATTGAAAACCGAAACATCAAATCGAAATTTGGTACTATTTTACAAAACCAAACCGATGATGGTCCGATGTAGTTAACCATCATTCAATTGGCAAATTCTCTGCCTCACGTCTGACCGACTCGAACAATTCAGTGGATAAGTAACGTTCCCCGCCACTTGGGAAAATCACCTGAAAAACCGGACAGTAACCGTTAATTTGACTTTTTAAAATCCGGTCTGATTTTGAATTTGAGTAGACTCTTGTAAAAACAGAGTTTTTAGTCTTTCACTTACAGCTATGAGCTTCCCGGCGTTTTCTGGCCGCTTCGCCACCTTTATTGCAGCGGCTGCAGCAGCTCCGGAGGATATTCCAACCTGCGGAACGTAAACATTTTCATCAGAAATGTTGGTTTTATGGCTTATAAACCAACACAAATGTCAAACCAGAGATTGTATTTGTACCAGCAATCCTTCTTTCAGTGCGAGAAGTTTTGCTGTTTCAATTGCTTCCACACTTGTCACCTGAAATTTAAAAAGACAAAGTTCTTACGTCTCTGACATTTCTTGAATGTCACGAAGAAGACATACCGATATAAAACAAAACATCAGGTACATTACTTGAATGACTTCATCAAGAACGCTGAAATCCAAATTGTCTGGAACGATTCCAGATCCAATACCTTGGATCGAATGCATACCTATGGTTCAAGAAATCCAGGTTTTATTATGTTAAGTGATCAATTTTATCAAAAAAAATGTTAAGTGATCAACAAAGAATTAAACAGCAAGAAACTTGACATGTGTTGGTTTTGGCACTCAAGAAGAAAGAATTTAAACACTCAAGTGCCAAAAAGAGAAACAAACTCTAACCCGGTTGGCCTCCACTGATAACCGGGCTTTCTGAAGGTTCCACCCCATAAACCTGTTGATAAAACAAGTACTCGAACATCTCTGTTTCTAACCAAGTTCTCATGACATGATTGGAATTTGAATATATAAGAGTTTGTGTACCTTAAAGTCTTTATTCTTCTCCTTGAGGAATTTTCCAGATCCGGAAATGGTTCCACCAGTGCCAACACCGGCGACCAATATATCTACTTCCCCTGCTGAGTCTCTCCATATCTCTGGACCAGTGGTTTCATAATGAGTCTGCAGAAAAAACCATTTTAAACATTAACCAAAAACAGAGATATAAAGAAATGTGAAAGGAGAGTCCATATGTATATATATACTTGTGGGTTTGAAGGATTCTTGAATTGCTGGAGCATGATACCATCTGGAGTCTTGCTTAATATCTCTTCTGCTTTCTCGATTAATCCTTTAACACCTTTTCTCGGCTCTGTTAAGTGAAGCTCTGCACCTAGTGCTAATAGAATGATCTTTCTCTCAAGACTCATTGATTCAGGCATTGTTAGCACTACTTTGTAACCTCTAGCTGCTCCCACAAAGGCTAAACCGATGCCGGTGTTACCAGATGTTGCCTCTATCAATGTGCTCTGAGTAAACAAAATAAAAATCCAAGATTGAAAAAAGCAACAAGAAAAATGGATGTATGAGTTAATAATTGTTCTACTTTTACCTTTCCGGGCGTAATTAACCCTTTGTCTTCTGCATCTTTAATCATACCATAAGCGATTCTAGCAACAAAGAGATTTCTCAGGAAACAAATTGAAATGTCTTGTGGAGCAAACAAAGAGATTTCTCAGGAAACATATTGAAATGCCTTGTGGAGCAAACAAGAGAAGTTATATATGTGTACGTACCGCTCCTTGACACTAGAGCAAGGCTCCATCATCTCAAGCTTAGCCGCGATGCGAGCAACACAACCATCTACAATGTTGTTCAGATACACCATTGGTGTGTTTCCTATCAACTGTCACAGAATGACTAAGTACATAACTTGAACTAAGAAACTACAACTTAATTCTGAGCAAAATGTTGAAAGGTTTTGATTTACTTGAGTCACGTCATCTTTGATCGAGCAACTGTCCTCCATCTGCAACATCAATTTTCCCAATTTGGGTATGGAAAAGAAGATCACAAAAGAAAAGTCAAGAGATTTATAAGATATAATTTACGAAGAAGGCTGTATTAAAATTTATAAACCGGAGAGTGCTTTAGACCATGAATTTTAAGTTCAAACTCGAAAATTAAAACAGAGAAGAGAAAAAAAAAAATCTGAACAGCAGAAATCTCAATGTCTGAAAATGAAAAGCAAGTCTAGAACAATGATGAAACAAATGAGTTGCTCTCAGTGAACGATGCAAAACATTCGTGTTCTTGAGCTGAAATCGATCCTGCTTTAAAGGAGAAGCTTTTCAAGTTCGCAGATTTAGGCGAGCAAACAAAAGAAGAATTGTAAGGAAATAAATCCAGAGCTTACCCTTACCACGTTCGAATCCAGACGAAGAAGAATATAGATAATGTGCAGAAAGAGGGAGAGAGAGAGAGAGGAGAGCTGTTCCGGTGGCGAATAAATGAGAAAGTCAAAAGAATAATGCTGTATATATTGTATTGTACACACATACACAAATGTATGTTGAAAATTACTTTTTAATTCATAAGGTAGCAAAATTTCGGTTTGATTAAAACAATAAAACTCTTGAGTCTTGATGACAAAAACAAAAACAAAATTTCGGCTTTGTCTCCCTTGTTTGGCCTTGAGATCTTTCTCTCTTTTTGTAAACGATTCAGGGTGTAAGCAAAGTTAGGGTTTTGTGGCAGAAATTAGACCACGCATTTAGAGACAGAGAAAACAGTTGGCCGGCAAAGCCTTAAATCATAATAAACGACGTGCTAAAAACAAATTCGTAGCAAACCTTACCTACCTAACACTGGCCTCTTCTACACGTGAAAATTTTCTGCGTTCATGACTATTAAAATTTGTTAATTATGCGTTTATGTAACTTCTTTTTATAAAATTTGGAAATCTTTCTCTGATGCACATTAGCACTTCTTGTCATGAAGCACTTTATCCAAATAACCACCTGAAAAAAACTGAATCTAACTTTATCTTTCCCAAATGTCAAAAGTTTTTAAAGTATAAAAATTTTAGTTCAGTCAATCAATCATCAATAAAGTATGAAGTTATGATATTACACTTAAACAACTGCGTCTGATCAAGAAGAAACAAACCAAAGGCGAAATAAAACATGTCATTTATTACAGGGACAAAGATTAGCACACAATTTATTAATATGATGACTTTATCTTTTGAGAGAAAAGTAGCTAGAAGTCGTCTTTGTTATTGGACAAATGATTCTATGAAAAAAACTATAATCTAATACAAAAGGTTATACACAAACCCCCCCCCCTATGATTTCATCCCTATTGACAAATAATTTAAAAACAAAAAATCAAACTGATGAAAAAGCCTAGAGAAAAGATCCACAATACCTTAGCAATTTATATAACTTAAAAAGATTCAAATCTCATACTATACTCACCACACACACACCCCAGAAGGTTAACTTCAGAGATATCAAATATCAAACCTAACTGGTTATTTCCTTGTCGTCGTCATCACTCATCATCGTCGTCTTATTCATCTTCTTGCTTTCATCATCATCCACCACTCGGCATAGTCTTTAACTCGTGCAATGTAGCTCTAATCTGTTCTTGAACCAACTCTAATCTCCTTGAATACACTTCCAGCTCCAGTATCTGCTGTTTCCTCCACCGCTCATCCGCCACCGCCTTGTTCCCTCCTCCTTCTCCACCAAAACCGAAATTAACCGGCCGTGTAAAGACAGGGCTTAACGAGCCAAAGCCATGAACACCACCACCGCCGCCTGAAAACCCTCCCATTGCAGCCATCATCATACTCGTCGTCCCATTCATCATCTCCTTAATCACAGGAGAGACACAGTTTTTCACAGTCTCTTCGATCATGCCCCCGAGATTCCCTCCAATACCAGCATACGCGGTTTCGTTGAGGTTAACATTGCTAGCTGCGTTTGGTATTTGCCCATCAGAGGGAGCGATCGGTTTGTTGTCTTCTTCAATCTTCCCAATCCGTGACCGTGATCGTTTCCTCGATCCGCTGCTGCTACTCATCGTCAATTTCTTCTCGACTCCGTTTTCGGAATCGATGTCAAGAGCAGGATTAGAGCTAGGGCTATTGAAGGCTGAGTAGTTACCATTGGAAGTGTTGTGATGGATATTATTGGTTTCTTCGAAATCCATCACGCTGTTATCTTCAAACCCTATGATTTTCCCGGTTTGATTCCAGATTTTCCTGGAGATCTCGAAAGTCGATTGATCGTGAGGGCTCTTGAAGAACACCTCTTTACCGGAGCTGATCTTGCTCATCACATTCCGGTACTTCTTCTTCAGCCGGCGGAGCTTCTCCACCAGCTGGTTCTTGTTGAAATCGAGCTGGAGCTTCGACTTTATCTGCTCGTAAAACGGCGCCGTGTCGGGCGGGTGGGAGCTGCTGCCTCGGTGCGACGTTATGTAATCGAGGAAGCCACGGAGGAGCTCGATCTCGTCCTCGTCGGTCCACAGCCTCTGGAAAAGGCGTCTTGAGTCGTCGATCGGGGGTCTCTGATGGACGATCTCCGTCATGCGGTGCCATTTCGGATCGGAATCCACCGGAATTACGGACACAGGGACCGCGGATCCAGCCGGAAGTGCAACGGTCACGGCGTCTACGGAGGAGGTCGTCGTCGCCGTTCCGGAAACGACGGCAGTCGCGGAGACCGTGGAGACCATGGCGAGTGAAGATGTAGACGGAGAATTCAGATCTTCCTCTTCCGGATCGTCGTCTTCGACCTCGTTTGTTTCCGGTATGACGACGTCATCGTTCTCCCGGAGATCCTCGTCGGTGTCAGTCTCTCCTCCGTCTCCTACACCACCTTCCTCCAGATCCGGCGATTCCAATGAGAAATCAGCGTCGCGATGATCCGATGTCATCTCCGCGAAACAACGAATAAAAAATCAGCGGAGGAGAAGAGATCCCTGGGTCGTTGAGCTCCGATCTGACGACGAAGACCACGAGGATCAGATCTAAGTGCCGAGATCCAGATGGAGAGAGGGAGTGGGTTCACGAGGATTGGTACGCTTGTGTGTTGGGTGGTAGGGGCATGAGAATCTTCGACCCAACCAGGGGTGGTCTCGGTATTTCATAACTTAACGTTTACGAATAGGCAAAGTAAGTGGTCACCCACTCCTACACGCACTCTTCTTATTATTGCGGTCAGTTCAGTTGTGTAATGACGTCCCTCGGTCCCAACCAAAAATCTCAAATTCCAGAATACGCCAGTGTCTGGAATAACCGAGTGGAAACCGAATTTCCTAAAACTCGGTTCGATTGTATACGGTTCCTTCCTACCGATCGATTGCCAAGGGCCTTATTTTAGTTTTTTTTTTCTTATTTAAGAATTAAAATTTTCACTTATAAAATTATACTTAATGTGATGAGGTATTAAGTCTGTATAACATAAAAAAAAGTTGAGGTATAAAATAAGAAGTTAAAGTGTAGTTTGTACCGATCGGTGAATTAGTGAATACATATAAACAAAATACATATAGTTTGTACTTTGTACCATGTATAAGAAGATCCACACACACACACACATAAGAAGAGCCACTAGTAGTAATAATACCGTAGTAGTAAAATCATTGCTGACATACACACATACACACACACATAAGAAGAGCCACTTACGTCAACCATCTCGCCTGCTCGAAAAGAAGGTCCTAGAACCGGGCCTAGCCGTCAATGAGAGCTCAGTCGAACAACATAAAAAAAAAACACATCAAGGAAGAATTTTACGTGGCTTCAGCTAGAACTCTTTTGCATTTTTTAAGGCATAAGGCAGTTGTTTTGGCCTGTTGATTTTATTTTCCCGTAAATATTGGAAAGCCTTGTTCACTTAGGATGTGTAAATTGTTTTGCTCCATTAATTACAATCCTCTAACTTGACGATGTTTGAATGCAGATAATGGGAATAATTAAATTTGTAAACTCATACTTGACTTCTATCTTCTTTAGTTGAAGACCCAAGAACACTAACAAACTTATGACACATTGTTAAGACAGCTTTGTTTGGTAGAATCGAGACATTGTATATAAACAAAAGAAGTTACAAAATGTGTGTACCTATTATTCTTTCCATTTTAATATAAAATATTTTTTTTTTAATTTGAATAACAAGTAAAAGAACCCTAAGTATATAAATGTTAAATTAGTGAGAAGAAAAGGTCGATACATATAGGCATATAGCAACACAGCCTGAACAAATTAGGGTTTGACCAAAGATGGGGCACCAAGAAAAGGAGAAGCTAAAAAGCAACAGAAGAAGAGAAAGAAGACAATGGAAATCAAATATGTCCTTACCTCTCGATCTAACCAGAGAGATACTCTTACGGCTGCCTGGGAAATCTATTGCGAGGTTTCGTTGCGTTTCGAAGCGTTGGTCATCAACCATCGCCGATCCATATTTCATCAACTCGTTCGAAACTCGGTCCTCAACAAAGCCGAGCCTTCTACTCTGTCTCATAAAAGGTGACGATTTGTTTGTTTCCTCGATTCCGCAAAATACTGTGGATTCGAACGAGGCTTACTCTTCTTCTCTTCCCGTTGATCGTTATCATATGAAACTCCCAGCAAAATATAGTTACTTCCCTCCTATGGAATCCGTCCACGGCTTGATATGCTTTAAAGATTCGCCAGATCCCAAAGTTTGGAACCCTAGCATGAGAAAGTTCTTGACGTTACCAAATCCCAATAACCATAAGAGCTGGAAAAAGCAAACACTCTTTCTAGGTTACGATCCCATCGAAGGTAAACACAAAGTTGTGTGCATTCGCTATAAAAAGTTTTCATACGTATGCCGAGTTTTAACATTAGGATCTGCTCAAGAATCATGGAGAACGGTCAGAACCAACAATAGACATCGTTCTTACTATTATACTTATGGGCGATGCATCGATGGGGTGATATATTATCTAGCCGGTATTCGTACAGGGCCTTATTCACCTCATTCAGCTTATTCAGCTTTTTCAGCTTTAATGAGCTTTGATGTCAGATCTGAGAAGTTCCATATGATTAAAATACCATCGAATATTGATAAGGATGTGCTGATAAATTATAAGGGGAGGATAGCTTGTACTGATGATTATAATGATAAAAGATTGTGGATTTTGGAGGATGCAACGAAACACAAGTGGTCTAGTCAAGACTTTCTTGTACCTTTACGTCACTGGGATGATAGTTTGGAAGCCATGTTCAAACTAAAAGGTTTCACTCATGCTGGTGAGTTTATTTTTGGAGAAGGCTCGTTTCGAAAATCGTCATATATTTTATCTTGTGATAGAGAAACAGCTTTAGAAGGTTCGAGTTTAAAGGAGTTAGAGTTGGAGACTATTATAGGCTCAGTGCTTTCCCGAATCACATTGAGAGTCTTTTGTCTTTGTAGTGATTTATCATTCCTTACTCTTCTTCTATCCCCTTTCATTACCAGTTTTATTTTTTTGTAATTCTATCCACATCGGCTATTACAATTTGTTTATTTTCTTATGTTGGTTTTCTTTGAAATTAAGTCCTTGAGGTAAGAGCTTCAAGCAAACCATTGTGCATGCCAGTTGATAGCAAGATGAAAACACATATTTTTCTACAGTTTGGTCCTTAAAAACCGTCGGGTTTTGGTGAAATTGTTGTGGACCAATGCCCTCGGTTAGAACCCTCGGAAGACTCAGCTGATTCGTCAGCTCGGCTTAACTGATTCTCCACTCAAATTTTCACTAAGACCGATCCCAGAAGCAAGTTCACACCTTGTCTTATAAGCACATGTACGCTTTCATCAGCAACACTAGTCGCTGGACATGCTTGTCCTGATGCGTGTTAACATTTAAAAATCATTCTTGTTTCACTGACAACGTTCAGCTCACAATTGTTTGTCTACAAAGAAAACTAGGCTGTACCAAAAATATATTTATCTTCTGTGTCAAAGCTGTTGCAACTTTGAAGAACAAGAACTTTAACATGTGTTGACTTAACACACAAGAAACATTTAAAAGCTAATGCAAATATTATATCTGCAAAAACTAGCGATGGTATCAAGTTGATACTATCAACGAAGGAGAATCGAGAGCCAAGTACCAACTCCGGTAAGAAGTGGTAGTTTGAAACACCTCTTTTCTTTTTTGTTTTTAATCTATTGCTGGTTATCTTTAATCTTCTCTTAAAACTTACTCTTATATTAAAACCTGAACATAAACAAAACCCGCAAGTGCCGTATTTTGGGAAATTTGATTATTGTGATAGTTTTGGAATTTTTATTTATCTTTGTGGTATTAGTGAGATTTTGACCTCTTGGTGGTACTCTTAGAATGTATTTGGTAATTCATCTTCGTTTTCTTCTTTGTTAACATAGGAAAACGTTTAGTTTCTTTATATCATGTTCTTCCACATCTTCGTAATTACATAAATTGTTTAGAAAATGCAATTCTTCCTAAGTGCAAATCACTTTACAACATCGACAGAGATGTCGAGTATAATGTCAAAGGCAACACAAGCCACCGATCAGTGTGTAATATATTACGAGAAAACTCTTTATCCACTGTAGATTTGAATGGTGGAAACAGACGACAGGAGTTTAAATATAGATATATTGGACAGAGCTTTAGACTGTTGTCTATCGAACGCTTAAAATCAAACAAAAAATCGAGTTAAACAAAAGGAAGCAAAATGCTCGAGATTTTTTTAGTAAAGATGTCTATAGTTGGAGAAAAGATCTAATAGCAGACAAAATAACATAAAAAGGTGAACAAAGGTTCCAAGATGGCAATGCTCTGTCTTGAGGATCTTACTTCTTCTTGGGATCACCAGCCTTTGTCTGCAGACATCAAACAAACAACAAAAATGATTAAAAGAGAATCCAAGTGCTTCCCAAAAAGTGTGATAATGTCATTAGCAAAAATAGTCTCACCTTCTTAACACCACGGATCTTCTTGGCTCTGTTCTTCCTTTCCTTAATTTGTTTCCTTGATTTCTCAACCTTGGTGTCAAGTCCATTCTGCCCAAATCATATAAGCAACCATTTAGATACAACAATAAAGAGAACCCATGTGCAGACCAACTCTAACGATTAGTAACAGCCACTTAGTTACATGGAACTGAGAGTGGAAAGAGAGCATATACCCTGATGAGTCTGTATTTGGGTTCGAATTTCTTGGCATTCTCGACAGTGTCGTAGATCAAACCAAAACCAGAAGATTTACCACCTCCAAAGTGGGTTCTGAATTTGAAAACAAATATTGCGTTTGGGTCTTTGACCTCGTACATCCTCGCTAGCTTCTCCTTCAGCTCAGCCTTTAAAGTAAAACCAAAACCAATTCAACTGTTACAAACCTTTATCACCAAAAGTCTAAAGCGACGAAGTAATTAAAGTAAAGATCTTACCTTTGAAACATTTGCTCTCCCAGGGTGAAGAACATCAATAACCTACATCCACAAATCCACAACATTCTCAGTAACTCATCGACTATAATCTTCATTGGAACTATGTGAATATGCAAACTCAACAGATAATATAACACTTGTTTCGCAAATGATCCACAAATTAATTAAAAACCAGTTACTCAGATTCGAAAAAACTGACAATTCACTCTCGTCCCACTTCCCAGGTATTAAATATCAAATTGGCATCAGTTGAGACTCACTAGACTAGGTCAAAAACCAGAAAATCTGACTTAAGACATTAAACCCGATAAAATTAACATATCCTGGAGAAAAATGAATGCGCCTTGAATCGAGAAAACGGATGCAATCGCTTTCGATTGCGTTCCTATCAATATAGGCCGATAATACTAAACGTAGAACGACACAATGATGCGGATGATAGAGAAAGAGTTAAGCAAAAATGGAACTTACGAACTGCTTCCTGGCGAGAAGTCTGTTGGTCATGAATTTCCGGGTCCGGATGGTGACTGCCTTTTCCGCCATTGTTGCGATTTCTCCGGGATCAAGTGAAGATCGCTGCTTAGCTTGGGTTCGTCCGCTCGGGTAAGAGAAAGAGACGCGCAGAGAAAGCTGTAGCTTTTATATACTTAAGGTCCTTAGGGTTTTCTCTCTTTCTGTTTCTAATGGGCCTTAACTTTATTGGGCTTACTCTATTTCGGGGTTGATTCTGTAAAAGGAGTCCAGTGGGCCTAACTATTTATAGCCTGTATATTTTTTAATTTTCTTTTTTTTTGGTCAGCGTGATATTATTTAGTCAATATTTCCGGCGCACAATAGTATAATACAAAACTGAGGTTCGTCGTCTAGTTTCAACTTTTAACGATTTGGTGAGTGTCAACTTCATGCAATAAATGAGTTGAGTTAAACCAATTCGTATAATAGATTAGGGCTTCCAAGAATAGTTTGGTGGATTAAAACAAACAAAAAAAACCAAAAAGTTTACAACTTTTGGGAAAGAAAGAGTAAATTCTTAAAAATGAATCTGATAAATCATTTTGTTGGTCTTATTAGCCACACACTGACACACACACACACACACGAATGTTCGGATGCGTTGGCTTCCACCGCAAAAGATTATCTGAGGGTTGTAATCGATGATTCGGCCATATATTTAAGATCCGAAATAACAAATAGTGCAAATTATAATCTTGATTATTACTTGCCGGTGACGAACCTCTTGCATTATATCCATCCCTACATAATAATGGGGGCCTAAAATAATGTATTTGGAAATCAAAAAGATTTGGGACCGACAGGAAAATAAAAGGAGGAGGATAGGAGAAGAATGGTTGGCACTGAAGTGGAATTGGGTACGAAAAGAGTACGTTGATCTGTACATTCAATACACCACATGTCATCAATAAACGACCATTTAAGCTTTGATTTGTAAAGACTCTCATATTAATAAATCAGTTAATTTTTCTTCTTTTAATGGGTCAACCTAATTCAATTCTTCATACGTCCCTACCATTTTTCATTGTCTTTTTATTTTATTTTTTCATTCACTTGCGTTCAATGAATTTTCGTAAACCGTCATGTTCCGAGTTTTGATTTTGGACAGGGTATATAATACATCATTTTCATGTTCAAAACCATTCTAACGTCTTTTTCGCCATTCAACATTACATGTGGTTAGTATCTTTTGATCGGTTTATCTATGCAATGTAACTAAGGAACCTGAAACCACCTATTGACACATATATTTAAATGATACTCATAACAACCACAATGATGACGTAACATTTCATAAAAGATTCGATGATCTACCTATCTTAGATCTCCAAGATATACTCATATACATATGATCCGAGCTTCGTATTTTATTGTAGAATTGAGCTTATAATATATAGGCTTACCACATGAACGGTTGAAAGTCACACGTGGTGGTAAAGAAACAACTGAATTTTATTTCATTTTCAAAGTTTGATTTGTATATGGAAAATACTGTAAAGTTTTAGATGGGTTGATAATACTATTTTAGTCATAAAGCTTGAGATTATATTTTCTGTCACTGTTTAAGTGTTAAATCAGGCGGCGAAGAACTTAGGATAGAGAGAATCGTTTTCTAGTGTAGATATTGACAAGAAAATAAAAGTCTTATTGAAAATGTCCAAACATTTATATAGTAATCATATAGTAACGACAAACCAACCATGTTAGTAGCATATATATACACATTCAATTTCCTAAAGTTTTTTTTAAAAATTACCAACGCATGTGAATGAACCCAAATTTCAAGTAGATTGGTCGGCAATGGAACATGGCTCTGCTGCTGTGGGGTTGCACTTATAATTGCTATTTTGTCCTCTCTTTTTTTTTCTCCTTTCAATTTTAATTAACATTATCCAAAATTATTTAAGAGATTTATACAGGTGCAAATTTATTTGGTATGTCATTTTTACACAGTTATATGGTCTTTCTAAAACTTGGAATATCAAATTATATATTTAAGCAAACCACCATTTCTTTCAGTGCCCGGAGTATTATTGTGTAACTATAATAAGAAAGGTTACTTCACATTGGTCAATAATTCGTTTCCATTATTTTTTGTCATCAATTCGTAACCAATCCTCTACATTTTCTCCCCACATGCATTTAATGGCACCTTGTATACAGATGCGTTCCAATATCAGTTATATGACCTATTTCATTTCATAAAAAAATATGACATATTTCATGAGTTTTGACTAATACTTCAATACAACTTCAAAAATATTGTTGCATTTGAAAACTTTCACATTCTAGATTCTCGAGTAAGCGGAAGTGTATTATTGTAAAAATTAACCCAAGTAGATCTATTAAGTATACTAGTGTGTTACCTTGTAGAAGAAGTTTTATAATAGCAAACAATATGTATGTATACATGAAGAAAAGCAAGAGTAGTCAAGATTCAATGGCATCGACAGGAAGTGAAGTTGTTCTTTTAAGACATTTTGGTACCAATCTTTCTCCAAACACCTTCTCTTTCAATCTTTCTCCATCGACTCTTACCAAACCGGAAACAGAAGAACCCGGTATTTCGTCTTCCGGATCCGCCTCTTCTCCGGATTCCTGCCACCGGGCTGTTACCTGCTCATCTTGAATCTCTCTGAGCTCAATTTGGCATTTTGCTTTAAGCCATCTCAACTCTTGCTGGACCTGATTCTCGGTTTTCTCCGATTCGCAGTATATAGACGGCATAAACGAGAACGATCCAGAACCGGTTAAATGGTTACTTGCCTCACAAGAAAACGTGATTTCAGGGTTTTCGTATACCTCTTCCTCTTCCTCCTCCTCTTCCTCGGAGTGGTTTTGCCCCGAATCTATCGAGCTAAGCTCGCGGCTCTCCTGCTGTTGCTGCAGCTTCCATATCTCTCTAAGACGAACCTCTGTTTCTCTTATCGTAATCTCCTCAAACCGTCCATGAGTCTCACCACACCCGTTCCTGCAACACTGTGCTACGTTTGCTCCGGGATTAGTCCTCAAGAAATCCATCACCGAGCCCATCGACGTCCGGTTCGATACACAGTTGTTGCAAAAGCTCGCAGCGTTCGCAGCCGCTGCCGCCGCAAGACATTCTTCGAATTCAGGTCCCGGTCTCCAACTAGGCACGAGTTTAGATATCTCTCCGTCGATCATGTTGGCTATCTTCGTAACTCCGTGATCGTCCATATCTAGTTCCGCTACCATCTCCGTTGCAACACTCAGTGCCGTGTCTGTCTCAATGTCAAATGGGAAGTAAATGTTTCGAACACGTCCTGCAACAAAAGCCTTTATCATCAGAAACCAAACAATCCTCACCGGAAAACTAAAAAGATCCAATCTTTTTGTATGGTCAAACCAAAGATCTCAACTTTAAACTCAAAAAGATCTGAACTTTAAACTCAAAAAGATCTCAACTTTTATACTTTAGAACCGAAAGATGGCATTTTTGGACTTTTGGAATTTAAAAGATGGCATTTTTATCACACTCTTGTTCATAGTAAAGAGAATCTTGCTGTTACCTTCTTTGTCAGAGATCCTAAGACGCAAGAACAAGCCACCATCGTCTCTTCTCTTCCCTTTGATGGTTATATCAACATTACCAGGTCTCTTGTCTTCTTCTTCTTGACCATCATCGCTTCGACGTTCAAAGAGCTCGATTCCGTGAGTCTCCTCTGTCTCACCTGGATTATACGCCCAACCGTTCTGATACTCATGACCACCACCACTACTGTAACCATTCGAGTACTGACGGTTCAACGAGCTACTATTCGACTGGTTGTAATTGTAGTAGTCAGCAAGATTATGCGTCGGCTGCCTAACGAGCGGCCCGACCGAGTCATCCATGTCGACTGATCTGAAGTCCAACTCACCATCGTCTATTCGAAGGAAAGGATCGTCTAGTAACTCACGAGCAGAGACTCTAAGCGAGACAGTGGCTAAGCATTTCTCCACGAAGTACTTAACCTCAGGGTCTCTTACCTTGTACAATGCGTCCGGTTTCTTCCCGGACATGACTTTCTTGTAGATCTGAGCTGGGTGAGTGCACTCGCTGTAGGGGTAATCAAATGTAACCATTTCAAGAATGCACATACCGAACGAGTAGATATCTACCAATTCGTTGTAAGCTTCTTCGTAGACTTCAGGAGCCATGAACTCAGGCGTACCTAATTAACAAAAAAGGAGGAAACTTTACACAAAAATCAAGAAACAAAACAGACTCAGCAAGAAATGAGAATTTGATTTGGAGTTTTTGTGTGTGTTTGTATACCGACGCAGTGAGCAGCGTGGGACTTTCTTAAGATGGCAGCGAGGCCAAGATCTCCGATTTTGACCTCTCCTTGGTTGCCATTGACGAAAATGTTGTCACATTTGAGGTCTCTGTGGATTACAGGAGGGTCATGGCTGTGAAGGTAATGTAAGCCTCTCAAGATTTGTCTACACCAATGTTTCACCGCTCTTATGTTAACTCTCTTATGCCTCAGTCTATACCTGGAGGATCCCAATTTCATCAAAACAAATAAAAACAAAACCTCTCTCTCAGAGATCATGAAAGAGATAACAGAGAGAAACGTACTGTCTTAAGGTGCCGGAAGTGAACATTTCAGTGACAAAATTGATGTTTCGATTGGCGGTATCGACCCAGGAGGTGTAGAATTTCATGATGTTCTTGTGTTTTAAGGTCTTGAGGAGATGAATCTCACAGTAGAGCCTCTCGAGATCTTCAGGGCTCTGTAAGAAATCGTAGAGCTTTACTTGGTTCCATGCTACTTCTATCCCTTCATATTCATCAAATGCTCTGTAACTACAAAATCAAAACAAAGGAAGAAGAAGGAAACGTTCTAATTTAGTAAGATCAAAGAAGCTTTTTATTTGGTAGAATCTGAAATGGGTTTAGGTCCAAAACAATAAAGAGATCCAAAAAAAACGCAAAAATTTCTTTTATGGGAAATTAATTTACCATATTAGAAGTGATTCATCTAAGCAGAACAAAAATGCTACACATTTATTTTCCATCTTTTCAATAATGAGATTCAATCATAAATTGGATCAAACATGAGTATTGATTGGGAAATCGAAAAGTTTCAAACTTTATGAAGAAAGAAGAACAGATTAAGGTTGAATCCATTACCAGATCCAGAAAGAGAAAAAGTTGAAATTTTTAAGGGAATTAAGTGAAACATAGCAGAAAAGAAGAGAACGAGAGAAATCGAGAAAGAGATTTGATTCTTACACAGTCTTTGAAGCTCCTTTACCCAGAACTTCATTGTACTGCAATAAGAACAGGAATCACAATAAACTCAGGGACAACGATCAAACAGAACAATAAAGATTTGATATTTAGAGAGATAAATTGAAAGGAAAAAACTTTACTCTTCCATATCTTCCAGTAGGATCAACTTCAACAAACTCAGAGTAATCTGGTTCAAGATAACTCAGATTGTTCATCTCTCTCCCAATCAGAAAAAAATAAATAAATATTTATAATAGATCTACCAATAAATTTCTCTCCTTTTTATTTATGAGGGTGAGTTTAGGTTTCTTCTTATAGCCATTTCTTCATAATCATCTTGTTTTATTTTTTTTCTGACAAAAAGGAGTAGAACAGAGGTATGAAACTCATGTAGATAAGAACAGTATCTGTATTTACTCTCATTATCACATTATAATAAATACTCTATAGAGAGAGAGAGATTTTGAGATTTGAGCTTTGAAGACAGACAAGCCAAGCTTTCTTCAATAGTTCAATGGAAGTTTTTTTTTTATTACAGAGAGATACAACCACCTGGTGAGAGAAGACAAAAGAGGGTGTGCGTCTCTTGAGGGATGGTGGTCCAAAAGTGGTAAAACTCATAGTACAAAATATCAATAAGTTTCATTACTTTTTACCTTTTTATATATACTAAGTATTAATAAGAAAATTAAGAAAAAAACTCTACATAGTAGCAAGGAATTGTACGGTATAAATTATCATTAGTGAAGTAAATATAGCTAACTTTTGTTATTGTGTGGATTCAATTGATGAATAAAGATTAATTTTGGAAAAAATAATTAATGGAATGCATTGATTAATTTGTGGAATAGTTTTTAAAATATTGATTAAAATCTAAACGGCCCCCCATTACAACCTATGCAGCTAACATCTAAAAGACTAGTCAGCTTCTACCATCAAACAACAATGCCATGTAACGAACTAATGTTACCATTACAAGATTGGAAAAGAAAACACTCAAATTAAATTCCTAATATGGATTTGAGACAGCGAGACAGATACATTAACATGTCGATTTGATGTTCCAAAGGAGGCAACAAATGCTAGTTTGGCCACGTGTTCAGTTGCTTTTGCTTGGGTAATTACACTGTACTATATATATTTTGAGTTTTTGACCATACATCATTTCACTAACTCGACAATTAATTTATAAATCATATATAGACATATAGTACAGTGGGATTAAATCACAAAGTATAAATATCAACTAAAACAAATTTTGGAAAATAAAAAGATTGATGAGGGTCCTGGGGGCCATCTGGTTTTAGATGAAGAACACACATGTGCATGTGGGTGAATACAAAGACATGCACGATCATCATAGCCTTTTATTATGAAGAAAAAGCAAATAAGACTTAATTGTTTGTGATAATGAATCTCAGACCAACCACAAATCTTATCCATTTGGCCTTTTCCTCACGCCATTTAACTTTATCATAAAGTTTTTGGTTTGATTGATTATTATTTGATTCGTGCATGCAGTCTATAACCTCCTAAGCTAGTTGTATAAATGTTCAAGATTCAAGAATCAAGAGTAATGCGAAAAGAGCTCGAAGGTGGATTTTCTTTCGTATTTTTCTTTTATTGTGTGATTATAAAACCCAGCAAGAAAAAGATAACTTTATATTATGACTAACGAATACTATAAACAACGTCATTAACTTTTAGCCAATAACTAATGAAAATTAAGCGATTATTAAACTGAACCTTGTTTGACTACTTCGTTGGGTGATACCGTGGTTGCCCGTACGGAAGTAATTTGTAATGTAATCCCAAAAGCAATCACAAGTTCACAACACCTAACCTCAATTAACTACTAGTTTAATTAGCTAGTAAAACAAAAACCTATGTTTATAAGATAAACAGTTAATACTCGACTCGCTGTCACTAAACGAGTAATATTAAATTAATCATGCATATGGATTCAAATATCCGTCTAGTATCCCTTTGGTATATACATCACTGATGTTTCAACAATATTGTGACATATAAACATATACCACAGCGATTAGGTGATAATTAGCGATAGGATATGCTTGGACATAATTAGTAGTTGATGATAAATTTATGAATGACTAATCGATATACATATCACAGACATGGAATTGATTAATAACCATACAAAGCTGTGACTGATTTTCTCATCGGTTACGCATATCCATTATATTGCATCTCTTTGTTTGCTTACCAATTATATTTCTTTTGCTCTAACTGTCTTTGTCCCGTTTATATATCGCTGATTCTTCCACTATAGACATTTAAATTATAAAAAGAAAAGCAAAGCTCATAGAAAATTATGAATAGTCAAATTTCAAGTGTGGAAACTGGAAAAATCCAATGTATCTAGAAGCCTGGACTCAATTCAAACTTTCAATCTCATCGTCTTTCAAAATGATTGTAAATTAATACTAAACTGAGAAACTAAACACACTCAATGGCATGAAAAGTACCCTTGAACAAAATAAATCAGATAAATATAAATATGTAGAAACGTGTGGGCCTAGAAAGCCCAATAAGTAGGGATTTGGCCGGAAAACAATTTGCTCATCTGACGTATAAGGAGGGTTTGCTACATAAAAGAGAGATGTGTATGTGTGTACTTGGTAAGTGGTAACCATGCATAGATAACAATAATCTCTGAAGTGTGTAACTATATATATATATATTTTTTTTTAGAAGGGGAAGAACAATGAAAACATACAGTATATGTTTGAGAGAAATGAATTAACAGGTATGGAAACAGTAACAATCCTTAACGCTGGGGATATCTGTACATACACCATGAGTATCAAGCCATCCATGCGTATTTTGCTTGATACAAAGTTTATCACAATCCTCGTCCTTGCATGGTTTCATTGGCTGTGAATATCCACACCATTTTCCTGTGGGCGTCGGCGGCATGGGAATTGGTTTTCCGTTTCCGGTTTCCATCTCTACAATAATCAAAAAATCAATCGAACCGAAACTTATATCAAACAATAAACCTAGTCAATTAACCAAGCTGATACGAAAAGCGATTTGTTAGTGTGTTGGTCATCGTAAATCAAACTCACTAGATGAATTAGCTTTTAGAAATATGTAACATCAAACAATATCAAAGGAACTGATTCATGTAAAATTCTCCATTTTACATTTTGTGATGAAAGGATTATTACCAGCAGCAATGATAAGTAGCACAACAAGAAACGCTACCGAAAATCTCTTCATATTTCTGTATATGTTGTTGTTTGTATGTTTATCAAATGTATTGCTGATTGGAAAACAATGCAGCAGATGATTATATATATATACGCACACATGATCGCTCTACTGAACACTGAAACAATAGAAGGCTGGTTTTGAGTCTTTGACCACTTACTGTTATGATTTCTTTCCATTTTTTACTTTGCAAATCCGGTAAATATTTCAACTAACAACTAAACGATCGTACATAGCTTTATAAATGTCAGGAAATCAAAAAATAATGTCTTCCATAACTGTGGAATCAGCCATTGACTTTACGTGGAAAACCATAAATTTTACGATTACAGTGGGAAAGTTGACTACATGGACTATGCTATAATGCTCAGCAGTCTTGAAGACATTTTTTAACATGACTTTTACCACAAACCATTGAGTTTTGTTAAATTTCTTTGAAATGATTTTTAAAATTTATGCAAGTTTAGTAAATTACCAAAAATCACTGAGTTTTGTTAAATTTCTTTGAGTTATGGTTCAATTTGGTCTGACCGATTAGACCAAGTTCTTTTTTTGTAATTTGTTTTTTTAAATTCAAATAAAAACATCTAAATGCAATAAAATTGTTGGACTGACACTTCCTCTCTCCCGCCGCCGGCAAAACGAAACGCAGTTCCGTTTCTCCAAATCTGTTCGCCTTTTAGTACCTCTTGGCACTCTGATCCGAAGTATCGCCGTAGCTAGAAATTTGTGAGCTCTTCTCGCTATTCACACTTCGTGCGACCCGAATTTCACTCTCGCTTTGTTCGATTGCACAGTTCCACGAAAAAAAAACAGTACAGGTTTGTTTTCTTAGGGATTTGTTTTCCTATTTCGATCTGCGACGCTTCGTTCGACTGTTTTTTGTGGGGTAATTTTGCGGGGAGGTGTTTGGTGACGAAGACTGTATATTCCGGGAGGTTTTTTGGATGAATCGGAATTGAAAAATGAAAACCCTGCTCAAGCGTCTGATATAGTGGTCTCTTTGTCTTTACACTTTGATTCAGTAAAGGCAATGAGCGAGAGTCTTGTGAAAGGAAAAGATATGGTTGAAGCTGATCATAACCACGATTTGGATATCGAATCTGAAACGAAGACACTCGCCAGTAATGTGGCTCGACAGATTCTACTAATCTCTCGTTCTGAATCCTCTGCTGATGCTTACAAAGCCGCTGTCACATATCTTGAATCGGTAATTTTAAGTTTTACGAATGAAGTTTGAATTTTTGTGCATGCTACTGCTGGTTTGCTGATTTGCTCAAGTGTTAGTTGTATTGATGCCTTTTATAGTTATATGATCTGTATTTGATTGCTCATTTTCTATTTTTATACTTTTTACATTTAATAATGAGTGTAGTTTCAAGTGTCTTGAGGTTTGAATTAGTTTCTTCTCTACGTATCATATTCGTTTTTGCTGGTACATGAAGACTCGATGCTGTATATGTAGGTTAGGAGGATTCTCAGTGTTGTTTTGTTTGGTTGACTAAATGTTGCATTTGTTTTTGATTAAGCTGTATGTATTTGATATTTTGTTTCCTGTTTGCAGATTAAGGCAGGTGAAGTTGGGGTTTTGTCTGAACTTTCGTTTCTTCTTGTGGAAAAAGAATGGCCTTTGGAAGTTCGTTTGTATGCCTCTAAAATGCTACAGGTTCTTGCTAAGACGATTTACTCTCTCTCAATCATTTTCTTAACTGTTGTTAATGAACAAAAACTGAGTTAGATAATCTGAGCAGAACTCTGCCATTCCTTGGCCTTTTGGTATTGAGATCGTGCTTCATTTCTGATGGCAATGTTTTGAAGTTAACCTTATCTACACCTAAGTGACACTGTTATATCTTCCCTCCAGGATTTGGTTAGACTGCGTTGGGATGAAATGAGCCCCACCGAGCACATGGATATTAGTGGTGCCTCCTTTGAACTGATGTCTGAGGTAGCCAATCCATGCGAAGAATGTGCGATGAAAAGTGAAACAGTCGCTCTGGTAGCTGAGGTGAGAGCTGGTTTTTCTTTTTTTATTTAACTTTTGCAATCTCTATTTATGGTTGTTTGATGTCAACTTATACAGAATTTCCTTGCAGATATTTGAAAGGGACGATCCAAAGATGTGGCAGGAGTTGTTTCTCTCACTAGTGTCCCTGTCCTCCCGAGGCCCTTTACAGGTAAAAAGGCTTCTTTGTTCTTCTTGTGTAATTGGTTAATTCTATCATGGCATGCTTCAGTTTTTTTCTAAAATTTCTCTAAAACATTAGGCAGAATTGACTTTATGGGTGGTGGAACGACTTTCTGAACATCATAGTAAGGAGTTGGAAGGTAATTAAGAGAAATCTACTTGACTCTCATTTGGTGGATTGCTCTCGTCATTTCTAACACATGTTTCCCTTTCTCATCAGACAAGAAGCATAGGCATCTATTGCAGAGGCTTCCTGATATTCTGGTTTGGTTGCATGATGTATGCTACCTTTGCTCTTATCAACCACTTTGTTTATTGTACCAGTAGTTAGTTTACTGAAGAAACCTTAATGCAGCTTCTTGAAGAACACTTTGGTGCTGCAAGGAACGCAGAAGGGCGACAGAAGGTTGAGTTGGAAAATCAGCATTCAGCTGCAGTTGTTGCTTGCTTGAATGCCATCAACTCATTCACCGAATGGGCTCCCGTTCTAGATCTTGTCGAATACAGAATTGTTGACCAGTTAATAATTCTTGGCTTATACTCAGATTTCTCGTATATAAGCTATGAGCCTATGACTTTGCATATGTTTCTTACTCTCATGTGTCCTTGTATCCTACGACAGGTGTAAATCCTTGCTTTCTACTACTGACTTCTGCCATCTTGCTTGTATGTTCTTCAAAGTTATCTGTTCAAGGTATGCAACTCGGCTGTTTTAGTATCAACTGGAATTTGGAAGTACCTTTCTTTTTCCTGAACATTGTATTATTATCTGCTGTGCTTGCAGAAAAAGACCCACTGATGCTTCTGGTGCTGAGTTTGATTCTGCAATAAGCCACGTGTTTCCGATTTTGACAAGCTTCTCCGGAGAACTGTTATGCAGACTGAAATCAAGTTCTGGGGATATAAATGGAAGTGAATACGACTTTGCTGAACGTATCTGTAAAATTATGGTCTCTCTAGGCTCCACAGGTTTACAGTGCATCTTCACAGATAACAGTGCCATAGCTCTTTATCTGAAACAGGTATCTTAAGTACAGTTGTATTGAATATAGAGATAGATCAACATGTCTTATTGTGATTTACTATTTATATTTATTGGCCTATCATCATGTTTACTGAACGCTTTGCACTTTCTTTCTAGATGCTTGGGTTTTTCCAACATTATAAGTTTGGTCTCCACGTTGAGTCACTGTTCTTCTGGCTGGTAAGTGGCCTGCCTTACCAACAAATCATCATGATTTTTCTCAAATACTGAGAAGTGAAACTTAATGTAAACTTTGGCTTCTATCTTCTGGCGCACAGGCGTTGATGGAGTATTTAATCTCAGACCCCATGGCTCCTAAACCAAGTAGAAAGGGATCAACAAGTGAGATTGACAATAGTTCTGGGCACCTAGATGACGGAAGAAGGATGCTTTTACGCCTTATTGATGATGATATCGCCAGCACAATTCTGGATGTTTCATTCCAACGATTGAATAAGAACGAGGAAGCCCCTCCTGGAACAAACCTTTCCCTTGAGCCATCAAAGTATAAAGATGTGGAATTTTGCAAGTACCAGCAAAGGCTCGTATGTTCCTAAACGCAATACACGTGGCCGTACGTCTTAGACAACTCTCCATTACTTTGATTAAAATTTATTCCTTTGGCGCAGTTTGGTTTGATCAAACTCATCTCTTCTCACAAGCCCATCATTGCCAGTACAAAAGTATCCTCCACAACGATCATGCTTATTAAGAACATATCGGTTCCTTCAGCGCCTTTACAGGTATCAGAAAATGCTACTTTCCATCTCTGATCTTTAACGAATTTCCCTTTTTATAGTCATGACACAAGATTTTGTTTTTTTCCCAGTATGCAGCTGCTATGAAGAGCCAGAGTACTGCTCTGGAAAGTATTCTGCGTAGACTTTTCTGTGGATCTAATGAGTTCGCTGGTGGTAATTCTGAAGTTCATTCTCAACTCCACGTGATATATGAGGGTATGTGGAAGTATATGTCAGATCCCTCCATTTTGTTTTGTTTCTTGTTGTCTGCATTCATTTTTAACTTGGTCTTTTTGATGAATAGACTTGCTTCAGGAGCTTCTTTATGTAAAATGGACTGAACCAGTTCTTATTCAAGCGCACGGCGACTATCTAAACGCAATGATTCCTTTCCTCAAGTATTTGCCAGATGCGGTTGGAAGTGTTATCGACAAATTGTTTGCACTTCTTACCTCTCTTCCACCTACATTTAAAGCTGCAAGATTAAACATCTGTTCATCTTTGATGCGTGTAGCCAAAGCTGCTGACAAAAGCTTTATTCCTCACTTGAAGGTATTTCATAATCCCAAACAATTACCCGAATATAATGCTCTTTAAGACCTTTTGTTTGCTCTTTCTAGTTTCCATGATTTGTTTCCGTATATTTCATGCAGGGTCTAGCTGATAGAATGACACGTTTGCAAAGAGAAGGAACTTTGCTCCCTGGTGAGCATAGTAGTCTCGTGGAAGCATTTTTTGCTATGACTTCTGCGTCAGGGTAATTTGCTGCTGTGTTTATGGTGAATTTGAATGGAATCTCATCTATCGTATTAAATGTAAATGTTGTTACTTGGCACAGAGCTCAAGGGCAGCAAGATAGTTCTACGTTGTTAATAGAACAAGTGCGCCAACAGTGGACTGAAGCAGAGTGGCAAAAGGAATATATATCTAGTCCCTCTGGCTTTGTTCGTTTATGCTCCAATCCGCCCTTAATGCGGTTTGTTGTCAACACAGTCATGGTCTTTGAGAACGCTCTCAAGGGATACAGATTCAAGAAAAGGAAGTTGAACAGGATCTCTGAGATGAATCATCCTCTGGCTTGTCACCTTTCATGGATACTACCACCCCTAAAAGTATGTCTGTTTAACTTCCCTTAAAACTTGGGATTCCAGTTGAGGATTTTCACTTTGCAAAAGAATTACATGATGGTTTGTTTAATCTGCAGGTGTTTCGTGTTATCAATTCTCTGTCGTCTCCTGCTGTGTATCAAACTTTACCCCCAAATCTCAAAGCAGCAATGAAGATATTGCAAGTCGAGTTACAGAGCCTCCAAGGATTCCGAAACCGTAAACCAGCAAAGGGCTTGTTTACTTATTCTAGTGAAGGAAGCTCATCTGATATTCAGAAATGGCTGAAAGCTTTTCGTGATAGCGGGTAAGTGTACAGGCTTTTCATGAATTCGGCCAAGTTATCTGAAAATATTTAACTGTTTTTTTTTGTGGGGAAATATTGTATGCATTTGCAGATATCGTGTCTTGCAACTCTCTGTAACCATTGGAGACACGTTCTACACATCCATTGATGCTAATTACGTTGCGGTGGCACTCACGGAGAATATTTGGTGGATGGAATTCAGACATATCAAGCAGCTTATCAATGCCTTAGTAATTTATCTTGTCAAATCCTGCCCTGCAGATAAGTGGGAGTCATGGCTTGAAATGCTTCTAAGCCCTTTACTGACACATTGTCAGCGAGCTCTTAGCTCCTCGTGGACTAGTTTTCTGCGTGATGGCAGAGCCAACGTTCCAGATTTGCTCAGTTTTGAAGGTGGAAAGAACATCAAACCCAAGCTGGAAGAAAAACTGATCATAGGTTTAACTCGGGCCGTTGCGGATTTGCTTTCAAAGATGTCTGCTCCCGAATTAAACACAGGGCTTCCTGATTTGAACCACTCAGACCGACTTGTTCATGGTGAAATGTCTCTTCTCAAGGATTTTGATGCACTAAGATCTAGCTGTTTGGTGAGGTATGTATAGGACGCTGTGTGTTTATAACTTCTTGGTCCATACTCTTTTTGGATTATTAATAACAAGAATTACATTTTTGTTTGTTTGTTTGTTTTGGCAGCTTCCTCTTGAGTTGCAGAAACTTGGCGCAGCCAGTGTTGCAGTTTTGTTTACAAGCCTGCACCTGGACAGACGGTGTTATTACAATTACCAGTCTCCGTAGTTTTCTCATTAGCGTTATTCATCTAGCCATAATGACGAACAACGGAGAGCTTGGAGAATATGTTTCAAAAGATTTGTTTTATGCACTCATCATGAGCTTGACCATAGGTGAAAATCTGAAAAACAGTTCCGTAATTTCCATATTAGTTGGTCTGTGCCATGAGATATTTGTTCATCTTTCCGAGAGGCACCAAGCTCCACGACAGGTCAGTTTTGATTTTTTGATAGGTTTTTTTATCTCCTCAGTTATATTTCAGTGAAACCTGACTGTTCTTTGATATCTTCAGGTGTTGCTGTCATTCCCTCGTCTCTCTCTCGATGATCTGCATGCTTATGAAAAAGCTTTGGCAGAAACTTCTGAAACCAAAAGACAGAAGCAGCTTACGAGAAGCCTCTTGTCATTAGCTATTGGAATTAGCTTAGAATACACTAACTGATCAGAAAACTATGTATGTCGTCGATGGCCTGGTGAGAATACTTAGCTCCTCTGTATATGGGAATTAGTTTTTACGTTTATGAAGTTGCAATTATGGACCTTGTTTCATAACAGAGAAACAGAACTTAAGTTCTTTAACGGAAGAGGAGAAATAATTGTCTTTTTCATAACTGTATCAAATGGCATCACTCGTTAACTGTAAATGGAAAAATTTAAATTTTAGTAAAATTGGTGAATTTACATATACAAATACATGAAGAATTAGTAGGCATTATGGCCAAATCACAAATGCATGAATATTAGTGTGCTTAGATGAATATCTGCCTGATTGCTTCGACCGCAGAGACACTCCAGCTCTCCACATGCCTCACAATCTTGTTCAAAAACCAATGTCGCAGAAAAAGGACGTAAATAAATATACTATGATCGAAAGAGCATAAGATTCGTTCTTTTTTTTGGGTATGAATGTTATAAGATTCGTTCTTTTCTTACTTTGAAGTCTCTATCGAGTTCATAGACCGTACTTCCGTCGATTGATATCAACGGTCTCCATGGGAATTTCAGATAAGTCCTGAAAACATAGTTCAAGAGAATAAACATCAAGAAGATAACACAACACTTTCTCTCAAAAAGTGTTATAAGTTTCATAAGAATACCTTAGCTTCCACGTCGCCGTTATATAGTCTCTTTGGGATGACTCACTCTGTAATGTTGGAGGTGTTACACAAATCGATTACAAGAAGAACAGTGAGAGCATCTACCACGACTAGGAAGCTAATTACTAACATAGGCTACACCTTGTCCATATTTTGCAGTTCAATGGATGCATCTTCCAGGAATGGAACCAGTAATCGTAAGTTGCGTTCATACAACTTTGTACCTACAAAAGCCAAAACCCAAAAGAGACTACTTCATTCTCACATCAAGACTCATGATCTGATCTGATACATAAGAACAAGAGGATTCTGTAATTCCTCACCCTGAAAGCTGATTGTCGGGTCCGCAAAGATACAATCATCCGAGTAAATTTCAGAAGTGAAGATTCCTGCTAACATTTACAGAAATGAGTCTTACCAGTTAGTGACTGTGGTTAGGTGAGTGGGAAAGAGTGTGAGAGCTATGAGCTAATCACTTCTTAGCTCTTAATACTCTTAGAAAACGAAATCAAATTGAGCAATCATTTCCAGAATCTAAAGGCTTTGATGAAGAAGAGAGAGTCAAATACCTGTGACGAAATAAGCATTTCCATAATCTGATCTCAAAATCCCCATCACATCATCAACATCTCGAGCTGTAACCACAGAATTTGATCTGTAGCCAAATTTAAACCAATCTTTCACTAGACAAAAGACGGACAGAGGGGAATGAGAAACCATAATTGAAAGCTTTCGAGATTACCTATCCTTATTTGTAGAGATGGAGGAAGAAGAAGATACGGAGAACAGCCGAAGCAATTCAGTGACTCCGCCAACCGCCCATTTCAAAACAGCCGGCGTTTTCTTCTCCGGCGAACCAGAGAAGCATCGCGGCCGATGATGACCAACCCTCTGCGAAAACGAACAACCCAACACTGAAACCAACAAAACAGAAGCCAAGTAATCGCAAATCAGCAGAATTCACTCACCCTTACAGTCGCCGATGAGCTGATCGATATCTGGCAAGTCACTCCCGCCATTTTCTTCCTTTGCTGAGTGAGAGAGAGAGTGAGTGCAACGGTCACCGCCATGGCTCCGCCGTATATTTTAATTAATAACTTTTAGAAACCATCCAGGATTTGGAAATGACAAAACGTACACTAAACTTTTATTTATGGCTTTAAGGTACACACATTTTTTCGAATTCAAGGTCTTTTTTGTATTAAAATAACTTTAGGTGATAAATGTGGATAATAAATAAAATTTGGATCGTTTCTTTCTATGATTTCAGGGTCTTTTTTTGTGTTAAAATAACTTCAGGTGTTTAATGTGGATAAGAGTTTCTCGTGAATCTTCTGGTCACTCCGACTTCCAACTGTCAAACTTCAGTTTCAAAGATCCGCAGAGATGGCCGGAGTTGCTTCCGCCGCCGATCGACCATTGAAGATAATCACAGGAGCTGACGCGCTTGGAGCTAGCCTCAAGGACGCGATGGTATCACACCTCCGCTCTCTCGGCATTGATGTGGATGATACCGGCGTCTCCTCGTACTACTCAGCCGGAGCTGAAGTCGGCCGCCGTGTCTCTGCTTCATCGTCATCCGAGATCCGTGGCTTGGTCTGCTGCGGCACCGGCGTCGGAGTTGCGATGTTCGCCAACAAGTTCCCGGGAGTCTACGCCGCCACGTGTCACACCGTCGACGACGCCGTGAACGCTCGATCAATCAGCAACTGCAACGTCCTCGCACTCTCCGGCACTAAGACCTCGCCGGAAACCGCGGTGGAAATCTTCGACGCTTGGGTTAAAACTCCGTTCAAATCTCCATGTCCTGCTTCCGGATCCGAGCCATGGAGCTCCGAAATCTCCTCCTTCCTCGACAATTCGCTCTCCGAGATGCTTCAAATCGGAAAATCCACCGCAGAATCAACAACGAAACAGATAGATCAAAAATCCGCGTCCTGCGCGATTTGCTGCTTGGCGAAGAACAGAGAGTTCGCTCCAATCGAGATCATGCCGGGAGGCTCGATGAAGATTGTGAGGGAGACGCCGACGTCGGCGATTGTAAGATTCAAAGCAGGAAGTGTCGAGCCGGCGCACCACCACACATTCGGCCACGACCTTGTAGTCCTCAAGGGGAAGAAGAGTGTATGGAATCTGAGCAAGAAGGAGAGAGCTGATCTCGTTGACGGCGATTACCTATTCACTCCGGCCGGTGACGTTCACCGAGTCAAGTATCACGAAGACACTGAGTTCTTCATCACTTGGGATGGCCATTGGGACATTTTCTTTGACGAAGAGCTCGAGTCTGCAAAGAAAGCCATCGAAGAAGAAGCAACTAAAAGCTGAAAGGTGAAGAATTAATCTTTGCCTTTGTTGTGTTGCCTTCTTCTCTACTCTTTTCGAATGTTATAAGCTTTGTTGTGAATAATCAATAAATCAATCTTCTGAAAATTGATGTATTTATCTGGTAAGAATCTTTGATTTTAGAAGATTGGGTCATAATACAAATGCCATTCTCTTATGAACACTATTTAAAGGTTTCTCTTTGCATCATGGAGACTACTTTCAAACATTATTCATCATTAGACAAGACTAAGCTCATCAGAAACTGCAGTTGCAGAAATTCCATCTGTAGAAGAAGAAAGCTTCTTGTTTAGCTCTGCGAGTTCTTCACCGGCATCACAGATGTACGACGAAGCTTGTCTCCCCGACAATGTAGCTCCTTCCATACTATCTATGTAGTCCTGCAAAATGTCCAGAAACAAAATTCTCAATGTCAGATTTCTCAGGCTATTCTTGCTTTGCATTGTGCACTGTTAAGAGTGTAGAAAAAGTTACCTGCTTTGTGTATGAACCAGCGAGGAAGAAATTCTGTACAGGCGTCTTCTGATCAGGTCTGAAAGGATCTTTGCCGGGTGCTTCACGGTACAGAGACTGAGCGATTTTGACAACTGATGACCAAGTCACTTCTAGACCCCGTGACGATGGAAACAACTCAGTGACCTGAACAAACATTATAGAATCAACAAGCATCCAATTTGTTGCCAAAGTTTTCACTCAAGTTTTGAGAATTTAACAGTGATCTTATGTACCTGCGTCGCTACTTTCTCTATGATCTTTTCGTTCGGTAATCGCATGTATGGATCTCCTGGTGTTAACACGCACCTGTAAGAACAGAGTTCTTGTTGAAGAAACCGAGAGAGTCGCTAGATATTATGTAGAACCAAAGAGGTTATTGTTTCTTACTGAAGCAGAGAGCCTTGTCCTTCAATGTAGTAATCTGCAGGCGAAGCAAGTGCAAGATCCGCAAAACACGAGAAGTCAGCATCAGGAGTGTAGAGAAGGTTATCTAACCCAACTGCTCGTTTCAACTGCCTACAATGTTCAACAACACAGAAACAAAGACTCAGGTTAAGTAAAAACCAAGCAGAATCAATCCATCATCAACATCATCATAAGATTCTTGAGAAAGGAACCTGGCAAGTTCAATGTCTTGTAACTCAGTGACCCAACCATTGTATCTGAGCTGCACCGTACAAACCGGAACTCCCTCGAGTTCGTATATGTCGTTGAAAAACCGAGATTCCCGCCATTCTTTGGGAAGTAACCTTTTGATTCCCGGCACATCACATGCTGCAACATACACATCAGCTTTCACTGTCTTCTTGTCCGTAGCCTGAAAGCAAAACCAAAACATCAAAGTGAATTTAAACATTTTTGCAGACTAGCTAAAAACTCCAATGTCAGGAGCTAAATCTCACCTTGGAAACTGCAAGTCCTGTGACATAAGTTTCTCCATCTGCTGATTTATCATAAAGTATCTCCCTGCAACCCCACCTTAGATGGATTCTGTTTATGAAGACATGAAATAAATAGTTGAGGAGATGACAAATGTGAGAATCCATTGTTATAGATAATAACATACAGACGCACGCACACACCTGCCACCTCTATCTGTGATATATTGTTTGATAGGACCACTCAAGTAAACATCAGGAGAGCCCTTGAGCATACGCAACAAAGAAGCTTCTGTTTTTGTGGCGAATAATGAGAATATGGTAAGCATGCATCTCGCGCTCATGTTATCGCAATCTATGAAACCGAGTGCGTAAGCAACAGGATCCCACATTCTCTGGATACTTGCTCGCGTCCCACCTTTCGACATGAACCAATCCGAAAAACTTATCTGCAAAAATAAAAATATAGAGAAATAAAATATTAGTAGAAATGAGAAAAAAAAAAAAAAAAAAAAAACGGAGGTTTTCTATTATCACTCTGTACGTTGTCTAGATTGCGAATGTCTCTCATTGCTCCATCAGGGTCAACAAGAGCTTTAACGACCGGGCTTAATGCCAGAGCCAGTGAATTCCTCAGTTTGTCATACGGCTGTTCCGCCAAAACAAGAATAAACCAATAGTCAGCTCAAGATTGGTACGAGAAGCAAGATACTACTACTCTTTTGCTATGAAATTCAAAGATTTAGGTGCCTATAGAGATATGCATCTTCTAAGTCCAACAGTGAACACAATGAATAGAGAAGTGTAACTTATACCTTGAGTTGATTTGTGATTAAAAACGCACGAATACCATGAATCGGAGCTCCAACAGGAAACCGAAAATCAAGCTCTACAAATTGTATGCACATCTCAGTAATCACAGAGGCAATCATAGTAAGAGAAGAATAGTGAAATGAGCCATACCTCCAATTTCGCTGCCTTTGTTTATAAATGTATGAGTGTGGTCTTTGACAAGAAGGTTTTTATCCGCACCAACCTTGCATCATCACAAAGAAACTTCATATATGAGTATTGAGTTTCAACCATCAAGCAAACTCTAGTGGACGCTTTAGGAAACAGAAAAAACCTTTTTCATTAAGCGGAAGAGATTGTTGTAGCATCCGAAGAAAACATGTAGTCCCATTTCAATATGGTTCCCACGTTTATCTACAAAAGAACCAACTTTGCCACCAATGAATGTCCTTGAATCATATATATCCACCTGACAACAATAACAAAGGTTACACATCCATGGGACCAAATCCAAAGGTCAAAGAACTAAAAAGCAATGGTTAAACACCTCGTGACCCTGATCCAGAAGCTCAACAGCAGTTGACATGCCTGCAAGTCCAGCTCCTATAATTGCTACTTTCAGCTTTGGTCCCTTGTACGGTACAGGCTCTGGAGGAAATAGCCCCTTTGGAGCTGCAGTTGTAACCAGTCCATTCAAACGGTAAGAAAAAGACCGGAGACCATTGAGAGTTCACAATTCATCTATATGCCGGGAAATTTTCTGATCAAATTAATAGATTGGATTAAACTAAAGCCACTGAGAGTACTTGTGAGGATTGAAACTTCATTTTCTTCAAAATTGGGACTTTTCGTGGCATCAAGCTAAGCCCTTTAATCCAGATAGATAACAATATCTCAAAATTATCATTTAAGTTTCCGATTGTCTCAAGAAAGAGGAAACCAAATCAAAAACCCAGAATCCAAAACATCCCAAGGAATCAGTAAAGGTTTAGATTTTGTTTTTGATTATTACCGTTGACACTCATGTCGGAAACATCGGTGTCGAGTGAAGAGCTAACACAAAATCTCCGAGCCTTCAATGGACGAACAGAGAGAAACCCAGTAGCTGGAGTTGCAGCGAAGACGATAGAAGAAGCCATAGCCAATCAGCTGAGATAAGAGCAAAATGGTTAATCGGTTTTGTTATTCGAACACAAAATGAATCCGTTTTTTCCTCAAAAAAAGGAAAAGAGGAAGAACGAAGAAGTAAGCGAGAAAATGAGAGATGAACAAACTTTGTTGTGTAGTTGCGATGACGATATGCTTTGCTCTCCGCATAAACTCTAATTCTATGGCTTAACTGTGTTCAGTGAGGCTAAACTTTTTGTTTTATCTAAAGATAATTAAACCTGTCTGATTATAGTTAAACCGAAAAGGTACAAATCTTAAACCGAATCGAATATCAAATTTTAATTATGGGCTTATCTATTTGAATAATCTGAGGCCCAATTTATTTGAGGGAAACGATGTTCGACAGTGTAAATCTCCTTGATAACAATTTATTTTGTAGATCTTATGTTCTCCTATATTCTTCTAGTATAGTATTTCGTTTTGTTATTTGACCAAGAGTTTCAAGAACATAAAGTTTTAGGCACAGATGATTTAGTTCTGTTTTTGACAGTAATATACATTTTATAAAACTAATTAAAAATTGATTGCTTTTCCGGTTTAACCGCTTAACTAAACGATATTTCTTATATAGCCAAATTAATTGATTTCTTGGTTATTGGTTAGGAGAAACTCTTTGCATTTTTTTTTTTTCGCTTTCGAGCAGGTTTCCGTAACTCAAAGTAGGTCGAAAGACGAATTACTAACTTTATAATCAATACAAATATCAAATAACAGCCACATTTAATATGAAAAATAGTAATATGAACAGCAATAATATTAAATAACGAAAATGAAAGTACGATAAAAGAATCATATCCAAAAATAACTGGGACCTAGCTTAATACAAGTCGGTCCAAATTTCAATCATGTTAATAATTAATTACTCAAAGACTTTCGCAATAGTATTGCCAAAATAAATTAAAACAAAAATTATTTATGATCAAAATTTGGTAAATGATCGATCATAAACCTAATTATTTATTATCAAATTTGGTAAAAGTTTTGGATAGTTATAAGAAAATTGATTTAAGGGTTGAAATTGTGATGAATGATGACCAGAGGATTAAACACTTTTAACAGTATGTTTCAATCACTTCTTTAAACCGTTTGTCTCATACTATCATCTGATTGACAGTTGAAAAACGAACGATTCAACCTCTAACCACCTAAAAATGCATAACTAATTAAATTTTTAGTGGAAGCTCAAGAAAGTAGATACTATATACTATGGGCTAAGTAGTGGGCATTAAATGCGTGTAAATCATTCCATATAATCAAAATTTTCTTAGCAGTCTTTATGGACGTAACAAAAAAAGAAAGGGTAGTGCCTAATAAGACAACTCAAAAATAATACAGTATTTAAAAAAAAAACACAATTTAATTGGAACACATGCCTTGATCTTAAACTCTAGTATATAAAAACTGTAATAATTCGTTTGAAATTAAAATCTATTTGAATTTGTGTGTTACACAGGTAATGATCAGGTTCATTTTTCTAATAAACAATAAGACATAGAAGAAGAAGTGATAATCTTTGTCAGTAAAAAAAAAAAAAAAAAAAAAAAATTAACTTCCTCAAAAAAAATAATCTTTGTCAGTAAAACAGAGATTCCAACTAAGATTTCCAATTAAAAAAGTCGAGATAATTCTATCGATAAAGAAGATGTTACAACACAGGTAAGTTTTTGTCTGTATTTGATGTTCTAACCGTCGTTTTCCGCCGAATTAATTCGTATTTGGTACTTTAATCAATATTTTATTTAACGTTTTTCTGAAAAAACCATTTCGACAGTAAAACAAAGTCTCCTTTTTGTCTGTATCCGTCTTATTGACTGATTTCTACTATTTACTATTAGCCCACATTCTCCTCTACTTTGGCGATTTGGCTCTGCATTTTTCTCTCTCTCCTCCTCCCGGAGTCTCTTAACTTCTTTCCCTCCTTGCTCGATGAATTCTCTCGGATCCATTTGAGAAAACCCAGACCAAATCTGTTGACATTTCCCTGACTCCGATGCATTTTTGAGATTGGGTTTCTCTTTCTTTCATGAAAGTCATCACTTTCAGGTAAATTCCAACACTTCCGTTTCACGAATTACGTTACTAAATCTACATCAACATCCGAAGTAAATACACGGCGCTTGATTTGTCCACAAGGTGTTTGTTGAAATTCCGGAGAGAGAGATAGAGAGAGAGGCTGGAGATTGAAATTGTGTAAGAAATGAGGGATTTTCCGTCTTGCTCCGGCCAAATAGGCGTCCAGATTGCGGATTCGTCTTCCTCCAGCGCCGGAAAAATCGCCCAGAATCTGGTCGTTTGCATCTACCGCTGCCGCATCCGAGGTAGGAGTTGCTTGATCACACTTACATGGACTAAGAATCTGATGGGCCAGTGTCTCACCGTGGGGGTTGATGATTCTTGCAACCGAAGTCTGTGTAAAGTCGAGATTAAGCCGTGGCTCTTCACTAAACGAAAAGGGTCAAAGTCTCTAGAGGCGTATTCATGCGTCATCGATGTTTTCTGGGATCTCTCGTCCGCGAAATTCGGATCCAGCCCTGAGCCTTTGGAAGGGTTCTACGTTGGCGTTGTTGTGGACAAGGAAATGGCTCTGCTTCTCGGTGACATGAAGAAAGAAGCTTTGAAAAAGACTAATGTTGCTTCTTCTTCACCTTCTTCGTCTCTTGGAGCTCTGTTCATTGCCAAGAAAGAACATGTCTTTGGGAAGAGGATTTTCGCAACAAAAGCTCAGTTTTCAGGTGATGGCAAAACCCATGACCTTGTGATTGAGTGTGACACTAGTCTCACCGATCCTTGCCTCGTTGTTCGTGTGGATGGGAAGACGTTGATGCAGGTGAAGCGGCTTCATTGGAAGTTCCGTGGCAATGATACGATAGTTATCAATAGGATCTCTGTGGAAGTTCTCTGGGATGTTCATAGCTGGTTCTTTGGGCTGCCGTCGTCACCGGGAAATGCAGTGTTTATGTTCAGGACTTGTCAGTCTGTTGAGAAGAGTTGGTCTTTGACGCAGGTCCCAACGAGCTCGAAACCTCAGAGTTTTGGGTTTACATTGTTTCTGTACGCTTGGAAGAGCGAGTAGAGAAGAAGAGTTTTGAGAGTTCTCTTCTTTCTCTTTGAGTGCTAACAAAAAGGAACCGTTGATTCTTGTTCGATTATTTATCATATATTCATATGATGCTATATTATGATCAATATATCAGTTTCATATGCCACAGCTTCTACATGAGACTCTTCAAAGTCGACTGCTTTGGTCCTGTATCAACAACTACATACTCTGTTTTGTTCTCAAGGTGCATAACATTCCATTGTCGGAATAGATGTGCTTGTAACTACATTACGGGTCTTTCTTCTATTGTGTTGTTCTGCTGCTCATTTGTGGACGTATCAGATTATAATGGCTTGAGCTGAAGCTGGTGTTTTGCATCATTCTAGGAACAGTGTCCATGAGGATTGTTCCTAGAGAATTATGTAGATGTTTTTTGATTCATTATACAAGCATTTGTATTGGTTTTGTCTTTTCGCCATATCATTTTTTTTTATGTTAGATTACGGAATTGTGAACGGTTATTAGTCATGAGTTGTTAAAGTTTTCATATTTCGATAGTTTTCTTTGTTTTGGCCTCTTCTCTAGCCAATTCAAGACTGCTGAAAGTTTTCAGATTATAATGGCATCATCTTGTTTGTTTGTGTATTATGGTTTTTGTAGAGTCTTTATTTGGTTCAAACAAAACCATTCAAAGTTGTTCTGCTTCCTAAGAAACTGGTGGATAATGTTGTGATTCTTGGGTTTGCAGGTCACTTTACTGGTCAGTACTAAACATTAACCACTGGGAATGTAATGTTTTACTGCTCCTTGAAGCTGTTCTTGTAATAGCAATCCGTGACTTGAGACTTTGCATAGTATATGATTGTATACCCACCAAAAAAAGTGTACAACTTTGCACTCTTGCTTGAAAAAACATCAAAGGTCTCTTCTCTTGGATTGTCAAGTCAGAGAAATATCTTTTAGAGCAAGCCAAGCTACTTTATACATCAATTCTAACTTTTAGATTTGGATATCTCAATGGATGTGGGGACCCTGAGCAAAACTGCATATAGTTTCATAGAGAACCTCACAAACTGCTTGCTGTTTGGCTTCATCACTTCTCTCCTTTTTGGCTCTTTTTGTCTGTGGGAATCTTGAAAAGTTTAATGAGAAAGGGAGACATATAGATGTGTGCTTTATAAATGCTTCCTATTGCTTCAACAAGATTTTCTTTTGGGTCTTTGTGGAATCATCACATGTTTGCCTTTCTGTCTCCTTCTGTAATAATAATGCCAGGACAAATACTATAGCCTCAGTTTCCTAGACCATGCCACCTTGACCCCACCCCACACGTACCTTACCGGATTCCGGTTCGGACCAGCATTTCGGCCCAATCTTGCACTAGGTTCGGCTACGGCCCATTTCCATCTATTACTGGACCAAACTCAAATCATTACAAGCAAGAAAACGAAATTAATCTATACAAATTCAGAAGAGAAAAAGAGAATGTAATTGTGTTATTCATGAGTAGAAGAACTCTTTATATAGAGTACAACATAGGGTTTCAAAGGATAAGAGACAAATAGAGAAGTGGACCTAGTGGACTAATGGGCATCCACATATTACCCATAACACTCCCCCTTGGATGTCCATTATCAAAAATATCTTCTAAATACATAAATGCTGCCTCGTTAAAACCTTTACTAGGAAAACCCAATGGGAAAAACTTAGCTAAGGAAAAAGAGTGCAGCGCATTACTCCCCCTCATGAGAACATCCGTCTAAATCTTTGAGATAATCCATCCAATATCACGAATTAGCTTCTTGAAAACAGCTTGGATGCCTTGATGAAGAATCTTCAAAATCTTCTCTTGAACAATGATATCGCCATTCTTCGTAGTGCATGGAAGTAGTTGATGATTCATCTTGATCATTCTCTTTGTTTCACTTGATCTCATAAATGGATGACAAGACTTTGGAAAAGAGATATACTTTCATCTTTAGACTTCCTTTTAGATGTTTCTCATTTGTGTGTTCTTTGTTGCCTCATTAAAACCTTTCATGGAAAAACCCAATGGGATAAAAACCACAATAAGGAAAAAGAGTACAACCACACATATCATCTTATATCTCCCCTTGGAAGCATCTTCTTCAAGAGATGCATTCCAATAATAATATCATCTTTTGGAGATTGCTATAAGTATAACCTCAATGAAAGTCATTTGAACTTCTAGTATATGACATCTTTTTCTATAAAGTAATTATTTCTTGTTATATTTGGACTTCTGGCCAAACTTTCTCTTTATATACATTCTTGTATATGAGTTATCTTATGCTCATTTTGTTCTCATCTTTCAGTTATGAAAAGACCAACACATTTCTCAAATATAATTTAAAGTGTGGTACTTCAAGACCAAATGTGAGCATTTTTAATGCAAATCTTACAAGGATCTTTTGAGATAATATATCTTTTGTTAAACTGTGAATATGAGATATCTTAAGACAAATTTGTCTTTCCAATATCTTTTATCTAATTTCGACAATTCTTCAGGAATTTCGATAATGTTTAGATTAAAGATCTCTTTTGATCCAACCTTAATATTTTTATAAATATACATGGTACTGATTATATATGTATGTATATATATCACTTTTGTGATTGTACCCCACTGAGAGATATTTCTCTTCATTTGATCAAATAATTAGAGTTCTTCATAGTTTTGATATCATTAATCCTTCAGGAATTATATCCTTCAGGGACTTTTATAAAAGTGTCAAGTTCTTCTTTCATTGCCACACTTAATGAACTTGAAAGTTGCATCCACCACATGCCTATTATAACCCACTTGTTTTACACTTTTTAAGGTGTAAGGACTTCTGGTCCAAATACATTTCTCTTTCTAAGAGATTTTAGTTTTTGTCTATTGCTTCTTTTCGATTTGGCCAAATCATTACTTTGTGTACACAATGCAATAGACTTTGTTTCATGATCCTCTTTCTCATTCATAACATCAACTGCTATAATGCATGCAAATATTTTATTTACGACGTCGATTTGCTTTTATGGTTCCATTTTATTCCATACATGACATAATTAATTCTCGAGATCTCTTCTTTGTCTCAGGTACCTGAATTTCTTTCTTGTCATGTTTAATATCTCTTCTTGAGATCATTTCAAAAACATTTGTTTCCTCGGTTTAACCATTGTCAATTTATGCTCATTTTACTTTACCGAGGTCACTAATATTTGAAACCAAGAAGTCTATCACACTTCATGCGCTCTTTAGACTTACTAGCAGTTTGATATTGTCCTTCTGGGAAATCAATTATTCTTAGAGCATTTACAGCTGGTAAGTGACTCAACACTATATTTGGGTCAGTAATTGTATCTGGCAATTGATACAGTAAGTTTTGTGAATGAATTATCTTTTAGACTTTTATTTCACATACTATCGTCTGAGGATCAATGATAATTCATTCTAACTTTAATCTTTCTCCAGCTGTTTTATTTTCTCCCCCTGATGTTGGAAAGACTGAATCACTGAAATGACAGTCTACAAATTGAGCTATATTTAAATCCTTCATGGATAGCTCTAAATATTATCATAGGAGATTAACATCCAACATACATTTACTATCTCTTCGAGGGTCCATCTTATATTGTTGTGGTGGAGCGTTATGAATGTATTCTGCACATCCATAGATCTTTAGATGGAAAACTTTGGTTTCTGACCTAAACCAATTACGATGGGGAGAAATTTTAGTTATTCATTGGCTTTATGCGAATTAATGCTTTTGCATTATGTGTAATGATGAACATTTGCTACTGGATGTTCAACATTTATTCTTACAAACATGTTTTTCTCAACAAAGATTTAAGATGTGATTTCACTAGCACTACCAAGTAATCTCGCAAACTTCAGGTTGCAGATATGTAACATTGATACAAACACTTGTTGATATATTTAAGAAACACCATAACATTTCTCTTACTGGATGATCAGTCCATATAATGGTTTATTAGACCACAAAAGTTTCTTATATTCTTTCTAGAAATTGGATACATTCCAAATCTATTTTGGCTAGTTGGTAATTGTATAATCATAATGTCTTATGATTAAACATCACATTATAGATAATTAAGAAGAATCTTCAAGTTCTTCAATAAATCTTTACATGATGTATTTTATTTCGCATAATTCTTGAACCGAAATGGTCTAACCAGCTCATGCCAAACTATGTTATATTCGGTAAACTTCTAGTTTACTACATAACATTTACATCTCCTTATAATCTTTGTCTATGATGAGGCATTAGATATGTATGTTATTTTTTCAAAATAATTTTACACCATTGAGTTACATTATATATGATTCATCAGGATTATTTTTAGTGTGAACATAATCTTCTAGATGTTCCACTTTCTAGTGATTGAGGGATTCATCCATTCTCCCCCTCGAGATGATGTCACTTCATGTTCATCAATCTCGAATGGAATCCTAGTATAACATCAATAATATATCCAACTTGAATCATGTTTTATATCTTTGATTCTTTAAACTTTTTATATTTCTATTATGTGTTTGATTCTTTTCACTTCTGGGATTTCAAAGATATAATGCATCAAAAATTATTTACTATAAGCAAATATAAATTTATATATACTCTTCTGGAGATGTGTATCTTTTATTTATTGCCATCTTTATTTTCTCACTTCTTATGAGAATTTGAGTTCTTGAAATAAAACTCTTTAGTTTTGACCTTAACATGAACTATAAAAGATTCATATTCATGTCTATGATCATATCTTTAATCTTTCATATCACATTCACTTCAGGGAATGAATCAAAACCAATTAGACAAGATTCAAGATTTTCATTAGTAACTCATTATTTTATCAAAATAATTTCTTAAACTTTCTTCAATAATATTTTGTCAGCTGGACAATATATGCCTTTTATCATCATTGATTTACATTATCTTCCAGATAAATAAAAATTATTTATAGACTTCAAGTCTTGTAATCTTAAATGCAAATACAAAATATTTATATAGAGGATAATTGAAAAATAAATAAATATTATCAAACATATATATAAACAAAATATAATAAAATAATAATTAATATAAATAACATTACCTTTTTATTATCACTTCAAGTGACAAATTTAATTTTAAGAATTTATTTGCTATTGTGTCTACTGGACAACAATATTTTTAAAATATTCCTTAAATATATTTATGCTATTGTATCTGCAGGACAACAATATTTTCATAATTTCTTCTTATACATTTTTATTAGTAATATATTTTCACTTATAAACTTCAAGTTTATATGGTCTGAGATGCTCTATCAGATCATATCACTTCAGTGATTGTTCATTTTCTTTAGATTGCTATATTAGATCACTTCTAGTGATCATGCCTTTCTTTTTACTCAATGGTAAAATTATTACATTTTAAAATCATGTAATGATAGAGAAATACACTTATTAGTATATAAATAATAATTGATTTGTTAAACCAAATCAAACCAATAAATAAAACAAATCAAGGGAATAATTATACATTTATTTATAATATTAAATCAAGATATGCAATAATATAATATATATTATTATTAGCAATGATCAAATGATGATTTAGCAATAATAAACAATCTCAAAATCAGTAATAAGCAATATACGAAGTTATAGTGCAAAATCAAACAATAATATTTTAATAAAACTGATTAAGATTCATTTTAACAAAGCAGTCAACAATCATTAAATAATAATATTAAAAATATATATTCCAGAGTGATTTTAGCACTTATATTCAATTATAAATTCATGTGTCAACATAGGTCAACTTAAAAATTAATATGGTCAAGAATGTAATAATATTTCAAATTAATGCAAACAATGCAAATTAATTCAGATTTCTTCAATTTTCAATAATTATTCAATTTAGCAATTAATTAATTACGAAAATCAATTAAAATAACAAATATTGAAAAGCAAAAAAATAAATAAGAACAATATATATAAATGAAAATAAAATAATAGACAATATAAAATCCTTCTGGGATAAATAATATCAATAAAATTTATAAATCCTGCTGGGATATTTAGTTGAAATATATTTATCCTTCTTGGATAAAAAATAAAAATTAAATCCTTCTAGGATAACAGAAAATATAAATCCTATTAGGATATATAAATAAAAATATATAAATTCTTCTGGAAATATAAATAAATTATATAAATCCATATGGGATCTATAAATAAATATATAATATAAATTATTTCTTCTGGGATATAGTGAAATATAAATCCTTCTAGGATATAAATAAAAATAGAAATAAAATATAAATCCTTCAAGGATATAAATAAAATAATCCTTCAGGGATATAAATAAAAATAGAAATAAAATATAAATCCTTCAGGGATATAAATAAAAATACAAATCCTTCAGGGATGTATATAATTGAAATATATAATTCCTTCAAGGAAAAATAATATATAGATCCTTCAGTTTGCTGAATCCAAGATATTATCAATAAGTAATATAAATTAAGTATTGATAGAAATAGATTTTAGTAGAATAAACACAAATTAACAAAGTAATAGAGATTACTCATTGAATTTGTGAATTCACCATAAGAACTATTAGAACCTTTGATTTAGAGAGAATAGAAAGTTAAGAGGTAGAGACTCGTCTGATAACGTGTTGTGAGAAAAGAGAGAATGTAATTGTGTTATTCATGAGTAGAAGAACTCTTTATATAGAGTACAACATAGGGTTTGAAAGGATAAGAGACAAATAGAGAAGTGGACCTAATGGACTAATAGGCATCCAGATATTATCCATAACGAGTAGTTGTTTTTCTATGCAGAACTCTTAAATTAAAGGGTGTTTCTTTGATAAACCAAATTTTGCAAGTTTATACTGAGAAAAGTCATCAATACATTAAAGAAAGGCCTGAGGGAGCAAACGAGTGTGAAACGACACAAACGCATTAAAAACAAAACTAAAGTTTGGAAGAAAAAAGAAAATCTCTGAATTTAAACATATCTTAAAAAAACTCTCTTAAGCTCCAATGAGTTCAGTGGGTTCCTCGACCACGTCATCGGCTGGCCTCTCTACCTTGACACCAACATCCTCACCAGTGACATCTCCGTGAATCTACACAATTTCAAACACAATAGAATTAGATTAACATACTCTTCAATGATGAATCATAAAGTAGAAGCCAAAATGTGTTCTTTGCTCCTCACCTCCATGAGCTTTCCTAGGTCGAATTTGGGAGCCTTAAGGATCTTGACTTTACGGATGTAAACGTTCTGAAGAGGGTAGATACTCTGTGTAACCTTCTCAATCTCTTGGCCAATAGCTTCTGGAATAAGCTTTGCCACTAGCACCTTAAGGTCACAAGACGAAGCTTCCCTAACCATTATCTCCGTCATCTTCCTGCGAATCTAAGGAAATGCACAAAAATAGAAAATTAAAGTAGCAATCCAAGCAACGGAGAAAGAACATAGATCAAAGATAGCACAGATACAAAGTTTTACAAGTGTTTATATATTTACCTGACGGATTTGGCTGGATTGAGCATAGCAAGTCCTCTTGACTTGGTTTGCACGTCTCTTGGTGAAACCGATGCAGAACAACCTCAAAGTGAAGCCATCTGTGGTTTTAACATCAACATGAGCCTCGATCAAAGTCTGCCACTTCTTAACCAAGGACCTGAGCTTGTCGGTTGTGAAGTCCATGCCCCAGAATTGGGTCAAAACAGTCCTTCCCTGGACATCTTCAGCTCTGAGACGGATCTTCCTGTAAGAGTAATCTTCATTGCCTTGAAGATCAGCAAGAGAAACCTCGAAGATTCTGTGTTTCAGTCCTTCCGAGGCAATCTAGCATATTCGTAAACACACATAACAAGATTAGACTCATCATCAGTATCAAAGTGATCACACAATCAAACTCTCAGATATACAACTGTATCAATCAATCATAGAACCATTTAGCGACTGCACAAACTAACTCATAACCTAAGTCAATTCCGAGAGCTTAGCTAAATCTAGAGAAGAGATGGAAGTAATTACTTTGGTGCCCTGAGTTCTGGAGACGAGAGTCTTTCCTACATTTCTCTGGGTGAAGCTTGATGGAGCCTTAACATCATACCAATCCTTCTTGGAGAAAGGATCAACACTGCGTCAATGATTATAAACAGCTATCAATTGGGAGATTCATAGACATTGAAAGCAAAAAAAAACTTAAATTGCGAATTTAGATGTATAACACTTACAGCTTCTTCTTGCTTCCCTTTCTTCCCTTGGAGATTCTCTTGTTTTTCCTACAAAACGCATGTCCAGGAAAACTCGTTCATCAGTAAATGAATAATTCGAAGATTTACAAATCAGAAACTAGGAACGAGGAAGATACCCGACGGCCATGGTTGATGAAAATAGGTCGACGACGAATAGAGAAGAATCAAATGAAGATATAACCTAAGGCTACGGCGCTTGTCTGATTTAAACTCCCTTCTAGGGTTTTGAGCTTAGAGCACCACAAAATGATTTGGGCTTTAAATTGGCCTAATAATCAAGTATATTCATATATGTAATGGGCCCAGTCTATAGATGAATTTATTTACATACGGTATAACTAAAATTGTGTTTGTACTTGATTTGATGAAACTAGCGAATTGACAGGATTACTAAAATTTCACAATTTTGACTATTCAATGTATCATTGATTAAACATCTCCAGTAAACCGTATCAGTGGTTCAAGTATATAACCAAAAGCGAAATGAACAAAACTATAAGCGAAAACGAGAGAACAGTATCTAACTGACAGTGACAATGAAACAGTTTAAACGAAAACACCATAAAAATAAATGGTCAAGACGCGGTTTTCCTCTTGAGGTCTGAACTTAAGAGATTTTCAAGCTTCTTAGCGCAGAAGAGAGGAGGTTGAGTTTTGCCGGCGCTTTTTGCTTGTACTCTTTCTCCAATGCAGTTGCAGCAAGAGACTGAAGCTCTGGTGCAGCCATGTCCTTGTCCTCTTTGTTCCTTCCTCTTGAGAGCTGTGCGATTGCCGATCCACACTGTTTTCAGATACAAGACGAATTAATCAATTCAGTTTCTGTCACTTGCAGACCCCAAGTGGATTAAACCGGTTTGAGGAAGAGAGGGGATCTTACCAAGCATACTCCGAGAAGGGCTCTTGTGCTTTTACCACCTGTTAAGTCTATGGTTGCTGCATAGTACTTTCTTGCTGCGATGAGGTTTTCAAGTCCACCAATTGTGTACATAACCTGGGATTATCAAAATTTGCGTTATCATTAACCACTTAATAGTTCGCTCTTCTATTGCTACTTCATGACTTACACACATATGAACTCCAGTCTCAGATGCATAGCTCAATACTCAATGCAATGTCATAAATGTATAGATACTTGGTGCAATGGAAAAAAAAGATGGACTTACATCGGCGTATGCTAGGTGGTACAATGGTAGAGTAGGCTGAGATAGTATGAGCTCCTCGTAGCAGAAAGCTGCTTGTTTGTACCTGACATAATATACATTAGATAGGATTGGAAAGAGAGAAACACCCAAAAATTAGTCAACTGTTGCATAGTGAATTATTTTTTTGTCAAAAAGAGTCCAGGATCGAGGATTAGCGAGGCGCACATTTGCAAGGAAACATAAATTTCTGCAAGTTCTCTCCAGGCATCATGATCAGCCATGAATCTACATAAAGAAAGAAGAGCAGTTAAAGTTGATCAGCGGTGGTATGTTTCTTTTGATATAGCTCTGTTAGTCCAGTTTGGGGTTAGTAGGTACTCACACTTCAAGATATTTGTTAAGATGTTCAATGGCTAAGGAAGGTTTGCCCAGTGCCTTGGCCATAGCCACCTTTCGTTTGTGTATTGCCTAGACATCGAGTTTTACTTACAACACTTAGCATTTCGAAGCAGCTTGTGGGGAAGTTTCATGACGCAAAGAAGTGAAAACTTACTTGATCGAGTGGATTATCCTCCAAAAGGCTTGAATATGCTTTTTCAGCTTCTTCAAACATTCCCTTTGCTTCTAGAAGCAGTGCCTCCAGCTTGCCTGCAAAATATTACCAAGATGCATGCAGCTCAGATTAAAATCAAGGATAGGGTGTTTACCTTTCTTGTTCCTGACCTAGTTATCAATTCGTAGATGGTTTATTCTAGAAGACTAGAGAGTTGATGTGAGCAAAGTACAAAGTCCAACAAGAGTTAAGAACTGCTCAAACTTTTCGAGGGTTGATATTGACTTACCAACACGTTTGCTCTCCGGAAATTTCTTTTGCAGAACCTTGATGCAATTCTGCAAAACATACAAAGTTCGCCTTTTTGTGAGACATCCATGAGATATACAAGATGTCCCCTAATGCAAGAATATTCTGGAGAAGAGGCTTAAACAGCAGAAATAGCATACACATACAACACTAGATAACTGATGCAAGTCATCAACGAAGCGTGACCTCAATATAGAATCATATAATTCTCAAGGTAAGGAAAGCGTAAGGGAAATTCACCTGTGCAACACCAAGAGATTGACAGTCCATAGCTGCAATTGCTACCTGCTCATATAGGGTCCATTCTACAACAAAAAACGAAGACACCTTGCCCTTTAGTATTATAAACCTACACATAATCTGCAAGCAGCTCATTTATTGCGTTTCTACAATCAACGTTAAGTTCACCACCACAAGAAATTGAACCAGATTGACAAAGATATAACATGTACAGAAATAAAACAAATTCTATAAAAAAAATTCTTCTGAAACAAAAGTCTCTGCTCAATTCGGACCATTTCTCAGCTAAAATTCTCTTTACAACAAATGTTCACTGCACAAGTAGTGATGAAAGTGATGAAACAGTGAACAAATCAATCTACAAACTGTAAAACAAAGTCGAAGTACAATTCCATTGACACGAAACAATACCAAATCGTTTAAATGAAGCTCATGATTTGCAGCAATCAGGTGGAGCACGATTCAGGAAATCAACACACTCTATCGACAATAAGAAGCACATGAACAAACTAAAACTAGGGAGCTCAGAATCAACATACCATCTGGACCAAGAGCGGATCGCTTTCCCGGATCGTTTAAGATCGAGAGACCGTGCTTGAACACAGTCTCTGATCGGCGAACCTTGAGCTTACGAACGAGGCACAGATACTCCCAAGCTCCTCCTCCTCCATTCTCGACCTGATTCTCGAGTTGGTTCAACTCCGTCTCCTCCGTTTTCGTCACCATCTCTCTCTCAAGGCACACCGATTTGCTCTGTACCTTTGAAATTTGTGGATCTGTTAATGGAAGGAGGTCGATCAGGAAAGTCGCTTTCTACAAAGAAGACATTGACATAAACCGGTTCGGTTTAATATAATGTAGTCGAATCCGAGTCAGCTCAATAACCGGCTCAAGTCAATGGAGAACGAAACGATGCGTTTTATCAAAACATTTCGATTTCAATTGTCTTGCCCCTTCCGCGGATGAAAGCAATGAAATTAAGTAGAACTGCGTCGTCTTGCTTGTCGTTATTGCTAAAACCCTACTCGAGCTTCAAGTGTACAACGACAATGGCGACGACAGCTAAAATCTCTGAAGGTATGAAAACCGTCGATGAGACTGACGTGGGTATCTCCTGCTTCATCTCCCAGCTCCCTGGCTTCCGCGGAATCCTCAAACAAAGGTCATATGATCAGAAATTTTGCTTTTTTATGCTTGCTCTTAAATTTTGGAGGTGAAGATCATAGATCAATTGGATAAAGTTGAATTCTTTGTTTATATTTGTGTTTTGTAGATACGCAGACTTTATTGTTAATGAAGTGGATATGGATGGAAATGTTGTTCGTTTGACAACCTTGGACGTCTCTCCTGAGATGGTTTGTCTCTAATTTGATTCACACTTACCTCATTCCAGCTCAAATGTTTGTTTACGCCAATGCGATGCTGTTTGTTTGTTCATTTCTCCAGGATGTGAAGGAGGAAGATAAAACGAAAAGTTCAGATAATGAACCCCAAAGCTATGCTTCTGCAATTGAGTCGTTCAGATCAATTTCCACTGTCACTGATGCAGAGCGTTTGGAGACTTTGGTTAATCAAGTCACGTCAGGAACTGATGGTGATATCTTACCGGTTGTTCTTGATCCAAGTTCTGACAAGTCCAAGAGAACGGTATGGAATTTTGATTTGATTGCTTAATTACATATCGAGTTATCTTTTGGTTTTTTATGTTTACGAGATTTTTGTTTGGTTGTTATACTATTTTGCAGGCTATCCACAACTTTGTTAAAGAGAATTTCAAGTTTCTAGTGACCGACACTGTCGATGGTCCTGATTCTTCGTCAAAATGCATCCGTGTGCGATTGAATTCAGGAGGGCATAACAGCAGAGGTAATAAATCGAGGAAGCGGAAGGAAAGAGGCGATAAGCCTTTTGATAGCAGAGGTTCAGAGCATTGGCCTGAGCATGTTGGCAAGTTTGTCAAGTAATACTCATAAAACAACTGTGTTTTGTATTTGATCATTACATTTTGAATTGCAACACATATGCACTTGATTGATGAGTGGTATGTTTATAGGTTCCATCTTTACAAGGAGAACAAAGATACGCAAGAGGCCTTGGGATTGATCGGAAAGATGCTAGGCGTTCAGGTATTTCCCCATATTCTTCCGTCGTTATGTATTATCTTTAGCCATTATACTTTCCTTGATAAGTTGTGTTCTTGAATTGGTTCTTCAATTTTTACAGCCAAAGTCCTTCGGATTCTCTGGAACAAAAGATAAGCGGTCAGTTTCAACTCAGCGTGTAAGTTATCTGAACCTGTTTTCTAGGTAAGATGAGTTTAATAGTTACTATACATAATAGGAGATTGTTTGGGCTTCTAGGTAACTGTGTTCAAACAGCAAGCTAGCAAATTGGCTGCGCTTAACAAGAGATTGTTTGGGATCAAAGTTGGTGACTTCTGGTAAGCCAATATACTCTTGAATGTTTGCATTTTTGTTTTTGTTTTTGCGGTCTTAACAGTTATGATTTCTGGCGCTTTCCAGCAATGTCAAAGAGGGCCTTCTCCTTGGGCAGCTCATGGGAAACAGATTTACCATCACATTAAGGTGAGAATGTTACTCGACATTGTAAAAAAAAACACTTATGATCAGTCTGTGAACTTCGAAAATATCTACCTTATTTCGCTGAGAGATGATGAAAATATCTTCTTAGGAATTGAATATTATTAAAGTATAAATTGCCAAATTTTCAGAGGAGTGGTTGCGGATTCTGAAGAAACTATTAAAAAGTCTGCAGAATCCTTGGGGAAATATGGCTTCATCAACTACTTTGGTTTGCAGGTATTATTCTCTTGACGAGTTGAAATGCTTTGTGTATTATTTCTTCCTTTTAGAAGCTAGTATGGCTTGTACTTTTTGCATTTTTAGTATCTACTATGGCTTTTCGATCAAAGGTCACTGGAATCATATTAAATCCGTTCTTATTTGTATGACAGCGTTTTGGAAGTGGTTCAGTACCAACTCACCATGTTGGAGCTGCACTACTGAAAGGAGAATGGAAAGATGCCGTGGACATGATTCTTGATCCAAGAGAAAGTGATATCCTTTAACATGACCTGGTCTCAGCTACAATTGCTAATAACTGTTAAAACCATATTAGTCACTCTACCTATAAAAGAATGCAGAATGCATGGTTTTCCTTGACCTTGAGCTTTTTTCTACAAAGGAATGTAGTAAATGAGGCCCGGGAATATTACAAAGAAACTGGCGACATTGACGGAACTCTAAGGCAACTACCACGGTACCTCGTTGCTGAAAGAGCCATAGTAAGTATCCAGCTACTCCTGTATTGGTTTCTGCCATTAAAGGATTTCCACAATACTCAGTTTTAATCTTGGGCGTTTTGAAACAGCTGCAGTGTCTGAAGAAATGTCCTGGGAACTATCTGCAGGCTCTGAAAGGCATACCTAGAACTTTGAGAATGATGTAAGAATTTGGTTCTTTGATATAGCTTTAGTTCCTTCTGGAACAGTTAGTCACTTGAGACTGGCAGATGACGTGCCAAGCCAGGAGCACAGATTAAGCTTTTCAGCTAACTTTTAGTCTGATCCTCTTATTATGTAGGTATGTACATAGTTATCAAAGCTACTTATGGAACAATGCAGCAAGTCTGCGTGTCCAAAAATACGGTAAAGCTGTTTTTCTAACTCTAGGGCCCGTTCTGTATGCTTGTGAATGGAGGTTTTAACTTTCACCCCCTTGTTTTTGTTGGTTGGTAGGGACCAACCAAGTTGCGTTGGGTGACTTAGTAAGTACAAAGGTAGATGATGCAAAAAGAACTGTTGGCAGTGTAACCTCTGAGCAGAAGGAAAACAACGAAGAGACATTGGACTGTGACCAATTAGATGATACTGCTGTTGTTGATCTTCCAGGAGAAAGGAGTGACCTTGTTAAGGTTCGTTTTTTCCCAATTCGAGTAGATGCTTTACATTCTCACAGTCACTGGTATATGTTAGTAGTTGCATTATTCATGTTTTGCCGCTTTCTTTTGTTTTCTTCAGGTTGTAGGTAAAGAGGATATAGAAGCTGGAACTTACTCGACCAGTGACATAGTCCTCCCTCTACCTGGGTAATTAGCCGTCAGAATTTTCCAATATAAGTAGATTGAACATTCTACTTCTTGAAACCAAAACAACTTTCTCTTTGCTTCAACAGTTCAAGAATCATTTACCCCTCCAATGACATTGCAGAGGTTTTTCATGATTTGGCAAAGAAGGTTTGTTAAAGCTTAAATCAAGTATTTCCTGTTTTTTTTCTAAGAAGATGAAACTCACTTATCTTCAATTGTCTGCTTACATTGCTCAGGACGGTATCAGCCTAACTGAGAGCATTCACGGTGTAAAGTAAATCCCCATACGCCCTTTTGTAGATCTTAATGTTTGTGCCACAACAGTATTCCATACGAGCATCTACTTAAATTCTACTAATAACGAGTATTGTTTCAGGGAATTCTCAATAACTAGCATGACTGGTGGTTATAGACGTGTTTTCCAGAAACCAATCGACTTTGAATGGTATGTGCATAGTTAGAATTTCCTCCAGATTTGAGATCAAAGAGTCTATGGAAGCAGAACAGAGACTAATTATGTGAGTAATTGCTGCAGGGAATTACTGACTTACACTGACAGCAATAAACCATTGGCAGAGACAGATCTGTACAGGATAACCATGGAAAAGCCGGTGGATAAGGTTGGAGAAATTGAAGATGAATCGATGAAATCTGATACTAACCCACCTGAAACCGATTTGAAAGACCAGACCGACAGCAAGAAGGATGAAAAGGACACTGGAAACCAAGATTCTGAGCAGACACAGTTGGCGCTCAAAATGGCTCTTACTCTTCCATCTTCATGTTATGCAACAATGGCAATCAGAGAGCTGTTAAAGACATCAACTTCTGTAAGTGCTAAAACTGCTATTTCTCGGAGATTCCTGATATCTAAAATTTGTTACAAGTAAACGTCTGAAACATATTTCTGCAACATCTGAATACTGCTTTTTTTGTGGGTGATCAATTGCAGGTTGCATATCACAAGACACTAAACTAGTGATTAACATCAAGCTTCTCCTGGCTAGCACACACTTGCGTAGAAGCCATTTGCTAAACATTTTTGCTTATTATATTACTCTGTTTCAATTGCTTCGAGGTCTGTTCAGGATTCTATCTTGTCTGGTTCAAACATGTGTATGTATTTGTGCTAGAGTTCAGGAATTTTTTGTTTGAAATAATAAACATCAAACAGACAACAGAAGTTGTGATTTGGTAACAAGCCAGTCTTTTCTTGAATTTCAATGTTTCGGATACAGAGAGGTTAGCTACTCATTAAAGACAGCCTAAGTAGTTAACTTTGAAACAATTTTCTAGACATCTTCTGATTGAGAAACTGTCAAAAGTGGAAGTTTTTTTCACGTCACAACAGGTTAGAATTAGAAATGATCCGTTTCTCAATCTTCCACCTTAGTAGTAGAAGTTTCCTTGAAGCTCTTTGACAACCATATCGCCGTTTCTCTGGGTGAGACTTTGCCTGGACCAAAGGGTCTCAGTAAGACGTTTAGCTCATCGTACCTCTCATCTTGAAGCAACCTTGCACTGAACTCAAGCAATCCCTCCAATGCCTCAGCCCGTTGCTGATACGAACTAGGATCAAACCTTTGTCTCCTTGCACCCGACGAAGCCCTGCTTGATGCTCCAGCAGTCGCGTTCTGATCTGATGATTCACTCCTGTTTTCTGGGTATGCATCTTCGTATTGATACACCGCCTTCATTATCGCTCCTTCTACGCATTGGCCTGGTTCAAGAGTAAACTTGTCCTTTGTGATTGAGCAGTCAAGTGGCTCCCTAGGTGGACTGTAGGAACCTCTAGACGACGCTTTCTTCTTCTTCCCACGCACAACCGGAACAAAAGGCTCTTCCTCATACGAAGCTAGCGGAAACTCAATCTTGTCGATTCTTGGTGCGTTCATGGACACATCAGGAGATTTTATCTGATGAAGAATGCTGGTTTTTGAGGTGTACCGAGAGTCTTTGATTTCTTTTGCAGGTTTTCTTGAGATAGGCATGGAGGCTCTACGAATCAAAGCCGCTGGTTTTCGGTTTTTCTGCTGTGGTGAAACAGGAAGCTACAACATCATAGAAGAAATAAGAATCTTTATTCTGACACAACAATAAGTAAGACCAGTGACGACGAGCACTAAGGATAAGATCACTTACTTGACCAAGGTCACTCCTAGGCTGTCTTGATCTTACAGGTGAAGCTGAAGCTCTCGCTGGGACATACCTAGAACTCTTTGAAGCCTCTGAAGTTCTACGAACAACCGTTCCATCACCGCTTCCATCCGTGGACAAATCCACTTGCCTTTCACGAGTCAGATACGAGGGCACAGGTTTTCTTATCGAAGAAGCAGAATCTTCCTGGTTGCCCCTAAACCTGCTTGGACCAAAGCTGCGGCTTTTGCCTGCAGGACGCCTTCTCGGCTCAGGAAAGCTGTTTCTCCTGGTGGATTCAGGTTCTTGCCATTGCGCATCGTTTCCTGGATCGTTCACCTTCGGATGAATCTTCTGGATATACGGCTGAAGCAACGGATGTCTGAGAAGCTCAGCAGCCTATACAGAAGAGAGATGATGTTTACTGGTCAAGTTTGTTCAGTTTCAGGTTACGACCATATACCAAAGGACAGAAATCATAAGACTTACGCTTGGTCTGAGTTCTGGATTTTTCCTGAGCATGCTTTTAACCAGACCCCGGCTGAAGAAAGCATATTGCCTCAATCAGTAAATTCTGATAGATCTCAAATTTAAAGACAAACAAGAACTTATAAACTTACAAGGCAGCAGAATATTGCGCAGGAAGTGGAGGAACGATTGATCTGTTAATCCTGTTTATTAGTCCTTGCATGTCCTGTAACAAGTCAAGACGCCAACAACAGTCAGAAACTTCTGATGAAACATAACCAAGAGGAACGTAAATGTAGGTTTCAGAGCTTACAAAAGCTTTGAACGCAGGTTTCATAGCTGTCATCTCATACATACAACATCCTGAAGAAATGAAGATAAAGATTCAGATGTAATTATTTCATTATCTAGACCAAAGGTTAAAAGTCGTAGCCATAGATGAGAAACTTGCCAAGCGACCAAATATCAGACTTGGATCCATAGGGTATATCAGCTAGTAGCTCGGGGCACATGTAGCTTGGCGTTCCAACCACCTGGATTTTCAAGAAGGGTAACGATCAAACCTATCCGGAACAAATCAATATATGATGGAAGAAGAAGAGAAGTATATACTTACTGAAGACGCAAGGTCATCTGAAGTTAAGATCTTGGCGAGTCCGAAATCGCCTGCGGATATCATAGAGCCATTTTGTTACATTAGGCTGATCAGGACAATGATAATAGAGTAATAAAATAGCTAAGCATCTCACCTAGACGTATATCTTGATCCTTTGTCAAGAATATGTTAGAACACTAGATAGAAAAAGATTGGTTAGTTATCTACCATTACGGAGATTTTTTCCATAAATTGTGTTGGTCCTGAGACAAAAAAACATTATTACCAACCTTGACATCGCGATGGAGAATGTGATTGGCGTGCAAGTATTCAAGAGCCAATAAGATCTGAACAAGCCATTTGCAGAGTTTCTGATAACATAAAAGAAAAGGAAGAGAATCAGAATCTTCTGTAATCAATGGCCAGAATCAGTCAAACTTTTCTTTTACAAACCTCTTCAGAGAAGTGTACGCCATTGGTTTTCTTAATAGCCTCTGCCCTGTAAGGCAGAAAAAGCAGAAATGTATCAGAGAGCCACTTCTCTAGTCAAGAACAGGAGAAAAACTGCTGAGAAGGAATAAGCTTTACATGTCTCCTCCTTTGCAATAGCCTATGATAATGCACACATAGCACCCCTGATAGCACAATCCATATACCATGGAGCTGGTTATATTCTCAGATATCTTATACAAGAAAACGAAAAGATTTGTATAGATGGATAACCTTTTCGACCCAAGAATCTTTATATTCCACAATGAATGGGTTATGTATTTTTGAAATCAACTCCATCTACAAGAAGATATCAGGAGGTTGGTAATCTAGAGAACAAAAGTCAACATTTGTAGCTCAAGAATGTAAGTGCATGTTTCAGAACATAGAGGAGATTTTTAAACAACCTCTTGATGAGCAGATCTTCTCGTCCTACCAGTCTGCCGAGCAAGCCGGATTTTCTTCAAAACATACCTTTAGACAGCAAAAGCAGAAATTACAGAAAATTCAAATTTTGGAAAACTCCATTAACTTCAAATGCTGTTTTTGGTTTAAGTACTTACAGTTTCTTCTCATGCTTATGTCTCACAAGAAGAGCTGATCCAAAGGACCCTTTTCCAATTTGCTCTAGAACCTCGTAATGCTCCATTGACAAACACTGTAACTCACCTCCTTTGTCTTAATTTTCGTCTAAAGAACCTGAAGCAAATGAAGATAAAAGACACATTGTATCATCAATCTATCCTTAATCATGGTTCTGGTAAGCAACGCAAATCGTGCCTTTCTGTACATTATAACTTAGATATCAAAAAGAATGAGCAAAAGCAGTTAAAAAACGGAAAGGGTGAAACTTTCGTTCTTCGAATCTTCGATTCCTCTAAAACTTAAAAGTTAATTTGACACGAACACAAATTAAACTTTTGGGGGTAAAATTTCGAATTTCTAAGGTAATTCAGTCATAAAGTTCGAATTTTTCGTCTTAATGCAAGATTTACCAAGTTCAAACGTTTTCTGGTGTACGGTGATGAACAAAAATGAAAACTTTTCTGGATAATTGGGAAAATTTACAGATATCTGTCCTCGCATTCAAAATTTTTACAACACATCACATTGAGCCAGTCGATAACACAACGAAGAACACAGCATTTTTGCTAAAAGAAACAAGAAACGGTTATTTGGGTTCGAAAATTACAGTCAGAGAGAGAGAGAAAGAGAACAAACCTGAAACGGCGTCGTTGTGAGATTCAATCGACAGATTTAGAGAAGAAAACGAAGAAGAAGACGAAGTTTAAAGAAAAAAAGCTTCTGCATTTCGTGGAGGAAGCTACTAAACGGAGCCGTTTCCGGAGAAGCGGCAAAAGTAGTGAAGAAGAGGCATTAAAGGAAAACGAAGAAGAAGTTGAAAAAACTGGTTCGCCATGAGACCTGCTCTCTTGAGAAGAAAACGACAGATTTTGCTCGATGGAAGTAAATAAGACTTTGTAATTTTCTTTATATAAAATTCGAGACAACAAAATACTTTAATATTAATTTAATGTTTGCTAGTATATAATAGAGTGATTCACAGTTAAAGACACTTTGGACTTTAAAAGTAACAAAAAAGCACCTTCTACGTTTAGGTGACTTTGGTATGTTAAAAAGACCAAAAAAGCCTATTTCTAAATTGAACCCTCTTTTCTCCTTTTACCCAAAAGCCGCCGTTTTATTCTTTTCTTCATCTCACCTTCTTTTTTTACTAGAGAAACAAAAAAGTCAATAACTGTAAAACCCTATCACACCATCTAACGCCACCGCTTTCACCACCGTCTGAATCTCATGACTCTGGTCGGTTCTTAAAAATCAACAACGCCACCTCACACACTCTGTATCTTCACTGCCTCTCACTTCACTATATCCGTTTGTAATCATGTCGTCTCCTCATTCAATCGTCTCAAATTTTCACGATTCAATTTCATCTTTTTCTGGGTTTCTTCTCTTGAAGTGCGGAGAAGATGAATATATTTATATGTGGACACGACTGTGTGTACATCTACCTGTGGACACGATCGCGAGTTAACACATATTTATCTAGATTACAAGTGGACACGACTGGGTAGATGTAGACCTGATCGCAAATTAACCCGTAGGTATATTCATCTAACACGTAGATGTGGACACAAAGGCAGATGTGGACTAAATCAGAGGTGTACACGACTGCGTGTACATCTAGATATGGACATGATCGCGAGTTAACCTATATTCATCTACTCCGTCGTGTATCAAAGGTAGATGTGGACATGCTCGCGAGGTAACATATACCTTGGTCAGTACAAAGGTATATAATTTCTAGATATATTCATCTAACACATAGATGTAGACATAAAGGTAGATGTGGATATCTAGATGTGGACATGATCGCGAGTTAACACATATCTTGGACATGATTAAAGATATATGATTTCTAGGTATATTCATCTAACACGTAGATGTGGACACAAAGGTGGGTGTGGACTAGATCACAAGTGGACACGGCTGCGTGTACATCTAGATGTGGACATGATCGCGAGTTAACTCATATTCAACTACTCCGAATTTTCGGATACATTTAACTTGGATGGCTGGCTATCCATATGGATGCAGTTTCATGGATAGCACTAGTATGGACATATACGTTTATTAAAGAATAAATAGATGATAGTTGGATATAGTTAACCACTTTGATACAGGTGCATGGAGGACAAACACATGGATAGTTGCAGTTCAACAACGGCCTCGCACTTCAACAACTTAGAATAACATGTGGTCGTAACAAAGTGCCTTTGCTTGTTATCAGAGACGTTTGTTGCACATCTCTTCCGGAATGATAGCATAAATACGCATGAAGACTACATACCCACAGACGTATATCCATAAACATAAATCCAGAAACAATACACAATATGTACGCATATGACAGTGTACACTGACCCATCACCTCGTTCAAATATACATGTGTGTCCACTACCACCTATCCATTCGAGGAAAAAAGTTTTCAACATTCATTTTCTGTGTCCACGACCACCTGTCAATACATTATTGTGAACGTTTTCTGAGGAATGAAATCATCGATACACCACGCGGGTGGATGATCTGATGTGGATGCTTTGAAACGATGTCAAGTTAAACCATATTTCTAAATTTTGTGTAGATGATTTAGTTTGCAATGAAACTTTTAGCCATCTTTATTCTTAATCATCTTAATTGGATGTTTATAGACCTCCTTATGCCTGTATAGATTATTTAATCCTACCTTGTTATCTTTGTGTTTGATATATATTTTGAGAATAGTAAAATACAGAGTTTGACAATTTATAAAACTTAACGAAATGCAAAGCCATTTTCTTAAAACAAACCTTTGATATGCTTTTCCGATAAGTAACTTCAAAACCTTTTCAAACATATAGCTCGTCTCATCCTTCTTTGCCTTTAGATCTTAAGAAATGTTTATACTCATAGATGTAGCCCATCAAAAGGACATTAAAATGTTGATACAAATAAGAACAGGAAAGCGAGAACATGCAATCATGGATATATGAAAGTTGAAACTGTGGATACCATCAAGAGCAAAAAACCTTGAACATATGGACATAAAACCATATATACAATCAAGAACAATAAAATGTGGGAACAATCTTCTTTTATCAATATATAACGTTTTATTGAATGCACAACGACATTATGTTTAACAATAGAGATAGAAGGAAACAACAAATTCTCTTGTATCACGTACTATCAATTAATGTGAGTCAAACAATTGAAAGTCATATCCATACAAACCCGTCCACGAGTCACAATCTATGTGTTCAGTATATTAGTTGCTTCAATGCTTGACACTCGATATTACATATGAGCATGATGAATTAGTTTAATCTGAGAATGTATTACATTTGTGTATATTTCTATGCTAAAACTATGGCAATATTATTGTATTTTAGACCTCTTCACTGTTTACAGTCTACTATCAATATACAAGTGTATTCATGTGGTTGTATCTTTTATGTTTATGATTTTGGAAACGGTATGCCTAGTAACCCTTTCGTTAGTATTTCGTTAGTATGTCTTTCCCACAAGTTATATTAGTGAAACAAACTTATTTCACTTGCTACACATACAAATTCGATGGTGAGGTTTGAGTTTCGCCATATCCATTCATATCCCAAAGCAATTATCCAAACAAAGACGTCCAGATGGACTCAAAAATATCTGGACACAATTGCGTGGACATCTAGACGTGGACATGATCGCGAGTAAACTCAGATTTATCTACTCCAAACTTCAACAAAACTGATATCAGATATATTCAGCTTCTCCTCACTCCAAGAAAAGAAACCCATATACGATTTATCTCGCATAATCTTGTTATTAGCTACGTCTTTGAAGTATTGAAATCTTTGGAGGAAAATAGGGAAAACTTTTTCCCAACAGATTGAAATCTTTGGAACAATTTATTATTATCATCTAAACCGCCCATTACCACATATACGCAGGCATCCACCATATCATTACCACGAAGACAAAATAATCTGTAATATCCCACAATGAAACTGCTACATAATATTTTGTTAGTTTGTTGCGTATCACGTGGCTAATCCATAAAAGTAAGTCCAAATGTGCGTCATCCATTGTTTGTTTGTGTCCAATATCACCTGTACATATCTTTGTCCATCAATGACACTAAATCTCAAACCCAAAATTATTATTAGTTATCCACGATGATCAATCCATGATACTAAATGCAAAAGTATCCATAAAAAAAAGTGTGCAACATCCATATGCAAGTATATCCACTACTCCTTGTACATATGTACTTATGCTATTAGTTACTATTAGTTACATGTTTTCTGTTAGAACTTGAAACTATCGTTACGGTGCTGCTTCGGTGTTGAAAATCTCAATTTAGTGCTAGATTTAGATTTGGAGGAGATAATTGTTAAAATTGCAGAGGCAAGAGGCAAAATTGGATGTTATTTTCAACAGCCCAAATTTTCTCAGATCAGCAGCTTCTTCATCATAGCCTCTCAGAGCAAGCTCTTCTTCTTTGTCTTGTTATGGTCTTCTTCCTCCGATGCCGGTGAAGAGTTCTTCCGTAACGGTAAAAAAAAGTTCAGAAACGTTCGATAGCAGTAAAATTCATAAAGAAGAAAATGAATCCAACTTAATAAAAGAGCAATTTTGAAATTTTCATTCCTTCAAAAGTGGTTAAAAAATGGGCAAAGTCACTTTAAAGTGGAAATGACTTTATTTGTAATAAAACTTTGTCAAAGTGCCTAATTTTCTCAATATCTGATTCACCCTTTTGTCCATATGATGTGACTTTACATTTTTAATTTATTGTTTTGAAGTTCTAAACAGAAAAAAAGCATAAAATGACAACTTCGTCTTGGGATACTATATATTATTTTTTGTAGTTCGTGCATTACATTTGTTAATGTTATTTGAGCAATAATTGATTAGGTCGCGTTAACGAAAAATTTAGTTATTTGAGAGTGTTATTGGATTATTTTGCTATATCTAAGTTTAGCTGTTGAGTATCATAATACTTTGAATTGTAGTTTTGTCATGAATTTCTGTTATACTAAACACTAATTGTGTGATACAAAGTTCTGCTACGTCATATATTTGTTGATATGTCTTTGTTATTTATTATAGAAAATATCATTATAGTGAAGAAAAAAATGTTAATAGAGATAGAAAAATGCATTTATACTAAAAATAATTCAGTATACTAAAACAAAATGGAGTAATATTTTTTTAAGTATACTAAAAATTTCCGAACAATTTCAGAAAAAAAAACTAATTAAAAATTGAGGTATTAATAAAATTAAGTGGATGGTGTAGCATTTAGATGAGGAAAAATCACGCTATCAGTGATGTCTAAAAGAAAGAGCACCATCTTCATCATCTAGTTTCCTTGTTTATGACCTAAACTCTTCTTTAAGTTAATAAAATAGCAATAGTGTGCTTACACATTATTTATCTTTCCTCTTAGCTCTTTTTTTGTTTTTTTGGTTGCTTCCATGAACAGCCTTCTGAATGATTTGATTATTCATTACTATATGAGTAAACAAAAAAAAAGATTGATCTGAATAGTTGATGCTTTGATCCACTCATCCACGTCAAACAAAGGTAAGCATTGTGATTAAAATATGAATTCTTAGGGATCGTTTTTAATTTTCTAAACTGTCTTTCTCACACACACTGTCAATCTCACGGTTAAGTCCAGCGTATATTGGAAAAAACTATACTTATCCATCTAATCCACTCATGGTTCATGTCTTTCTTTGAGATTATGTGTATATAACAGGCATGCAAATGTGTATTGACCTATATGTGTATGCGTCCAACATTTTTTATATTTTTTTGTTCAGTTAATTTCCGGTTACAGTTTATTCATATTTAATGGAAAATCGAATACTTAAAAATCCAATTTAGCTCATTGGCGCAGCGTATCTAGTGTTTAGTTAAACTAGATGACTCTGAACCAGACATTCCTAACAACAACATTGCAATAAAAAACAAATAAAACGCCAAATGTTATTTTCTTCGACCAATATAAACATGGAATATTGATCAAGAAAAAAAAAAAAGTTTAGAGGTCACAAGATTGAATATTGACAAGAAAAAAAAAAGTTTAGACGTTACAAGATTGAGTGCCGCTTGGTACAGAACCAATATTACATGATGTAGTTCAAAAACCTTCTAGTAATTCAAAAAAAAAATGAAAAAATAAAATATAAAAACGTTAGCGGTTTAGGCTGTCAAGGTGTAAGTGATAAAGGGTATACATTGACATAGTGGCACCCAACAACATTTCAAATATTTTTTTCCTTGAACTTATTGGCTGGGAGAAAAAAACGATTTGTTAAAAATATAGTCGACTATAACATGTCTATGCCAAATATAAAATCGCGAGGCAAATATTCTTAGTTGCTTCAATTCTTTTCTTTTTCCTTTTTGTAAAAGTATTGCAAGATTCATCGTCTTACTTCTCACCCACTTACACATTGGCCTGCTCCATGAAACTATTTATTAGACCTTTAGTAGTTTAGGGTAAGGAAAAACCGCGTGAGCGTATTAAACTATAGTAATCACGTCAGCGGGAAATCTATTTTTTCTTTTTAAAAGGTCACCAAATTTACAGGGATGTTCAATCCAGTATGCTGGTTTGGTTTACTTTAGAAAATTTCAATCAAATTGCAAAGGATGTTCATTGTTCAATCAAATAAAAATGTATCTATATTCCTTGTTTCTCTTTTCAGTTTCCACCGTGGTTGTATTGTAGTTTAGTCGATATGAATAGAACTGCACTAAATGAATGGTATTATTAACACGGTTTAGGCATTTCCAGTAATTGGAATTTACATTAATGTTGTTTTTATCCACAGTAGTATTTTGTATGTAACAGTAACATTGGTCACATTCAAGATGAGATCAATGTTATGTAATAACAATGCTCTGTTTCAGAAAGTTGATTACACTGGAGATGACAAGATTAGACTATAATTAACACCTTTTTAAAAGTGACTTGTATGACAAAATTAGCAACTCACACCAAAGTACTGAATCAAGCAAAAGATCAAATGGTTAAAACACAAGTGACAAAACTAGGATGAGACCTAAACTAAGAGCAAAAGGCAGAAACAAGAGAATCTTGGTTTGTAGTTTAGACCCTAAAGAAGAGGAGCAATCCATTTCATGGATGAGGAAGAGGGTACAGTAAATGACAAGCTGATGGTATTGGAGATAACTTGGATCTTGCACTTTGGTGAAGCTACACTAGGAAGCTCGTGAAGTTCCTCGGATACTTTAACCGGACTATCATCAGTTGATGCATCATCGTAGTATATAGTGAGCTTTTCAAGATGCGGCATTGACTCCAAGAAGTGCTTGATCTGCTCTAACTCTGAATCAAACTTTCCTCCAAACTTCAATTTTATCTTTAGAGCCTTTACAGGACTTGATGATAAACAATTAGGAACATTCTCCCAAGCTTTGCAGCGGCACACGTTGCCACAACTGTCTGTAGCTTTGTGTTGGAGTCCCTGAAGCAACAAAGAAAAACGTTAATCTTTTTCTCATGACTGAAAAATGTACCACATGTTGGATTCGTACTTTGAAAACGAGGGTTTTTAGATTCGGACAGTTGTTGAGAAGATTAGGCAATGATTCCCATCCAACTTCTGTGTTACTCTCAATAGTTAAACGAGTCAGGTTGTTGAATATCGGTATTGCTTTGCAGCAGAACGTGAGTACCTGGAGAACAAAAACCAAAATCAATCATCAGATGATCTCATCTCATCACTCATTTGCAATCAAGAGATTGAGATCAATATACACAAACCTCAAGAGTGCTTGCGGATAAGTAAAGGATCTGAACATTGCTTATTCCCAAAAGTAGATTTGTTGCATCACCGACCATATCGTATCCCACTTTAAGACGGAGACTGGCTTCAACAAGAGAGTCTAAATTCACCTTTGGATACTTTAACGCAACAGTATCGGAATATTCAAAGTAAACAAGAGCAGGCGCATCAAACGTGACACTCTTTGGCCATTCGTGATGATCATCAACACAGAGCGTTAGTCTCTTGAGTGTTGGAACGGACAAAGAGCAAGACTCCCAATGAAACCACAACAGACCAATCAGGGTCAGTTCCTCAAGGACATGACAACCTGAAAGAAGCTTGTCGAGACAAGTATCAGTTTGGTTTCCTATCATAACGGAATCGATATAGAGAGTCTTGAGCTTCGGAAGGGAAACATGTTTGTCCACATCAATGGTGAGACCACTTCCAACTCCATAGGCGGTACCGTTTCTAGCTCCTATTCTTAACCTAACCAGTGACTTGCTCGCCAAGACTTGTGGAGGAAACAACGGATCATAACAATCTAGAGCAATGCGTAAATCAAGATCCGTTACACCAAGCTCCAACGCTTTGAGTATCCAACGCGTGACAACAACGTCATCAACACCATTTCCACACCTTAAAGAGAAACCGTTCACAGGAAATTTCCCCTGCAAACCTAATACTCTGTCCACGAAGTCAATGAAGGTTCTGTGAAGCTCAGTCTTTTCTTGGTTATACAAACTATCAGCACGCATACGTAACGGATCATCAAAATCAAGGTTTGGCACGAAAGCGAAGAGATACCGCCATTTTCTGGAGAGAAGTGAAGTTGAAGCAGCTTCTCTTGTGGGAAGGAATGACAATATGTGGTGAATAAGAGCTTCCGGTAGAGTGTTGATTACATCTTTGGAGCCAATGTTCAACTTTGTCGGATTCATAGTGGACAGATCAACACTTGCAACCTAAACAAAATAACATAATAATCTCAAGTAAGTTGATTCGATCCAAGGATTTTCAAAAAGCTTTAAACTCCAAAAACGGGATTTTATTAATTCCAAACTAGATTTAAGGTCGTATACTATTTTACAACATCGGAAGAAACACAATGGAATTAACACACACAAAAATTGTTGGAGAAAAATAGAAAAAAACTTCCGACTACAAGCACAAAGATCAAAAGAAGAAACGAGGAGACTCACTTAATTGAGTAGATATTCAAGCAGAGCCCATCAAAATCACCCAAATATGGAGAAATCGTTTGCGAGAATATTAGGGATTCTGAGATCGTGGCCAACAAGTGATTAGTGAGGTAGGCAATGAGGCGGGACGAACAAAATTCCTAAGTCAAGTCTCAATTATAAAACCTATTCATCTAATTTAGGTTTTATAGACGTATCAGTTTTTTATTTATTTTAAAAAGAGATATGTTAGAATAATGAATAAATTATCAATTCTTACAATTCTTAACTTAAATTAATAGGTATCAGTGTCTTTCAAAAACCAATGGAACAATGAAGTTAACAACAAAAATTCTTGTTAATTTAAGCACAATTGTGTCTTTGAGACAAACAATATGAGTCCTTTTTTTTACAACCATTATAAGGGTTTCTTTTGAATTGGTTTGAAATAATTTTTTGGGGTCATTTTCTGAATTTTTGTGTGTGTTTGGACCAGGGGATTCTGATTAGCGTTCGAAGGTGCCGGTGAAAAAGAGTTGAAAATAAAACCCTAACTGAACTTTTTTGGTGTTGTTCTTTCTATTTGGGTAATAATAATAGTGCTCTGTTTCAGAAAGTTTATTAGACCTAGTTTTCGAGTGACTTGTATGACAAGTTAGCCACTCAAACTACGAACCGAAACAAGCAAATGATAATTGAGCATTCCCAATAAAAAAAGAACAAACCATCAAACACAAGTCACAAAAAACGTGAGAAGAAAAGGCAGAGAAACAAGTGGAAAAACTTGGTTTAGCTGAGGTTATCAGAGATCACTTGGATCTCGCAATTCGGTGAAGCTACTCTAGGAAACTTGTTAAGTTGGCTTGATACTTCATTCACATCATCATCAACTGATGTATCGTAGATTCGTAGTATATTGTCAGCTTCTCAAGACGCGGCATTGTCTCCAGGAAATGCTTGATCTGCTCCATCTGATTCTTTATACCATCATTTGCATAAGCAGGCTTGAATTGCTTGGGAATTTGTCGACTGTAGAAGCTTCTACTCGCAATTACAGTTATCCATTACGCTTTTTAGTCAAACTTGGCTCTAATACTGGATAGACATACTAACTTTTTCATATCGGTAAAACCAAAAAAAAACATAACTGATTTAGATGGCGTAAGACAAAGCCCAAGATCTAAAGTTATAGAAGCCCACAAGTTTGGAAAAAATTTGAAGTCCAAAATAAATCAAATTTTCACCAAAAATCCCCAAAATCATTTTCCTTCTTATTTCAAAGCCTTTACAAGTCATCTCCATTGAAAGACCTTTCCCCTTTAAAGTTTAAAGTTTAAACCCAAAGCCTTAAACGTTCAACGTTCAAACCAGAACGCTAAAGCCCTGATAATGGCGGATTCAACGTTCAGTGTTTATGAATTAGCCAAGGAGAGACTTGTAAAGTTTCCACTGTATAAAAATGTAACATTTTGAATTCGAAAATTACTACCTTTGACTCAGTTTTTGCTGATTCTGTTCTCAGTTGTTGAATTTGAAATTGAAGAGTTTATTTGAGATGATCTCACAGAATTTATACAAAACTCAATTGTAATTTTACAAAGGAAAAATCATCATCGAATTAAGAAGAAGAAAAGAAGAAGAAAGAAACTTGAAATTGAAGCTCACTTGTTCATAACTTCAACGCCGTTCTTTCCGGCGATAATCACCGACGTAGCCATTCCCAGAAACAGCCCGTGCTCCACCACTCCCTGAAACTTGCCAATCTCTTTCGCCGCCGCGAACCCATCCTTCAACGGATTCTTAAAATACAAATCAATAATGTAATTGCTGTTATCCGTCACATACGGCTTCCCATCTCCGTCGACTCTCAGCTTCGCATCACATCCAAATTCCTTGAACAGATCCTGCAATCTGATGAGATTAAAGTTCCAGCAGAACTGAACCACCTCCACAGGCATCGCCAATCCGCTTCCGCCGAGTCCCTTAACGAGCTTCGTATCGTCAGCCACAACGATAAACTTCTCCGCCACAGCTTCCACCATTTTCTCCCGGAGCAGAGCGCCTCCACGACCTTTGACCAAATCCAGATTCGGATCCACCTCGTCTGCTCCGTCGATTGCGAGATCGATTCTCGGATGCGTATCCAACGCGACAAGCGGAATCCCCAGCGATCGCGCCTGCTCCTCCGTTCGCTTCGACGTCGGAATGCCGACGATGTCGTAGAGTTCGCCGGAGGCTAGGAGTTTTCCGATCTGATCAACGGCGAAGGCTGCGGTGGATCCGGTTCCGAGACCTAGAACCATTCCGGGCTTAATTGCCTCAACAGCCTTCTCCGCCGCGAGCTTCTTCAAGTCGTCCTGAGAAAGAGCGACGGACTGAGCCCTGACGCAGAAGGAAACAGAGGTTCTAGGGGAAGACGAGGAAGAGCCTGTGCGTAGGGTGAGAGAAGGAGTGCGTAGCGTAAGGTGAGAGGATGAGACGAAGGATAAGGAAGCCATTGGAGAGGAAGAGAAGTGTCTGGCTGGAGAAGAAATTGAAAACAAAGGTTGGGTTTTGAGTGGAAGAGGAAGGTAAGGGCAGTTTTTAGAGTTTTGTAGTTGGTGCGAGGGTATAATTGGAAAACCAGTTTCAGCTAGAATTTGGGTTGGTGAGGAATGTAGATAATAACCTGCTAATTCAATCGGAGTGTCTATTAAACGGCGTCGTTTTCGTTTTCAGTTTAATGTTTAAACAGAGAGGAGGAACCTTTTCTTTCGTCTTTCCGGTCTAAAAACTTTCTTCCACTTTCTCGATCTTCAGGGTTTTTTTGATTGAAAGCGACGATGTCCGCCGGATCAGCCAGCGAGATTTCAAAGGGCCAGGTTAGTATACGAAGATCTGTTTACTACGATGATTTCTTTTTTCTATGCGGGACCAAAGGAATTCAATTTTTGTGGTGAAAAGAGTATCTAGGGTTGTATTCTAATGGAAATTTCGAATCTGTGTCGAAGTTTCTGATTATTGTTTTGATCGGTGTGTTTAATTTGCAGGTTGATCTGCTAGATTTCATTGACTGGTCTGGTGTGGAATGTCTCAACCAAAACTCAAGTCACTCTTTGCCTAATGCTCTCAAGCAGGTTTGTTTCCTTATGTCAATATCTATATATTCCTAGTTGAAAATAGTTCTCTATCTGTATACAAGTTTGAGTTTCTGTGCGTAATTGATTCTGCTAGTGTTGACAGATACTTCCTTTGATTGTTCTCTATGTTTGTGAGATTGGGTATAGATGATGGAGTTCAGTGAACATTGTCGTTTGATTTAGTTTCCTATTCCTTAGTTCCTCTGATCCGTAGAACAAGCCTAATATAAGTTTATGGCGTTTGCATGCTTTGGTTCTCTGTTGGTGTTTCAGTGACCTGAGAATGACTTTACTTGTTCGTGTAGGGATATAGAGAAGATGAAGGTTTAAACTTAGAGAGCGATGCTGATGAACAACTTCTCATCTACATTCCATTCAACCAAGTCATCAAACTACATTCCTTTGCTATCAAAGGCCCTGCAGAGGAAGGTAATGTGTCAAAAGAAAAATTTCAATTTTTGTTTTTTTTCGTTAAGTAGATGTTTGTTGCCTAACTGGAGATAGGAACTAGATATGTTGAGCTGTTACTGTTAGTCGGTGAGATTAAACTTTTGTTTTCATAATAACCTTTCTTCAGGTCCTAAAACAGTGAAGTTTTTCTCAAACAAAGAGCACATGTGCTTCAGGTAATGTGAATCTTTCATATTTGTATCTCACTCGACCATTATCTCTATGAAAGCTCAGACTCACTGACTCTATTAAACAATAATAATACAGCAATGTCAATGATTTTCCTCCAAGCGACACCGCTGAACTAACTGAAGAAAACCTCAAGGTAAGATGACATTTCTGAAATCTAAACTTTATTCATTTAGTGACATGTTTTGGCGATCAATCTGTCTTGAGACCTCTGTTCAAATCTATGTTACAGGGAAAACCGGTGGTCCTTAAATATGTGAAGTTTCAGAATGTTCGTAGGTAAAAGGCTTTTACCATGTTCTTTCTGTGTTATATAGTACTTACTCAATCGAAATCACAAGCTCGATCTAAACTTGTCTTTTTAATTCAAGCTTGACGATCTTCATTGAAGACAACCAATCGGGTGCTGAGGTCACAAAGGTTCAGAAGATCGCTCTCTACGGCTCAACGTAAGTCTCTGAAATCTTTTATTACAATCCTCGAGAGAATGTAGGTCTCAGACACTAAGCTCTTTACACCAATAATGTTCAATTACAGGGTGGAGACGACTGATATGAAGGGATTGAAAAAGATTGAAGATCACTGAGCAAGCAAAAATGTTTAATCATTATGATCGTTTATCACTTTGATTTCTAGTGTTCATTTGTGGTTCCTTTCTTTGTCAAATTTCTTATTAAAGTTTTAAAATTAAAAATTAGACCAGAACTTGCGATTGCTTAAATGCAAGATTGCGAAACGAAATCACAAGCTTCAGCAGTATCATTTTTTAAGTTCCTCTTAGCATTTTCTAACAAAATATCCTTCGACGATAACTGAAAAAACACTACTCGTGCCGGTGAAAATGGGCTGTTATAAGCCCATTTCTAAGCGTTGATGGGTATATATGACGATTTTTTTTTATTGTTTCGTCAACACTCTTCTTCTTCTTAATTTTCAGTGAAACACCACTATTTAGGGTTTTTTCCGGAGGAGAGTAAGAAGCAGAGAGACGAAGACAAAATGGCGGAACTAAGGCTGCTGGTGAGCTCTCCCAGAAAGAAGCCGATATCCAGATGATGTTATCGGCCGATGTTCACCTTGGTACCAAAAATTGCGATTATCAGATGGAGCGTTATGTCTTCAAGCAACGCAACGACGGTAATCTCTTTTTAATCCCTACTTCATTGCATACAGACGCAACGATCTGACTGTCAATGATTCTATATTTATCTGGTAGCTTTCTAGTTTATAGTATCTCTCAATTTTCTGTATATTGATCTTAGTAGCTTTTGATTTAGGTGATTTCACAAATTTTTTGAATTTTGTATCTTTGTTGGGTCAGGCATTTACATTATCAACTTGGGAAAGACATGGGAGAAGCTTCAGATGGCTGCTAGGGTTATCGTAGCGATCGAAAACCCGAAAGACATCATTGTTCAATCAGCAAGGCCATATGGTCAGAGAGCTGTGTTGAAGTTTGCTCAGTACACAGGTGCAAATGCAATCGCTGGAAGACACACTCCTGGTACCTTCACTAACCAAATGCAGACTTCTTTCAGTGAACCAAGGTTGCTCATTCTCACCGACCCAAGAACCGACCATCAGGTAATGCCCAAAGCAAAGCAAATTCATTTAACCTTAGAGATTTTGCTTTTTGGTTTGATGCGTTACTGTTTTTGTGTTTGCCAGCCGATTAAGGAAGGTGCTTTAGGGAACATTCCAACTATTGCCTTCTGTGACACGGATTCGCCAATGGGGTTTGTGGACATTGGGATTCCTGCTAACAACAAAGGGAAACACAGCATTGGTTGCCTTTACTGGCTTTTGGCTCGTATGGTTCTTCAAATGCGTGGAACCATTCGTCCTGCTCAGAAATGGGATGTCATGGTAAGAGTCGAATAAACCATTCCATAGTTTTTTAGAAGTCTGTTTGAGAAAGTTTTAAGCTTGACTTTGTTGTTGACTTGCGGTTTATGCAGGTGGATTTGTTTTTCTACAGGGAGCCTGAAGAAGCAAAGCAAGAAGAGGATGAAGAAGCTGCGCCACAGATAGAATATAGATTGGTTGGTGGAGACCAATGGACCACTGCTCAGATTTCTGACGCTGCATGGCCTGGTGAAACATTGGTTGCTGCTGCATCAGATGGATGGGAAACTGCGGTTCCATTACCGGCTACTGTTACAGCCGCCAGTTGGAATTAAAGTTGGCTTCTTGGTTTATATATGTAGACAGAGTTTTTGGAGCTTAGGATCATGGCATGTTTTACTTCTCTTGAGAATTGAGACCATTAGCATTAGAGAGCCTTTTTGCTACTATTTCTAAATTTCAACTATATAAAATTATTTCCTTGTGTTGAACAAACATGAGTCCTTCTATTTCAAAAGTTATTTCTTTATTGATCTTGCCAAAAAAATTGAATGTGTGAGTATTAATCTGATTTTAGAATCTCCGGTAAGTAATCACTCAGAAACTCTCACGAGATCATATGATTAGTGAAGATATCAGCCAATCAAGTTTCTATGTAATCCCATAGAGTAAAAGTAATGAGAGTAGGTTAATTCATCGTTCACTTTCTCGAATATATCAAATGTCTTTGACATCCTTTTATGGGTTACATGTGATTGGGTAATAGTGTCTTGGTTGGCTAAGCAAATGACAACATTTAGAATAACCAAAAAAATGGAATAGTAGTAGTATTAAATTCTAGTTTTGTTAGCCGAAAGTGAAACGGTATCCAAGTATGCGTGTATGGACTCACGATTAGTTATTGAACTGTGTTACCAGATTTCTAACCAAAAGAATCTGAATTAAAGTAGAATCATCACACTTTTGCAGTCTTACAGTTCATATTTCACATGCTAACACTCTTGTAGATCAACTAGTCTAATTTTATAAGATGCAGGATACTATTATATGACTATCCATAATTAATATATACTCCCTCCGTTTCAAATTAGTTGTCGTTTTGGCAAAATGTATCTGCAAATATTTGGACGTATGTGGACGTGTTTTGCATTGCAGATACATTTAAATAATTGCAGATACATTTTCCCAAAACGACAACTAATTTGAAACGGAAGGAGTAGTATTAATGAAAGAAAGAGAAATCTTTTTCTAATAGCATTTGTTTTTGGGTGAATGAGATGAAAACACTTTCACTACTAAAGAAATGCTATAGCGCTACTTGTTTCCCCTCTCCCTGTTAGAAAACAAGATAATTAATTTTATGGTTTACAATTCGAACTATGCAATGCATTGGTAGAATTGCTATCGCAAGGACAGATTAACTTTTTTTACCTTGTATAAATATAAAATGGTGTTATATGTGTAATGTGTCAGCATGCGTTGTCTTTAGGCGTGACAATATTCAATTTGCAACTTATTTTATCTCATTATCTGTAATTCGTAACGGGACCACAGTGTTCATGTTCTCATCACTTTTTCAACTCCCCAAATGCTTCTTTCTTTGTTAATCACACGGTTCATACTAGATAGTACTTACTTCTCACAACAAATCGTTTTGGAATATTAGTGTTTTTTTCATGTTTTCAGTTCAAAACTCTAAACAAAGTTTCTTTGGGTGCAAATGTGTAACTCAAAAACAAAGTTCTCTATTTATGCTTACTAAATGGAATATTGAGATAATAGTATAAATTAAAGTTAGACACAATGTTAATCTTTTACTGTGTGTGAGAAACTGAAAGGACATCTACATTGAAACAAAAAGTAGATGAAATTGGTTGTATTGGTTAACAACCTAACATATGTAAATGTGTAATCATGACCAGTTAAGCTTTCTCTCTTTTTCCTTAATTCACAATCTCTTTCCGTCTCTCTCTCTATATCAAACGAGCTTTCTCTCCCTCTCTATGTACTTAATCAACGGAAATATTTAATGGAAACCCAAAATTACAGACACGTGTTTATTAGTGATTGTACCTTAATGTTTGGGAAGTACCAAACACATAAACTGTTAACTAAATCATCATTAAAAAGCTTAAAATTCACACCGGACCGACAATGTAAATTATAAACACAGCTAAAGCGTCATATTATAAAAAAGTACACTAGAATAATATTCAAATAATGATCAATGATTCATTCATTAATCACACCCTCAGACTTCTACAGACTATTTATACCCTTTTCTCTCTCTCATTACTCACAAGAAGCAAGAAGCTCACACAAACACACATTATAAATCCAAGTGTCTATGCATGTAAGATATATATACCTGTATATATGTAAGTATGTATACCATGCACCAGTAGCAGTTAAGCTGCCAGCATGATCTTGTCTTCCTCTCTCAAGTTTCATATGTATAAGTTAAGTAACGATTATGTTTCTTGTTCTTAAAAGAGTATGGGTATGATAATAGCTTAGAGAGGGAGACTAGGTCATGCCGGTAGTTTCACCTGCTAATGATTGTAGCATGAAGAAGATGGAGAAGAAGAAGGCATGGATGAAAATTGAAAAGCAAGAGGGTCTCATGTAACCGTAGAGAGTTTGAGCAGGTAATTTTAATGATCTAGCAATAGAATCAAATTCGAAATTTTTGTTGTAAATCAACTTTTATCTTGAAACGACGCCGTTTCGTTCGACGTAATGTCTTTGACTCTCACTGTGTGAGTGAGGTACAGTACTTAAGATTTCGGACAAGCGTCAACGAAGCACGTTACAGTAAAACCTCTATAAAACAATAATGTTGGGACTTTAAAATTTTATTATCTTATAGAGTTATTATTTTATCGATAAAACAATAATTATTGTTTTATAGAAATATTCTATAAAAAATAGAAACTTAATAGAAATATATTTTTTCAGTTTTTTTATTCAAAATTTCCTTATACTTTATTATTTACGTATTTTATATTTTACTTTTCTATTTTTCTATTTGACATATTTACTTTTCTATTTTTCTATTTTATGTAATTTTCTATTTTTCTTTTACATATTTACTTTTTTTTTCTTTGTCCAACAACAAATTATTTTGTTTATAAATATAGCATTCTCTTTTTCTTTTAGCAAAGTTCTTCTTCATACACAAATCTTTTTCATTATCACCAAATTCAATAATGGCTTCTAATCATCTAAAGGGTGTTTCAAAGTCAACAATGACAGATCATATACGCAAAGAATTGTGTAAGTATAAAAAAGATCATAAAGCATGCACTCAAAAGGAGTTGCAATCATGGCTTGAAGAAAAATTTCAATTAAAAGTCTGTCAAAGTGTGATTTCAACCACACTCAAGCGATCAGCTGAGTATCTTTCTAGCAACCTAGATTTGGGAGGAAACATCAAGCGACACAAATCAGCAAAATTTCCAGAGATGGAGAAAGTTGTTTATGAGTGGTTTCTCCAATACCAAGATCGTGTGAACATGTCTGGAGAGCTTATTTTGCAAAAGGCAAAAGATACAATGAAGATTCTATACCCCCAACAAGAGTCTGAGCACCAATTTTCTCAAGGTTGGCTTGAAAAATTCAAACTACGACATGGTATCAAGTCTTTTCGTCGTTTTGGAGAAAGTGGTTCGGTTGATGTACAAGACATGGAGAAGAAATTGGAAGCAATCAGGGAAAAAATAGATAAATTCCCTATGAAAGATGTTTTCAATATGGATGAAACTGGTTTGTTTTACAGGTTACAAGCTGATCATTCTCTTGCTACGAAACAACTTGAAGGAAAAAAGCAAGACAAAGAAAGACTAACAGTTGTTATTTGCTGCAATGAGGATGGGTCTGAAAAAATTCCATTATGGATTATTGGAAAATATGCAAAGCCACGTTGTTTCAAGAATGTCAACATGAGTAGCTTGAATTGTCACTATCGTGCCAACAAAAGAGCTTGGATGACAAGTGTGATTTTTGAAGAATATATCCGCTGGTTTGATAGTAGAATGCATGGGAGGAGAGTCTTGTTTGTGGTAGATAATTGTCCAGCACATCCAAAAAATATTGAAGGATTACAGAATGTTGAGCTCTTCTTCTTGCCACCCAATATGACATCAAAAATTCAACCTTGTGATGCTGGAATAATAAGAGCTTTTAAGATGCATTATCGTAGAAGATTTTACCGTCAAGTTTTAGAAGGCTATGAGTTGGGACAATCTGATCCAAGTAAGATAAATGTTCTGGAGGCTATCAATTTTGCGGTGTCAGCTTGGACCATTAATGTTCATCAAGATACAATAGCAAATTGTTTTCGACATTGTAAAATTCGTTCAGGAGATGTCCTACCAAGGAATTTAGAAGATGAATCAGTTGACATTCGTGAACTTGAAGTTGTGATTAATAATCTTGGTTATCGGAATAGAATGGATGTCAATAGCCTACTCAGCTATCCGGGTGAGAACGATTCATGCTCAGAAGTTCAAAGTCTAGAAGAAATTGTGTCTACTGTTCTTAATGGTGAAGATGAAGTTGAAGATGATGAGGAAAGACATGTGGAAGTAGTTACACGTAAGGAAGCAATTGTGGCTTCGAGAACTCTTCACAACTTTTGGTTGCATGTTGAGAACACACCACCAGAAATTGTTGATGCAATAAGAAAAATTCGAGATGAGCTCCAACGAGAATCAACCTTTCAGAAAAGACAAACTACATTGGAGTCATATTTTACTAAACTGCCTTAGATATATATGCCTTAGTTTTATAATTATTGTCTTAGCTTATTGTTGGGACTATATTTTTACATAAGAGTTTCAAAAATATTATTGTCTTATCATCTTATCGCATTATGCTATTTTTTACATTGGCCCGAGTTGGGACCGGAGAAATTTATTGTCTTATAGTGTTTATTGTTTTATCGAGTATTGTTTTATAGAGGTTCTACTGTAGTACAAAACTGCATTATATAAAAATAAAAGAAAATAACTTTGTATTAAGATTCTGGATAATTAGGATTACATCGAGATTACAAAACGAGTGGTGTTGAATTGTTCCCTTTCCCACTCTTCTTTTGCATTATCCCTACCGTTTAGAGTTTCGATTCCTTCTCTGAAATTCGCAATTCCACTTCTGGGTTTTTCAATTCCCAAAATTCGGTTCCTTTACACCATTTGGTTTCCCCAATTCGCACTTCGATTCTGCATCTCTCTGTTTTCATGAAAAAAGCGCTTCCTTTTCCATGAAACTCTAAGAAATGACGCCATTTTCCTCTGAGCTCGTTGGTTTCACTATTCCTTTCTATTCCAAAACCCTGAAACACCGATTACTATCTCACAGTCGAAGCTTCTTAACCTGCTCAAACACTAACCTCAACCACGACAATGGCAAACCCTTTTCATCTCCAGGAGCAACAAACCTTCAAGCCTCAAATTCCACAACAGAGGCAAGACCACAACAAACTCATTCGCAATCTCAAGTTTTTCGAGACACACAGATGATGAAACTCTTCCACCGATCATGCCGCTCAGGGAACTACATGGAGTCTCTCCATCTACTCGAGACCATGGTGCGTAAAGGCTACAACCCCGATGTGATCCTCTGCACAAAGCTCATCAAAGGCTTCTTCACTCTGAGAAACATCCCAAAAGCCGTTAGGGTTATGGAGATCCTCGAGAAATTCGGACATCCCGATGTCTTCGCTTACAACGCACTCATCAACGGGTTCTGCAAGATGAATCGAATCGAAGACTCGACGAAAGTCCTCGACAGGATGAGAAGCAAAGGCTTCTCACCGGACACTGTCACTTACAACATAATGATTGGTAGTTTGTGTAGTAGAGGGAAGCTCGATCTCGCCATGAAGGTTTTAGACCAACTGCTAACCGATAACTGCCAACCGACGGTGATCACTTACACGATTCTGATCGAAGCGACGATGCTCGACGGAGGTGTCGACGAAGCCTTGAAGCTTCTTGATGAGATGTTGTCGAGAGGGTTGAAGCCAGACATGTTCACTTACAACACGATCATAAGAGGGATGTGTAAAGAAGGAATGGTGGATCGCGCGTTGGAGATGGTTAAGGATTTGGAAGCGAGAGGCTGTTGTGAGCCTGACGTCATCTCTTACAACATCTTGCTTCGAGCTCTGTTGAACCAAGGGAAATGGGAAGAAGGAGAGAAGCTGATGACGAAGATGTTGTCGGAGAGTTGCGAGCCGAACGTCGTCACTTACAGCATTCTGATCACGACTCTCTGCCGCGATGGGAAGATTGATGAAGCGTTGAATCTGATTAAGATGATGAAGGAGAGAGGGTTAACGCCTGACGCTTATAGTTACGATCCTTTGATCGCTGCGTTTTGTAGAGAAGGTAGGTTAGGTTTAGCGATCGAGTTCTTGGAGACGATGATCTCTGAAGGGTGTTTGCCGGATATTGTTAACTACAACACGGTTTTAGCTACGCTGTGCAAGAACGGGAAAGCGGATCAAGCGCTGGAGATCTTTTGGAAGCTAGGGGAAGTCGGTTGCTCGCCGAATTCGAGCTCGTACAACACCATGTTCAGCGCGTTGTGGAGCAGCGGAGATAAGCTCAGGGCGTTGACGATGATATCGGAGATGTTGAGCCACGGGGTTGATCCGGATGAGATCACTTACAACTCGATGATCTCGTGTTTGTGCAGAGAAGGAATGGTGGAGGAAGCTTTTGAGCTCTTGGTTGATATGAGAAGCTGTTGTGAGATTCAGCCGTCGGTTGTTACGTACAACATTGTGGTTTTGGGGTTTTGTAAAGCTCATAGGATTGGTGAAGCGATTGATGTTTTGGAGTCGATGGTTGGGAATGGATGTAGGCCTAATGAGACTACTTATACGGTGCTTGTTGAAGGGATTGGGTTCGCTGGGTTTAGAGCTGAAGCTATGGAGTTGGCTAATGATCTTGTGAGGATTGATGCCATTTCTGAGTATTCTTTCAAGAGATTGCATAGGAATTTCCCTTTACTCAATGTTTTACAGAGATCTAAGTAGAAAACAGAGAAAGTGGAAAGAAAAAGAAAACGGTTTTTCTAATTATTTATTAGTACGAAACTTTCATTTTCTTACAAGTCAAAACATTCAAGCTATTAACTTGTGGAACACTTTTGACATTCAAACATGAAAACAAATGACATGGTTTAGCGTTGGAGTGAAGCCACAAAATATATAAGTAGAAGTCAGGTACCAAGATGGAAACAAAAGTTGAACACGCACAAGAAACAAGCAAAGAAGATGTATCTGAAGAGAGAGAGATAAAAGTCGATAGATAGGATAGTTGATAATACATAATGGTGGAGATTGACATATCAATAACTCAAGCACTTGACTTCAAGCGAAATGTGATGTGGATTTCCGTCACTTGTTCTCCTTATGATAGCATGGAAGCAAAAACCGTGACGGGTTAAAAACCTTATGTAGAAGATTGCATGATCGGCCTTGACCTTGTCCTTGGGTGCCACGTCTGCTTTGGTTTGCACAAGTACAGTTGCCACGTGAAGTGGCATTGCCCAGCACACTAGCTGCAACACAAAGACCAAAAGAGATGAATAAGAAAACGAATATTCTTCCCATGCATCTTTCTTTTTGTGTGTTTCTGTGTCTCACTCAGGTACCTTGAGAGATTCAAAATGAGTTAACAAAGCGAGTTGTGCGTACACTTGAAACAGTTGCCTGTATTCTTCCACCTCTGAGTTTTCCAGCTGCAAATCAATCAACAATTATGCATGTATGTCACGTCACGTCCTCTTCTAAAAAAGAAAGGAGGGCCCACTTACCCCGTAGTAAATCCGCTCATCAAGCTCTTCCTCGCCCCTTAATTTTTCCTGAGGCAAACAGTAGGGCATTTCACCTTTGAAAGAAGCATCCACGGAGAGGTTGTCAAAGCCACCTACGCAGTTACCCAATTTGCCGCAGCGGAGCATAATAATCAAACGCAAACAATCTTCATACGCAACACATGTTTCAATCTCCCAAGCGGAAGTGCGTCCTACTGCAGCATATATTCCGAGATCCAATGATGTTTTGGTACCTTCTAACTGGAAAAAACCATGAAACTCCAAGTTTGTCCCCTACAAAGATCAATGCATAAGCAAACCAAACCAAAAATACTTAAAAGAAAAAAAAAAGAAAAAGAAAAGAAAGCTTAATTTGATTTACCTTTTGGAAATTGTAGCATTCAAGTCCAGCTCGACCAAAGTATTGCTGATTCAGAGAGAGAGAGAGAGAGAGATTCAAAATTAAAATCATAACACATTTGTTTGTATAAAGTATAAACACAAGAGTCCATGCACAAACTAAATGTAAACCTGTTCTGGATTAGTCTTCAAGTCTATAATTTCGGGATTAGCAATTATATCTTCGTATATAACAAACTCCGGCAGTTCCCCCGGTTCCGGTGGTTCATACTCTGGTGAATAGGGCGGCGACTCTGGCGGTAAAGAAACGGGCGGCGGCGACTGTGGTGGTAAAGAAACGGGCGGCGGCGACGGTGGTAATGAAACGGGCAGCGGTGAAGAGGGCAATACTAATGCTTCAGATTTTAGTTCCGGCGATGGTAAAGAGGGCAATACTAATGCTTCAGATTTCTCCTCCTTGGATGATGGTTCCGGTAGTGGACCTAGTGGTCGGACGGGGTGAACTAGCTTGAAATTTGGGACCTCCGTTTCCTTTGGGAAATCTATTTCCTTTGGGAAATCTATTTCCGTCCACTGATATGGGAATGGTGTTTTAAGATAAGCGAAACCCTAAAAAAAAAAAAACAGAATCAATCACGATTTTATGCAAATCTTGCAAATTGTTATCTATCGGTCATCCACAGTAAAATTCAAATTACCGGAGGAAGGTTGATGAAGCCACCACCGAACATTCTTGGCATATCTCACCACTTGAACCCTAAATTCGAGAGAGAGAGAGAGAGAGAGAGAGAGAGAGAGAGAGAGAGAGAGAGAGGATTAGACTCCGTTATAAATCTCAACACTCGGAACGCTAATCTCCAAACACCGAACCTATCAAAACCTTAATCATTGATTCCACTATTCCAGAGAGAATCCAAAACGAAACAACAACTTACCTTTCCTCTCTAAAAGAAAACTAAATTGATTCGCCTAAATAAATTTGTATCTATGAGGCATCATATATTTATATATATAAAAAATAGGCTTATAAGCCGAGCAATTTGTGGTATTTTTGAGAATTGCTCAAAAAGTGTGAAAATCATTAAACTCTGTCTCATTTAATAAAAATAAAATATACTGTATTTGCATGATCGGCCTTGACCTTGTCCTTGGGGTCCACGTCTTCTCTGGTTTGCACAATTACACTTGCCACCTCAAATGGCTTTGCCCAGTTCACTAGCTGCGACACAAGACCAAAGAGATGACTAAGAAAACGAATATTCCCATCTTACTCTTGTTCTTTTTGTGTTTCTGTCTCTCTCACTCACGTACCTTGACAGATTCAAACTGGGTGAACAATGCGAGTTGTGCGTACACTTGAAACAATTGCTTGTATTCTTCCAGCTGCAAATCAATCAACAATTGCTTGAATGTCACGTCTTCTTCTAGTTTAATAAAGAGCCTAAAAAGGAGGGCCCAGTTACCGCGTAGTAAATCCGCTCGTCAAGCTCTTCATCGTGCATGTTTCCTGAGGCAAACAGTAGAGCATATCACCTTTGAAAGAAGCATCCACGGATAGGGTGTCAAAGCCTACGTAGCCTGAGTAGAGACATGACCAATAAAGATTAGACACACAAATATATGGAGTGAGAGAGAGGTTTGTTCGCTCGCATAACCCGAATTACCTGGCTTTAAACTGCGGAGCATAATAATCAAACGCAAACAACCTTTTATTTCCAACCGTTGTTTCAATCTCGCAAGCGGAATTGCGTCCTATTGCAGCAAATATTCCGAGATCCTCTGATGTTCCGGTTGATTGTAACTTGAATCGGTCCGGAAACTCTAAGTTTGTCCCCAACAAGATCAATGCATAAGAGAATCTGATTAAGTTGATGAAGGAGAAAGGGGTTAACCCCTGACGCTTACAGCTACGATCCTTTGATCGCTACGTTTTGTAGAGAAGGTAGGTTAGGTTTAGCGATCGAGTTCTTGGAGACGATGATCTCTGAGGGGTGTTTACCGGATATAGTTAACTACAACACGGTTTTATCTACGCTGTGCAAGAACGGGAAAGCGGATATATCAAGCGTTGGAGATCTTTTGGAAGCTAGGGGAAGTCGGCTGCTCTCCGAACTCTAGCTCTTACAACACCATGTTCAGCGCGTTGTGGAGCAGTGGAGATAAGCTCAGGGTGTTGACGATGATATCTGAGATGTTGAGCCACGGGATTGATCTGGTTGAGGAAGCTTTTGAGCTCTTGGTTGACATGAGAAGCTGCTGTGAGTTTCGGCCGTCGGTTTTTACATACAACATTGTGCTTTTGGGGTTTTGTAAAGCTCATAGGATCGAGGAAGCGATCGATGTTTTGGAGTCGATGGTTGGGAATGGATTGATGCTATTTCTGAGTATTCTTTCAAGAGATTGCATAGGAATTTCCCTTTACTCAATGTTTTACAGAAATCTTCTCACACGTTTGGACATTAAGTTGTTAGTAATCATTGTATCGCTGCACTGACTCGTTGTTGAGCTTCTTTAGTAACTAATAGTCACTGATTCAAGCTATTAACTTGTGGAACACTTATGACATTCAAACATAAAAACAAATGACATGGTTTAACGGTGGAGGGAAGCCACAAAATATATAAGTAGAAGTCAGGTACCAAGATGGAAATAAAAGTTAAACACGCACAAGAAACAAGCAAAGAAGATGTATCTGAAGAGAGAGAAGTCGATAGATAGGTATACTTGATGATACATAATGGTGGAGTTTGACAAATCAATAACTCAAGCACTTGACTTCAAGCGAAATGTGATGTGGATTTCCGTCACTTGTTCTCCTTATGATGGCAAGGAAGCAAAAACCGTGACGGGTTAAAAACCTTATGTAGAAGATTGCATGATCGGCTTTGACCTTGTCCTTGGGTGCCACGTCTGGTCTGGTTTGCACAAGTACACTTGCCACCTGAAGTGGCATTGCCCAGCACACTAGCTGCAACACAAAGACCAAAAGAGACGAGTAAGAAAACGAATATTCTTCCCATCTTTCTTTTTGTGTGTTTACGTGTCTCTCACTCACGTACCTTGAGAGATTCAAAATGGGTGAGCAAAGCGAGTTGTGCGTACACTTCAAACAATTGCTTGTATTCTTCCACCTCTGAGTTTTCCAGCTGCAAATCAATCAACAATTATGCATGTTTGTATCTATGAGTCATCATCTTCGGCTAGAAGAGAAAGGAGGGCCCACTTACCCAGTAGTAAATCCGGTCATCAAGCTTTTCGTCATTCCTTAATGTTTCGTTAGCCAAACAGTAGGGCATATCACCTTTGAAAGAAGCATCCACGGAGAGATTGTCAAAGCCACCTACGCAGTTACCCAATTTGCCGCAGCGGAGCATAATAATCAAACGCAAACAATCTTCATACGCAACACATGTTTCAATCTCCCAACCGGAAGTGCGTCCTACTGCAGCATATATTCCGAGATCCAATGATGTTTTGGTACTTTCTAACTTGAAAAAATCATGAAACTCCAAGTTTGTCCCCTACAAAGATCAATGCATAAGCAAACCAAACCAAAAATACTTAAAAGAAAAAAAAAAGAAAAAGAAAAGAAAGCTTAATTTGATTTACCTTTTGGAAATTGTAGCATTCAAGTCCAGCTCGACCAAAGTATTGCTGATTCAGAGAGAGAGAGAGAGAGAGATTCAAAATTAAAATCATAACACATTTGTTTGTATAAAGTATAAACACAAGAGTCCATGCACAAACTAAATGTAAACCTGTTCTGGATTAGTCTTCAAGTCTATAATTTCGGGATTAGCAATTATATCTTCGTATATAACAAACTCCGGCAGTTCCCCCGGTTCCGGTGGTTCATACTGTGGTGAATAGGGCGGCGACGGTGGCGGTAATGAAACAGGCGGCGGCGACTGTGGTGGTAAAGAAACGGGCGGCGGCGACTGCTGTGGTGGTAAAGAAATGGGCGGCGGCGACGGTGGTGGTAATGAAGGTAGCGGTGAAGAGGGCAATACTAATGCTTCGGATTTCTCCTCCTTGGATGATAGTTCCGGCGATGGTGAAGAGGGCGGGAATACTAATGCTTCAGATTTTAGTTCCGGCGATGGTGAAGAGGGCGGGAATACTAATGCTTCAGATTTTAGTTCCGGCGATGGTGAAGAGGGCGGGAATACTAATGCTTCAGATTTCTCCTCCTTGGATGATGGTTCCGGTAGATAGTCATAATCGCTTTGAACTGGGGGGAGCTCTATTTCCGGCCACTGATATGGGAATGGTGTTTTAAGATAAGCGAAACCCTTAAAAAAAACAAAAAATAAAACAGAATCAATCACGATTTTATGCAAATCTTGCAAATTGCTATATATCGGTCATCCACAGAAAAATTCAAATTACCGGAGGAAGGTTGAGGAAGCCACCACCGAACATTTTGGCAAATCTCACCACTTGAACCCTAAATTCGATCGAGAGAGAGAGAGAGAGGATTAGATTCCATTAAAAATCTCAACACTCGGAACCCTAATCTTCAACACGGAACCTATCAAAACCATAATCATTGGTTCCAGAGAGAACCCTAAACGAATCAACAACGTACGTACCTTTCCTCTCTATCAAAAGAAAAACTAAATTGATTCGCCTAAATAATTATTTGTATCAACACGAGTCATCAGCATATATAGGGTAAGAAATAGGTTTATAAGCCGAGCAGTTTGTGGTATTTTTGAGAATTGCTCAAAATCATTAAACTCTGTCTCTTTTAATAAATAAATAAATAAATAAATAAACAAAATTTGCTTTTGTGTTCTCTGCTTTATGTTCTTGCAGCGAGGAATTCGGTTGTTCGCCACAGAATCTGGAAGCAAGACAAGGAATTGTTCTGCTCGAGAATTGCTATTCCAGGAATCTCAAGCAGATTTTGGCACAGATGATAAGCTCAGGAGAAGTCGGTTGACAATGATATCGGAGATGTTGAGCCACGGGATCTGATGAGAACATAACCGGTTATTCCTATTTAAATGGGATTATTTCCCCCACTCTTTCACGTTTCAATATTTGTAGTTGGCAGTTTATTTACATGTGTATTTAAGAGACGATTGTCTCATGAAAGGATATTGAAGAAAATATTCAAGTAACTTGTGTCTTAAGAACCGAAGTATGTTCTTGTTCTTGTCTTGTTCTTGATCATCATTTGTAAGGCCTAATTTGGGACCTAACAGGATCGATCCTGACGAGATCACTTACAACTAGATGATCTCTTGTTTGTGCAGAGAAGGAATGGTGGAGGAAGCTTTTGAGCTAGCTCTTGGTTGACATGAGACAGTGAGAAGCTGTTGTGAGTTTCAACCGTCGGTTGTTACGTATAACATTGTGCTTTTGGGGTTTTGTAAAGCTCATAGGATCGAGGAAGCGATCGATGTTTTGGAGTCGATGGTTGGGAATGGATTGATGCTATTTCTGAGTATTCTTTCAAGAGATTGCATAGGAATTTCCCTTTACTCAATGTTTTACAGAGATCTTCTCACACGTTTGGTCATTAAGTAGAAAAACAGAGAAAGTGGAAGAATAAGAAAAACAAAAACGATTTTTCTTATTATTTATTAGTATGAAACTTTCATTTCCTTACAAGTCAAAACTTGGCAACTGTTCAAAATAAGATGTATCTGAAGAGAGAAGTCTTAGAAACTTAAAAATAGACGAAAGCCAAAATCGTGACGGGTTAAAAACATTATGTAGAAGATTGCATGATCGGCCTTGACCTTCTCCTTGGGCTCCACGTCTCCTCTGGTTATTAGATAGCTTACTATACGGCTTATTATTATCCGTATAATCCAAAAATCAAAGAGCTTATTATACGCCTTTGTGTGCGTTTGATTTTCTCGTTTGCCATAAACATTTGTAGAATCTAAAAATCAAGGCCGTATACGATTTGGATGGTTTCTATCAATTATAATCTAAAAATTCAATGAGCTTGAAACAAAGATGGGAGAAAATGATGAGAACTGAAGCCGGACCAGATTATTTCACATGGTCCACTGTCAGCAGCACATAAGATTGGTCAGGGAAATAGAGCCGTGACATTTTTCTTTCACCCGCTCTTACTTACGCAAGATTCCAATACATGCTCTTGTGTCCCAAAATAATAAAGTGGAAGAAAAAAACGACTTTTCTTAATATGTATTAGTATGAAACTTTCATTTTCTTACAAGTCAAAACTAATTCAAATCTATACAAGAGAAACATGAACATTTGATAATTTAAATGTTACATTTGGTAATGCATGCTTGATATTATTAAAAAAAACAAATGTTGAATTATGTGTTAATAATTTTAGCCCTATGATTTTTTGAGACATATTTGTCTTAATCATTAGTATCATAAGAATGATTTTCATCTTTGCATTGACCTTTCCATTGAGAAGCAGATAAGTGATGTTGAAATCATATATGATTCACTGCACTTTTTCTGTACAAACTCGATCGTCAAATCAAAAGTGTAAATGATTCAAATGAATTTTTCTCAACAAGTAGAAAGAACACAAGAGATTTTAACATTCATACGGTCTGTAGAAAGACCAAACATGTAAGCTATTTGTGTAACATAATAATATCATTTACTTATTCATATTTTCATAATTTTTGCAGGGTATCTATAATGGTGCTACTTTTGCTTTCTCAAGATATCAGTCAATGCATTCCATTAACATTACAGGAGTGGGTGAAGAAGGTGGCCATAAATATGTTTGGGTGAAGTCGAGCGTTGGCTCAAACTTTGGGGTTAAAGGTTACATGAAAGTCTCCGTAGAGATAATGATGGTTTGCCTAGAAACTAGTTTGTATGGTGACTTTATACTGTTAGGATCTGTGCCATAGGAGTATCGGTGAGGACCATCGCTACGAAGACGTGTGACCACAAAGAAGAGAAGACAAGCATTCGAAGTCAATTATTTTCAGAAGTTTGTGAAGTTAGAAACAACAAATATCAAGATATGGAAATTAAGTTGTTGGAAAGGCAAGGCAAAACGAATTAAGAAATATTGCCAACCATATCAAGGAGAAGTTTGAGTACGCCTTCACGCATGTATACTGTGAAGGTGGAGATTTCGTAGCAACTGCAGAAAACCAGCTGAAGAGCCGTACTAGGAGACCTTGCCCTTCACCCAATCTTATTATCACAAGAAATAATTAGGTGTATGACATGCTCTTGTGACCGGTTTTAAACACACACGGCCCAAAATAATAAAGTGGAAGAAAAAAAATTGATTTTTCTAATTATTTATTAGTATAAACTTTCATTTTTTTACAAATCAAAACTTATTTAAATGTATACAAGAGAAACATGAACATTTGATAACTAAATGTTTACACATTTGGTAATGCATGCTTGATATTATTAAGAAAACAAATGTTGAATTATGTGTTGATAATTTTAGTCCTATGATTTTTGGAGACATATTTGTCTTAATCATTAGTATCATAAGAATGATTTTCATCTTTGCATTGACCTTCCATTGAGAAACATAAAAGTGATAATGAAATCATATATGATTAACTGCACTTGTGCCGCACAGACTCAATCGTCAAATCAAAAGTTTAGTAAATGATCCAAATGAAAAAATTTCAACAAGTAGAAAGAAAGCAAGAGATTTTAACATTCATATGGTCTATAGAAAGACCAAACATGTAAGTTATTTGTGTAACATAATAGCATCAATTACTTATTCATATTTTTCATAATTTTTGCATGGTATATATAATGGTGCTACTTTTGCTTTCTCAAGATATCGGTCAATGCATTCCATTAACATCACATGAGTGGGAGAAGAAGGTGACCATAAATATGTTTGGGTGAAGTCGAGCGTTGGCTCAAATTTTGGGGTTAAAGATTACATGAAAGTCTCCATAGAGACAATGATAGTTTGCCTCGAAACTGGTTTGTATGGTGACTTTATTGAACATCACACTATTGTCTAGATTTATATACCCAACTCTTCAACCCAAGGATATGGAGGAAAACACAAGAAGCAAAAACATGCATTATCATCATAGATTTATGTCTTTTTATGTTTATGTTCTTTTACGCCTCAATTTTCAATCCTTATGAACAAAAAAAATATATAGATTGAGAAATTTGTGTTGTTGTATTCATTCTCAAACTTTCCCTTATATACATGTTGAGCTAGCTAAAATCAAATCTAGAAAAGATTTATCTATACAAGATAAACATGAAAATTTGGTAATTAAATGTGTAAGGTAATGCATGCTTGATATTATTAGAAAACAAATGCATTATGTGTTAATAATTTTAGTCCTATGATTTTTGGAGACATATGTGGTGTCTTGAGAAATTATATTGCTCATTATCCTTTAATGGAAGAAAATGTCAAGGCATATATTCTAAACTGTTTCCTTTTGTATTGGATTCTTAATTCTTTTTTTGTGTCAGGTAATTGTTGGAGGCACATTTAGATTCCAAAGAACCGGACTTGGAAAACTTTCCATCTTATGGGAACTGTATGTGATATGAATCTACAACACTGTTCAGCTTCTTTGATTACGTACAAACAAACAGTCCAAGTCCTTCGCCGTTTGAATCCAGCAACAGCTACAAAAAACAGCTTATAGATAAACTCATTTACTTACTTCCCTAACTTATTCTAGAAAACAATATAAACATTAATAAAAATATTGACATACTTTTAACATTGCAATTAATTGGATTATTGGAGTGAAGCTTTTTTACTCTGCTCTATGTTCTTGCGGCGAGGAATTCGGTTGTTTGCCACAGAATCTGGAAGCAAGACAAGATGGGATCCTCTTCATTCCCTTGAGCTTAATCACCGATCACTTGTTCTGCTCGAGAAATGCGATTCCAGGAATCAATTCAAGCAGATTTTGGCACAGATGATGCGTTTCAATCTCATAGGCGATACGTTTCTGATGAGCCGTCTTATATTATTCTCAGCGATCACATATCCAGAGAACGTCGACTTAGCGAAGCTTCTGTTTCTTCATTTCACTCCAAACCCAAACGCTTTCATTTACAACACAATGATCTCTGCTGTTTCAAGCTCGAAAAGGGAATGCTTTGCTCTGTATAGTTCTATGATTAGTCGCAGTGTTTCTCCGGATAGGCAAACGTTTCTCTACCTCATGAAAGCATCAAGCTTTCTCTCGGAAGTGAAGCAGGTCCATTGCCATATCATTGCTTGTGGTGGGTGTTTGTCTCTAGGGAATTACCTGTGGAATGCTCTGGTTAAGCTGTATATGGAGCTGGGAAGTTTAGGTTTTGCAGAGAAGGTGTTTGATGTAATGCCTGAACGAGATGTCACCTCTTTTAACACCATGATTGTTGGTTATGCCAAAAAGGGGTTTACTTTAGAGGCAATGGAGCTGTATTATAAGATGGTTGGTGATGGCATTGAACCTGATGAGTACGCAGTGTTGGGTCTTCTTGTTTGCTGTGGTCAGTTATCAGATATTAGGCTTGGGAAAGGAGTTCATGGTTGGATTGAGAGGAGGAGACCTGGTTCTTCGTCTAATTTGATTCTGAGCAATGCTCTTTTAGACATGTATTTCAAATGCAAAGAATCTGGTCTTGCAAAGAGAGCTTTTGACATGATGATGAAGAAGGATATGCGTTCTTGGAACACCATGGTTGGTGGGTTTGTTAAGCTTGGGGACATGGAAGCTGCTCAGGATGTTTTTGATCGTATGCCTAAAAGGGATCTTGTTTCTTGGAATTCTCTGCTTTTTGGTTACTCGAAGAAGGGATGTGACCAGAGAGCCGTTAGAGAATTGTTCTATGAGATGTTGATAGTGGAGAAGGTCATTCCAGACCGCGTCACTATGGTGAGTTTGATAAGTGGTGCAGCAAACAATGGAGAACTGAGCCAAGGAAGATGGGTACACGGACTAGTGATCCGTCTGAAACTGAAAGTTGATGCCTTTCTAGGTTCGGCTCTGATAGATATGTACTGCAAATGCGGTATCATCGAGCGGGCTTTCATGGTTTTCAAGACAGTGTCTGAAAAGGACGTCACGCTGTGGACAACGATGATAACTGGGTTTGCCTTCCATGGAAACGGCAACCAAGCTCTGCAACTATTCGAGGAAATGCAAGAAGAAGGCGTGACGCCGAACAAAGTCACTCTGCTCGCTGTCTTAACAGCCTGCAGTCATAGCGGACTCGTGGAGGAAGGGCTACACATTTTCAACGAAATGAAGGAGAAATTTGGCTTTGACCCTGAAACCGAGCATTACGGGAGCCTTGTGGATCTGTTGTGCAGGGCAGGGAGAGTAGACGAAGCAAAAGAGCTAGTGCAAAAGAAGATGCCAATGAGGCCAAGTCAGTCAATGTGGGGATCAATCTTAAGCGCCTGTCGGGGAGGAGAAGATATTGAAACCGCAGAGCTGGCTTTGACGGAATTGCTTAAGTTGGAACCTGAAAAAGAAGGCGGATACGTTTTGTTGTCCAATATATATGCAGCCGCTGGAAGATTTGGATATTCAGACAGGACGAGGGAAGCAATGGAGAGCCGAGGAGTAAAGAAGGTTGCAGGATATAGTAGTGTAGTTGGAGTAGAGGGAATTCATAGCTTTGTGGCTGCAGAGAAGCAGAACCATCCAAGATGGGTGGAGATAAAAGGAATACTGCACCATCTCTGTGATGAAATGAAGTCAAAAGTGGCACTTCTTGACTTATTAGGAACAGAGATCGATTAGCCATTTCAGTGAAGTCTCAACAAAGTATAAGAACCTCAGTGATACTTTTTGGAATCATTTTGATATTCATGGAATCCCACAGATTATCTTTTTGTGTTCAAGCAAAAGGTATATAGTGGCCACATTTCACAACCAAGAATATTTGGTTATTTCTGAACTTGTCAATGATATACATATTGTCATTAAATTGGTAAGAACTAAGAAATCGAGGCAAAACGTCTAACTTTATACTGGGAAACACAAAAAGAGGCTACAACACGTTTTCTAAGTCGCAATAGAAAAAAAAGAGCCAGAATCAGCAGAATACGTATGTACAGTGTACACATTAAGATGTAACAAATTTCAAAACTGACAAAGAATGTTCACCTTTCTATATGGTAAAATCCTTCTAAAGAGTGGTATTGTTGCCTTCCCTCAGACCTTGAAGACATAGATGCAATGTTCTCTGGACACTGTCTGCAACCAATTTGAGTTTTCCTTGAGTCAGATCTCCGTTGACTTCCACTGTACGACTCACTCTCTGTTTGCATTTCTCCCAATCATCAACACGTTGCCAACAAGCACGACCTCCATGGCTTCCTTCCATTCCAAGAAACGTCACGGTAGGGCTTTCTCCAAACGTATACCTTAACCTGACAGATACACAGTAAGGCAACCACGCCGCTCCTCCAGCTGCGTTTATGTGAGGTATGTGCGCAGGATCAAGAACGACGGTCAATGCAAAGTCCACGGTGTTGTTAGGCCGATCGTAGTGGATATTGCTTTTTGCTGCACAATTGCTGTCTACATCTGTACCGGTATGATTCTCCAGACATAGCTCGATTCGAGGTCTCTGTGCAGGAGCAATCTCTCCAGCTTGTTGTGATTGCGATAATCCTTTTTTCCAAGCTATCAGTTTTAGAAACTCCCTTAAGACAGATATGGGTAATGTGAGGAGTGTTATGAACGAGGCCACTCTTGAAGCATCGTACGGCTCTGATGCAACACGACGGCTGAAATAATCGCAGATTTCGCCAATTTCGGATGGGTTTAGATCCTCTAGAACGGTAGGGGCAGAACCGTTTTGCTGTTGTTGCTGCTGGTGATGGAATCGCCTTACGCTAAGGACTTGGAGAAGAAGCTGAACTCTGTGGACGCTCACTGCAAAAACATAGCCACTGCAACAACAACAACAACAAACGTCAGCATAAACAGACTAAAGTATAAACACAGGATGTGATTCGCCTAAGTTTATTGGATTGGCGTATTACCCGACAAAGAAGCGCAATGCTGGTTGTTCTTGGTCTAAATTCAAGAGAGCGCCTTCGTTCTCCTTCAATATTGAACCTAAGATGTCTCTCAGCAGATCTGGTAGCTGAGCAAATAGCCATAGTACTCCAAGATACTTAAGGATGCCACGCAAAACCTTTTTAAGAGCCACAAGAGGGACCCATCCTCCGCCATAGCCACCATCATCACCTAAACCGATAATCGCTGTATTTAATTCGCCTCTTACATGTGCTGGCACAGCACTGCCTGGTGTTCTACGCACAGGCAATCCTGAGCCACTCACTAAAGATCCTGAAGCAACATTGCCTACACGATTCATCGCGGCTCTTGATATTGCACTCGTGGGAGAAAAAACTCTGTTCCCACCGCTACCAGTTGGGTTTGCACTGTTTGGATGTGTTGCTCCTTGGCTACCAGTCAAATTCGGTTCTAAACCATTCAATTCTTGAGCAACATGCTCCATGATGAAAGGTCTGAATTGAGGACATGGCAGGGAACCTCCAATAGAAGCACCACCCTTGGGTGGAGTTGCTGGTTGCAACCAGACTTGATCTCCAGCAAAGCATCTCATGTCCACTGCAAAACGTTTACGGTATATGATCCTTATCCAGTAGGGTCCACGTAGTACTACAGATACATCGATGGGCAAGAGAGAGCTTGGAACGATTCCAGGTCCGCTTCTCCCTGCAGCTGCTAGCATTGCAACTCCATGGAAACTTCCACTGAGTGGGCTTGGAACAGGAGAAGCAACAGTACTTCCTGAAGTTGTTGAGGCAGACTGGCCAACAGAATTCGGAGCTGCTAAAGTTGTAGGGGCAATGATTCCTTGAGTTTGTTGTATTTGATTTGATTGTCTTGAAGACGCTGTAGCTGGTATGACAGGCATGCCAGTGGCAGTACTAGCTCGGGCAGGGCGAGTAGCGGCAGCTAATGCAGTCAAAGGCCCAGTAGTAAGGCGAATGCAATCCAAAAGAGATTCTACCTCTGCTCCATTTATGAAATCCTCCAAGAACTGTACAAACATAAACCACAATGAAGAAATGCATATATTCAGAACTCTCAAGAATAAAATATAATTCCCATGAAGAGATCAATCGTTAAGTTATGCGAACAACTCACCTTAGTATGTGGCCAGTGTTGGTCAGGAGAGACATGCATGGTGCATCCATCTTTACCTGATTCCCACTCGACAACAAAACGCGCCAAAACGCCTGAACCAAAGCTAAACCACAGGCTTGTTAATCCTACTGCCTCAATCTTGAAAGCTCTCCATCTATCAACTGGCTCACCACTGCCTTTCCCTCCAGCAGGTCCTTTAACAGTGGGATTAGCACTGCACTCTTCTGTTTTTTCATCTGGCTTTATGCCAAGTAGTTTCCGCATACCAAGGGAGAACATTCTAGCATTTGAAAGCCTCTGTATGTCGGCCACAACCTTCTTTATACTATCGGCTTCCACGGATTGATAGCTCAAAACAACACCTTCAGGGTCATAACGGATATGGGAATCAACATCAGACGAATTTGCAATGTGAACTCCAGATCCCCACGGCGTGGCTTTACTTCCCTTCTGAAGTTCCCAGAGGTCCCTAAAGTGTTGGTCATTTATTTTCACATTCCAACACATGCTTCCAGGTCTACCAAGCTGCAAGCATATATGTTGCCAGGAATCATTTTGGGCAAATGGAAGCCGGAACCATATATCTGAAAATGCATCTTGTAGTCCCATTTCCTCAACATATTGAATATCGAGTGCCTCCATCTGACTAGTTAGTTTAGCGTGCTTTATGGACAGCGAAGAATGCCTGACTACATGCAGAAGAGCATAGACAAAAACGCTTGAAGGTGCATTCCCCTTGTTTGCTTCAGCTATGAGATTCCCATAGCTGCATCCAATATCTTTTGTGGATGCTGCAACAGCAGTGGATAGGGTCTGTGATGCAGGGCTCCAGCTCTTCACTAATTCACTCGACACCAATTCAGAGGTTTTACTTCTCTTGTTGGGACTAGCAACACCTTCCACTCCCTGGAGAGATGGGATCAATCTTAGCAAATCTGAAGCTGAACGTTTCCGAGACTTCTGGTCTTTTCTCAACAAAGGACCTTCAGAAGAGGTTGCAAGATCAGCTGTTTGAGCTGCAAATAAAATAAATTAGGAATTCCGACAATGAGGAAAGTTCTATGAAGGTAAAAAGGCTATGGAAATGTTCTTACATACGGGAAGAGGTGACAATGAGGATTCAGTGACCATTCTACTGCCTGACTCAGAGACTCCATTCCCAGCAGATAGGGATGGAGACAGTATCATGGACACGTCTTGGTTAGAGTTAGAGATAGCTATCTTCTTCATAGCTGAACTGTTCCCAGGGGGAGATGATAACGAGCTAAATGAGCTAGATTGTAGAGGTCCCTGCAGACTATACAAGGAATCTGATTGATAGCTAGTCAACAATGGAACTTTTTCCAGGCCATTAATAGCAGAAAGATTCTTCGGAATTGAACCATGTCCATCACTTGAAACAAGAGCGGATGTCCCTTTCTGAAGTCCAAACACTTCATCAACGATGCTAGAGAAACTCAATTGGCTTCCACTCATTTCTGCCAAAGCCTCGTCAATCAATTCAGGATGACGGTGCCCAGATGCTTGACTTAAGCTCTCAGCATCTGAGAATGAAGATACAATTCTAACCACATCGGATGTAATCAAGTTAAGATCATCTTCGAGAATCCGTATCTCCCCAATATCAATTTTCTTAACTCGCACAACATTGCTCAGATCACTGAAAGACTGAGGTTTTCCCGAACCATCCGTCTGAGTTTCCGCTAATTTAAACAATGGCGTGAAGTCCTTTTCGAGTTCCATGAGCAAGAGGTGAGAGCTTTCACAGTCGGGGAATCCCAAAGTCAGAATACTTGACCCATCCGAGAGGTTTTTGGGAACTTTGTTTATACCAAAACCATGTTCATATACCTGCATTAAACACACAAGTCAACACTCCCAACTCCATAATTGAACATGAAGAACAAGCTGAGGCAAAAAAAAATTACTACCTCGAGACCCAAAAATTTGCCAATGGCAGCAAAAAAATGCAAAATGCTTTTGCTTCTCAAGTTAATAAAGGCGTCAACTGCTGATATACTTCCTTGATTTAATGCATCTTCAAATTCCTCCAAGATGGAGGGGATCAAGATACTCTTGGATGACTGAAGAAGAAACCGACCAGTCCTGCAATCATTATTATAAAATGAGAAAAGTCTCTCGAGTGTGAAAATAAAGTCTCTCTATGTAAATGAAATTATTGTACCTTATATTTATCCCGAGTGTGAAAAATGAAGATCCATAGGCTCGGACACGTAAGACCTCTGGCTTTCGCTCCTTAGAATCTACCATATTACCTCCCTAAAAGAAGAAGGGCAAGAAGAGTGACCCAGTTAAATTCAATTAACTATAGAAAGCACCAAAAGAAAGAGAAATATGGCCAGAGCTATACTAGCTCCCAAGCTAACAGAAGAAAAAAAATATCGATTCTCGAAACCTAGGTTCCACCATCTCTGAAATTTAAACTTCTGATTAATGCTTAACCTATGTTCTCTAGCAAGAAGCCATGGAATAATTAGCAAGGGATTTGGCTGAACACAGTGGTAAACAAACAAGGTACGTGACATAAATCAGACTATTGACATTCGAGTGACATACTTATTGTCCAACTATTTGTAAGTAACTCTAACCTG